GTGGCTAGTACTGTGGCAAGGACCCTATATGTACTGTTGATGAAGTTAGGTGCTGTTCTGAGCATTATTTGTGGCTATAGAATGGCGTTTTGGTTGAGGTTTGTTTATGGCTCCTCAGACTGCTGTGTATTGCTATCATACAGTCATTACTAAAGTTGGTATAACTAGAGAAGCAAGCACTTGGCAACATTCATCTCTCGACGGGGTGTCTAACTCTGTGTTACGGTGTGTTTGACCCTAACTTAATTTTACGCCGGAATATCCCTTTAATGCCTTTTCATGACCGACAAAAATCAAAGATTTCTATGTTGTAATCTCAACACTTCATACCAAAAATCATTACTTAAAGCTCTTGCAAGGAGTCCTTCAACATTTATGAAACAGACTGAGATTCATATTGATGCTTATTCATGATATCCCAAAGCCAACAAGACCATCAGGGACCAGACTGACAATCTGTGTACTGTAATCTTCACTGCCTGTAAACCAGAGGGAGGGAGTAGGTGTAATCTAGATATTCGTGATAAATGATAGCCTACATCTGACTTTTCCACGTCAGCAGGATGACTTTTACGTTCATGTTGTTTTTTTCTGTTTTTCATGATATTACATCAGCAATATCAGCACCAGTTACTGAGTGAAAATATAAAGTAAAAAGCAGAAAAGAGATTTCAGTCAACTGCAATACTGTGAGCTGATTGGTTGATGTCTACCACTTACAGTCATGTGATCTGACATGTAGCAAAGAAGAAGAGCATGCATGCCTGCCCTGTAATCACCACGTTAAACTTGTACAGTTCATAGACTCATCCTAGTTGGCGAATAGTGAGACATCGCTTTCACAGATCTGACTTCTCATCCAACCATAGCAAGGTAGGGAGTCAGATATATCGTGTTTCATCAAGACAAGCTGTTCTGTAACTTACAAAGTCAGCTTTAACTTTACTGCACTCATATTAAAGAGAATATGATGGAGCATTTTCCCTGTGACCAGTGTTCTCAGTGCATGACAAACTTGCTGAATATTTCGTTTTCCTTTTGTGAGTATCTGCTGACCTCTGCTGGTCATATTTGGGACCAACATGCCAGGTAAGAAAAATATGACCTACACATGTAATATGATGAAATTCTGGTTGTTCTACTTCAATACACTCAGAGGTAATTGTGTGAAATAAAAAGGCAATCATTCATTTATTTTTTCCTAAAGGAGACAGAAGAGTTTCTTCTTAATGAGGTAATTTGTTTCATGTCATGTCAGAGGACGTTTATGTAGTTAGAAATACTTCGGCACTTCAAGTATAAGTAGGCCTACTACTCTTATTTAAAATCAATGTTTTGTGTTTTTCCAGTCATCATGATTTGTGCTTCCAAACAGCCATCAGACATAATGAACAAAGGCTTGTCTTCACTTTGTGATCTGGTTCTGATGTCCTTAACACCACATCCATCATTTCAACATACAGCTCACTAGTTCTCAGCGCACTATGGCTGGTAACGTGACTCCCATTTTAACAAATTTGACCTTTTAAAACATCCTGAATCTTCTCTGCTCTTCAACTCTGAAGTAACACCTTTGAAGTGAGATATAAGGCTGTCCACAATACCACATTGTGGGTGACTGATGCTGTCTGCAGCCGGAAAAAGCAGGTGTTAGAGGTCTGTGGAGAGCTACTGGTGTGAAAGTGCATCAGCTCTCTTAATAAAATAGCACAGGAAGCTCCAACTGCTGACTTTATCAAGCTTATTTCCCTCTCTAGAAGAAGAAATTCTAAGGTCTTCTTTGACATTTTTATCAGAATTGTTTCTTTCTTGTGCTTTATGATTGCAACGAGCTATTTAGTTCATGAGGTAATAACTATCAGGTCCAATCTGCATCGTAACTTTCTTCCACGTACTGCCAGCCTCTCTGCGCCCCCTTATTTTGACCCTTTTATCCGATCAGCATGTAGGATCTGATTAAGAAAAGCTCAACTGTCCTACCTTTTGGATATCCTACCTCCTTCCTGCTGTTTTATCGACTATGAACTCATCCTTGACTTCTTGACGTGTCCCTGGAAACCCCTGGAACTCCCTCTTGTTGGGTCCAATCTTTCAAAAAGCAACTTAATCTGTTCAGACAAGCTAATGGGCTATCATATCCACTCAGTCCTCTAAGGTGAATTCATTTTATTGTACAAGGTCATTGTTTCTTGCAATAACTTTGAGATTTGGAAGAAGTTAGTACAAGCTACAAACAGATTTCTGTGTTTCTGAAAACAGAATCTGTTTTTGTGTTTGAGATTTCACTCTGGGGCTCAAAGTGTGAAAACAGACATTTTTGATTTATCTTATTATTTATCATTTGTTTTTAAAGAAACAATAAAATCCAGGTCAACTCATGCCACACAGTTTTAAGGACACAGTTATTTGACCCTAAAAAGGCACAGAAAATCATCAATTCAGAATTAAGCAGATAAGAAGATACACAGTACAAGCTATATAGATACCTGTAAATAAATTAGTTCCCTTTACCTGTCTGGAGCATCTAACATCTTAATATCTTTTGGTTATATTCTCTTTGAGATTTTAGATGTTCAACTATTTTCAGGTGTAGCATCAACCTCCTTTTGTTAGAGAAACAAACAACAACAACAAAAAAAGATTAGGTCATTAAAATCTCTCTTTAAGCCGATTATCTCAAAAAACTGATGATAATTTTATAAGGGGTGACGATTACTTTAACAATCTGCCATAAAACTGTCAAAGCAGTTCAGGACACTTTACAAAGCTAAGATGGCACAAGTGCAACTCCTTATGTTTCCCCTGAGGTGGCGCCATTCAACATGGGCCCAAGCAAGTACACTCTATACTTATCTGTGAGAAATGTAATCATTTATGGTTAGTAATCTCAAATCATTTATTACGCTTCACTTTTTAAATATGATATGACTATAACTGTGTCATGCATAAACATTATGTCAGGATGCCTACAACTTCTATGTCTAATACCTTAACTTTCTAATTTTCTCACTCCAGTTTGCAGTGATGTAGCAGTTAAAGAGGAATTACAACTTTAAATACTGATAGTATCGTAATGATTAATGCAATAAGTCATCGTCTGAATTTAGGACTGTAGTATTGATATGCCATCAAGTGAATTTTAAGTCCTTTTTTCCCCAGAGAAGTGTGTCTACAGGGATAAAACATAGATGTGGTGGTGCACCGAAACTAGAGATACTCCAGCGCATCCAAAATAACCGTGAGGACACAGCTACAGTGAAACCATAAGTACTTGGTGTGTTTTTAACTGGTCAACACATTCCTGTAGTGAGTAAACAGGTAATATTTGCAGCTACTTGGGGGTGACACAGACTGCAGCTGTTGAAAACAGGCGGCATCAGGAATGCTGTAAAGCAGGACAGCAGTCAGGGATACCCATCACCGACCAGTGCACACCCTTCTTTTGAGGTAAGTGCATGACAGGAGCACCTCGAGTGAGCTGATGCATACTTTTTAAAGAGGGGATATGAGCCGCACAATATGTGTGTGTAATGTTTTATTGATTGTAGAATAAGTGTGCTTTTTGCAACTTGGAGTTCTTTGTTGTCTGCGGGATTAAACATATCATGATGGAGAGTCAGAGAAAATAAGTGTGTGTGAAAGTGTGCGTCGTGGTCCTACCTTATTCTGTTCATGGACTGTAGACAATGTTTTGGATCTGGCTTTAACAAGTGCAGTATTGCCTAGTTTAAACTTTGAAATAGTCTGATGTTAAATAAGTTTGAGCTACACTATTTCTTTATTATCTCAAACTTTAAGAATAAAAAAAACAACTAAAACCAAAAAGAACAAAATAATGCATATGTACACCAAACAACTGTACATGTTAAAGATAAATTTACACAACATACAGTACAGGCCAAAAGTTTGGACACACCTTCTCATTCAATGCATTTTCTTTGTTTTCATTACTATTTAAATTGTAGATTCTCAAAACTATAAATGAACACATGTGGAATCATGTGCTTAAGAAAAAAGTGTGAAATAACTGAAAACATGTTTTGTATTTTAGATTTCTCAAAGTAGCCACCCTTTGCTTTTTTGATAGCGCTGCAAATTTTAGCTGTTCTCTCAATGAGCTTCATGAGGTAGTCACCTGAAATGGTTTTTACTTCACAGGAGTGCCTGAAGTAACCCTGACAAGGTACTTCTGTCATCAAGAGCAAAGGGTGGCTATTTTAAAGAAACTAGAATATAAAACATGTTTTCGGTTATTTCACACTTTTTTTATAAGTACAAAATTCTACATGTGTTCATTCATAGTTTTAATGCCTTCAGTAATAATCTACAATGTAAACAGTCATATAAAAAAATAAAGAAAAGACATTGGATGAGAAGGTGTGTCCAAACTTTTGGCCTGTACTGTATATTAGAGACAAGTTCTGTTTTAAGTGTTTATAATCATATCCGAATCATACTTTTTCAACAAATTTGACATTTTATGCCAATAACACTTTAAACAAGCAATTTGTCTTTTAGTTGAAATATTTGTTTTAGTGTTTCTATTGAGAAATGTGTCCTCTAGTGGACTGGAGGACCAGTGTTCTTCGTGATACCTTTACATGCTGTAGGAAATATTAAACCCCTTACTTATGGGTCATAAGAAGCAAAAGTAAGTAAGTTTGTTCGTTAATCACCTATAAAATATATTTGTTGCTTACTTGTTTGAAGAAAAAAAACGAGTAAAATAAATCAAAAGTGTGAAAAAATAAAGCAATAGTCATATTTGTGTGGACATACCCTTTACATTCATCTGTCAAAGTTCTACTGTTTGGTTTTAAAGTATTTTGTGCGCCTTCTTGTGGAAATTACTGCATTTTGTATTTTACTATAATTACATGGAGTAGAAATGAACCCTTACCCGCGAAAATTGGGCTGCTACGAGGTCCTGGCGGTGGAAGCAGGAGTTGACGAGCGGTCCTTGAAGGCCTCACTGAATCCCATTTTTTAGGAGGGCTGATGTCATTTCAAAACTTAACTCACACTCCCAAGTCAACGCGGCGAGTTGCTCACCTCCTCCTCTCCGGTAAAGTCCTCTCTTGTGTTTGGCGGAGCACATTGAAGAAAAGTCCAGGAGGTGAAATAAACTATAAAAAACACACATTTTCCAACCAGGCACGAAGCGGGAGGATTTTCTCTCAGGAACCCCGGGACCAGAGCCCCTCTTTCAGCGGGTGAAGGCGGCTCAACTTCATTTTTTCTGAATTTCAACTGAAGCCAAAATGAACCGGAGCTTTAATAGATCGCAACCTCTGCGAAATGTGGATTGTAACGCAGTGGAAGTGAAAAGCAAGGTGAGTGAATCTGAAAGCTTTCCAAAGATACAACGAGTTCACATGGTCGTCTCGCTGCGGAGCTGAAGTTGTCGGGGCAAACTGTCTGCAACTCACGACTCACATTTTCTCCTCTCAGGTTTTTTTTTTTTTTTTTATCATGAAGCGGTACCTGAACGCACCAATTTCTCGCATGTTTCTGGAATTTGCAGGGATAAGCTCCTTCTTCCCTCCGACCATGCAGATAGTGCTTGATAGTTTTCTTCCACAGTCTCCCTGTCTGTCTGTCAAAAATCACTTTTTTCAGCTAAGCATTTTGTTTTAATGAGATGGTTTTATCCGGTGAATCGGATGTTTTTCTTTTTTATGTTGCAACATTAGCTGCGTTCACTGTGGGTTTTGGACTACATAGTTTCAACCCACTTATTGTTTTGAGTGGTTTAGGAGAAGCTGCGTAAAGTTAGTGAACCAGAAAGTTAATGAACAGTGTTGAGCACGTTTTAAGAGATACCAGTTTAGGCTATATCAATCTGATCATGTGTGGTGAAAGAATTTTCCATGTCATGATTTGTTTTGGAGATGCACGGTCCATTTTTTTCCGATCCATCCGATACTGATACCTGGGCCGAGCGTATCGGTCGATATCCGATACCGATCTAATACTACAGTTGAATGAATGAAGTGAATACCTTGCCCTGTGAGTGAAGGCATCAGGCTTGACATTAGCCTTGTTAAAAAAGGTAACAAATTAACACAGATATAAATTTACTTGATATTGTTTATTAGCAAATAACAAATTGCACATTAGCACACAGCAAAAAGAAGTAAGACTTCCATGTATTAAAAGCTGTCGTTCATCCAATATCCGATTCGCTTCATTTGTCAATATCAGGGCCGATATCCACATCCTTTCATAGACTTTATGTAATTGAGATATTTTTCCAGTATCAATTCCATTATTATGAACACAACACAGAGAGGTATGTGTTTGCACATGCCAGCATATATGAGTGTATCTGCACATACATGAAGGCTGAGACCCTGAGTCACAGATGACATGGGACGAACAGGTGACTCACACAGCGCAGAGATCTTTTCACTTTGTCTCTTGGCTGCCCAGTTTCATTGGAGAGCTGCTAGATGGGGGTGGAGGTGGGAGACCTGGGAATACACTGACATTGATAACAGAGAAGATGGAGAGTAAATGAGACACTACTATTTAAAGATGCTCATGCATCATCAGATCTGTGTTTTTAGCCCTGAGCCTGGGTGAGCTTTTGTGTATGTCCCTCACAAACAGGAGCAGAGTGGTCTCTCTAGTGTCTGGGACTGATGAGCCCAAACCCCTCATGGCGGGATCGGCAGGTTTACCAGCGTCATCACTGCAGAGCTGACTCACATGTTTCCCTTTTTGGATCAGTTATAATGCATCACTTTTATGACGTCACTTAGCTATTGTCCTCTCTGGTTTTATTGCGATCCTTCCTCTAAACAACAAATGAGCACATGATCAGTTCATGTGACTCAACCTGAATGACAGTTTAGTGTATTTGAACTAAAACTGTCTTATCTAGCGGGTAGCTGCTGCATATCATGATATCGCAGATTTGCTAAAAGGAAGAAGGAAGGAGTGAAAAGTGTTGAATTTTGGTCATGCATCAACTTTTTAGTCGAGCCTCATAAGAGTCATACAGCTAATAAATCAAACCCTGACTTTGTATTGGCTGGTATTGATGTGACCCAGAGTCAGGTATCAGTTTGAAGATTAGAGTAGTCGGGTCTGTTTATCCCTGAAACCATTAAGGGTTAATCTAAAGTAGGATCCAGACATGTTAAGTAGATATACCTGGCCTCTACCTCAGTGTGTGTCCTATCTGATAAAAAACAAAAAAGGCCCATAAATAAAACTTGTAAATAGTGATATAATCCAAACAATATCACCAAACTATCATTATCTAGAAGCATTTAGTAAACTGATTGATCATTTAAAGACAAACTTTACAGAAAGTCTTGTTTTAGATTCGCTTCAGCCTGGATGACTGAGCAACTTAGTGACAGATCTGTGCTGTTTAGTCCAGATCAGGCCTTAAATGATAAGTTTACATCTAAAAGTTTCAGTCCTTCAAAGAATAATTAAAAAGTGCAGCTGAAGTGAATCGTTCACATTTACTCGACTACCTCAGAGTGGTACAGGTGTGTTTGTTGTCTGTAATACCGAGTGTGTGGTCCTCTTTGATGCCTTGCTTCTCGCTGGTCCCCGTTTGGTTTTCTCAGGGGAAACTGTCACAGTGATTTGCTTATCAGAGATAACACCAGAGGTGTCTGGCTGCCTGTCAGGGAGCCTCGGCAAGGAGCTGGTTTCACTCACTTAAAGCTCTTATCAGAGGAGGAGAGATTGCGTCAGGATGGAGGGGGATGGGCCAGATTTTTGACTTGCTTCCCATGTCCTTGCTTTTATCTTGTACAGATTTCAGGTTTTTTGAGTTTCTGGTTATCTTCACTCAACAGTGTTGCAGTTTTTGTTTTGCAAAGTGCAGAGATCTATCAGGTGATTTTCCAGGTGTGGTTTCCCAGCTTTCTGGTGTTAAACTCCGAGTAAGCCAGATGTCGGTTATTTTCAATTTTCCTAGTGTGTCAGAGTTTAGTGTCTCTAAACAAGTTTGAACCTGTTGACATCATTCAGCCCTGATAGGCCAGAAGGACAAGTGATGTCACGTTCGTAGTGATATATTCTTAGGTTCGGGTTTTAGCGTGGAGGCGCCTGATTAATCAAACCGTGTTCAGACTTGTCCGCACCAGAGGGCCGAGCACTGCTTGTGAAAACAGATTGTTCAGACTGATCAGGAAGCGCGGCGCAAAGAGAACATTGAGATACAGAGCGGTGACGAGTTTTTCAGATATGCAGAGGTAGAGTCATTACTGCATATGTGAAGAGTTAGATGTTGAAGTCTTACAGCGTTCATCATCAGCATCATCATCATCAGAGGTATTTCTTGTGGGAGTTTCACTTTTCCAAATGTTAAGTACACCTCCTGAAGACTGACGGACCTGTTTGTCTGCTTGTTGTGTCATCTTAAAATGTAGGTTGAGTATAATTAGCCTCAATCCACGTTGAGTGCCACACAGTGGAATAGCGTGTTAAAGCGTGAACCTCGCTTTGCCTGCAGTGAATCTGGCAGCAGACGAGATGCCCGCCTGGCACCCCCTGTTCTCCTCATAAATACATGTCATCCCCTAATAACAGACTTTGTTAATGTATCCCCTGATCTTCTCTCTACCTCTGAGTCAGTATACTATTACTTTGTCAGCAGTTTTCCTCCCTCTCCCTCCTCTTCCTCCTGCTCCATGATCACCATCATCTCCTCTCCTCTGCTAACAGCTTCCCTGAGTCGTGAGCTGATGATTATAGTACCTAAAAGCACCTTCGTCTACAAATTGCCGCTGTGATTAAAACACCAGAGCTCGCCTGTTGTTGTGGTTTATGGGGCTTTTGTGCCGCGGTCGTGACTCTCCCTCTCAAGTCCATTCTTGTCCGTGAGTCATATGATGACCCCGCTGTGACCCTCAGACATGCTCTCATTGGTGGTTCGGTGACCTAGCTGGGAAGGCCCTACCGCAATTGTTCAAATGTGAGCTCTTGTGCGTAAACAGTGGCTGGGAGGCGGGGTAGCCTGCCACTGTCATTTATACATATTGAAATAAGCTTAGTCATCTACCTTTTATTGTTATATTGCAGCAACCCTCATCCCCTTTTCCTGCTATTTTTTTTTCTTTTAGGTCAAAGTTACAGGAGATGTTGCAGGTAGTTTTATAATGGGGATTTCTAAATATACTGGAGCCAACAGAGGACTGCTTGGCTCAGGCAGTTGGCCTCCCATATCCTACTTTAGTTGAATAACAACAGCATTAAAAGCATTTAAAGACAGGTAACAATCTGGACAGTAGATATATTTACTGTGAACTGGTTTGACAGGAAGGCTAATACTTGATAAGTCTGTTAAAGTCTTGGCTTGATATCTGCTTCTAGGTTTAGGACATCATGAAAGTGGTGTAGACTTTGTTTTCAGTGTACGCAAATGTTTACGCATCGGAAACTTTTCATCTATTCTTGCAAATACAAGACATTTGCATCCCTGCTATCTTCTCTTGAAGTTAAAATCTTTATCTCATAACGTATATATGACGCAGACAAGTACTCTAGGCGTGGTTGTTAGACTTGTCTATAAAAAGCATCAGGGGACTCAGGGCTTGACACCAACTTTTTTCAGAAGGAGAATTATTCTCCTAAGTTGAAAAAGTAAGGAGCACATTAAGAACTTTAGGGGCACAATGAAAATTGATCAAATAATGTGTGTCTTATTGTTCGACATAAGTACTATTATTTAAAATCAATTTGAGGCCAATTGGTCACATTATTGATGGAAAACAGCCTTTTCTGAGAACATTAACTGGTAATTTGTTGATGGTCCCAACACTCAACGTTGACAGCGAGGGTGCCTTGTAGATTTGACCGCACTGCTGTTGTTATTCCAGGTTATGGAGAGTGAGAAGTCGTCGGTAGATCTGCGGCGAATGTCCGTTGAATATCCAACCTCAAACTAACTTCACCACGGTATTTACATGAAAAAACATTTGTTGCCAATGGTCGCACTGTCGAGCCCCGGGACTTCAAACAGGGTTCCTACTCAGTTGGAATTTCCATACTTTTCCATACCCTACTTTTTAGAATTACTTTTGGAAATACCTACTTTTCCATTTTACAAAACAGTATTTTATAACTGTGGTTATATAGTCTGTTAACATTAATATTTTTCCATACTTTATTTTTCATTTACCGTACTTTTTAAGACTAATTACTTCCATAGACAAACACATGTTTTCAAGTTTTTGAGTCTGTCACCTATAAACCTGGAGAAACACTTTCCACCAGCTGAGTTACTTTGTCCATCTTAAGGTCAACCTTCCACAAAATTCAATTTCCATTGTTTAAGAGAAGGACAAAAAATGTAGGTCATAAAAAGTGTGTCTGTCTCTGTGTTTGTTTGCAGCTCTAGTTTTTGACATTTATCCAAGAGAGTAAGCAAATATTTATAAAAGAAACAACAGCCTTTCACTGGGTTCAAACCAGCCATGCAAAGGTTTCATCTACTTAATATTTTATATGGAAACCAGTTCAGTCCTGAAGAGTGTCCCCCCCCGTGTGCCAAATTCACAACAAGGTCATGACTTCAGCTTTGTTAGTTTATGCGTGCCACTCGGATGGTTTAGATTATCGTAGAGGGTTGATGTCCCGGGTTTCCTCTTCCTGTGACTGTCCCTGTTAAACGCCTCTCTAATGTGAACTCTCTGTCTCTGTCTCTGTCTTTCTGCAGTATGGGGCTGAATTTCGCCGGTTCTCAGTGGACCGGGTCAAACCGGGCAAATTCGAGGAGTTCTACAAACTCATCCTGCACATTCACCGTATCGCCAATATGGAAGTGATGATTGGCTATGCTGATGTCCACGGTGATTTGCTGCCCATCAACAACGATGACAACTTCTGCAAGGCGGTGTCAACGGCTCATCCACTGCTCAGGATCTTCATACAGAGACAAGGTAGGAAGTCTGAGAAGTCGATGGTAGATCGGCAAACTTTAGCTTCTCCATAAATCAATTAAATCCATTAAAAAATTTTCCACATTAAATATTCACAAACAAGAACTTTTGACTGAAGTCAGCAGGGAGAGATTTTCTTGTCAAACAACACTACCTAAGCATGTGGAGGAGGACTAGATAGGCAAGGATTGATTTGTCCACAGGGGGCGTCAAAACTGACTCATACAAAAAATTACTAACTAGACCTTTAATCTTGTTTTATTCAGTGTTCATTTTAGTCTGATCGTCATAAATGTTCAAGTCATAGTTATCTTGGTTTTAAACTAGTCGTGTTTTCTCTCAGTTTCTTGTACCCACAAGGCACTGCATCCTCGTTGGAACTACACACCCGGTCTTGTCTTTGGTTTTGTTTGCAAAAAGATGCATCCTTGTAGTGAGAATATGTACCGTTGCACTCATTGCAGGTAAATGATTACTTAAAAAGGATAACAAAGAGTGGTGTAACAGGTTATCCACCCTAACAGAGTCGACTGTTTCAACTCTTCATTAGTCCTCAGGGCATTACGAATAGAGGTGTCATCAATTAGTCTTTGCATGTCATTGTCTCCATTCAGTCATAAGAAACAAGTACTTAAGTGGTTTCTCATCATCAACAAAATTAACACTAAATGAATGGACAAGGTCGTCCGGGCTGAAAGGACTTTGTCGCCATAGGCAGCGAAGAATTGGTCATCAATCTCAGCCGCTACAACTTTTGAACCATCCTCCATCTCCTCACCTGAATCACATCTCCAACGTAGGACAGCGTCTTAAAGGGAAATGAGACCATAGCCTACTTGCACACTTCCAAAACCAACTTTTGACATTGGTTATCGTCGTAAATTTTGGTATCTGTAAATTTTCGGTTTATCGCCCAGCCCTAGTAGATAGCCATCAGCAGCTGTAGGATGGGCTTTAAAAGTGTAATAATCCTTAACTATGCTTTTTTGAAACTTTAAAACTTTCTGTAAACTTCGATGGACTGTTTTTGTTTTTTGTTTGCTAACACCCTGCAGCTGGTTCGTCTATGAAACGTTTGTCTTTTGCAACATCCTGGTGTCGTGCTGCAAGTATTTCGCTGACTCTAATGAAGTTTACCCACAGAATATTTCCTCACTCAATTATGTCTTTCCTCTCACTATGGGAACTCGAGCCCGTTTTGTTTACTTCATGCAAGCCTCTCTGTATGTGTGTGTGTGTATGTGTCTGTGTGTGTATGTGTGTCTCCTGCCCTCTTATTGGCTGGATCAGTCTCAGTCTGTGGCTGTCTGTCTGCCCAGCTAAGTCCTGTGTCTTATCCAAAGGAAGAGCTCGCAGGCACACACAAACAAAACACACAAACACACACGCACGCACACACATATATATACAGGCCGGTGCCTCTGCAGCCCCATTGAAATCAGGTCATTGAGCAAAGCCTGTATCCCAGCATACCAGACATTACTGCGAGACAAAAGATCTGCATGAAAGAGAGACTCCTTACTGAGCTCCCTCTGCCTGTGTGTACGTGTGTGTGTGTGTGTATGTGTGTGTGTGTGTGTGTGTATTTGTTCAAAGACAACACCACGGCACCCTGAATAGGTTCCAGTCCTCGTCTCTCCCTCTCTTTTTCCAACTTTCTCTCATTGATCCAAACTCTGGAGTGGGTCTCAACTCTCCGCCTGGCAGCCAGAAAGCATACCAATGAATCTATTGCCATTCACGTCTATTCAAAGCCTCAGTCCTTCTTGGAATGTCCCTCGCTCGGTTGTGTAATGAACAAGTATACTCCAGGGTATTGTTTTAATTCTCATCAGTCAGTGGTTCAAATACTAAAAAGCGAGCCATGGTGCGCTGAATTATCTTCGCTGGTTTCCATGAGGAAACAGAGTTGGATATTAAAAAGGCCTCACCAGAATCCCCCAACGTGTGTGAGTCACTGTGGAGCTCATATGGACGGCTCTAAGTAAAGATATCACAGAATAGCTCATGGGAAATCTGCCAATCTGCTATCCTCGGTCCAAATGAAAGTTTGAGTTCTTTTCTAACTTTTCAGACAAACACAAAACTTTTATAAGACAACTCACCTCACTCCTGCCTTTTTTGTCCAGGTGTCATTTCCTTAAGCAGGAGAACTTCAGGAAGCTTGTAAGACAGTTTAAGAGTCTGTCCGACGCAAGCCATCCCGCGATCAATCTGCCTTAAAAGACAGCCTCTCTTATTAAAAATAAAGCTTTTGCAGTTTGAAATAGAAACTCCACTCTGCTTTGCTCTTTCCTCTTGGTAATTAATGTTTCATGTCATCAAAAAGTAATGATATTTTAAAAATATTGGTGGAGGATCAGAGATTATTTTAGGACAGCTGTTTTTCCTTGGTTTTAAAACTTTGCAGGAAACTTGAGCCGAACTATTTCAACGCTTTGTGAAGTGATGTTGTGAGGTGTTGGTAAGATAGATGCAAAGACTCAGCTCTTAAAGTGATGTTTTAACTCTTCATTTGGCTGTATTATTATAATGCAGTCTTGAAATAAGCTTTAATCAGATTTCTTGAATGGACCAAAATGCAGGACTTACATTTTCAAGCTTAAACTTTGTAAGGGGAGAGCCTCGACTCATATGTCTCCTGTGCTGGTGGACTATAGTTCATATAACTTGGTAAAACTACCTTTTAGAGGGATTTCCTGTACACAAATACACAGGGCTAGGCAATAAACCGAAAACTTATGACAAGAACTGACGTCATTTTGCCCATATTTGGTGTCAAAAAACGAAATAAATCAAAGTTGGTTTTGGATGTTTGTAGGTAGGCTATGGTCTCATGTCCCTTTTTAGATACCGTCCTACATCAGAGACTTGACTCCTTCCCATCCAGTCCGTAACAAAGAGGGAAAGACAGGTGAGGACATGGAGGACGTTTCTAAAGTTGTAGCAGCTGGAGTAGATGAAGTTAATGTGGGAGGGAGTGAGCAGCTTGTGGAGTAGTTATTGTCCATTTATCATTATCGAGGTGAACTGCTCAATATACCTTGATATTGATTTGAGGCCATATCGCCCAGCCCTAGAGATACATCTTTCAATCCTACTTTCCCTTTTTCCTGGGCGCCCAATAGAGAGATGCAGCTCAGCACTGATGTGGTGTCTCTGTTACTGTAGCTGCGGTGTAAACACTGCGCTGACACGCTGATGAGCTGCAGGGGAATGCGCTCTGTTATGACTGATGCTGCAGAGGCAGTCTGAGCATCTTAAGCCTCACTGCAGCCTATTGTTACCCTCCACACAAAGAGGTGTGTGTATGAGTGTGTGTGTGTGTGTGTGGATGACTGTGTGAGTACCTCATGTCTCAGAAGAGCTGCCCGGCTTTAAGCACAAGAAAGTGTGTGTACAATAATGGCCGTATCAGTCAGTACCAGCCTGTTAGTACAGGTCACTATGTAGCTCTTCTGTCCTGGTCAGCAGAGCGGACCACCCGAGATGAAAGCGTCCACACACACATAAAGACACAGTGAGTCATACTGCAGTCACAGTAGAGACTTTGAGAAAGTGTCTTTCATATTGAAATGAGTGCATGAGTTCACCCAACAATTATTTTATGTCTACTTTTCTCTCATGTTAAAATTAAGTGTTAAAAAATCATCCTATGCCCCAGTCAGGATACGAAACCTCTTCAAAAGGCAAACCCCTCCAAGACAGACTTTCATGTCAATACCAGCAAGTTTCTGTGTCCGTGTGTTTTGTTCACCTAACAATAGGTACGTGTCCGTCCCCCTTCATCTACCTGACACCCCCCTTCCGGGCTAACGTTCCCATTGTCGGCCTGATCATTAGAGCACGTGCAGCTCTTGTGAAGTGATACAGCAGCAATCGTCCTGATGATACCCGTCACTCTCTGCGGGGCGATAATGGCAGCTTGTTTAATGTTGACTTACTGAGTAGAAGCTCACAAAACATACAGGATTCGTTGTCTTTCAGAGTAAAAGCTAACTCAGTTTTGTATTTTTGAACCAGGAAGTCAACTTTTTTTTTAGACCAGGAAAGAAAAGGGTTCATGTTTGGTTATAATGAAAATACTGAAGTACAAACCACAACAATGCCATCATTCATTTGTAAGTAATTCGCCCTTACTTTTACAAGCCTGTTTCCCCCACTACCGCCTGAGTCTGCACACAGAGAACGAAGCACTGACAGAGAAACTCTCACTACAATCACTTTACTTTGAGATTGTCTATCCACAGCTGAATTAGCATGAATTATGACATAATTATAACATGTTGTTGTAAATCTTTGAATATTTTGTAGATCTTTATGAAACTGGTTAAACTCTGAACAGGAACCCCTCTCTGCTAAAATAGTTTGTGTAATGACTGAAACCACAAGCGGTCTGATTATAACATAATGATTTACAGACACATTAAATGAAGAGGGGCCCAGTCGTGGACCACAGAGCAGTGCAGGAATGTTAAAGTGGGATGAATAATTGTGTTGGTTATTCAGTGACTGCTGTGTAAATAGCATCAGTGGACTAGTGTTTGTTACAGAGTGGGCGGAGGGTTTCATGGGTTTATGTCCCGTGTTGCTTAAAGTCCCAATCCCAAAAAAGTGTTCTCAGTGGTCTTTAAACTGTGATTATGACGTTTATAGCCAAAATCATGTTACCTTACCTAAGAGCTTTTCTTCTGCAGAGCTCCAGTAGCTCATCAGCAATTCACCTCTGAGTCGTGAGCAGAGACAGCGCTGCCCTGCACACTCGTCCTCAAGCTAGCTTGCAGCCTAACATTGCTGGTGTAATAGAAAAAACAGGTAACGAAGGTGCTATCCAGCTCTCGGACACTAATGTCTTTAGGGACATGATGAAAGCTAATATCATAACTAGCTTTCTTATGAGCATTTCAATCCAGTAAGGCAGACGCTTGTTCTGTAATTGTACTCTCTTTTTCTCCAAGCCCGGCCTGCATAATGGGGCTCCGGGGGCGGAGCTTGGATTGGTTACATATGAATTCTCACTGTTTCTGATCCTGCCGTTTGGGTCTGCCAGAGATTCACAGCGATTTGAATGCAGAAATACTCAGAAATGCAATTTCACACCTCTTTTCTCATGATATGTCCTCTAACATCAGAAAAATGCCATCTGAACATGTAGACAGCAAGAAAAACATGATTTACATCGGAGAGGGTCTTTAAAAGCTTTCGTGAGGAACTGTTAGTTCTGATGCCCTCTGAAGACAAGGTGGTCATGCACATACTCAAGTTGAAATCTGCTTTCTTTGCATGGTCAAACAAACCATATAGCACCTTAACATGTCTGGTGAAGTCAAGCTACGGTTAAAGCTTGATCAGGCGATTTAACAGACAAATGTTCATTCAACAAATTTATTAAGATAGAAAAATTCCTTTGAGCTGTTCCATCTCGTTTTTGAGGGGGTCCCTCACAAAACACAAATACAGTCCTCTAGACAAATAGAAATATCACATGTACAATACGAAATACGAAACAATAACAACACACAACAAGAACAACAAATAACAGCCTTCGTCTCCACAAAGAAATAGATTATGAAAAAAAAGAATCAACAACACAAATTACATTACAAAGACAGGTAGTGACATAGCGTATCACATTATTTCAAACATTGACAGTCAGGTTTTAAATGTTTGAACAAGTTATTTTTAAATATACAAAGTGAGGACAACAGACGAATGTTCTCGTCCTGGTTTACATGCACTGGACAAGAATCAAATTAGTGACAAAAGCATGTCCCCCTCTGCGACAGGAAGTGATAATTTGCCCCAGTTTAGCTTGTTACTATCAACAGGCATTAGAAATTTCAATATATGTAAACATCAATCTTGTTGCTGGTGGTCCTCTTTGCTTTTGTAGGTTTTAAGGAGGCATCTGTATTGAGTTTAGTCTAATATATAACTGGTTGGAAACACGCTCACAGGAGCTTTAAGGGGGAGATTTAAAAAGTAAGTATGGTGACAGATTTGTCCCAGTTTTCCTGATGGTGGTAAAATATGTGAAATCACATGTAATTTATGACAAAATAAGCTTAAAAAATGGATCTTCAGATCTCGAACCTGTGTTGAACAGAAGCGGTTTGCATACAGAGCTGTTTGGGGGAGGGTCGTGGCTCCACAGAGGGAAGTTTTGTAGTGGGACACTTCTACATTTCTCATGCATGCACACACACAGGAGGGGGAGGGGCAGAGAGTGATGGGAAAAAGTGGGACCCATCAAAAGGTTTGTGAGCTTAGAGGAGTAGAGTGGGGCCGCTCTGTGTGTCTCTGTGTGTGGAAGTGGACTCCTTGTCCTCTCCAGTGTGTGGGCTCAGTTAATAATGGTTCAGCCGTGGCCGGTCAGTCGCTGATGCTGGATTGGGGTCTCATGCATGTTTGAGTGCGTAAATGTTGGCTCGGTGGAGAAAACAGGATATCACATCTCCGGTACATCCATGTTGACTCAGCTTTTATTTTTCTGTGTAATTCATTTGGTTGCAAACTTCAGGGACACGTTGACTACACTCAGTTGGATAGTGTGACGGTTTGTCCCAGTGTTTTATCTTGAGTAGCTACTGGAAGTACAAGCCATTCGTATCTTGACCCGTGTGCAAAATGATGCAAATTAGGTTTCAGATAAGAAGGAAACTCCCAATGCTGGCAAAGTTATTTTGGGCAGAGATAACGCAGCCGCTTAGTTCCTGGATTTCTATGTTACAGCAGCATGTTTTAACTGTAATAAGGTGAGGGAAAAAGCAACTTTAATGTATCCGGCTGTATAAAAACAACTGACATGGTGAGATTGTTGTATCTTTTCCCAAAAATCCACTTTTAGAGTAGATACGGATCTTTGAATCAAGGCTATTTGAGGCAGTAGGCGTTGGTGCATACACAGCTATTAATTTCCCACACTTCGGTAATGTCTAAAACAAACTTGCTGACGGACTGTTTTAGTCGTCTGCGAAGCTGAGGAAAAGCGTGGTTTAAATAAGGTTATGTGTGTTGTATTTGATCGCAGTTCTACCTGTAATTACTCTTAATGGTCGACAAAAAACTGCTTTGATCCAAGAAAAACACAGACTTGTTTTACAAACCTCGACATTAAGAAGAAATGGAGTTGTTTTTGTAGACAGTGCCAGCCGCCTGCACACAGACTAAACTTTGAACAGAGAGAAGAGACCCCTGTTTGGTAGAGGGCTAAAAGTTTAAATAAACAGAGAGAGCGCTCCAGACGAGGTAGGCCAAGGTCGAACCGGCTGGTCGGTGGCTTCGTATGGAATATGCGAAGTCTGGTGGTTGCACACCTGTGAAAACTCCAGAGGGAAGAAATCAAAATCAGCAAAAGAAAGAGAGATACGGCAAATGAAATACTTTTAGGTAAAGCCGACATCCAGAAAAAGAAAAAGAAGCATCATTTCATTTTAGTGGCTGCACTTTGCTGACTTTCCACATGCAGTTTTAAGAAGTGGAGGTTGAGCATCTCGATTGTGGTTTGGTAGCTTTTGTTGTTTTGTTTTTAATGGAAATAAATGTCCAAAAAAACCCTTGTGTCGCTCTCTGACCAGTTTCGTGCCGCCATGTTGCTTCAAAGTAGGGCTGGGCGATATGGGAAAAGGTTTATCACGATATATTTTTTTCATATCAGTCAATATTGATGTATATAACGATATTAAAAAATCACTTGCCAATCTTAAATGTTCCCTGTTACCCTTAAATGAAATCTAACAGTACTTATTGGGAGCATGTCTTTTGCAATATAACAAGCCAATACATCTGTGAAGTCTTTGTGTCTCTTAGACGTTTTGGCGTAAGGTGTTGCGCTAGAGAAAGCGGACTAAATGGTCGGTTCAGTGTGACGCGGACCCTGAGCAACTCCCATTTTCATTGGCTATTCGTAAACATGGCAGAACACCAACTATAGAAAAGCATATTGACCACGTTTTATATCGATATCAAGGGAAATAGATTTTTGATATATCACTATTGTTTCATCGCCCAGCCCTACTTCAAAGTACCCTCTTCATGAGACATGAGAAACAAACATGCCCAAAATGTCGAGAATACAATCAGACAGAGTGTATGAAGAGCTGTTTATTTAGAAAACACAGCAAATACACTTTCTCTTTCTTTACGATCAGATCGTCAGTTTTATTCTGTTTCTAAAAGTCACTTCCATTCGAACATTTTCCATTTCTAATCTGATTAGAAGTCGTCATGTTAACCTGCCAAGTGAAATGCTCAACCTGCACCCGACCTAACCTTTCCAACTATAGAGTCTCGCTCACTTGGAGCTCAAGCTCTGCTCACCAACCAGACAAACTAAAACCACCTACAAATCTCTCTGAAGTCCTTAATCGAATTTGTGTCTTATTGATTCAGTCCACCCTTTAATTTCTAAGAATAAAGATAATCCGAGTCGTCAAAGAGATCACTAAAGACAAAATAAAGAGTCATTGTGCCATGAAAGTCTGTAAACAGAAGCTGCTGCCATGGCGACGGTCCAACTCCTGAGAGAGTTAAGAGAAAATGTCGGGGCTTGGTTTCTTTTTTTTGTCTGTCTTTGTCTGGTTTCTGTTTTTCATCGCGTCTTATTTCCTCTCATCAAGAATAAAATTGCAAGCAGACATCTAATATCTGCAGCGCTGATGCTCTGTTATACAAAAGCTTTGATTTATAGACTTCCTCTTTCTCAATAGTCAATAATTTGATCCAAATGTATTTACTGTAGTTTATCCCTTCAACCCAGAATACTTAATTTAGTCCCGCTAGAGCCCAACTTTTTCAAGCGCATAAGACGCCATTTTTTGCGTTAATTTCTCTGTATTAACACCAAAACCAATGTGCATATCGAATAACTTTGGCAGTAAAATCCATTTCATTTTAAAGCACAGTCTGTGTTGTGTTTCTCTCTGTCTGTGCTGTTGTGACGACTGTCTGCAGGGCCCCCGTCAGCACATCTGGCCACTCTCACACCATGTCCAGAGGGCTCCCGAGAACACGTGCCTATTGTGTATCAGTGTGTATTTTTCGTCCACATGTCCCGATCGCTGGCTGGGATTGTGCAGCAGATGTGTCAACATGCCAGTGCTCAGTCATGGTAGCTGCAGGTTAAAGTTTTGACCCCTCCGCTTTTGATCCCTGTGGAAAAGAGGAAGAGCCACCTCGGTAATTAGCGTCAGCTCCTTTATCCCAGTCAGACCTCACAAAGCTGATTTAGTCCTCAGAGAGTGGATTAGAATAGATCTCTTGATTAGTGCAGATGATTTAGGACTAATTCATTGTGTACGTGCAGCTTTTTCCTCTTTTGCTCATTCATGTCTTGTGTGTGCTGTTCGCTGGATTATAAACTTGCATGCCAGGCATACAATCAAAAGCCCAAAGCATCCTTTTCCTCATTCCAGCAGATCTATTTTGGTCGTGTAGAGGCACTGCGTTAGTGTGCTTTTGTGCCTGTCTTTACACAACATCAGAGTCATTAGGATTGGGTTTGAGTGTGGTCTGCTAGACTCTGGTCTTTGTACCCAGAAACAGAGTGTGGCCTCGGGCTGCTCTGGCTGAGTGAAAGGGACCGCTAAGAAACAACAGGCCTACAGTCCGCCTGAAGAAGACAGCGGCTGTCAGACACGACTCATATCTGTTTTTATTTCTCCTTCGTTATGCATATTTTTTTTTTTTAGCGGCATCTCCACCCTGCAAAAAATTCTCTTTGTTGTAAAAGTGTAACCCGACAGTCTGATCCCCTCCCAAGACTGCTATTTTAGGCCGGTTCTTCTTCTTCTTCTTCTCTTCACATTATATGACTCAATTGTCAAGGCCAAAAGGGGGAGAAAACCACGGCAGACAGTGGGGAGTCAGCCTGACAGTAAGAAAGACAGACAGGCGGAGGGAATGAGGGAGAGAGAGAGGGCAGGTTGAGTCCACCTCCGTTCTGTGGTCTGGCTGCTCATGTACTTCTTGTCGCAGTTCGGTCCAGCAGAAATCTGGGATTTTCTCGGGAAGAAGGGAAACCCGTTCAGGCAGAAGTGTTATGTACTGTTAAAGAAAAAACAGTCAAAGTTTTGGAGTTTTGTGAGCCAAAGACAGACACTTTGATGGCACATCTGGGCCACATTCAGAGGGCAGCTGCATGGGAAAAAGCAGCGCCTTTACAAAGTATCTCCTCTAAAGCAAGTGAGGTGTTCAAGGCCTGGTCAGCGTTGGAAATTTTCCTGCTTGCTGGGAACCCACGTGCGAGTAAAAATAAATCCCTGTCTCTGCTGGGAAAAAGTTCCTCCGCCATAAAACTCCTTTTTAAATTGGTGTGTGTGGGCCTCTCAATAAAATCTGTGTGTGGCCTTTTCTCTGCGTGTCTGCAGACAATGCCAGCCGTACTTTAAGTGTGATGGAGATGCCTGGTGCCTGCCGGGAGCAGGATGAGGCTGCAACAGCCATATCGGACGGGGAGTTGCCTCTCTTTGTGCCGGTGACTGTGGAGCTGCTGCGAACCAGCATGCATGATGCTGTAAATAACGTCATGCAGGTTCTGAAAGGAACAAACATGCAGATCCACACCCATGCTAAACACGCAGCTGGATCTAAGCGTGCACACACACAGTTTCACTACATCGAATTTAAGCATGTTTTTGAGTGTTGGCATGACTAATGTTTGGTAGAAGGTGCACACGTGATTGTTTTCAGGCTGCACCATCAGATGTGTACATTTAACCCATCCTTCGTTGTTGAGGCGTGGGAGGGGTTTTAATTAAACTTGTAAGGGTCTGTTGTTTGGCAAAACTTTATTGTGTTTGTGTTTCCTAAGTCCTTGCTTTCATTTTGGTTTACGACCTCGCTTTGAACCCCCGCCCCTACCCCCCACCCTCCCCTCACAATGAAGTTTCCAGACAGACATTGTGGGACAGGAGAGACTGCTCCTTCTATCATCCCTTTAGTCGCCCCTTTTTTTAAAACTACAATTTCAGGCATTTGTTTCAAAAGTTCTGCATCTGGTTTGTAGAAAACTTGTCTTTCCAACTGAACTGCTCAAATGTTCTCTTCCAGTGTTTTGATGAGCAAATTTCCTCACGGATGCATCTGATTTGCAGTTCTTCATGTTGGTTACACACATCTGCTCTCAATACATCGATGCCATCACACTCTGATACACTTTTGTCTACGACTGCTCTGACTCTCAAAAACTCAGTGGCTGAGCTGAAATTGACCTCATCCTGCATCAAAATAACTCGCTCTGGAAGTTGACCGCTGGATGTGATGGATAGAGACAGTCCTTCTGGGACAAACAAACAACTTCCTCAGACACCACCGCTGCCGTGGCCACTCCCCAGCTGTGTGAGCTTTCAAAGAGGCAAAAACAAACTCCAAATACTTCCGCGCCTTTTTATCGTTCCTCTGGCTTACGGCTTGAAAGTGGAATGAGATCCTGTCACATGTTTGACTTTGAGTTTCCAACTGTGTCAGGGTGTGCGTTCATTCCTGTTTGCGGCTGGTTATTGTGTGTTGTCATAATCAGAAGAGGAAGGGTTTCCTCCATATACTAAGACTGTTGTGATTTTTTAAAAATGGGATTTACCCTTTAAGACTTTCAGTTTACATACATCCCCAAATCTCCATTCAGAACTTGTGCCTCATTTTTGTTTTAGCCTTTTTCATAAACATTTGAAATCTGTATTTGTGTCAAACTGACAGCTGAAGGGCTCAGACTTGTTAAAAAATGTACCCTCCATTTGTTCAAACATTGAAACTAAATTGTGGAAGTTCTTTTTTAAGACCTATTCGCTTAGTTTTGAGCCTCAAACTAAGTGGCTTGTAAGCCTAGCTAGTTTTTATCCTCTTTGCACTTAATTAGGGTGACCATACATCCTCTTTTACCCGGACATGTCCTCTCTTTTGGGAGCTGTCCAGGCTTGTCTGGCTCTGTACAAGGAAGTTTATAAAATCCTTATAATGTCCGCGGTTTTGTATGGAAGTTTCGGGTTGTTGTCACGTAGACTTACTGAGTTAGAATTGCGTAAAAGACTCAAAATTAACTTTGTGCGAATCCGTGACTCCGCCCCTACGTAGTTGTGTCCTCTTTATGGGAAATCAGAGAAAGGTCACCTTAAAAATTCATTAAACGGAGACGGTTTTTCCTAGTCGCAGTACTATATGTTCATTTAAAACACTTTATTGATGACATGGACTTTCCGTATGAGTATTGTGGTTCACTACATTATGCACTTGTAGCTAGGCCTACAACATTAATCGCTTCAAACTAAAAAACTTTCAAAAGTATTACCTCCCAAGTCTAAAAGTTTTCTTCATGGCTGGCTGTGACAGACCCAGAATGGTTCTGCTCTTATCGGGATAAACTGTGTGTTTTGGCCAAAAGTGAATGTTTATCCCTGGCTGAACACACTTGGCAAGAGAAAGTGTAACCGTTTACTAAACGACTGATGAACTGGTGTGCACAAGTTAAACCACAAGTTCTTTTTGTGTGAGTGTGTGCATATAATAAAGTTTATCCACTTTATCATTCATAATCCTCCAAAGAAGAATATCTCAATGCTGCAAAACTGGTTCAGGTTACTCTATTTGTACCCGCAGGTTGATTTGTTTTGCAATAAAAGATGTATTGCAAAACAAATTATATAAGTATACATAATAATATCTAATTAATTGAAATGCTTGTAAAGAGGTGAGTGCAGGATCGGGGTATTTTCTCACTGCACTTTGGCTCAGATTCACTATGTTGAAAAATTGACAGAAATGTCGAACGAATGAGAATTAGTGATAAACAATACTCATTAAAGAAACCTGAATAACCTTAGCCATGTCTTTCTCAGTCGGCCCCCATATGCATTTTCTATTGGTTAGTGAAATGGGCTGGAAATTATTTAGTTATTAAGGCTCTGTTAAGTCCACCTGTAGCAGGTGAGCAAAAACTCTCTTTGCAAACTGTAACACATTGACTCAGATCATCATTAGAGCTGAATAACTTGCTTATTACGTATTCATCTTGGTTTTAAAAGTGACTATTGCCTCCTTCAGCTTAATTTTGCTGCTGTCCAACATTGCGCTGTCTTTTCCAGGCATTATGCAGCTGTTATTATCTCCTTAAATAATAATTTTAATAAACAATAAACTGATTCAGTATTTCTCTAAGTATGTAATTTGCACTATTGCAAGGAGTCATGAAGAAGTGACGCAGTGAGTCAGATTAGCAGAGTATTGCATGAAGTGCTGTTTTCAGTATTACATGCATGATTGGCCACAAGGTATTGATAGTTGTATCCCACAGGTTGGGTTAGTGATATATCGCCATATTGGTCATTTGTACCTCCCCTTACTCATTAAAGAAAGTTTGAAATGAAAAACACTTCTGTTACAGACACTTGGCTTACTTTGTTAAAGCGGTTTACCTGTCCAGCAGAAAGGTTACACGGTCTGTAAGATCCCGAAGCGTCCCCCATCGTTTATGCCAAGTTGACCTGTCTTTTTAGCTCTTGCCCAGCTTTTTAAGCGCCCGTTGTTCCGCCAGAGTCTCTGGTATTTACTTCACTTTCTTGCTGATGTTGGCAGTCATGGTCAAAGGAGGATTCAGACAATTTTCCGTACTTTCTGGTTGGTTTCTACTGTCCGATATTGTAGCACGCTAACTTTGTTTGGGCTTGTGAATGACTCAGGGGAGCAGCGTCTGCCTCACAACCAATCAGGTTGGGGGAGGCAGAAAATGGCTTTGTTTACAGTCAGAAAGAGCGGGACACTCAAAAAATGTAAAATGTTGATGACACAGACATAACAAAACAGCGATATCGTTATATTACCAATTGTCATCAATAACTAAAAGCTACTGACTGATATCAAAAGCTTTTTTGTATATACACCTAGGCCTGTCACGATAACAAATTTTGCTGGACGATAATTGTGCTACAAATTATTGCCGATAAACGATATTATTGACACCGTTTTTTAAATTATAGATAATGATATTAAATGGCATAATAATGCGACTACACCGTGTCAAAAGTGATAAACTTTAATTTCACCCACGACGAAGACGTAACGTTGACGAGCTAAACATATGTCGGAGATGACTAAAATGTGACGAGACGAAAGTGCGTTTACGTTGATGGGACGAGATGAAAATGACGAACAGAGTTGCAAAACTCAGTCAGTTAAACGCTAAACATATAGGAGCAGCTTCAGTCCGCTCTGACAGCTCTCATCAGCCTGCTGTGCTCCTCCAACACAGACACACACACGTGCGCGCGCACACACGTGGAGTTTTGTGGTTGACGAAAACAAAACTAGTTTAAAGCCGAAATATTCCCACACTTGGGCTGTTGCGTTCGGTTTAGACACCAAAGCTGTCGTGTTCATTCTGTTAGCTTGCTTTTCACTCACGACGCTCACTTGCAGCACTGTATCCAAAAGTCCGTGTCTGTGTGCCTGTGCGCGCCAGCCCCCTCGTGACAAAGACAATGAATGACTGACAGGAGGTTTCACTAACTCCGTTCATTCAGCTATAGAGCCAACGCCCCCAGGTGCCGAGAAAAATGCGCAGAGTGAGACCTCTTCTCTCAACCAGCGTGTTTGGTAGCGAGAGAGGAGGAAAACAAACGCACGTCAATTATCGAGGCTGGCAAAATGACCAACCTCGTTTTTATTTATCGAGCGATAAGGCGATTTATTGATTATCGCGACAGGCCTATATACACCACAAAAAAATATGCTTCTTTAACAGATTCCTGCCTAACCCCACCTTTAGATTGAGTATGGTTTCTGAATTACATCAAGATTTAATTTACCAATATAAGAGTGGACTTTCTCAGACAGGCCAGAGACGAGTCTGAGAGTAGCAGAATAAGATCATGCAGTGGAAAATTCCCAGGCCCAGTTTAGATCGGAGCCGTGAGTGAAGTGAGGAAAGAGGGTGAAGATTTGGGGTTAGGCAGAGTGGGGGAATATGCATGCTGGGTGGATGTTAGTGGGTTTTTGAGGGAGGAGTTGCTGGTTTGTACAGAGACAGCTCGCTGCGAGTCTGCTTACTGCAGTTCCTCTTTAATTACAGCTCTACTGTGGGACAAGGCCAGGCATGCTATGTGTGTAAGGCTGCAAAACTAGCACAGATTCACACATACAGATGAAATGAGCACAAATACAAACCTGTCCTGTGGCCAAATTCGGCTTTAGATAACATCTTCAAATCCTTCGACTGGGAAACAGTTTAGAGTCTTTCAGCAGCTTTTGAGACTCTGTATTGGTTTTCAGTGGATGTCTTATCTTAATAATAGTGAAAAACGCCTAATACACAGGTCATCATTGCTCGATAAACTGGAAATGGACTGAAATACAACATTTGGCTTTTTGGCCCAAGCGAGTTGACAAGTGCATGGTAGCTAGCACACCATGTGCCTCTGCAACAGCTTATTTTGGGAGTCCATAATTACAAAGGAGGGACTGACTGTGCTTCACAACAGCTCAGCCGCAGTATACACACTCCCCACTGGCAGGGTTTGCTACAGATACACCCAGCTCAATGCAGCTTGGCTATACCAAACAAGTGCATGCTAACTGCTAATGCTAGTCTGAAGTTTGGCAAGTAGAAATTGTTTATCTGCCCCAAACTTTGTGGCGAAAGTGAGATTCAGAAATCTTTTTTTCTGTTTGTTGAGCTCGCAGCATTTGATGCTCATGGTAAAAAGGTGTGCTCAACTTTGCAGCATGTGTTATCATCTTTCTTTGCCTCATTTTTATGACCCTGTTCAGAGGTTTACAGGGGTAAAATCCATCCAGAACTGGTTCTTCTCAGCGTTGAAGAGCTGTGTAACAAGTGCACTATATGAGGAATGCACAAACTGAAAGTGTGCAAACTCACTAATGTGATAATATGCAACATATACACACTGGAGAGTGATGATGTGTTTGCCATGAAGAAGGCATGTTAATGTCTCACTGAGATAACCCGATACGGTCTCAGAGAGGGAGTTCACTGTTTTCTCAGGGTTGTTTACTCTCCTGATATTACCATGGGACCAGACCACAGTCTGAAAATAAGGCGTCATTTAGTTCCTGTTTATTTTGATCCCTTTTACTTGTAATCATCACGTACGTAACACTTTACTTGACGCCTCTCTCTATAACGCATTATAAACATATTTATAATGCGTTATAATCGCGTGATAGCACTGTATAACTGTAGTTATAAACACTCATAAATGATCATAATGCTTTATAGCAAGAATCATAACACATTATAAAGTATTTTATCATGACTTACATTATAATACCTGACCTTGTAAGTCATGATAAATGCTTTATAATGTGTTATGATTATTGCTATAAAGCATTATGATCATTTATGAGTGTTTATAACTATAGTTTTACAATGCTGTAACGTGATTATAATGCATTATAAATATGTTTATAATGAGTTATAGAGATAGGCGTCAAGTAAATTGTTACCGTTTGTTTTAATATTTCACCTTTTTTCTGAAATACGCCTTTTCTACTTTTTTTAACAACTTGCAACAGGATCAACCTCGAGCAATAAAAGGAACAACTACAAAGCTGAAGACGGTCATATATAGGTCATGAGGCTAAGACAATGAGACAAGCTGTCATGCCCCTCAACACTCCGACAATTGTTGAGCCTAAACTTACTCAGGAGTGATTTGATTGGTTAGAACGCTGCCAGAGGTGCTTATGATTGGCTGTCTCAAATCAGCAGAGCTGGCTGTGAGCTTGACAGAAGCTGTGTCAAACTTCAAAGTCAACCCCAAAGAGGATTACAAGCATGCATGTGATTTCTAGTTTACGCATGGTGTGATAGATTACTTTTTAAAGCGTGCGTACATGGATAATTTGGGTTCTTTGTCTTGAAAAGAAGCCTCTTTTGCGTATCTCACAGTCACATTTCATAAAACCGTTGACTGTTTTTCATTGAGACTGTTTTGGATGACTGCAGGATGATTGTACCCAACGTAAAAACATCACACTTGCTCTTTGTCTTGCTTTCACGTGAGACATACAACTTAACAGAAGAGCTATAAGATGCTGCCCCTTCTTCCACCCAACTACCCGCCCACTCACCCACGCTCTCCCCTCCTTTGCAGTCATGTGGGCCATGAGTTGGTGGTCGAATCAGGCCAACTCAGCACTTCAGGATGGGAGAGGAAGGAAAGGAATGGAGGAGGGGAGGAATGAGCCCTGACTCCTACCCTAACATGAATTGTGTCCTAGAGACTCACTGAAACAATGAGTACTGACAGCTCATGTGGAAACACTCCCACTGACAGTTTTGACATAGTGTGTGTGTGTGTGAGTGCATGTGTGTGTGTGTTTGTGCGGGAGAGAGGAGAGGGGAGTGATTTGGCTGAAGAGACAAGATGAAGTAAAGTACAAATGGAGTCATTGGAGCAAAGCAGGAGCAGGAAGAGGTGAGGATGTGTGTCACCACACACAGGAAGTGTTGTGTTATGCTGTGTGGTTGTGTAAGGGAGGGTGTTGGTGTTTTCAGGTGCAGGGAAGGATGGGACTCAGGCCTGTCCAAGCTTGTAGAGCATTAACCAAGTCACAAAAAGAGAAGCGAGGGGGCACACCTGGAGGCCAGGAAGGGGCTTTTCACTGACCCCTTGTGCATGACTGAGTAGGGGGTCAATGAGGGAGCTCAGGTTTAGAGGAGGGTACACAAACCAGTGCTGGACTGAAGGACTAAGAATGGTCATGTCCAAACAGCTAAAATAAAAATGGGCAAGAGGCCGATGCACAGCCAAAAATATCGTGTTTTTTTATGAGAAATCATGCACACTTGACTGCCCAAGCTTTTAAATAGACGTGCCAGAGTGTAGCTGCACTCTTGGCTGCTTGTCTAAGGATAAAAAAGACTCTATTCAACCTTTTCTCTGGCCACTTCTGAGCTGAGTTGTATTTGGATGGATTGTTTTTCCTGCCCTCAGTGTGAATGAGATGAATGTCTCCAGAGGCAGCTTCAAAACAAAGAATCATTTTTCCTGTGGGTTGCTGGAAAACCTTCCCAGCAAGACACCCTCTGCGAAATGGACAATCTTGATCTCACATTTCGGCTATTTACAACATCTGAAACCAAATGTGGCCCCTGTTTATAAAAGGAAATTGGTCCATTTTCATATCTGCATGTGTGCCGACTTGCCCGGCCATTGGATCTCCTCACCTGTCTGCCCAAAAGCCACATACTTCAGCACTTTTTGTGTGCTCTGTTGTTTTAGTGTGTGTGTGTGGCGGTGAATGAGGGCAGAGATCCAGTAATCCTCCTCGTCTGCTTGTTGTCTGCCACCTGCAGCTGATAAAAGATTAGAAAGTGACTTCAGTTCAGTGTGGCAGCAAAAGGTTAAGAAGGATGAAGGTTACAAAACAGGCCTTGCAGAGATCATTTCAGGTTTTGAGATACTTATAAACAGATCTTGACCTGTAAATGACCCAGGACCAAACTGTGAGAAGTGTAATCCGCTCAAACTAGCCAACATCCTTCAAAAGTTTTAATGCTTTTTATCAGATCAAAGCACATAATTTTATATTGATAATAACTTTATTTATAGCCCTTTTCAAAACAGATACAAATAGTTTAATATTGCTGGGTCTCACTTGAAATGTCATGCTGCTCCAGCTGCTATAAAAAGTTTTTGACCTTTTCAAGCGTCTTAAAACTTGTTCCCATTTGTTGCCTGGACTTTTTTCCTCTTTTTGCAGCGCATGTTCTGCAAATTGTAATTGCAGTATTCTCCTTTGAGACAGAAAAATATACACATGATGCCATTTTTCATCTCCAGTCAGCATGTTCCTTGTTCTTCCTCTCTGCATGTACAGCTGGATCTCCTTCAGCCACCTGGTGTATCAGAATGAGTAGACTTTGCACCCAAACGAAAGCAGCTATTTTTTTTTTTTGCTTTTGTTTTTGCAGTAGAACAAAAAGAAATTATATATATATATATGCATCCCTAGTATCAGTGCTTGTTGTTTTAGTTTATCACTTATGTATAAATCAATGAACTAATAAGGGATGTGTACATTTTGTTTGCTGGGTTTAGTTTAGTTTTCGGATGTTCGTCTCTTGAGAGCATCTCCAGAACAAATGTTGAAGTGTCCAAATATACAAACCAAATCTTAGTGTTTAAGTTCAATGAAGTGTTTTTAATCTTACCCTCTTTAACAAAACAACCACTTTCAAAGCTTTTTATGGTAGTCAAATAAACCTGTTCCCAACAGTTTTAATTACATGAATCATTTAGCGTAAGTATCTTCATTTTATTTACAGCGAAACTGTCTGAACAAGTTATTACGATTGAGCCGTATTCCCCTCTGTTTACACCAGAATTAATATTCACACAGGACTCATAAACAGAGATCTCTTCATTAAGCAACGTGGAGCTAATCCAATAAGGAGCATTTGTTTTTCCAGCCTGAGGCTCATTAAACATGAATTTATAGTAGAAAGAGATAAACGCTGCCAAGTTAGTGTTTTTGAGAGTGAAAGGAAATGATTTTGTAGTTATTAAGATGTTGCCGTTGTGTCTCTTTATAAGGAGGTAAATATAGAAAGACAGGATGGTTATCATAAAAGTACAGTACATCTGTCGTTTCCTGATAATTAATGTATTCCTCCCTGTACACAGGCATGCAAACACACATACACCTAAAGACTAAAGTTGACTCTCATAAGCAGAAGGCCAGACAGGTGGCAAGGATGCAAGTCCAAGTCTGCTGCTGCTGTGACTGGTGTCTCTACGGCTCTACCAGATTTGGTTCTATATGATACCTTCTTTGCCAAACAGCCTTTTATTCATTTATCGTTTATTACATGGTTTAATTTTGGCATTCAACTCTTGATTGCCCTCATTAAAATAAAGAATTTTTGCATCTTATTCATCCAACTATAGAAAGATTTCCATTCGACGTATTGACTGTATATCTTTACGTAACCGTGAAGGCAGCACTGGTACCTGTGGACCAGATGGCAGCAGACTCTGTGCAGCTTATATCAACACCATGTGTTTTCTTGCTTAGGAACATGCATATGATCAACAGAGAGGCAGCTGCATTAAAGCAGAAGCAGAAGTTAGTTATATGCAAAAGAGAAAAAAAGGGAGAATTAAAGGTTAGTGAACCTCAAAAAGCACTTTTTTCTGAGACGGAGAGGGAGGAACTCCAGATGAAGTGGAGCTTTTTTCCTTTTGAAAAGGTTGTAGGAATGTAGGACCTGTCGACTCCTTCGCTCTCCTCCACCTCCCTCTTTGATGTTCACCCCCTCCCCTCTTCTGCTAAACATCACACACACACACTAACACAGGTTAATCTCCTTATGTAAGCACACACACTCTTCCGCTCCCCTCTCTTTAAATACCTTTCCCTTTGTCTTAACCCCTCTTCTCCCTCTGAGCCGACTGTGTATCTCTTATTAAAGTTGCAGTTCATGTGGCATGTTGATTGTGCGTCTGGTTAATGGGGGTGGGTGATACCTGCAGTGAATGTTAAACCTGTGACTCCCTCTCAGCCCCACCCAACCATACAGGCCCAGCAAGCCAGAGTGGAGCAGACGAGGCAGCTTGGTTTAACTTGTCCCAGATGTGCAGCGCGGCCCCTGTGTGCGCTGCTGTAGCTGCTGCTGCTGCTGAAATAAGCGCAGGGAGGGGAGGAATGGTGGGGCTGAGTGCAAAGTGCTGCCCAGCATTAAGATGCATGCAGACATTTGTGTATTTTCCTCATAGTCACTTGAAGACTGGTTTAACCAGAGTCTCACCCGGCTCTTCTTGGACAGTTTTAAACTCAAGAGCGAATATTGACACATAGAGTCTGTCTTTTCTATCATCTCTTTTGGAACAAGCTGGTTAAAGTACTTGACATGAATCATAATGGTTTTCATAATGGTGTATGATATAGTTAGTTCATCAGTTTGGAGAAAACGACTTGTTACAGCAGTGCAGCAGTGTTGAATATAGAATAAGGAGGAATAAGGTTGCTCAGTTTGACCTGCATGTGCTTTGTGTTGTGCGTACTGGCTCGTATGTTGATGTTGAAGCTTCAGAATCTCTACTGAAGTCAAAGCAGAAATACATCAGCACAAATGCACTCTGTTACCAGTAAGTTATGTTCTCTCAAATTAAATTATCCTGTTAAATTGAATTGGATAATTTGATTTAACAAAACCCAATTAAAATTAAAGAGAAACTAAAGAGAAAAAGCGCTTACAACATAAGTGCTGCATTTTTTTGAATCATTGATGCTTTAACTTGTAAAGAAAAAAATACACATTATGCATACAGTCAATTTTTAGGTGTCATATAATACAATATATGAGATATGTGATCCATGCAAACAGCAGATTTCAATGCAGAAGCACAGGAAACCTTGAACACTGATGCTGCGTTCGAGTTACTTTTGCTTTTGCTTTTTTCTGACTTGGTAACTGAAACGCTGGTAACTCGAGTGTGACGTCATTTTCAGCTCGTACTTCTGACTTCCAAGGTAACTCGAATGCAGCATGAGTCCCAAAAAAGCAGATTTTAGAGCTTTAAAAAAAACATGTTTGCAGCTTGGCTCAAAACCGGTTTTGGTCTGAGTAGCTTGAGGCTCCCACATCACCTACTGTTTGGGGAGTTGTTTTTTCTTCCTTTTTGGAGTGCATTCATTTGAAAGATATTAGGGTTACACGATCGGCCAATCAGAGACACAACTGACTTGACCTGCAGGCAGGCACACTGCAGCTGTTGGAGAAGTGAGGAGCGCTCAGAATTAATGGTTCTGGAAGTTTTCAGGGCCAAAAGCAGAATTAAAGGACTCAGGCCTGAACAATGGATTCATATTTTAGTCCTCAACAGGGAACTTACCAACTTTTGTATGTAAATATGTCGACATTTATATTTAAACTTCTAAATATGGAGCACCGCTTGCCCAGCAGTCTGTGCACAGTCTCATATACTGAGGTTATGATCCTCATGTGGGCGGCCCGGGTACAATTCCAGCCTGTGGCCTCTTTCCTACATGTCACTACCTGCTCTTACTCCCTATTTCTCACTCTATCCACTATCCTAATGTTGCCAATTTTACATCACACAAGTTTAAATGATAGTGTACCCCCACTCCAACCTCTAATCTTGAGCAAAGTGATGGAAAATATCAGTGTCTTGTACTTACTTCAAAACAAAGGCAGACTTTGTAAAGTAAAGGAACAGCGAACATCGACTGTTACTGTCTATCATATCCTGTAAGTTCTGTCTTTGTATGCACCAAACCAAGCATGCACAGGATCAGAGACTCTTTCACTAAGTGTTAATCCAAACCCTCTGCGCAGCTGTTGATTATAAGCAGGTCGGTTTATCAAGCAATTCCAAATTTCCACCCAGGCCCTGCCTTAACCACCTCTGCAAGAATGTGAAATATGTTAGCATGTTTAAAAAAAAAAAAGAAAGAAAGGGGAAATGTTCGTCTTTATTCAGCCTGGATTCTTTTTTTTCCATGTTAGTGTTAGCTAAATGTCTTGGCAGCAATCGGCCCCTAAACACACAGATAGACTTTCCGGCTGTCTCTGCTGGGACTAAGAAGAGACGTCCAAGAAAACTGATTGTTTTGGTTCATTCCTTACATTTATGTGTGTACGTCTTTTTTTTGGAAAGGCTCCACATGCACTTTTTTTTACGCTTACTAATGTAAAAGTTGTCCTGGAGGCTCACACGTCGGGGGAGAGTTGCCCGTTTTGCCTGTTTTTAGTGTTTGTGCAGCTTATTTACATGGGAGAGGAATGTAGAAATTTGTTATTCAACTGCTTTTCTGTTCTTGGATGTGTGTGTGTAACCACTAAAGACACGAAAACCAACTTTCTAGAAACCACGCTATGAGGAGAAAGCAACACAAAACCCCTCTGCATTCCATTAAATTGTGTCTTTTCTAATGCAAACCGGCCATAAAATGCAAATGTGGCGAAAGGGGAAATGTGTCAATGGACATCCACGCTTACTGTACTGTTTCGTACAAAGAGCTGTCTGGTTTCATCCTGCATGGTTGTACTCTGTCATGTGCTGTTTCATCTCGTTCTACTTTCTGCCATATTCCTGTTCGCCCAGAAAGTGGGGGGGGCGTCCAGCTGTGTGAACGTGTGTGTGTGTGTCTGTGGGGCCCAGAAATGGAGCCCACTGCCACAGCATCCAGTGACCTAATGCAAAAGGCAGCAGAGTCTAGGACTATTCACCATTCAGTGTGTGTTTGTGCACGCTCATGTGTGTATATGTGTCTCGTCCCTCACTCTCTCCAGTGATTATGGTCTCTGCTGTCACTAAGCACTTTGTCACGCTCGGCTGAAAACCATGATGGGGGCTGGGGGGTTGTTGGGGTGCAGGAATGTCACTAACATGGATGGACTGTAGCTGCCAGTTGACAGAGGAGCAGGCCAGAGGTCACAGGCTGTAGTTTTAGCACACAGGAGCAAACTGATGAATATAAATCCTCAATATTCTCTGAAAAAAAAACTGTTTTCATATAAACCCCACCTGCAGTTACAATTGAATGCATACTCTAAAATGTGAATATCTAAATCTAACATAAAGTTGTTTTTATAGCCGGGGGTCTTGACAGCAGTTGGCTTCTGAGTGAAAGGAATGCATGTTTGTGAGTTTCTGAGCCGGGCTGGTTCGTTTGTGGGTCATGTAACTGTGTAAAAATACCTGTATCATTACCAGGGGTCACATTGCAAAAGGGCCACCTCTAAAACTGTTAGCATGGTGTGGACGTTGTCACTTTCACTTAAAGTCTTACTCGTACATGTTAACAAGACTTTTAAATTATGCACAATCAAGACGCCACCTTTTTAAAACTCGTAAAATCCTTGAAAGTCTTAGCTGAGGTTTCCCGACAGATAGATACAGTATGTTCCTGCAAATACTCTCCACCAAGCATGAACATTTCGACATCATGCATGCAGAAAATGTGAATAAGCACTTTCTAATGCCGTGAAAAATGATCATGACTCTCTGCTCTTTTCCAGCACTCCCTGTTGTGTTTTTTTTTTGTGATGTTTTCTTTGCCAACATAGGTAAACCAAAGGTGCTCAGAATAGCATGCCAACTTTCGGAAAGCCCTGTGTGAAATATCACACATCAAGGCGGCCCCCTAACACCTCTTCAAACACCGCAGGTCTGGACTAGAGCTCAGTGATTATGCTGCAGCTGAAAGAAACCAAAACCAAACCAAAAATGGGGTTTTCTGTCCGTTCCTGTAGAGGCAGAATCAATTTTGTGTGTGCTTGTGTGTGATACATATTTAACACCCAAGCTTCCAGAGTGACAAACATGATAAATGATCACACAGATTCCTGGAGTCATCCGTGTTCCGCTCAGAAGTAAAATAACCGAAGCATCAGAGGGGATTTGAAGCACTCAGTCCAAACAGATCTGTGTCTTTGATTTGGTTCATTTCCATCATCTCTTCAGCTTCTGTTTACAGTCGAGTCAAGTCAGCGGTGAATGTAAGAAGACCTGCCAGGAACAAGTGTGCAGAGGGGCCCTAATGGCTGATCATAAAACTCTTTAGATTCCTGTCTTTTATGGGAGATGGGAGAAAAGCAGTAGGACTTTAAAGAGCCTCCACCTCACAGCTTTGGTTAAATAGACGTCGGCTTCACTGGAACAAAGACTGTTTTTCCTCTGCTTTCCTTTGCTTTGTAAGCACAAGAACAGCATGAGGTGTTAGCTGGCTTTTTAATTGGTCTGTTTTTTTCCCCTCCTTGTTGCAGCAGTATGAGACAAAACGCTAATATAACAGGGTTCCTTTTAGTTCGATTTACCACGGTGTTTCTGCAAAAAGGATTAAGTTATGCAATACACAGCTGGCATATTGTTAAACAGTATCATAGCTACTGAAATGGCAAAATTACTGACGTTCAGTTCAAAGCAGCCCACCGTGCCTGTCCTGAGAAGTTTCGCAGCCTCGTCAGAGATAGCTCCAACTGCATTCAACACCGCATTCCTCATGTGTCATGCACACACATGCAGACTCATGCACACAGCCAGGAGTCACTCAGGAGCCACCTTTCCACCCCTGACCCTTTCCACCCCGAGCGTGTGTGTGTGGGGGGTGTTTTCGAGCATCATGAGGTTTATGGCTCCGGTATTCTACAAATAAAACACTATTTTTGTTTCACTTTTAACTAATATTGCAACACTGAATTTAAGACTACGGTGTAAGAAGGCATGGCATTGTGAAATCGGGTGCCAAATTGTGAGGCTCTTTCTGTAAGCTGTAAAGTTTTTCCATCGCTGTTGGCATTTATCTTCCACACTGGCTGCAGTTGCAGTTAGATTCCCTGACCTTAAGTCTTGAACAAACTAAAGTTGAGGGTAAATGCAAACAGCTGGTGCGTGCATGGATCCTTCAGTGTGTTTTCAGCTTATGTGTCTCTTAAACTGTCCTTCCATATTCCACGCTGTGATCTGTAATTTACATTAGACGGTGGATAGACTTGTGGAAATATTGAGCCGCTGCTAATTGAAGCACAAAGCTTCCCTAACAGGCTTTGATCTGAGTTGCCTTTTAGCCCGAAATGCCTGGCAGCGACCCGACAGTCTTTGATTACCGGGGTTCACGTCAGCTTACCCATGATGCTTCAGTGCAGCAGGGATTAGGTTTGTCAGGAGTTGTTACCATAACCTTTGTGTGATCAGCCGGAACGTGCTCACGTCGTTTAGCTTTGTGTTTCCATCTCTGATTGTGTGTATAAGTGTGTGTGTGTCGGACTGGGTAAGAGCTAGAAAGCTGTGACACCTGATAGCTCATAATTACCGAGCCTCTTTGAAGTTATCAGTGACTTTTCGTGAGATTTGAGCAGATTATGGAGAAAAAAACTGTAATTCAAAGAACAGAGTCCTGCAATTCCTGGACCAGTACTGCAGACTCACATTTATTGTATCATGAAGTGTGTCCACTGGGTAGCAGAGAACTAAATGTCCAACTTTGCAATGGAAAAAAAAAAAAACTCTCTTCAGTCTAATAAGTGCGCTGGTCCTGAATATTAAACCCCCGATATGCAGTCAGACGCAGACAGTTTTCCTGCTGCTCTGACTGGACATTTTGATTTGTTTAGCATCTCCACTGCAATCACACAGTGTCCCTGACGCAACTTCATATGTGCTGGAAACATGAATGCCTAACTTTAGTCTTTCTCGATTAGTTTGGCTAAAATTTGTGACTTCTGATTGCTTCTTTTGTTGAGTTTTAAGCCCCAACCAAACAGATGGCATGGCATTGTCATCTAATCGAGTATTCTTCCAGCTTAAGTTCACTTAAAGGTTTTATGTAGTATTCCTGTTTACATGTGGAATTAACTTCTACAATCGGACCTATTTATGGGACCCATTCTGATTACTGTGTCTTGGAGCAATAGCCGACTTTGCAAACAATCAGGTGTAGCCAGAGGTGTGTTATAAAGGACGAAGACTCCTTTCCCTACATGGGTCAAGGGTGGACAGATAATTGGCTTTGGCTGATAGAAGCACACAGTTGTATGCAGTTGCATCACAAACAGCGGTGTGACATAACAAGTAAACTGTTTAACGCCTGTTTAGGTTTTTAATAGTTCTGATTTCATAATGATAGAAAAATGATGTGCATGTAATCTAACTATGTAATACCAGTGTTTACAGCAGCATATTTGGGAGGTACAAGTTTAAAGGGATATTCCGGCATAAAATTAACACACACTGTAACACAGAGTTAGACACCCAAGAGATGAATGTTGCCAACCGCTTGCTGTATGGAGACCTCCGGGCGAGTCCATCGACTGCAGCGGGGGAAGCAGCTCAAGGAAGAACATTTATGATCATTTCCTTTGAAGTAATAATCATCATATTAATCATTTTGCTCTGCAGACGCGGTAGTTCTTCTGCCTTAGTGTCTCAGTCTGATTACATTTCCATGAAGAAATTATCATAAATGTTCTTCCTTGAGCTGCGTCCCCCCGCTGCAGTTGATGGACTTGCCCAGGGGTCTCTGTACAAACAAGCGCTGCTGGAAGAGAGTAGGTGAGTTGTGTTTAGCTTCATTTGATTTCTTGCTTACAACCAAACTGATAAATTATTAGATGTCGTGGCTTGTATCACAAATAGATCCAATACCAAAATATGGTCCACACCTACAGATTCTGTATTTCTATCTGAAATCTGCCCAGATTAAGCCCCTGCTCATCTCAACTTTCCCCTTCCCTCTCCAGATCAAACACACCCCACGCCTCCTGCATTTGGAGATCTCTTAAAACAAATTACACCAGCGTGGGCTTCCTTATGGGATTTGTAGTTCAGCTGTGAGACATCTGCCCCGGTGATGTGGTAAAGCGTCGGTTTCAGACTAAGGCGAGGGTGTGGATGGCGGAGGGTGTTGTGTCGTAGACCTGTAATGAGGCTCTGCAGTGATCCCCTCAAACATGGTTCCCATCAGAGGAGACTTGCACTTGTGGCAGAAATTCCAGCCCTGTAGCAAATGCCTTGTCTGGATTCAATCAAGTTGGCTCCTGACGCTGCATGCACAGAAAACCGAGAATACTATGCGCTTTAAAGTGTGATGATATGCAGAGGCTTTGCTGTAAATGTCGAATTGAAAAAGTCTGAATTTTAAAGCAGTGGAAGTTGATAAGAAGCATTTTTCAGGCTATTTCTTCATCTGGTGTAATGTGTTTTTGGCAGAGAAGTCTAGTCTGAGTTTGTAAACACTTAACAGAATTATTTCATGCTGCGCCAAGAGACGTCAATCTACATTTTCACAAATACAATTATCTTTTGTTTGGTCTTTATCACTGCTGACACCCAAAACCGCTTCTTTCACCTGACAATGAGGATGATCACAACCCACTAGACCCTTCAGTCCTGTAGTAAAACATGCTGCATAGTCAGGGTGCTTCTCAGGAGGAGCTGGAAGGAGAAAACATACATTAATGTTGAATCAGCATTGCATAAGGAGTCACATGGCAGACGTCCACACTCCGCGCTCCTCTCCGAGACACCGTGTTTGTTTCAGTTTTCTCTCCGCTCCGCGCTGTTCCTTTTGAAGACGGAGCCAAAGACGTGGCTACAGTGTGCTCACCCATAATAATTTTATAAAGCAGGTGTCCCAAACAGCAGGGTAGAGATGAGTCATCGCTGTTGCCATGGTCGTGCAGGAGCTGATGCCTCCCGCCTGGGGATCTTCACTTCCTGTCCCATCAGGATTTGCTGTGTCCAGATTTCCTGTCTGCCTGAGAGGGAGAGATTAGAGAGCAACCATGTTATTATTTTCTTCATCTTGGCACACAGGCTTTTATCTTTCCTCTCCCACACTCTGTCACAACTCAATGAGACATCTCAGTGTTTTGTATTCCACTCCTGCAAGACCTCAATCATCTTCCCTTTTGTTTTCATTTGTTTTATCATAGCATGTTCTTCTGCTGTGCGTGCCAGCAGCTGTATTTGTTCCCAAGAAGCTACACTGTCAGTGGGTGGATGATTTAGTCCCCCATGCCTCCTATGAAGGTTTTCATTGTCTGATTGATTGTATTAAACCTCTGTTTGGAAACATCCCGCTTTAACTGACATTACTGCACTACGCTTCCCTCGCAGTTCTTTCTTAGGCCCTCTGTGGATGGTTGTTGATGTGAAACTGCATAAACTAGTGTTGTATCTTTGAGTAATGTGTTTGAACTTCGGACAGTTCAAGTGGATCCTACAGGAAAAAGTCCACATTGGAAATCGCTGCAGCTGCGGGCTGGTAGCAGAAGGGTGGGCCACCTCTTTGAGCGCAGGAAGGAATGCTCTGCACACTCAGCACTTTATACAGACATGTTCACAAAGACGGTTTCAGAATGAGATGCCAGTAAATCTGCTCAAAAATTTCTACTTTTTTCTAATTGCGATGGCTTTTGCAAGGTAGACTAACCTGCAAGCGCTCAGGCGTTGTTTACGGCTCCAGTGATAAAACTCTAATATGTCTCTCATGTGAAATGTAACCAGTAAAAAAAGATTAGCAGGTCTTTCACAGGAACGTTGTTTTTAAGAACATCTGTGCATAGTTTAAACAAAAGAGGTTTGAGTTTGTGGGGCAGGTGGTTTGATTTAAAGATGTATGCAAAGTCCGCTCACACTCACATAAAGGTATTTTAGTTTAGGGATGAAAAGGCAGTTTGTTTTTACTTTCAAATCCTCCTCCCTCTTTCTCTCTCCTTCATGTTTTTGTGCCTTCAGGGATTTAGTTTTCCTTTTTTTTCTCGGTTGCTTTGAACATTTAGGGTAAAAGTCCACATGGCAGGGAGAATGTTTTCATCCTGTGTTGCCTTCACTTTCTCAAACATCTCTAATCACTTTGTTCCCCTTTTTTTTATCTCTTTGCAGAAGAGGTTGACTACGCCAACTACGGCACCAACACGATCACTCGTAAGAAGAAGGCAGTGGTCGCGCTGCGTAACAACGACGTCAACCGCAAGCGTCCGCACATCCGCATCGGCATGCCCCAGGACTTTCGACCCGTCTCCTCCATCATCGACGTGGACATCCTGCCCGAATCTCACCGCCGTGTTCGCCTGTATCGTCACGGTTCAGATAAGCCTCTGGGCTTCTACATCCGAGATGGGACCAGTGTGAGGGTGACGCCACACGGGCTGGAGAAAGTTCCCGGTATCTTCATTTCTCGGCTGGTGCCTGGAGGGTTGGCGGAGAGCACGGGGCTGCTGGCGGTGAACGATGAGGTGTTGGAGGTGAACGGGATTGAAGTCACTGGAAAGTCCTTAGATCAGGTGACAGATATGATGATCGCCAACAGCCACAACCTGATCGTGACGGTGAAGCCGGTCAACCAGAGGAATAACGTCGTCCGCAGCAGCAGGATTTCTGGGAGCTCAGGACAGTCATCCGACAGCAGCGGCTCGACTGGTTACCCAAGTTTGTCCGTTGCCACAGCAGGTGTCACATCCTCTGGCGCTCATGGTTACCAAGACGACCTGGAGAGTGACGAGGAGACGGATATCGTCATTGAGAGCAGCCTCAAGCGGCCTTCTCAGAGGTCAAACGCTTCCCTGGCGTCTACTGCATCCCGCACCCACCAGCAGACCTCATCAACGGCTCAAAATCCAGCGGCCCCTCCAAGCCCTCCCACACGGCCTTCATCCGTGGTCTCCACTGCCTCCTTCCACTCCCAGCCCAGCCTCAACGGAGGATCCCACCACCACCACAGCCAACACAGCAGCCTCAGCTACCAGCTTCACAGAGACCTGAACCTCCACCACCCACAGACCCAGCAGCAGCAGCAGCAGCAACCGCCGCAGCGCCATCACCACGTACAGCCACCGCATCACAGCAGCAACCCAGCCCTGCGCCACAGCAACGGAAGCCTGCACAAAATCCTCAGCTCCATGAAAACGGACCCACGACACAGCCTCGCACTTCCCAGGGGAGGAGTGGAGGAGGATGGCACCGTCATCACCCTATAATACTTAAAACCACACAGAGACTAACTGCTCAGAGACTAAAACTGGAACAGCGGACCGGATACAATGAGCGTGACTGTATTTTGTAAGAAACTAATTTTGTAACTTCTGTTTGTTTTTTTGAGATAACTGATTATAGAAAGTTACAAACCAAGAAACAAGGAACATGAATTGTATATATTTCTTGTATTTTAAAAGTTTTCTTTGTCTTAAAGGAAAATATTTGTGTGTATGTTTGTACTAAGCATCAGAACAAACTGTTTTTAGGAGAGTCCACTGTATGTTAGAGTTCTGAATGTGCCTACAGCCTGATGTCTTTTATTAGTGACCACTTTTATTAAGATCCTTTTCATTCTTACTTCTGGGACCAACTGGGGGTTGTTTGTGGATGTTTTTAAAGAGTAAATCTATATTTCTTATATTCAGATAAATGCTGTGTAGAGTATGATTTTTTTAATAGTTCTTTTATGCATTGATGATTGTGATCAAATCCTTGTATCTGTTCCAATAAATTATTCTCACCATTTTGCAAAATAGAAACAAGTTTGGTTCAACGTAATTTAGCTGTCTTCTCCTGTGTCGCAGCCATTCAAGTTTTATTTGAAGGACAGTAGTTTCTAAACTTGTGAGGATTTTGATTGTTTGGTCCTGAACCATAGACTGAATAAAAACATGGACAGCAGAACAGATTCCCTTAGCAAAGCCAAAACTTTAAGAAATCCCTCTGGTGACTGACTGTCGAAGTATCTTTGGAGAATTTGTGTTTTAAGTAGCTATTTCATTTTACAAAACAGGCCATGTTTGACAACAATGTTTACAACTGTGGGCTCCTGCTTTATTTTTTTACAGGGTTAGCAGAGTCAAAGAGGAGCAGCTTGAAGAAACATAAAAAAGTATCAACTTTGTGTTTCTGTAATCGCGTCTTAAACTTAAAATCAACATGAGAATCTGTTCTGATGTTGATTTAACCTACCTGAGGGATCTTTAACATGTCATCTGTTACTGAAAATGTTTGTTTTAGTTGACAGAGCGGGTGTGACAGGTACTGTGACTCCACCAGCCAAGTCACCTTTATATACATAACTTGGCTCTGCCAGAGCAATATGTCAGTGCACACCTGACAGTGAAAATTTGGCTTCAGTTCTCACAGTGGGAAGATATAGAGGCGCTCTGTCCTTGACAATAGTCTTTTGGTTCATAAGTAGTCTGTGAATAACATAAAATGTCTCAAAACAGGAGGATTTTTGGTCCAGTGCTTCAAAATTAACTGTAATGTTTCACAATCTAATGACCGATTTTTCACTGTACTGAGTTTAGCCTTCGATTTGAGTTGCGTCATCGGAAATTAAAAGCAAAACGAAGCTTTTGTATATGTAAAACAAAGTAGATGCCAGTTTAACTAAGAAGTCCTGACTAAAGAATAAACAATGTGACATTTGATGTTTTTCAGCTTAGCTGTGTCTTGGCAAAAACTATATAAAACTATTCTAAACATCAAGTTTTGTTTTCACCCCTCGAAATCAAAAGCCAGAAGCTTTTTGTTGGACCCAAAACTCATACTCAGCAAACCAAATAATTACAGCCGAGGCTGACATCCCAGTTTCTTCACCAGCAGCAGCATCTGTAGACCAGGAATGTGCAACCACAAAACATGCTGCAAAAGGCAGAGTTCTGTGAGAAGTTGTGCTGTTTTTTTGCACCTAAATCGAAGGACTTTGAGATATTTGCCTTCAGTGTTTACGGCAAACCATAATAATCTACAGTGTTTGCATGAGAATTCAAATACCAAGAGCTGTCCAGACCAGTGCAAGAAGATATGGAACATCACATCATGAAGAAGGAATATCTGAAGGTTGAATCCTTGTTTTCAGACACAACTAATTCTTATCACCCTCTGCAGCCAATACATTTAACATGGTCTTGAAGCAGGAATGCATCTCTGTCTTGAGTTAGAGGCCATCAGCAGCAAACTCCTCTCACCTCCCTGCAAATGAATGTTTGTCTTCTGTGTTTACTCAAGATGCCAGACTGTTCAAACAGCTAATACATCATTGACACCAAAGTGGCCCACTTCGTCTACATTGTTAATGAGCAGACCTGAGTGTTTTGGGAGACTCCTAGGTCAGGGGTGTCACATGATCAGCCCTAGCTATCAAAACATTCATTGCCAGTGTTTAATCGTGGGAGGTATTTGATTGATTTTTAAAGTTAATACACTTAGAATGACATGTACGTGACGAATTGGTGTTAGCACCAACATGAGGAAGAACTATGTAGCTCATATGTTGCACAGATGTTCTGCAAGACAAGATTTAAATACAGACTGATGATCTGCTGAACATTAAGTTACAATGTCAAATAAAAAGTCCTAAAATTCCATCTTCCATGTCCAAAAATGACAAAGGAGTCATTCCTGTAATGCCAACCATGTAGGGGAGAGTGGGGTAAGATGAGCCATTTTTTATTTTTTGGATCACTACATCAAGGCAATCATAGTTTTGTCTCTAGTGTATCTGCATATATTTCAAGATGTTGTTCATCCCTGCAAAACAACAGAATGAGTGTAAACATAACTGTCTTGATAATATAGCATGACAAAAAAAGTGATCTCCTATGGTCAACTTACCCCGTGTATGGGGTAATCCTTTTTATTATTATCGTATATACCTGCTAAAAAGCTGTTTTGTAAAGTCATTTTAACATGAGAATGCCTTAAAGTGATTCAGAACATTCACAGCTCCATGAATTGATGCTCATCTCCTGAATATTTGGTCACATGATCAATTTCTTTTACCATTTCCAAACAACAGGGGGTGGCTCAACTTACCCCACTCTCTCTTATAGGTACTCGCTTTATAATTTTAAAGGGAGTCCTCACTGCATCCTTTCTCTGGATAGATTTACATGATAGCTAATAAATTTAATCAGATATTTTGCAGGTGAAAATGTGTAATTATTTATTTCCATTTTTGCCATAGTGACTTCTGCGCATCAGCCATGTGCAGACCACTGAGGTCCTTTGCCATGCTGGAGTTTATTATGACTGCCATCTGCTGGACTGGAACTAAACGACATGGCGTGCAATGAATTGGGGGGAAAACAGATAATGGAAATTAATATTTGACATAGAATAACAACATTTGCATCGTTAAGACATCTCAAAATTATATTCGCAAAAGCAGACTATATTACATTTTACAAATAAGTAGACAATTATGCCCAAAGTGTGTATTCTAAGTGTGTATATTTTTGACTCCCTATTGGTCAGTTTTCAAATTTACCTGAATTTATTTATCATGAACACAATGAAGTATACAAATTGAAACTAAAATTGCCAACGCTTCTTGCGCATTACTTATTTTTGACCCTCCTGAGCCACCACAGGCAGCACAACACACGTGACCCCAGTCATTTGACAAGGCAAAACACGGCAGTAGATCAGAAAGACAGGCGACAGACATGGACCATCATCGAGTGGACAGAGTGGGCCTGTTGTCCCCTCTGGAGGAGTCGAGCGCAGAGATCAGCAGAGACAGCGGCATCGTGTCCCAGAGTGCGAGCAGTCTGTCCATGGTGAGTGAGATCCTCAGCAGCGGGACGGTGTCGCAGAGTCCGAGCTTTGGCGCAGCAGCAGCAGCTCATGTTCTCCCTCTGAGCCCGAGCCTCGACGAAGCAGCAGATCCAGGGACATCCGAGCAGCAGTTCCCGGAGCAGGACGATGAAATCCTCCGACACACCGCCCTCAGCTACTCCGCCTACATCAGGGCGACAGCTGGAGAAGAGGTTAGTACACAAAGCGGATCTCTCAGACTCCTAGTATCGCACATCGGAGTTACTTATTAACCTCCCTTTGTCTCTGAACACACAACTGTATCACTGCAGCAGATTTAGCTTATTAATATTTCAAATTAACGATCAGTGCAGTCATGACTGACCATTGACTGGAGTGGAGTGGTTGCTAAGCGACGCTGAAGTCGTGGCATGATTGGTTTGTCCCCACTTGGTCGAGATCTTTGTCCCCACTGGGTCCATTTATTACTTAGGGAGGGTCCCTTGTCAAGTCCAGTCTATTTTTATCAGTCAGTTTACCACCTGTCTGAAATGTCACTAAGAAAATAAAGACGACTAGATATTCATCATACACTGTCAAAAGGAGTAGGGGAGAGTGGAGTAAAATGAGCGAACCCAAATTGCTTGGAAATGGTAAAAGAAATTGATCATGTGACTAGATATTTAGGAGATGGGCATCAATTCATGGAGTCTGTGAAGGTTAGAAGCACATCAGTAAAGGGGTTAGACATTTATCTCCAAAAAAAACATTGTATTACTCTTGAAAGTGATTTTAGTCTGTCATAAGTTTAATCAGAATTGTGTTCAGACCAAATAAGATCATTTTAAAAAATTTTTATTCATCAATTGTGGTATCTATGAGCTACAACATGAGGTCAAAAACCTAGGATTAAAGTCCACCATTTTATCTTAGAGGACTAATAGTTCCTCGCCAGTCTGCTGGGGAGGAATTATCAAACACAAAGATGCAGGATGTCTGAACAAACTAGTGAAAAAAGGCTGGTTTTCTGTGGTTGGACTAAAGAGGATGAGGAAGAGGATGATGTGGTGGAGTCTATTCTAAAGAACATGGATCACCCACTTCACAACACCTTGATGGACCAAAGGGCCAGTGGTGGTGGACGGCTCCTCTCTCTTCGCTGCAGGACAGAAAGATTCAGAAGATCTTTTGTACCAACAGCCATCAGACTTTACAACTCTTCTGTAAATAGTGGATAACTTTTAGATTGACATGACAAATGAGATGACAGACAATTGAATTTCCCTTCAGGGATCAATAAAGTTACTCTTATCCTTATTCTTAATAAAGTCATAATAGTAGTTCTGGGGTAAGTCAGTGGCTCAACTGAGAAAGTAAAGGAGTCTGATGAGAGGATCGGAGTTTCAGTTCAGATTGTTGAAATGTTTTACTTTTTCTTTTCATGTTCTGAATCACTTAAAGACATTCTCATGTTAAAATGGCTTTTTACAAAACAGCTTTTTTGCAGTTATATGCAAATATAATAATACAAAGAATTATTGTACCAGTTGAATTCTGTATAATAGATAAAAGTACACATGAATGTGAAGAAGTGACTGTTATTAAGGGAGAGAGAAGGTGAGGGAGGGCTGGGGTGGAGAGTGGAGGGGTAGTAGGAATGCAGCTCAACTTACCCCGCTCCTGTGGTCAACTTACCCCATACACGGGGTAAGTTGACCACAGGAGACCTTTTTTTTTGGCATGCTATATTATCACGACAGTTATGTTTACACTCATTCTGTTGGTTTGCAGGGATGCACAACATCCTGAAATATATGCAGATACACTTGTTAGAGACAAAACTATGATTGCCTTCTTGTAGTGATCCGAAATATTAAAAATGGCTCATCTTACCCCACTCTCCCCTATTATGTTTTGTCTTTGCCAGCTCATTCCAACTCACAAGCTCAGAAATTTCATGCACAAGTCTGTCAGGTCTAGAGTGATCGTATTTCTGAAGCCACATCTTCAGCTTACAGAGGTGCTTTTATGTATTTGTAGAAACACCATGTTCCTTCAGTTAACTTTCGACCAGTGATGGTAAACTGGACAGACCCCTGAGTTGTCATTAAGTGGAAATGTGTGATACCAGGATATTTTTGAAAAGGCTTAGCTAGCTTATTGGCTTAACAGGCAAACAAAGGCCCCTGTGTTTGGACCCTGTGGTTCTCTCTGACACAATTTCATGTCGAGCAGTTTATCGAATTACGCCTTTGATTGGTGTGTGACTGAATTGAAGTGACTGAGAAAAAGTCACACAAGTCCCAGGCCTGCTGTGTTGCCATGTGACGCAGCTTTGGTTTCTGCACAGTTAATATGTGTTTGTGATGCTTATTTACAGCCCTCTCCTGTAATAATGTCATCTCTAGATCCTGTGCTTGGAGAAGAGCTTGGAAGAAATGCTGACGCGAGTAGATGAGTTTGTTGGAATGCTGGACATGGTACGCTTAGTTACTCCATGACTCACAGATGATGAATTCACTATTTCAATTGTTTACTAAACTAAAATTGTTTGTATATGTCACATGTTTGCCTTTCTTTTCTTCCCTTTAGATTCGTAATGATACGTCCCAGATAGTGAATGAAAACCTACCTCAAATCCAACAGAAGTCAGATGAAATGAGACAAATATACAGAAGAATTGATAAGTTAGAGGTAAGTGATACTTTATTTAGGCTACTGCTGCTTGTACTGAATATTTTGATGTTTTTGTATTGCACACTTGATCAGGTACTGGGAACTTCACAGCTACATTGACAATGTTGTTAGGGATTATTGTGACATAATATGAAATCAATACTGTAACACAATGTCAACAACATTAATATGTAGTTTTAATATTGATTGACTGTCATTGTATATTCGTGTAATACAAGAGAACTGAAGGATATTTAGAAAGTGGTTTGACTGTTTCCTCTTCCTCTTACAGAACTGTTTAGTATCATGTCACTCTTACTGTGTGACTAAGGGGGAAGTCTTTATTGTTGTAAACTAAGGAAGCTTTTAGGGGCGTGTCATTTTAAAGAGCTGTGTCCATCACAAAAAGCAGTTAAGTAATACCCTATTCATTGTTTATTCTGCTTTTATTATTTCAGTGTGACTTAAACCCTTGTGAAACGTTTTTTTGGTATGTTAAAAATATTGTTAATGTTTTTTCATGCAGTTTTATTTAGCCCAGAATCCCTCATTGGCCTCTATCTTGAAGATTATTTTCAGCTTTTGTACCCCCTTTCTAAAAAAGATGCTTTGCCTGCATCAACAAGCAAATGCCTTATGGGTGTCACATACAGCATATCTGTGTGATGTTGAATTGTCTTAGAAGAAGGTGAATGAAAAATTATCTTTTAACAGCTTTTGTTATATGTTCCTTTATCTAAAGGCCTTTGTAAAGATGGTGGGAGCCAATGTTAACGCGATGGAAGAGCAGGTCACACAGGCAGAGGGAGAACTGGGGACACTGCCGGGTGCTTTCAAGAAGATCCTTCGCACAATGACCGTACCAAGCTTCCTAAATGTGAGAACGACTTTATGTTTTTTTATTTTTTGGTGTTTTTATTTTCTGTGTGCTTACCCATCACTTTCAATTTGAGATTTTTTGTTGTGTTAACAAAACGATGAAAACATTTCAACAGGACCAACATTTCAACTCTGCTCAGTGCTTCACATGCATACAATTTTACTATTTGTGTTGTATATGATGTAAATACTTTTACTTATTTTATCTATTTATCTCTATATTTTTACTTATTACTTACCTATTATTTATCTCCTCTTTTACTGTAATTGCACTGGAGTACTGTGACAAAAGCAATTTCCCCTGAGGGTATTATTAAAGTATTTCTGATTCTGATTCTGATAACTTAAAAAATCTACAACTTTTATTTCTACTGCAGGCTGTCCTGTTGGGCAATTATGACTAATATTTTTGTTTACTCACAGAAACCCTCCAGCCCAAGGAGACCAGCACCACATCAGCGCCAAGAGATACCCAGTGTGTTCCGAACAGACGATTATTTCCCATCACAACCAGAGCAGTGACACAGAAGAGCATTTAACATGTAACTTGGTTCTAACCTCAGAGGCTGAAACTGTACAAGGAACTTTTACTGCCATCTACTACAAGAGGAACCATGGGTGCACAGGCCTCAAATAAGCAATAGTAGCCTTTGTGAACAAGTGACCGAAAGTCAAGTGTGAGAAGACATCTGCTTTTCGAGTGTTATTTAGACGGCAGCAAAAAGCAAGCACTGAACCGTAGCAACATGATTTTAAAAGTGCCTAAAATGGGTCTTATTTCTGTCATTCTTGTCTCACAGTTTGTGGCAAAAACAATGCCAGATGTTGGATTTTAAGAGAAGTCGGGATGACAGAGTCACTGGACAATGTAAAAAAAGGTACAATAGGAAGAGCCCTCAGATCTTCACAAGAATTTACCCAGCTTTTTTATGAATAACATTCCTGTTATTGGTGTTTGTAAAGACCTGCACGCTGTATTAAATTAATATGTATTTGTAATGTCTCATTACTCCCCCCCAAACAAAATGAATCTGATGCTGACAAGCATTTAATGTCTTCCATTTCAAAATGTTTTGTTTACTGAAATCCTTTTGATAAAGGTCATGGATAACAGCTGCCTTTGATCACAGGGGGTTACATCTTTGTTTGCACCTTTTTATAGAAAGCACACTAAAGTTGAGCTATCTTGGTTGGAGAATGTGATGAAGTTTGGGCAAATGAAAGCTATCGTTGAGTTTTGAAACCATGAAGGTAAAATTATCTTAGAAATGTGACCAGTCAAAGAAATATACATCGGCAGTGGTCAGGCACAGCTATTGTTCATTATTTGATAATTTGCCAAATTAGTTTTTAAAGATTTTTTTATTTACTGGTTATTTTCTGTCAACATTTTTAAATAATCATTAAAGAATTATTGAGACAAGTTTTGTCGTGTTTCTGTATGCCAGGATAAACCATAGACTTGTATATACAGTCTATGGCAGTGGTTCTCAACTGGTGGGTCCCGACCCAAAAGTGGGTCGCAGACACGTTCTGAATGAGTCGCAAACAGTAGGTCAAAAAAGTAAATATTTAATGTGCATCTGATGTTTGACATGTCTTATCAATTTTTTTTTAAATAGCTTAATTTGAAAGGCATGCATTATGTCGTGGTCCCCCTGGTTTCTTATGAATGTGGCCTGAATGCAGTAAAATTACATGGTTTTTAAAAAATAAATTTGTTTGGTTTGGATTTTACAAAAGTGGGTCGTGACTTGTGGACCACGGGAAAATGTGGGTCCCAGAGTGAGTTTAGTTGAGAACCACTGCTCTATGGGATAAACGCTCTTAAATAAGGGTTGTGTTTTGCCCTGGGTTCAGCTTGCAAGGCAGCCACCCTTTACCCTTACAGCACAAATCCCGCCTTCTTTACTATGAATGGCAACTCTAATATCCAATCATCCACAGGGGGGTTTAGCCTTTGCTCGGTGCATCGATGTGGTTCGAGGTGGAACACAGCAACAGCGGAAGAGCTCCTGACAGTCCTCACCCAGGGCGGATATTAATGACCTCTTGTTGTCCGTCATTGGTCAGCCTGCGTGTGTCGTCATAAGTTTGACATACCTCAGAGGAAGCGGGAACCACACCATCCTCGATTGAACTGAATTTATCTCCACGCTGGCTCGTCTACTGATTCAAAAAGTAAGCAAAACATATACGGACATGGTTAAGACGTGGTTTTCGGTCAAAAGCCTATAAGCAACATTATGCCACAGTCAGATTTGGATTATTTTGTGTGTGTGTGTGCGAGTATCACGGAGAATCAATCAGAGAAAAACGGAATAGTTCAGTTTGAAGCCAGTGTGTGCTAACGCTAGCCAAAAGTTTCCACAGTGGAGGAGTGATGGCGGTGTCTCCCGCTGTGGACCACCAGGAACAGATTGTCTTATTTTTAATCCGTTTAACACTGGTTGCAGTGAAGTGAACTTCTTATGGACATGAAGCAGTTTGTAGTGTGTAGCTTCCGCCAAAACCAAACAGTTTAGCTCACAGCATTACACAGCGAAACATCACTCTGCCATTGTGCTATGGCGCATATATGTACCATGATGTTTCCTTTTAGTTTTTTAAGATTCCTTTACTCTTTTTCCCCGGATGTAAACAAAACCTAAACGTCCAAACGTAACTGCGAAGTTTGGACATAAAGCTGTTTTAAATCTGGACGATTTGTCACTTTTTAAAGCAGAAAACTTGGATTACTATGATGGTTCAATTCTCAGGTCTTCAGGCAGTTCTCTGTTAACAATACCTAATGTTAAAACCAAGACATATGGTGAGGTATCTTTTTATTACTACGCACTATTATCATTATTATTATTATTATTTTTATAGATCAAGCTTCACCTAGGGGTCTTTTATTAGTAAGCAAACCGCACATTGCACTTTGTTTCTGCATTTTATCTTATGCACTCTGTTCAAATGCTTTTCTTTTTACCTTCTGAATTGTTGTTTTTTTATGTAGATGTATTTTATTTCTTTTTATGATGTATGACAGTGTTTTAAATGTCTGTGCCTGCTGCAACCCCATTTTTGAGACATAATAACATTGAAGTGAAGTGAAGTGAAGCCCCCTGTCTATGGCGCAGCTTACCTGAAGACCTGAGGACTGCACCTTATCTTAATGATTTTAAAAGCAAACTAGAAACATACCTTTTTAGTTTTGCTTTAAACTAAATGTTATATCATTAACTTTAAGTATTTTAGCATTTATCTCTTCTAGTTTAAATGACTGGATCATCTTTTATTGAGCTATTTTGGTGCTCTCACTTTAGTATCTTTTACTGTTGCTTTTATTTCATTCTATGTTACCTCGTTTTTAGATTTTAAACCTCCAGTGCCTTGAATTTAAAAAACGGCGTTTCCTCAGTGCGCACATTCCTGTTTATATGAAATCAAGCCCTTTTTAAGTTCATGCATTTTAATACTGTTTTCCATTGTGCTTAGATTGTGGGGTGGGAATGAGGGGTTGGGTTGGGGTAGATTAGGGTTTTCTTTGTTTCTTTTATTCCTCTGCTATGTAAAGCACTGTGCGCTACATCTTTTTTTTTTGTGTATGAAAAGTGCTTTACAAATAAAGACTGATTGATTATTATGTACGACACTTGCACGTGAAATGGTTTCATGTTGCAAACACATGTACATGTGAGTTTTTAGTCCAAGCTTATATATATAAAGATTTTTTACCATGTTTTTAAATTTGTTGAAGTGAAACCTGTTAAACCTACTGATTTCAAACCTAAAAGTGATTATAAATTCTTTTCTTTCTTTTATTTTTTACAGATTTAAAGCTTCACAAATGGCCGGAGAAAAAGAAATATGGCAAAAGATTGGAGAGGGCTTTGTTCAGGCATATTACAACCAGTTTGACAATACAAACAGGATGGAGCTGGGTAACCTATATGTAAGTCATACATCCATGACTGACTAACACACACCTTTTACTGGGCATTTGTGCCTGTAGTTACTGTTGTCTATGCTGCGTTTAAAAGATATCGTGTGTGTTGTATAAAAACATTGTGTTTTCCTTTGTTAGTCTGCTGATGCCTGTTTGACATGGGAAGGAGCCCCCTTTCAGGGGAGAGAAGCCATTGCTGCTAAATTAGCAGTAAGTTCCTTTTCTTTTTTCTGCTTATTTTCAACAATTGCAGTCCTAAAACATATTAATGGAGGTATGATAACCTAATCTACCCGACTCTTCCACGAACCAACTCAAGTCCAAGACTATTATAGTGTGTTGGTGGATGTAATTTAAATCAAGCATCTCAGAGTTTGTATGTGAACAGTGCCATATAAAAATATTTCTAGTTGTCATAGTTTCAGCAACACCAGAAGTCATTTCTAAAATGTTTTGGTAGCTGTCATTTGAAGAGTATACTTGTCTTCTCTTCTATCTCCAAATAACTGCAACACCTCACAGTCCGTCAGACAATCTCATAACAAAATCTTTAAGATGAGGAACATCAACCGAACTTTTTGTTCCTCTTTACAACTTTGAAACAACACATTCTGGTTTTAGAATTAGTGCCTTATTTTGATTGTCAGTATTAATAATGTCACTACATGATGTGTCAGTCATTTTATTTCTCATCCACAGGGCCTGCCTTTCAAGCGAATTAAGCACATTATCACAGAACAAGACTTCCAACCTACAATAGACAGCTGTATCCTCATCATGGTGTTTGGACAGTTACAGGTATGCTGGTTAATTTTTGTAGATATCCTCTTGTGCTGATTTGTCTCCTATCTGCCTTACATGAACTTTCCTGGATAACTGGTATGACGTTGCTGACGAAACGGTAGCTTGGTTGTGTTTACTGTGGTTTTTCACGTTTTTCATATCATGAGCAACATCAATACCAAAGACACCTGGTATTTCATATTCAGTCTGACAGAACTGAGCCAAATTAGAAGGTGAACAAGATGAAAGGCATACTCTGAGAGAATCAGAGAAACTGACTGCTTTTATACTAAGCAGATGTTATTAGTCAACACAAAAAGCACAGCATGTTCATGCTGTATTGTGACATACTGCCGGATAAATGTGAAAAACTCAGTAATAAACATGACCTTATGAAGGTTTTTACAGGTTTAATTGTATGAGTCATTTTTAATAAATGCTCATAGTAGACCATTGCATTTTAGTTTGCATCCTCTAATATGGGTTTTGCTATATATTGCATTCTTCACGATATAGAAAAAAAGCATATCGATAAAAAATAAATCATATTGATCGATATCGATAATTATCGATATAATTATTATAATTATTCAACATATATTTTAATTGCAGCCCTGGATGTTTTATGCTATTGCTTAATGACCTACTTTTAATAAAGAACACACAAGCACTGAAATCAAATTCAAACCTTTATTCAACCACCTTTTTATTTTTTTTTTACCACAACTGAAAGTTTTTTAAAAAAGAACTTAAAAAAAAAAAAGAAATCAACTTAAGTGGCCTGAGTGACGTCAGTAAATACTGACAAACATAAAGACTAAAGTGACCAGAAAATCTGATAAATAAATATTTAAATAGTCTTTTGATGAAAATAAACAAAACAAACAAATATATAAATAAACAGAATAGCTTTAGGTGGGAATAGCATACTACCAGTTTTAACTGTGTGGGAAACTGCCCACAGCCTGGTGTCTGAACACTGAAACATTTCTCCCGGGGTCGGGAGATTTATTTTTTTTAATTATCATGTGATTGACTTAATACGCAAACTGAGCACGAGAAGCAGGACTTATCCACGCCGGTGTTGTGTCGTAGAATGCACCCCTGCCGAACGCACCCCCTGCTAGTAGCCATGATCCAAATACTCGCGTCTTTATAAAATATGAGCTCATTTTCTTCCACTTTAAGTAGCTAATGAGAGGACGGGATGCAAGGGTGCATTCTATAGCACAACACCGGAACGTATTTCCTCCGCACCCTTCTCAGCTTTTCAACCCCTGACCCGTTTTCATGCCTGAAGCGCTGTGTTTGAGAAATACTTGCGGCCGGGCACCTCATATCGCGGGTCAAGAGTGGCTAAAAGCTGGTCGAAGCCAGGCTTTTCAACGGTAGTTATTGGCAGTATGTCCCTCGCTATGGAGCATGTTACTGCATGGGTGATGTCCTTATGCCGCTTGGACGCTTTGTCGTATTTTGGCAAGAAACTAAGTCCAGCTTGGTCTGCTTCACTTGCTTTGTGCTGGTGCTGGCAGCGGTTCCAGAGGATTCCTCCGACGACGACGTGGAGCCGCGGCGCAGCCGACACAGCTCGTACTCCTGCGGGTGCGATCGGTTTAGATGGTAGAACAAGTTGGTTGTGTTACCAGGCTAGGTTTTTACTAATTCTCTGCAAATTTTGCAAACGACCGCTGTTCGCTTTTTGTCAGACTTGTAAAAACCAAAACATTGCCATGCTGGTGAACTACTGAAACCTTTTTTCGGGACAATGTCCTCCGCTTCTCCTTGCTGTAACATTATTTCTAATACACGTGCTGTCTGTTGTGGTTTGAGAGGGGCTGGGCTTGGTGCCGTAGCGTACCTGGGTCTGCGTTTGTGATTGGTTGGGAGGAAGTAATGACTGTAGTAAAAGCTACATGATAGGCTATGATGAAAAAGAAAGGGAAACTGTGTTTTTCTATCGAACTTTTTATCGACCCGTTTTTTTTCTATCGCGACACACGTCTATCGATCGATATATATTGTTATCGAATTATCGTCCAGCACTAGGTTTTGCTATATATTGCATTCTTCACTTACTGTTTTACTATAAGCCTCTAGATAAACGATGGTGGCTAAATGACTTTGTTTTGTTTATAAGCATCATTAATATCAAATCAGCTGCAATCTCACCTTAAAATGACAGTGATTATACTTCAACTGCACCAACTTCAAACACAAAACGTCTGGATAATGGATTTATGAATTTGAAGTTGGACAAAAACAAGAAGTACTACAACTTTTTTTAAGTTAAGTAAAATATTTGTCACATGGAGAATGTCACTCAGTACAGCCCTCTCTAATATTAATCCACATTAATAACATGTTAGCTGCTCAGCACACGATGATTACTCCATTTAAAGGTTTGTTGTCCTCTAAATATCTGAAAACTGGAGTGAAGACCACAGACAGATGCTTTACCCACTACTCTTGCTTTGTGCTACACTTCATGGTATTTTACTACTTTGCTAACTCTCCCTTGTCTTTATGAATTCTATCTTCAGGTTGATGATGATCCACCAATGGCCTTTCATCAAGTGTTCATGCTCAAGTCCCAAAACTGTGCGTGGGCTTGCACGAATGATGTGTTCCGGTTGGGGATACACAACATACCAGTGTAGCAGTTTAAATTAGTCGGCATTGACACATTGACATTCAGATTTCAATTGATTCCACAGTCATGCTGTCATTGAAAATGCTCAGATATATCGGTTCTTTCGCGTGTCTAATACATTTACAAGCATGATTTTTGTGTTGAAGTTTCCATGTCATAATACAGTTCTGTCCAATAAACATAATGAATCAGAAAGTTCCCGTTCTCTCTCATTTACCTGTTTCTTTCTTTATCATTGATACTGCAGAATGAATGACTAACACTGTAGGTATAGTAGGCAATACAAAAACTTGTGCTGAATTACTGTCACTTTCAGGATTTTAGTCATTCTGGCATGCAAATCGTGGTTTTGTAACAAAGCCTTTCTCGTACGAACGCTAGGGGCGCTCTATACTCCTCTGTGCCCGTCTTCATATGGTTTAACCAGTGAAGCTGCTGACAGACTTACACAAGGTTATGGCTCTGACCAGCAGCTAGAAGAACCAAACCAATGACATCGACGGCGAATGAAATCTCAGGAAATGGATGTTTTGGATATAAATCGTCAACCTGTTCATCTGAATGATACGGTGAGTTTTAATGTGATGTTACATACTACATGCACGTGCTTGTTTTTTGTTAACCCATTCTCCGGATACTAGGGACAACCAACGCCATCCTTGGGGTTAGCTATTTGTATGTCATTATATCACAATATGGCGAAATTTATACCCTCATATAATTCCTCTTCGGCTTGTGTAACGTTAACTACAAGCTAGTTGACGGTGGTAGGTGGTGGGAAACAACACAGGTATCCAGACACGTTATTTTCTGTGTTAAATAGGTGACTATTCGTGACAATAAAAGTTAATACTATGAAGTAGTACCTTTATAAAACTGTAACAGACTAAAACTGTCCGTTGAAATACGGTTTATTCTTTGTTTTGGCTTCTTTGGGTTTGTGCGCAAGCGCAGTGGCCTCTTATAAATTTAAAGGTACAGCAGGATACGTATGTCAAAACCAGGCAGCCTCATTAATAAAAGCCAGACGATATAGCTCACGAAATATGAAAATATGTCTATAAACGCAGTCACTGTTAACATTGTTGATTTTGATTGTCCGTAGAAAAGCCTCAAAGACAAAGACTCGGATGGCAGAAATGGTGTTGAGCCGGAAGATGAGCCCCTGCTCCGTGAAAACCCCAGACGGTTTGTCATTTTCCCAATCCAGTACCCCGACATCTGGAAGATGTACAAGCAAGCTCAGGCCTCATTCTGGACGGTGGAGGAGGTGAGTGTCACAGTGGTTTTCATATTGCTCCTCTGGAACATAGGGGAGAGTGGGGTAAGTCGAGCCACCTCCTGTAAAAGAAATTGATCATGTGACCAAATATTTAGGAGATGTGCATCAATTCATGGAGTCTGTGAAGGTTCGAAGCACATGGGTCAACTTACTCTGCTCCTATGGTCAATTTACCCCATACACGGAAAAGGTTGACCATAGGAGACCACTTTTTTGGGCATGCTATATTATCAAGACAGTTATGTTTACACTCATTCTGTTAGTTTGCAGGGATGCACAACATTCTGAAATATATGCAGATACACCAGTTAGAGACAAATCTATGATTGCCTTGATGTAGAGATCTGAAATGTGAAAAGTGGCTCATCTTACCCCACTCTCCCCTACTACCTGTTCACAAAAACATAGAAAAAAACTATGTGTTGTTGATTTTGTGTCTTTAGGTCGATCTGTCCAAAGACTTGGTTCACTGGGACAGTTTGAAGCCTGAGGAGAAACACTTCATCTCCCATGTGCTCGCCTTCTTTGCTGCAAGTGATGGCATTGTCAATGAGAACCTGGTGAGAGTTCACATGCAAAACTGGCAACCTAAAGAGACAATTTTACTTTTATATACTATGCTTTCTGGAAGTATTTATGAATGGCAGCCTCAATGTGTGATATTGCTTCACCTCAATGTCAACTACTCATCACACAATGATGGATTTTGACCTTGTTTGTGTATCTATCACACCTAACAGGTGCAAAGGTTCTGCCAAGAGGTGCAGGTTCCTGAAGCACGCTCCTTCTACAGCTTCCAGATCCTCATCGAGACTGTCCACTCAGAGATGTACAGCATGCTCATCAATACTTACATCAGAGATCTGAAGGAAAGGTTGGTGTATTTCTCTTTTTTGGCTACGAATGACACAGCTGAAGTGAATAATCTTTGTTACGGGTTGTGAAAATGCAGTGGTGAAGATAATGTGTATTTGCCTCTGTGCTTTTGGAGCAACTTCCAAGCCACATACAGATAAATTCTGGCACTATGTTGATCTAACATTAAAACAAACCGTAAGAAAAACACCTGTTCACACAGATCAAGTCAACTGAACTTTGTGGTGAGTGTGTTGCGTTTCCAGCTGCAGCATCTTAGATATAAAGAGAAAAATGTGCTTGATTTGCACAAACAGGGTACAGGAAAAAGTATCAAAATGGCACGTTTTATTATTTTGCAGCATTGGTATAACTCTCTACCTTTATATGTTCTCCACTATTTGCGCACACTTTTAGTCTTAAAGGAACAGTGTAAGTCATTTGATACTATTTGCAGGTACTCTGTTTGTCAAGCTGAGCCATATGTTAGTCTCTTAATACGGATTTTTGTTTTCTCATGCTGTGTCTCAGGGACTACCTCTTTAATGCCATCCAGACTATGCCCTGTGTGAAGAGAAAAGCAGACTGGGCCCTCCAGTGGATAAATGACAGCAAGTCCACATTTGGTAAGGAGTAAACACCATAATCTTTCAAATCACAAATAGATGTGAGCTCCATGGATCGATGAGAAAGCCATTTAATTTTTACACATTTTGTCTTCAGGGGAGCGACTTGTTGCCTTCGCAGCAGTGGAGGGCATCTTCTTCTCCGGCTCATTCGCTGCTATCTATTGGCTCAAGAAGAGAGGACTGATGCCAGGCCTTACCTACTCCAATGAGCTGATTAGTAGGGATGAGGTGAGGACTGAAAAACAAAACCACCTGGGATTGAAGAACAAGACAGAACATTTAATCTAATTAAGGCTCACAGAATGGGAAGTTAATTTTCACTAAATGAACTGAAGATTTTTATAATCGATGTAGACATTAATTTTTAAACATGAATTAAGTTTCTGAGTTTTGTACTTGGGTATTGTTATATAGTTTATATTTTCTACTTTTTTTATATAACTGAACAGATGGCACCAAAGGACAACATAAATTAAACATTTGTTAACCATTAATTTGGTTATCTTTTCTTGGGGAAAAAATCCATTTTGTTTTAGTATAGCAGTCAGGCCAATGTTGTGGAGTGTAAATGATAATAATAGAAGCATATTTAATATTCCACATCCCCTGCTTTAAAGCTTATTGTGACCTTTTGGGGATAAGTTTTTCTTCAAGTCCCACACTTTGCTGTTAAATATGATTAATTTAAGTTTAATTTAAATTAAGTGCTTGGTTGCCCAAAATTATTTAAGGTATTGACTATTTAATGGTATGTGGTGCATCAGCAAATCAATACTTGACGATGGTTAGTTTATAAAGAGTAGACAATCACCTAGAAAAGGTTTGACTTTTTTTTGTCATAGATTTGAATAGCCAATTTATGCACATGTTGCACATGAACACAGTTAATGCCTGTTACCCATCTATCACTTATTGGGACATGTGTATCAATCTGCTTTAAGGGCCTGCACTGCACCTTTGCCTGCCTGCTGTACAGCTACCTTTTGAAGAAGCCATCAGAGGATCGTGTGAAGGACATCATAACCAAAGCTGTTAGCATCGAGCAGGTCAGTGACCACAGGAGGGATATTCTGAATTTTTTTCACTGTTAACCTTGTCTATGCTGCTTTAAGTCAGAGTAAATTGGTTGTAGAGTAACAGTCAATGCTCTGTAACTGAAATTGCTTATTTGAAAATACAACATTCTTGGTAGCTCATACTAGTTGGTGTTTGATGTTGCAGGAGTTTTTGACAGAGGCCTTGCCGGTCGATCTTATCGGAATCAACAGTTGTCTGATGAAGCAGTACATTGAGTTTGTGGCTGACCGGCTTCTCACAGACCTCGGACAGGCCAAGGTAATTTAATTTATTAGAAAGAGAGAAAAGAAAGTATTTTTATGTACATTTATTGACTAGATGATTTTCATTTGGTACCATCCAGATTTTTTGAAACCTTTGCCTTTCTATGTAGTAACCTTTTTACTATCCCTTTTACTCAAGGTCTACCAAGCAGAAAATCCATTCGACTTCATGGAATCCATTTCCCTGGAGGGGAAAACCAACTTCTTTGAGAAACGTGTTGCAGAGTATCAGAGATTCGGTGTTATGTCAAGTGTAATGGACTGTGAATTCACTCTAGATGCTGATTTCTGAAACAGAGATTTTCTACTGTTAAATATTTATTTATTTATTAGTTATATTCCTTGTTTTTTGAAAGTTATTCTCAAAAATTAGCCAATTAGGGGTTACAATGCTGTCATAGTATTACACAGGTCAAAGGAATAGTTAAAGTTACTCTTTTCTGGGAATAGGGTTTGAGAATTATTCCTTGGGCTAGTGTAGCTCGCAAAATGCAATAAGAAGAAATAGGTGCTCTCAAGAAGCTCCTTTAATGACTCATTTTGACTCCACCAGATTGAGGTCAAATTCCATCTCGAAGTTCTGGGTAAATCAACAATAAATAAAATGGTAGAAGTTCTAAATCTGTATAACATAACACATAATAGGATGGTACAGATCAAAGCCTTTTTTATTGAGCCTGCAGTTCTGGCTGGGATTTGTTGTTAAACTTACATTTTGATGTACAATAAAATGTTTTTCTTACAGTAATCTGGCTGTTTCCTCCTTTATTTGTGCTACAAGTTATTATTATGGTATTGCTATTACAAGTTACCATTAAAATCCAATAAATTCTATTTGAATTGGATAACTACCTACTGAATGTGATGTATTCTGTCTGTGTTTTACATGCATAGTCATAAGTTTGATTATTCTTCAGTATTATTATGATCCATTTTTACATGTTATTTCTTTTGATGACAGAAGTATGTCTGGCCCTGGCCAGCAGGCAATAGACACCAAAATAGACCTGCCTTCCCCGTGTCAGCCTTAAAGCTCCAGTGAGGAGTTTCTACTAATTTTGGTGCCTCTTTGCTGATTTAGTCACATACCATATTAGTTTCTTAGGAAGAAAATTTTGCCCCTTGAATAGTCAAATTCATCAATCCTTCTTTATTCTGAGCTGTCACTTGTTTGACATTTACCCTCCACTGTTTGTAGACATTAAAAATCATACAGAAACAGTTACTCTTAATATTCTTGCTACAATACAAAAGAAACATCAGTATTGCTTTTAATCTTTTCCCCAACCAGTTAAAATCATCCAAGGAACTTTAAAAGGCTTTTTAAGGCTTCGGGCTCTGTTATTTTCAGACCAGTGAATCAATTTTTCATGAATATAGAACCAGCAAGCTTCTTTTCTTTTTCTTTTTATTATTTTTATTTTTGTTGTTGCTGCAAAATTTTCAACAAAAAAATCCTGATATTATTTAATACTCAAAATAAATCAGGAAAAACAACTAGCCACCTCGGAAAAAAAGTCTTTATTAGTACTTAAGTGAACAAAGCCTGGTTGCAATACGACTACATTTTTAATGGTAATGTCTGTTTTTTTTTTTTCTGCAAAATTTTAACAAAAATTTCCTGATTTTAGTCAATACTCAAAATAAATCAGGATAAACAACCAGCCGCCTCGGGAAAAAAACACTCTTTTATTAGTACGTTAGTGAACATATGGTTGCAATATGACTACATTGTAATGATATTGTTAAGTTTCAAAGGGTAAAAATAAAGTGTATTTATATGAATGCGGAATCATTTTTTCCGAGATTTGTCCAGCAGTCAGATCAGATTAGCCACTCCTCCGTTAGCACACGGATGCTGACAATGATTGTTAACAGTTAGCATTGAGCTAACAGTTACTGTTCACACCATTTCCAAACATGGCTGAGGACCTGAAAGATTTCGCGCTTGAGAAAGCCGAACTGCTATCCACCCGTCTAAAAGAGGCACTGACTCTGGGAAACGACTATGTTCGGGCCCAGTTCGGAATCGATCTGGATCTGAAGCCTGAGCTGTACCCGACGTGGGTAATCCTATCCACGGCCGCCGCAGGAGTCCTGCTGGTGCTCTGTCTGTCGTGGGCCGCGGTCTGTGGCGGTCTGTTGGCTGGGAAAAAGCGGGGATCCCCGATCACCCAAGGCAGCAGTGAGCCCGACAAGGCCAGCGTGGCTAAACCAGCCAAACCAGAGGAGCCGAAGAAGAGAAACAGAAAGAAAACTCTTGAAAAGGTACTTTTAGTCGAGATTTAGTCGTTGTGAGTCAATGAAAATAGCAAGTTTTTCTAATTTACTGTCTTGTGAAACAACAACGCTAATGCTGTGCATGACTCTGCTAGCATTAGCAAGATCATACATTCATCCGGACTGCTATTAATGAACATTAGACCGTCATGTTTGGCGTTAGTGTCCGTTAGCTTTCTCTGTGTCTCTAATATTACCCAATGCTAGCGTTAGCATGTTCATTTTTAAACCGAAATTGAGCTCAGAGACGATCATGTGCAATAATTACAAAATGATTACAATAAAGTAGGTGATAAAACATGGAACAAACCATGATGTGATGCTTATTGACTATCTGTATGAAGAGACAACTGTAATGTCATTATCGAGAGCTATGCCAGCTAGTTGCAACATTAAGGTTAGCTGACACGTTGCATTAGCTAACTCATGAGATCAAACTTAAAACACGCATAACCTATCCTCTATACTTGTATAAAATGTCTATTAATTTCAGAATAAATGTGCAATCCTCAGCTAACGTAATCTATATTCTTGTTTAAACTGTTGAGTAATTTTTAAAACATAAAATGAATTGTGATTTTACCTAAATTGGAAAGGAAAAGAGGATTGAACAGGCTTTTGGCTTGTTTAGTGTTTCTTTTTTTAGGTTTGTGAAACTTATACTGTTTATGAGATGTATGTTTTCCTCTCCCAGAGAGCTCAATCCAACGGACAACCAGTGACTGGGGCTCAGGAGGAAGTAAAAGCGGCCGAGGGAGTTTCCAAAGTAGCTCCTCAGATCAAGCCGGAGAAGGTATGTATTTTCATCCTCTGCCAAATTAGGAGAGACATGTGTTTTAACTCTTCAACTCAGCTCAATACATGATAGTTAAGTTGTGTTTTCTTCTCATCAGATTGTCTTGCATGTTATGGCCTCAGATGACAGTGTTACAGCTGTTATTTCTCTTAAATCTGCAGGTTCATGAGGTGCTGCCCCCAGTGCAGGTGAAAAAGAACAAGAAGAAAGCCAAGGCAGAAGTGAAACCGGTTCAAAATGTGTCTACGACTGATGGAAAGGAACCTGATGATGGTATGATTCAACTGAGGTTACCCCCAATTTCCACCGCATCCGGAACGGCTACGAAAAGCCTGTGTCCACCAATCGTAGCTGATCATAACCATTCAAGTTAATGTGTCAATTTCCACTGGCTTCTCCGTTCTGCTGCGGATCGCCGGACTCCACAGCGTATCGATAGAGATCTATTTTTTCCAGCCGGGCACAGACACAAAATAAAACATCCGGCTTCTTTTCAAAATAAAACACTCCCTGCTTTAGACAGATCGTATTTCACACCATGCAAACAGGCGGAGACGAACAAGTGAAAGGTTTATAGACAGCATTTCACCTTGATGAGAGGATGATGATTTTATAAGGCTAGAAGTAGATTTCCTCCTCTGGAAGGATACAATCTACTGCTTATACGGTTAGCCTATGTGGCGAGAGACAGCTTGTTATCGCGCGATTGCATTTGAATCCGTGGGTTCATGTAAGTTCTCGCAATTTTTGCTGTCCGTAATCTGCCACGAAATTCGCCTCACCAACGGATCTGGTAGGAATTGACAGACGGCAAAAATCGCCACCGTTCCGGATTGGAGCCGTTCCGGATGCGGTGGAAATCCCGGGTTAGAGGAATGACACAATAACTCATTTTTCCTGTCAGGCTTCTCAGCACATAGTTAATCAAATTTCACCCACAATTTACTTTCCTAAATACTATTAGATCATTACCCTGCACAAACTAAGTCAACTAATTATTTGATGTTTACCTTTTGGGTGCTTGTCAGGTGCATGGGAGACCAAAGTCAGCAACCGAGAGAAGAAGCAGCAGCGAAGGAAGGACAAGGGCCCTGAGGACTCAGGCAGCCCTGGAGGGGTGGATACCCCAAAGACCAGTGTGGAGGCTCCTGTAGCAACAGCACCTACCAACACTAAAAAGAACAAGGGAAACCAAGGTAATCATCGATGAATTGTTCAAAGTGGGGCTCGGTGTATGATCAAATATAAAGCCGTAATCTAAAGATGATGGTTGTCTTGAAAGTATGATGAATGTTCTCATGTGCCGCTGTGAGCAGTACAATCATGATAAAACAATGAAGGTTTAGTATGTTGTACGCTACTCACATGTGGTCTCTTTTCACATTGTTTCAGAGACACTGCATTCAAGAACCACTGGAAAGGGGGACACAGCCACTGGAGCTGGTAAAGACAAACTTAAACCATTATTTTTAGTGACCTACCCTTCCTCTACCATGCTCTTTATAATACAGCACAAACTATTGTCTCAGATCCAGATATCTTAAGTGTATTCATGCATCTGAAATGCAGAATGTCCTGAACTAAAGGTGCTTCCTCATACCTTATCTCCTCAGTGTCTTCCAGCTGGAGAGAGGAGACTTCAGTCAATGGGGGAGGCTGGACTGACATTTCTATGATCCCAGGTCAGATGGGTGCAATGGAGGGTAACAAGTGGAGCACCATCCCGGCAACTGCTCACTACAGAGCCCCACCAAAACGCGAGTCCTGGGCTCAGGACGCTCAAGGTAACTCCCAGACCTAGGTAGATCTTTTTATAGCGCAGATTGAAATAAATTGTAAGAGGAGAAGAGTATCAACACCACGTAATTTCCATGTGGTCGGTAAAGAGTGCAGCACTGAGTCTGATCTGTTTTGGTGCTACACGGCAAATTGGATTTAAAATGTAGGAATGCAAGTGAGGTTGAAGTAACAACCTTAAGCTGTGAGTGTAATGTGGTAGTGGTCATGTCACTAATACAGTAAGCTTCTTTTAACATGAATGAACCAGCTGTACTTCAGTTTCCCCTGATTTAGTCATCAAACATACCCAACGCTCTATAAAGACAGTGTTTTAGTGAAATGTATCACTGTACTCTGTATTAAATATTTCTACCAAACAGTCACTAATCAGTGTTATGTGTTCTCACCAGCTGCATGGGGTGGCATTGATGGCCAGATGAAGAGTAACCTCAACCCTGTGTCTTTCACCATGCTGGGACGGAACACCTCTGGTCAGTATCAGCCACTAACTAGAATGATGAGTCAGAATATATCTGAAGTAGTTTCCTCTATTTAACAAGAGCTTCCAGGGATAACACTACTCTCTGTTTGTGTCCCTTTTCTTTCCTCTTTTAGACCAGATATCAAACTCCATCGAGCTTCAGTGGGCAGGCAGCCCTGAGGTTGATGATGAATGGTCTGGATTCAGTAAGTTTTTCAACAACCCTCTCTGCACCACACACCCTTCTCAGTAATGTTTGATCATTGAAAAGATAAAGAGACAGTCAGATATGACCCTTTCAGTGTGATATTTTGACTTGAATACACTTGGTTTATTCAAAGAATGCAAAGGTATCCATGCACAGACAAATAAGATCTACTTCTTCTTATTTTATAACTTATAAAGCCACCCTGTAAATGAGAGTTCCCTTCCTTTTCTTTTTTTTCAGATGGGACTGCATCAGCGGATCCCAGCTCCGACTGGAATGCCCCCGCTGAGCACTGGGGAAACTACGAGGAGCCTCCTGTTTTGCTGACATCAGCACCTCAACCAAAGGAACAGCCTGTCTCCCACAAGGTCTCACTCACTCTCTGCCAAATCGTCCACATGGCAAACTCCATCTGTTTAACAATCCTTTCAAGGCTTTAAAGCCTTTTATACTATTCTAAGATGACCTATTTTATTCTATTTTATTATTTTTTAAATCAATAAGTAAAGAAATATGTTCACTGGCAGTATAGAAATGTTTTAACAGCATTATCTACTATTATTATTCATATCCTATATCTTTCAGGCCTTTAAATACCTCCTGCCATGCTCACAATGATGGAATACTCCACTTAGTATAATTTTTGATTAACCAAGTTTTCATAACAGGTGTCAGAGGATGAGAAAGACACTGAGGATCCTTCTGATGGAGCAGCCAAATCAAAGAAGAAGAGGAAAAAGAAGAAGAAAACCGAGGAGGAGGCAACACCAGAGTCTCAGGTAGGAGAAAAAAAAAACACGCATGCTAAAGAGATTGGCAATGTGAGCAGAGGGATTTCCCTGTTTTGATGATGATGTTGCATTTGGGTGATTGTAGATGGTGAGCACAATGCCCCTAGTCGATACAGTGACGAAAACCCAAGAGCCCCCTGTGCTGGCCTCCAAAAAGCAGAATCAGAGCATATCCTCTCAGAGTAAGTGTCAACACTTTATCTCTTAATTTGTAATCGCCCAGAGACTGACAACTTTTTTTTTTACTTTGATAATGATTATTTAATACATCTTTCATCTTTAACCCACTTACAGAGAAGTCTGAACCAGCCATGGAGCCTCCAAAGCCCTCCCAGAAGAAGAAAGTCCGAAGGGAAACATGAAGTCTCATCACAGGTCCATACGAAGCATATGCAAATGATTGTTAATGTGTCACATGCAATAATTACCAGGTACAGAGCTTATTTCAGAGATACATCAACAGTTTATCAGTTAATGAAACAAAGAGAAAAACAAGCAGTGGATATTTTTCTGCTTGGCTTAACAAAGTGATGAAATGTGGTCCTATGGACTGAAATCTTAACTAATTTGCACTATTTGCTACACTGCAACCAGGGTGGAGATTCAGTGGAAGTTGTGGCAGTGAAGGTACATGTTTATGTTACCCTTTTTTTGGTATCAAAGGTGTTTTTTTCCCCCACCATTTGTTTAAATTATGGTATTTTTAGTTAAACTGCAGTTGACCTAAAAATACATCGCAGGTTTATTTAAATGTACGCAACAAGTAAACATCTATTATTATTATTATTCCCCTGAATATTGCTCTTATTTTCACCAAACTGATGCCCCATGTCATTGATTGAAGTGTGTCAAAGTACACTGCATTTCACAGCTGGTCTCAGATCAGAATAGCTCTGATTTTCTACAAGAATGAAATGCCCATATGTGCACTGAAAGCCTTAAAGCCGTTGGAAATTCGACAAGTCTTAAATGTTTATATGATATCAAAGCATTCATGAAATCTGAATGAAATGAAACAGCATTTCTCCTGACTGTGTAGGCGAGGTATAAAACGTTTTGATTTTGAGGTCTGCACACGACAGCAGCAGAGGAGAATATGAACTATTAAGTGCAGAGTCAGAATAAGAGAATGACAGCTTAGTTTTTTACTGGAGAAGTTTAATATAATCGTAGGCAGCTTGGTGAGATGATGATGCTCTTTACTTGTTCTTGAGGTAGAATATGCATGGCTTGATGACTTTCTGCTAGATTGATACTTTAAAACTATAAACCACTGCCAATGACAAGACATCATTGGTCAGAACAAAATACCACAAAAACAACCATTCGCAGATGCTGCAGAAGCTTGAAATAAATAGGCAAATTGATACTGTATGATACATTACTGATGCTGTACTGTTTGATTTATATACTGTCTTAAGATTGGCTGGTGAAATCTTGCACAAGTCTCAATAAATATAAAAATATTACTAAGCGCAAACCAGTTTTTAAAAATTACTCAAATGACAGCTTGGTTTGAACTATTTTCTAATATCTTAAGATGCCAACTGTAATGAACAGCCCAAATAAATAGCAGTAAAAGGCGAGAGTGGATTTGGATTTCCAGTGGCTTTAAGGCCTGTTTTGATCAGCCCCACCACTTAGGCCATAAAGTACAACTACAGTGTAAAAAATGGGGTACAAAAGTCCAGTATTATGGTTTGTGCAAAAATGCATTAGCTAGAATGAGGGTCAGCTAACTCAGAGGCACCTTGATTTTGCCATCACTGAAAGCTGAAGCCTCATAGTAGATGATATCTGAAAGTCAAACGTCACCAAAGGATTTCATACCCTGTTTCTTACATTGTCTTTACTTTACTGCAGAATTGTGGTCGTAACAGCGACCTTTACTCCTCAAGATTAGAAATAAAACATGAGTGTTAATGGATTTCTTCATCCTTTAAACAGTGTGTTACAAAATTCGTCATTTGATCAGAAACACTCCTCTTCTTGTTGGCGTTACGGTTTTAAAGCCCTCCTTTTATGAAGAACGGCAGCTGTGGTCAGGTTGAATTTTGAGTTGATTTGAGTGCTGGGAAGTCTGGAGGTAAAACCGTCTCTATCTCACTCCTGCAGTGTAAGTCATTGCTTCACTGTCCAACAGATGATAGTATGCTCTTAAGATTTCAATCCCAAATATCGTTGAATCCACTGCAGACTCTGGACTCTGAAGCAGTGGATTTAGCAGATTTGTCGGTATAATGAGTAATCTTCGGAGCACATATCATGAAACGAGCTGAAAAGACAAACTGATCGGTCAGAGCAGATACTTTTCTCAGAGGTGTCCATAAGTTAGAAATTTGTGAACTGATTCTGACTCAATGTCGGGGACTGTTGATAACTGTTGTATGGAGAGCACAGTAGCTAGTTTGAACCACCAGGTGGCACTGTAATGTGAAGTGAAGATGTAGTGGGATAATCCCATAAATCAGTAGCACTGATAACTATTGTCTCTCTACTTTTATCATTCTGAGTGTGTCTGTTTTTATCTGACTAAACTGTGCGTTGATTTTCTATAGACTTAATTGTCCTTTTTGCACTCTATAAGTTTTTTAGAGCATTTTTCTTCCAGTTTTGTGCTAGAAAAAGCCATGCCATATGTACAGATTGTAAGGGCTTTTTCCAGGTATGTGATTGCACTGTGCAAAAGGCAGTAATGAGTTCCTTTGATGTCAATGAATTGTTTTTACTACCTTTTTTGGAATGTGAAAAGTGTATCTTTAAAGTTTGCACCCGACTCCCAGGATTTCTGATTTGGGGGGCGTTGGGCTCGACATAAATTCAGAATGGATACAGAAATATGATGTGGAGCAGCTTTAATTTTACATCAATGTTGGTTTAAAAAGACACACACACAATTACACATATTTAACATATAAAAGGAATTTAATTCCATTGCCTTAACCTGTAGTTGTATAGAAAGTACATTGGCATCCTTTTTATAGTTTCCATCCAGTTGCAAGTTTTTTGATGTCTGAAAGTAATTTCATCTTGCATGTCTTTGATAATAGTACCTGTGTACATGAAATTAAATGATCTTGCTTTAACTGTTAGTACTTGTTCCTGGAGTTCAACCCAGTGTATATACTGTACTAGCTTTTTTAATGAGACAAATTGCAGCTTTTTTCCGTGGGCCTAAAATTTAGTGGACATTAACAGGATCGTGTTCGTAGGGCAGAGAGTCTTAGAGGGTCACGACGTTGATCAGACGGTATTGATACATAGTGTTTGGTAGACCTGATAGAACAAAATGACATGTTGCTGTGGCTTCAGGCGCCCTTTTTTTGTTTAATTTTTACTGATGATTAAGATTCAATCAATGTATTTATAAACTTGTCTCTAGAAAGCAGTTATGTGAATGATTTTGTTTATTGAGAAGATACAAATGATATTTCTATGTTTGTTTGGTAAAAATGAAAAATAAACAAGAATTGCTTGATATCATGTCATCGAAATGCAGTATTTTGTCTCTAACATTTTTGATTTATTTGGAATACCAAAGTTGACGGTTTTCTCATTCTCACCAGCTCACCTGTTTTCAAACTTGTTTTTTATCGCTTAAATAGCCTAATCACATGAATAAAACGCAGGTCTTTTCAGGCAACATCCACTCAGCTCTCTCCCTGACCGTCATCTTGCTTTATATGTTTTCTGTCAGACTAATCCCAAATCTGTGATTAGTTCTAGGTGGATTCACGATGTGATGTTGTAAATCTGTGTCAGCAGCTCGGTCTTTGCTGTAGTGGTTGTAGTGACCCCTCTAAAGGCCAAACTGCTGCCCCAGTCTGTCGCATGGCACGCTTACAGAGCCTGACCTCCTTCTCTTCATCACCATCCAGCCCTTATCTCTCAGTTCATTTAGGATTTACCAGCTTTTAATCTCCTGCAATCTCTGGCGCACTGTCCATTCACCTTAGCTTTGGAGAGATGTCACGTTTTATTCGGCCGTTCCCCATCGGAGGGTCATTGTGTGTGGAAACTGCTGAAACATTTATAGTAAAGGTCACTCTCAGATGGATTGCACTCGGTTGCTGAAAGCTGTACTCTGAAAATCATTGGTAATGATGTCTTAATGATATTTACAAAGTCCCCAACGTCCGACTGGGCACACGAAGTAGATTTTGGAGTGTTGGCAGCGTTATACACCCAATGACACATTAATTGACCCAAAAAATGTTGTTTTTTTTAATTTTGGGTGACTTTCTTTAGGGTCTTTATTGACACTTTTGTAAGAGACATGTCCACACCTGCATGCATCTTTCTGCTTAATAGTTTCAACATCTTTTTGACTGATATAGTTTGTAGACCCTTTAAATGCATCATTGATTTTTTTATGACCTCTTCAAATCGTCATCCAGCCTTCAAAGAGCTGGTTGTCTGGACCGTAATAAGTCATGGCTGGGGAGGAAAATCCCCTAATGTGACGACGATGAGGTCCGCCCACCAGAGCTTAGTGCTGTGGTCACTGTCCCATCTGTCGGGCCTGATCCAGGATGTTTGCACAGACGGGACAAACTGACCGATGGATTCTAGATTGTTCTAGTAATACTCGTCAGTTTTCATCAGTATTTCATCTCTTGGTTTCATTGTGGTCACATGATGTGAATATATCCTTAGAGTTTGCTAGTAATTGGGAAACCCACCTGGTTTTACTTTAATAGGTCAACAAAGGTGCCCTAGACAAAATGTGTCCTGCTGGGACCTTGTAAACCCTGTTTTTTCACCATGATTTGCACAGCATCTGTTGGTCCCAAACTGGAACATCATATCTCTCTAATTTTTTTGACTGTTTAACAACCATCAACCTATGAAAAACTTGTAAACACAGCATTAGCTTAGGTAATGAAGGTCTTTTAGTTGTATTTTGATCAAAGTTCTGTTGTCAAAATAATCTCAAATTCTAGTAAAAATGACACCCAGTCAGTTTAACAACCTTTTTGGCATTTTACACTGCAAATACCCAGTAAGGGATCAGTTTTGTTGTTAAAAGGACAACGAGAGGTTTTATCTGAAAAAGAAACAATACTCTCACATGTGCCAAGTTATCAGTTTGCCCACAGAAGGTGCCAATATCAACACAAGCCAAAAGTTCCTTACAGCAGTTTTAAGAAACCTTTGGGTATCTATTTTTTTTAAACTTTCTTTTAACTTCAGGTTGTATTTCTTAAGATTTTAATCGATCTTTTTGCACACCACACCAGAGCCAACTTCAGCTGTAGGGTATACAATGAACAAATGGCACTTAAAAGGATATTCCAGCGTAACATTAGTAGGATAGCAATACACAGTGGTCTGAGGAGCCACAAACAAACCTCAACCAAAACGCCACTCTATAGCCATGAATAATGCTCAGAACAGCACCTAACTTCATCAACAGTACATATAGGGTCCTAACCATAGCACTAGCCACCAAACATCTTTTTAACTTTGCCTAATTTCTTTAGCAAAGAGACTAAACACAACTCACAGACTCTCTTTCAGCAGCTGCTTGTTTGTAGTGAGACCGCAGGCCAGTCCATTACAGACTGCTGTGGGGTGACACAGCTCAAGGAAGAACATTTATGATCATTACTTTATCATTTCCTTCAAGTAATAATCACCATATTAATCATTTTGTACTGTGGACACGGTAGTTTTTCTGCCTTAGCGTCTCGGTCTGATTGCATTTCCATAAAGTAATGATCATAAATGTTCTTCCTTGAGCTGCGTCACCCCGCAGCAGTCCGGAATATACCTTTAAACACTGAGAAACAAAGTCAAATGATAGTGGTCACTTCATCACTTCATGAAGCTGTGAACCTAGATTCAGTCTAAATAAAGGGAAAATGTTGCTCAAATCTGAGGTGAATACGTTGGCTACTCATCTGACCAGTCCGTTATAACCGTATAATTTTATGAGCGCAATAATCTTTCAGTTTAAAAATGCTCTTTTGTTTACTGGCATTGCTGAAAAGGTCTTTACAGAAGGACTGCGCCAATGCCAGGTTTGAACTGGAATATTCTGGGTGATTATTAAGCATCCATCCCTCGGATCTTGGTCAAAATCCTCCCTGGTCACGTGACTCCGGGATGAGCCAGATTAACGGCTGCTCTCTGTTTGCCAGGAGTCCACTTGCGGAAACAGGCGAACATCGTCTCAACACACACAGACACAGACACTGGATGTGGCGTTCCTAGCACCGAGGACGAAAGCTATTCCTCGTTTTTTAGGACATTTATAGTCGTGGTCAACTAACTTTCGGCAGCATTCATGAACTAGCTTGAAATTCATAGCAGGAGGAATCATGATTTCGCCGTGGGACCGGTGGTACTCGACGAGCTGCTGCTTGTGCTGCCATGTACGAACGGGCACCATCATTCTGGGAATATGGTATATGGTAAGTCTCATTTTTCACTCGATGTCAGTTCAAGATTTATAGAAATATGCCTTTATTGTGTAATTCAACATGATGAAAATCAACCGTGCTTCAATTCTTAACAGCACTAACGTGAAACTGCGACTGCTGTTTTCTTATTTGTTGTCGACATTCATTTGTGTTTGCCATTTTGAGGCAGGAGGTGAATAGAGGAATTTCGCAAATAAAGAAAAACAGTCACAACAATGTGTCCATTCACAGCATCTTTTCGGCCTCAGAGACATTTTTATCAAACATACTGAAAACATATGTTTTATGGATACTGTTGAAGCTGTTATGACATTATTGGTAGAGCTCAAATGAGAAAGGTCTGAAATGTCCCAATTTAGCACCGACTAATTATAGAGTTTGCGCCTGTTATTACCTGCGACATAACCTGAAGTTTCAAACATAGTGCAGTAAGCCTGTTAAATCCCTGACCTTTAGTAAGCATTAGTCTGTTTGACCGTGGTCCACATATATGTATACATATATATATACACTTTTAGGGCCCAGACAGGTCATCTGTTATGTTACTTCCATATGGCAGAAATAGTGATAAATAGTATAAGGATCACATTGCCAGAATGACCATGGTGCTTAGACATAACCAATCCTTGTTGTACACAATTCAGCTGATCAGCTGATTGAAAGTGATGGATTTCTTAAGATTTTGATCCATTTTTCAATGATTGGAGAGCAAGTTTGCAAATGGGCAACATATAATGTCTATAACTTTTTGATTTTTTTTTATGTGATAAAATACATGTATTCTGTCATAACAACAGTTATTTAATGCACAGTAAAATATAAGGCGCTAGATGGATTTTTAAATTAATTTATAAAATAGAAAATTAAATTTGGTTTGCTGTATATTTCAGAGCATAGCAGGTATTCATGTCAAAAGCATGAACTGCCTTATTGTATTCATCATGACGGAATTTATATTACGCACTAGCTAGTAATTTATCGAATATCGAATTTCTCCTTAGGGATAAGTAAAGTTCTTATCTTAGATTCGATGGGCAGTCATTCTGGACGGGAAAAATGTGTCATCATTTTGGGAGACTTAAATGCTGCTCATCAGTCAACAGACAAGGTTGCCTGCAGTGTCTGCAGACATTATTGCGACTTTGTAATCAACTTCATGAGTGCAGGCATTGGTCGATAATGGTATCTCAAAATGCAGTTAAACAGCAGAATAAGGTGGTGGCTATTTAAAAAAAAACATGGATCAACCACTTCATAACACCATGATGGACCAATGGTAGTTGACGGCTTCTCTCATTTTCTCTAATCAGACTCTACAACTTGACTGTAAATAATAGATGACATAAAACTTGAGACATTAGAACCCAGACAATTACATTTAAATAAATAAAATTCAGGGTATCTTATCTTATCTTAACTGGCCTGACAAATTAATCGGCTTGTCTCTCATTTTAAATAACACTACTTTGGATGCTGGACTTACAAAGATGTGGCCTTGGGCTCTGAAAAACAGTGATTTGTATTTTTGGAAATATATCAAATTGATAGCAGGTTAAGAAATTGTTAATAAACAACATTAGCACATTGTGTCTCATCATTTACTGGTATCAAATGTTATTTTTCCAACCTGCAGTCAGCTGTATAATATCTTAAAGTGTTACTACATGGTCTACTCAACCCTCTTATCATTATTTTACTATATTCCTACTCTATTAGATTAAACATATAGTAACTATTGATCTTCATCTCCCACAGCTCATCAATGCCGTGGTCCTACTCATTTTGCTGTCAGCTCTCAATGACCCAGTTCAATACCGCTACCACCTTACCAGCTCCGAGCTGGGAACTGACATTGATGTCATGGATGATGCAAGTGAGTGCAACCAATCCTCTCGTCTCTCATTGTTACATATGTGGCTCAGTGTATGTTGAGTCACATGTCTAGATGTTTGGATCTTTAATGCTCTGCTTAAATCTCTATGTTCAAGATGTACCATTAGGGTTTGATTGTAAGATCTTTGGTAAGGTCTGTGTTTTGTCCTTCTTGAGCATGTAGTTTCTCAAAGTCAATATTATATTAACATGGAATCTAATTTAATTTAACTTATATTGTTTTGGCGATGTACTAGATTCTTCTCATTTAATTACTGTCATTCATACAAACATTTCAGCTTATCTAAACAATAATAAATTCAATGGACACTGTGAAGGCTCAGTCAGAAGATTGCTAAAATACAGAAAACATGACCTTTGATGGCTCTGTATAACATGATTTATATTCATTTATCACTTTTTGTCAGAGTATGCCCATTTAAAAAACTGAGGTCACAGTTTGTTTCTGTGTTTTGCAGCTTTGAGTATGCCTATGAAATTGCTGTTTGGTTGCTATGATAATCATCTGTCATATAAATTTACTCTCATCTCATAAACTCAAGGGGATATCATCAAATTTAGGCTGTTTTCTTCGCATTTAAATTACACTGGCCACTTGTCTTGCCAGGCAAACTCTTCACAGCCTCTTATTTTTGCAGCTCTAAAATCGCCTCTTATTTCTGCCGACCGCTTCTTTTCCCATAATGCTGCTCTCAGCACAGACATACTGTAGCTGAGTGAGCTCTCCTCCACAGAGAACAAATCAGAGAGCATGTGTATTTTCAGTGTTTCCCCCTCCAGCAGCTATCATCATCACAGTCGCCTCTGGAACAGCACAGACCCTGTCACTGGCCACTCTGATTAAAAACGACTGCTCTAATTCTCTGTCGGATTAGAGCGGCCATCTTGACTTACTCCCATCATTGGATGGCATTGTTGCTTGTGTGGCATCATGAAAGATGGTGAAATGGTGGGAATGAGGGAAGACGAGTAGATTTCATCGATTTAGAAAATATTAGCCAGATAAATTGATGTGTAGTCTAGTGTAGTTTGTTTGTGTTGCCCTGCACATGTTTATTATAGAGTCTCTTGTAAAAGATTGAATCAGAGGGGCATCATCTTCACACATTATCACAGTAATACGAGCACACGACATCCAAACAGTCATGATTAAACTGATTTTTTTCATTGAAATTTTGCTTACTACCAGGGATGCATCAATTACAATCACAGCCGTTATAGCCTCTGTGCTACAAGTCCAATAACTGCCAATACTGCGTAGTGATCTGGGATCCCTTCCACCAACAGCACACAGTGGATGCCTTTACTGACATGCTTCAGTGACACGGACAAGTGCTTTATCAGGCAGTTTTCACAGCTGTAACGTGAATGTGAGAAGGGTGCTACATTTTGTTAAATTTAGCACATCTTGCATAACAATTACCCACGTGCCAATCATGTTTTGTCCGAGGCAGATCGAGTGCTAAAAATAGGGGATGTTACTTAAGGTGTTTTTTTTTTTAAATCCGTGTCCCATCAAAGACGTTTGGATTACGTCAGTGGAAAACGCAAGACATGGAAATGTGTTTGCTCTTCAGGAGTAATCTGGATGATCTGATCTCACATTTGTCTTTTTGTCTGTGCGCCTTTTCTGCAGATATCTGCATAGCCACTGCAATATCACTGCTCATGATTCTCATATGTGGCATGGCAACGTACGGTGCTTATAAGGTAAGTAAACAAACACTAGAAATGTGGATAAAACAAAAAATAACGCTTTATGATTTCACCTCACCTGCTGTTTGTCTCTCTCATTTAGCAACACGCTGCTTGGATCATTCCATTCTTTTGCTACCAAATCTTCGACTTTGCCCTTAACACGCTAGTAGCCATTAGTGTGGTGGTTTATCCCAACACGGTGCAGGACTACCTCCAGCAGCTGGTGAGAACCATTTCATTGTAACCAAAATGCCTCGATTTTTAAATACAGGCTACTTTTTGTTTTCTAGTGTTGTCTAAGCTAGAATATATTTGACTTAAAAGGAAAGAATAATAAGAAAACAGTCCACAAAAAGAGACATAGTATGTAGCTAAAGAATTCATTGTAAACCCTTTATCATTTACGAATGAAAAGTCAAGATTTGCTCGACTCTGACACTTGTTTTTACCTCCTGTGTTACTTCTTTCATGACTGGTTTTTTGTGTCACTCTCAACCCCTTCCTCTGCCTTCCAGCCGGGTACATTCCCTTACAAAGAGGACATCATGTCCACCAACAACATGTGCCTAGTCTTCGCAGTCCTTCTCTTCATTGGCTGCATCCTTTCCTTCAAGGTAAAGTAAAAAGATTCCTGCCCTGATGCAGACTCTCTGTAAAATGACGTCTAAAACTGCGCAGATACTGAGAAAAGAGAACGCTCACTAAGTATAATTATGTAGACACAGATTACACTCATTCGCTGAACATTTGTTCCCTGTAGAGCTGCCTTTTTATAGATATCGCAGCATGATTAAGGCTATTAAATCTCACAGTGAGCACATGAATATGAACCATATGGCACGTATAATTAATCTGCCAGTGTGAGTGTTTCCATTATCAATGCTCTTCGTGAGATTATCACACAGTCAGAGAGCAGCGGGTCAGGGACAACAGGAAACCAACTCCTGTCAAGCTAATTTCCCCTCAATGCATGGATGATTCTCCGGGCGTAGCTTCGCTCTGGGGCTCTGTGACGAGAAGGGACACGGAGTTGCAGTCATCTGTACAATCAAATCAACTTGTTTCTCCTCTAAGCTCAGATTGGAAATGTTCTCGGCAGATATCCAACGCCTTTGCGGGGGTTTTATGATAGGAAGCAGCCACCGGAAGATACACTGCCGGACTATCAGAGAGGCGAATTATAAATGTCAAGATCGAGCAGAAAGCTTTGTTGCACAGAGAATATGCGGTGGTTAAACTGCAAATTTCAGCATTTACAGTGAAATATAACATGAATATAATCTTAAAAATTGCACGTTCAGTATACATTTGTGTCTTTAAGGATAATAGTAGAGCCATTCAACTAAAAAAATGCCAGATCTCAAATTTCAAGGAGGCATTCAGCTCTCAGCACACAGGCAACACCTGCTAAAGTTCCTGCTGAAGCCAACATCCTCCACTTGACTGCACTTGGCATTAATGACGGATACAGACAGGCAGGAAGAAGGGCGAGAAGAGAGGGCAGATGTAGACGGATGGATGAGTGAAAAGATGGAGACTACTGTACGGCATGGAAAAGGATCTCTAACATCAGAGTAGAGCGAATTCATGTTTTTATTCTTCAACCTTCTTTAATGACAGAAGTTATTTCGAGATTGGATGTTAATGTCTCAAAGTTGAGATTGTGCTCGATGAGGTCAACTCAGCAGATGGTGAAGCGATTGGCTAGCAGGCTGCTTGGTTTCCTGGTTGGTCAGTTGGTTGTGCTTACTGCTGGCAGAGGCACCAACTCAGCAGGCTACTCACACATAAAGACAATGAACCTCCTGTTCCTCTGCCAACTCAGACAAACCTTTACCCCAGTGCTACCAAAACCTTCCTTGGGGCCAGAGAAGCCCGATGAATTGGCTAAAAGAAAAAGAAAAAAAGAGGGGTGACACGGTTCAGGGAATCGCCCTGACTTTAGCATCTTAAAATTTTACTGGGATTTAAAATTCAACACTTACACCCATCTTAGTGCAAAGGAAGCAGATCTTTCATATGGTACATCCCTGCTGTCATCGTCCCCAATCTTGATGAATGGGTGAGATCACACTAAGCTGCATGTGTAATAATGAAAAACATAGCTAAAGGTCAACGTGTGTTGTTTGTTTTCACCTCCTGTGGATAGGCCTACCTGATTGGCTGTGTGTGGAACTGCTACAGATACGTGAGCGGCAGGGGCACCACTGAGGTTCTGGTTTATGTCACCACCAACGACACCACGGTGAGTCCTCACAACCGTCCTCAAGGACACAGTGAAAACCCCTTTCACTCACACCAGACTATTATTGAATTTGTGCTGCATGGACTGTTTAATGATGTGGTTCAGTTTTTTATACAAGGTGAAGATGACTCCATAAAGACTTTAAGAGCTACAGTTAATCAACATTTATGAGCTTTATTGATATTTACTTAATTATAGAGTATTAAATTTTGTATGTAATTGCAGTTTAATGAGCTGATACCACTAAATACACGAGGTAAGGATTAAAGGAATTGTAAATTTTCACTATTATGGTTAAATAGAATCATTTGTGCTTAGAACAGCAAAAACCTAGTAAATGTAAGTCTTGTAAAACCTCATTAACCTCAACCTCCAATTTCTTAAGCAAATCCACGAAACAGAAAAACTGGTGGGTTTTTTTTTGTCAATTGTGGACAGTGATGTCCAGTTTTCTAAAACACTGATTCAGCATGACAAAAGAGGAATAATGCTGCGTTTGAGGACATTTTTTGAGGAAATAAAACACAGACAGAATTAATGGAATTTTATTGAAGTGTTTGGAACTTATGCTGCGTTCGAGGTACCTCGGAAGTCAGATGTTGGAGCTGGAAATGACGTCACACCCAAGTTCCCAGCATTTCGGTTACAAAGTCGAAAAAAAAGCTAAATTGAAGGTGGAAACAAAATAGCTACATCTACGAAAGTTTTAGCGCTTGCCTCTTGTTTGTTACTTTTGGACAAGGCGAGCGTTAATATAACTTTCGTAGATGTAGCCATCTTGTTTCCGCCTCCGATTTAGCTTTTTTCCAACTTGGTAACTGAAACGTTGGTAACTTGGGTGTGACGTCATTTCCAGCTCCGACATCTGACTTCCGAGGTAACTCGAACGTAGCATAAGTTCCAAACAGTTCATTAAAATTCTATTAACTTTGTCTGTGTTTTATTTCCTTGAAAAAATCCAAAACTTTCAAATAACAAAGTAAGTAACAATTTTTCTGGTTATTTTTTTCGACCTTCAAGAGGTTTATGTTAGTGACGTTTATAAATCGAAACAGTCCATGAAGTCCGATGAAGAAAAGGTTTGAAGTCACAATCTCTACTTACACACCAGGGTGAAGAATTTAACCATTAACCATCTCAAAAGGGTTTAATGCATCAGAAATGTTGAATTCTTACCACTGACACTTAAAAGAGTTGTTTTGTGACTTAATAATAATCTCTAGAAACCTTCAGTGTTGTGGTATTTTACAGTATAGAGTAGACATTGGTAGAATAGTGCTGTGTGTACAGTAAAAATGTCCAAACTGGAGACTTTGTGTGTTGTCTCCATGCAGTTGATTCCTGTTGACAGTGATGTGACATTGGTGCTGTGGGTAGCAGTGCAGTAGGTGCTGTAGGTCATCCCGAGGTGCGATTGGCTGGCTGTGCAGAGCCTGGTCTTGTCCACCCCCTTCAGTGTTGACTCACGGGGTTTCTGACAGGCTTTAGCATAGTCACGGTTTCCATTTGTCCGTCAGTCTGTAATCCTCCACAACACATGGATACATAAGACATTAATCTGCCTCACACCCGCTGTCGTCTCAATACCCACTACTTCATCTGTCACTTTGTCCTTGTTGCTGTCATGGTGTTGGTTCACTCTGAACTCTGCGGACGTTTTTCCGCCTTATGAAACACGCTCCATATGTAGCAGCTAATCCAGTAGGGCCTCTTATCACACGGTGACCTTTCAGCTGATATAGTGCATCCACATGACAGCGTCAAAGAAATATTTAGTTTTTTTATTTCCCAGAGCTGAATTTCAAGAAAAGAAAGAATCAATCAAAAGAATCTACTCAGGATTCTGAGTAGATTGTGCCTGTGCATATCTACAGCTTCTGTTGATTAAGTTTTTATTGAAGAAAACTCAATAAAAATTTCCACAAGAGCTGTCTGTAATAATCAAAATAGAACAATTATAAAGTAAATATTTAAGTGCAATAGAAAAGCTGTTTACTGTTTCATTAATTCACGCTCATTCCAATCTAATAAACATGGAAATCTCAGCCAGTAACATGCTTTAGTTGGATTTTTAGTTAATTAATGGAAAACAAAAATACATTTGATAATGAGACTGGTTTTAGAGCATGACTGATATCTATTAAAAAAGCAAAACTGAACAAAACTGATATTACTGACAAGATAGTTTTTAGATTTGTTGTGCAGTCATACTGGATGCGGAGAGACTGCCGATATAAGGGCCAATCCACCAGCCAATTAATCAGTTTATCTTTGAATAAGGTGATATAGTATATGGAATGATAATAAGGCCCTTTTTTTCTTGAAATCCCACTATCTTTTCTGTTATTTTAAGGTCTCTGACACAGAGGAATCTGTGGCCTTTTGCTGTAGAAGTAGAAAATACTTGTTGGTATATTTTTTTCTTCAGTTTTCAAATGAGATTTTTTGATATAGAGTTTATTGGATACTGGAACGTTAATCTTCATCTCTCTGTAAAAGAAAATAAATGATGTCTTTTTTTGGTTTGAAACTATTAAATTACCATTGATGACCTTTAATGATCTTTAATGGTGGTTTATAGCCACCATTTAAGATATTCCAATACCACCACGTTATTTTTTTTAGAAATATAAAAAGTCCTTAAAAATTTCCCAAAGAAGTTAATATCATATTCATACAAAAAAAAATTGAAGATAACCACAGAGTCAGCTGTTTGTAGTTTAAAGTAAAAGCCACAGGATAAGCTGTAAAATACCCCTTACCCTAACATGACTAGTATCTAACAATAATCTGTAGCACACAGTTGACTCTGGTCCTCTAATATTAGCCAGTATAGTGACATCACAGTCTTTTATCCTCCACACACAGCGGTGACTGAATGGAACTATTTTTACCAATAAAAAGCCAGCACTGTGTCTAAATGGCTTTCTTTCGCCTCGGACATCAAGTACCCGGCTGCTTATTCGCCGTGCTTTTATATAAATGCCATTAAAATGCACAAGGGTCGCCTCTCTCTCTTTTTCTCTTTCTCTCCCTTCCTCCCTCTCCACCCCCTCCTCCTCCTCCCTGTATATATCTCTGTCCATCCTCTCTTCTTCTGGACATGTTACATAATTGTCTGCTTGTCCGCTTCATTTCAAATCCTCTCTGTGATGTGTTTGCCGGGCCTCCCTGGCTGCTTCACAATTCCATCCCCTCAGAGCATATTCTCTCTCTCTCTCTCTCATTCTAACTCTCTCGCTCTCTCTCTCTCTCGCTGAATTAGCAGCAGGGCTGGTTTTATAACACCATTTAGAGAAAGACCTCAGATAGAGATTGCAATCTGCCCTCTAAAGCCCAGAGATGTGTGGACATTATCCTTGAAGCTAGTAATGCCTTCTAGAGGGGTGGAAAAAGAGAGTATGAAAGATGGAGAAGAAAGTAGTAACAGTCCAACAGATTACTTATTTTGTATTATATAGTACAGTCACCCTGAATTTCCACCACATCCAGAATGGCGGCAATTTTCACCGTCCGCCAATTCCTACCGGATACGTTTGTGAGGTGAATTTCGTACGGACAGCAGTAATCGTGAGAATTCACAAGAACCCACGAATTCACGTGCAATTGACAGCCAGATAGACTGACCATATAAGCAGTAGATTGTGTCCTTCCAGAGGAGGAAATCTACTTCTGGACTTTTAAAATCAGCATCCCCTCATCCATGGTTTTATCGGGATGAAATGCTGTCTGTAAACCTTTCAGTTGTTCGTCACCGCCCGTTTGCATGGTGTGAAATACGATCCACCTGAAATTGAAAAGAAGCCGGATGCTTTATTTTGTGTCTGTGCCCGATTTTCTTTCCAGCACGGGTTAATCCGTCTTGAATTTATCCGGCGTGCTCTGGCATCCGGAAAAAATAGAACTCTTATGATGGAAATTGACACAGTAACTTGAATGGTTATGATCAGCTTTTCGTAGCTGTTCTTGATGCGGTGGAAATTGGGGGTCAGTCTTCTTCCCCTTGTTTTCATTCATTTACCAAATCACTTTTTACATTCCCTCCATGGTAGGTACATTTTCTTTTTCATCCTAAGACCTGTCTGACCTGTCTCCCATCAGAACGGTTTCTATATCCGAGGTTTGCACCAGGACTAAACCTGATTCTGGTTTGTCATTGTATTCCAGGTTCTCCTGCCACCCTATGAGGAAGCCATCGCCATACCACCCAAGGAGCCCCCTCCTCAGTATATGGAGGCATGAGAGGAATCCTTTCCGGTGGACCCTTCAAAGCAAACACCTCCCAACACCAACCTCATCTCCCCCCAACTCTAGGACCCCAACGCTGGCTGGAACATGTTGAAAAACAAGACTAAACAAAGTCTTAGTGACTGGTTCCAGCTTGGATCCTCGCCAACCTTAGATTAGATTAGGAGGACTCTGAGCCAGTGTCGCCATCAACCCTCCCCGACGAAAACACCATCCCAGGTTGTTGTGACGTATATTCCACCCCTGTCATATCCTCTGTCCTCCTCCAAGGACAGAATCACAGCAGCTATAACCGCTCCCAACACCCTTAGCTCCTCCCACTTGGCAGCTGCTGTGTCCCCTGGCAGCGTCTGAACTCTTGCACGTCCCCCCCCGAACACTCTGTCCCAACTTAATTTGCACTTTTCTTTGAGTGAAATGTGCACTGGTCAGGCCACCAACTGTTAACCCCCCCGATACTGTGAATCTCCCTCCTGGTCTTTGTCTAGAAACAAACTACCTGAAGAGAGAGAAAGCAACAGAGAGAGAGAGAGAGAGAAAGAAGGAAAGCGACATACATGATCAGTTATGCAAGAGCACTTTTTTTCAGAAAATGATAAATCCCTTCATTGAATGTAATGTCGAGGTATTTTTGTATGACTTTTTTGTATAACAGTGAAAACAGAGAGAAAAAGAAGCGAGCAGAGAAAGGCTGTCCTGGTGTGATGGATCACCATCTGTGTATCGATGTATCTTCATCCCGCAGGAAATCCAATTGAAAAAGGTTCCTTGACCAACGACAACCACTGTATGTCTTCCTTTGTATCCACGTGAACACTGTCTGTAAACCTGCTTCCCACTGACCGCCAGTGAGAACCTCGTGCACCCATTGACTTCTATCGAAATATTCCAGTTTGCCTTCCTGTCTGTTCCCATATCTCAAACTTTAGGACTGGCATTAATGTAATCATCCAGTGAGGCACTTATCACAAACGTTTAATTTATTATCACTCTTCAGGTTCTCTTAAAAGATCAATACTGTAAAAGTTTCAACTTGTTAACATTTCTGAGTGAAGAAGACGTCTTGTCTTGTATTCCTGCGACACCGTTGTTCGTGTCTTTGTCGTGTTTATTCTCTTCTTTTTTTTTTTACATGGATCATGGTGTAAAAATCTGATCTTTTTAGTTTGAGCTAACTTAGCTGGACTGAGGGCATTTTCCTACAAAGACGGTGTGACATGCTGCTGTATACGCAGAGACTGTCTAAACGTGTGAGTGTGCGAGAGAGAGTGCGTACGTGCGTGTGTGTGTGCAGACCTGAGTGTTGTTGTGCAACTCCCGGGTCCTTTAGATGTAACATTTCTTTTGCACATACAGTGATATCATGTGGCGATATTTCCTGTGCTAGTGACCTTTTGAAACAAAAATGGATGGGAATCTAAGGCATTGATTTAGCGTAGTGTTGTAGCACAAAACGATTAAACACGCAGAGCTAGAGAAGCTAGATGAAGCTTGTCTTTTGTCCTTCTGCCTAGAACTATTCAGGCATTAAGTGGAGACATATTAATGGAACAAACAGTATTAGCTAAACCTTAGCCCCTCTCCTGGTTTTTCCAATAATTCCTATGTAGTGTTTGATATCAACAGGAACGCATCATTTTCTCACTCAGACTATGCAACAGTGCAGAACAACTTGTTAGACCTAGAAATACTTGTACCATGGTGTAGTCCTCCATTTGATACAGATACTGTAGTTGGTAATGTAGCCATTTGTTGGCCCCTCTGTCATTGTTCCCGTGTGAATTACGACCACTGCTTCTGCAAATCCAACAAAGCCGAACGATGAAAATGCACTTTAAATCAGCGTGGCGGGCTCAGTAAGAACTAATGTGTTTGTGTTTTAAAGGTGTGTTGTAGCTGAGTGTTTCTAATATATGAGCAGCAGCTCTCCTCTGAATGATGGACGCTTGTGAAACTAATTCAGATTTGTCAGGAGGGATGTGACTGTGACGCTGACAGATTCTTACCTGACCGTGAAGAGAATTTGAGCTGAGTCGTGCAGAGTTTGGGGGGGGAAGGCTTGCAGTTTAATCTGGACTAGTGGACGGCTGATGCCTCATTTTATTAGAATCACTCCTAGACTGTTCTCTATCGCTTTCCATTCACACACATCCTCTTGTTGGATCTGCATGAGCTCATGTCTTTAATTCTGAACAATAAAACGCTAAACAAGTCTGCGTCTGTGTTTGTTGTTTTTAAGCTTTTTTAAAACCATTATCTTTAAAGCTCCTATAAGGAATTTTGTTATGTTTATGAAATACAGTGAATTCATATTGATGCCCTTTTTTATGACATATAAAAGCAAACAAGACCATCAAGGACAAGATCAACAATCATTATATGGTAACTTTTTGATATCTTAAATCTGTGCGAGGGGGTAGGTGTCAGACGAGCGGCTGAAAAAAAACAGCACAGAACAAAAGTTCCTCACAGGAGCTTTAATGGAAAAAATGTAAATAATTTAAAAAAAAAAAAGTTGTCATTAATTAGACTAAATCAAATTACATGGTGAATTTTGATAAATGATTAAAGGAAGAAATTGATATAGAAAAAAACACTAACCTTAAAACAATGCCACTTTCTCCATAAAATTCTGGTTTTATGAAGATTGAATCTGTAAGTTTTAAGCAAATTATAAAACTTTTTTCATGACTTGACATTTAAATTTAAAAAAAAAAGTCTAAGACGGTAAATCTAACAAACCTGGCATAACAGCCAAGCACAAATGATAAGGTCAAAGTACCAATAAAGCGCTTAATCACATTTAAGGGTATCTCAGAGATCACTCGACCACGTTTGGCAACTAAAGAAGCGTCTACAAGGGAATTTTTGACATGTTTTCAATTAATAAAGCACCAACAAGAGCATATCATAATTTCAAAAAGTTTGGCTGCCGTGTAAAAAATTTAAACAGATGTTTATGGTTTGGAATTTTTTGAAACTAGACATCAAAGTTGGAACTGAAAATGTAACTATTTGGTTCTTGCCTAATTTCAGCTGCTCAGTAGTCCAGGTCTGCTTTGTCATGATTTTGATTTTATGATGCACTTAGTATTTTTGATACATAACAAACTTGGGCTGAAGGCCGGCCAGTTTAGCATCCAGACTCTTCTACTACAGAGAGAGACCATTGTAATATGAGTAAAAATGTGATTTGGTTTTGTCTATGTGAACAAAAGCAACGTCAGGACAACAGCCTATCGATGAAATGATGTTGTTGAAGTTAGGTGCTGTTCTGAGCATTATTTGTGGCTATAGAGTGGTGTTTTGGTTGAGGTTTGTTTATGGCTCCTCAGACCACTGTGTATTGCTATCATGCGGTCTTTACTATAGTTGGTATGAGTAGAGAAGCAAGCAGTCTGCAACATTTACCCCCTCAATGGCAACATTCAGGGGGTGTCTAACTCGGTGTTATGGTGTGTTCGACCCTAAATTAATTTTATGCCGGAATATCCCTTTAAATGTTCATGTTCAAATATGTTTTCTCTTTTGCATGGTGCAGTTTTGACCTTGATTTGTGAATGCAGCAATGGACTAAATTCACTGACAATATGATTGAAAGTAAGTCCATGCGGTGATTTATACTGCAGGGTCATGTCTGGGTTTTTGGGCTAACTTTAATACCAAAAAAAAACAAACAAACAGCACAAAACCTAATTTATTGTTTGAACATAGATATGACAGGAATCATATTCTCTATCATTCAAAAGAAACTAAGTCTTGTTCATATAAATGTGCTCTTTATCTGCATGTTTGACTGGAACAGCTCTAAATCTTTCATCAGCAGATTGACTTCAGATTATTTTACCGAATAGACTATCACGTTTTGAGGTTATGACAATTCAGAAAAAAAAAAGCTTTTTCAGGCGATATGCGTGCGTCCTGCTGCCCTCAGAAATTCGGCCCTCCTCTCAGTGAGGACGAGCAGCCTAGCAGATCAGCGAGGATTTACATCTGTCCGCCTCAAAATGGAGGCTGGCACTACCTTGGGTCTGACAGCCGGCTAACAGACAGACACGCTCACCTACTTTCAGCCAACAACAGCACGGGGCAGGGGGAGAGGAAAAAAAAAAAAACAAGTGGGTCACATTCTGCCTGTTTTTCTTGCCGAAATGTTCACCGGATGCAGATACAGAAATGTTGAGTGACATTAGACCCAGAGGGTGGCTTTGCAAGAGTTTGTCTGCAGACTTCAAATGACCTGGATAGTGTTCAAATCCTCCACAAACAAAGACCAGCTGAATTCAGTGTTCATGGAATGTTGTGCATCATGACTTTGCCCAGAGACTGAGGCAGAAACACAGAATATCAATAAATCAATAATGTTGTGGGTGGAAACATAAAACAACATGGAAACCAGAAAAGAGAAACCCGTGTATAAAAACTTTTACATACCCAGAAATTTATATATTTTTCAGCAAACAACTTGATTTGAGAACAACCAAACACTGAATGAATGAATGAATGACTGAATGAACCTTTCACAGTAGCTCTGAAAAGTAAAGGCCTGGAGGATGCTGCATGAGCTCTAACAGGCTTTAGAGTCTATTTATGGTGCGGATAGTCCACACTTGCTCTCAGTGGGTGCAGGGCATCTGCAGCACGTGAACAGATCATCTGGGATGATTTCATTCGATTTAATTGGGAATCAAGAAAACGGCTTACAGAAGCAGTGAGGGGGGAAAAGTGGGCCAAACTGCTCGATGGATGAGGGACGGCTTAAATCTTTGTCTCTGGGTACATGTTCCAGCCTGTCAGAGTTTTTTTTAAGTGAACAAATATACCTGCAATTACAGTCATATTTCAATTTTGGAATTTTGATTCAGGTGTTCATTAGTCAAACCATTTCACAAGGTTTTAAAAGTTTAATTTGGCACGACTGTAATAATGTTCACAAAAACAAGAGGTTAAGAAAAGTAATTTGTAAAGTTTGTAGGACTAGAAAGAGGTCAATTCAGATGAGGATTCTTGCATTCCTGCAATAAATGGTAAAGTGAAGATATCCTCATTTGAAATCTGAGGTGTGGGTGAAACTTTAAAAACTGGACTACGATTCCCATCATAGTAAGAGTGCATTTTAGCCTTAGCTTTTCCCTTGAGTGTTGACATCTGATGAGACGGTTAACACCCAAGAGCAACTCAGTAGCTCTTTCTAGAGCTCTTAGCTAAACCACAATGTCTAAATCATTAACAGGAAGTTAGTTTTTAGGCATTTTTACCTTTTTTTGGCGAATGACTGAAGTAAAACAGGATTAGAGGAAAGAATTATGGCACAAATTATACAGCCTCTACATACAGCACCTGCCCGAGCCACTGAGATAGACTGGTGTTTGGTGTTTACACTTAAAATCACTGCCAACACAGAACACTTTTACACATGTTGTATGAATGTGAAAAGACACAAAACCTATGGGAAAATATATTATGTATTAATAAAGTATTCGGGATCGATCTACTTCAGAGCCCCGCCCTGTGTATTTTGGGCATAATAACAGAGGGGATAGAGTTATCACCCCCACAAACCTTATGGTGTATATTGGCCCTCACTACCGGGTGTAGGATTGCTCTAAGACACTGAAAAACAAGAAATATTATACAATTTAATGAATGGGTGGAAGAAATACAGGATACAGGAGCTGTATCTTGTCTGGGCCAGAAGCCTGATATGTTGTGGGGTGGAGACTGTGAGGATGGGGGAGTCAGGAAGGATGCTGGAGGTGTTTACTCTATGTATGTAGATATAGGTAATTATTAATATATTTTTTTTTCTTTCATGTTTCGTTAAGTTCTTGTTACTGTTTATATTCATGTATGTTGATCTTTGTGTCGTACTGTTAAAAGGCAAAAAAAAGTAAATTACAATAAAAAAAAATCACTATCAAGACTTTCACAATCGAGAGAAAACTGTAATTTACTTAAGTGTGAATAGTTCATAAACTGTTTTTTCTTTTGTGTGTTCATCGCCTTTAACAGGAAAACGTGCTCGTCACCCAAAGGAGGTGACTTCATCTCTTTTTGGGGAAGAGATTTGTCAAGAGACTGTGCTGGTATCCAAATAAATCATCATCTTCAGCCTGCTCAACCCAACACTTGAGCGTAATTGCTTGTCAAAATAATTTAGTAGTCATTATTTGAAGGATAGATCTAGCAAATTAGGTTCACTTGCTCTGAGACGAGATTTTCTTCTTATTAAACTGAGCTCAGAACACACAGGTTGAACTAAAACTCTGCATTGACAGTTTCCAAAATCCAGAATTAAACCATTTTCCTGTATACTTTGATGCACCTTTTTACTTGGAGACATGACACTGTACATGTTCAGTAGAGAAGTAGGACTTTTGTTTCTTCACTATCAACTCCATGTGTGTTTGAGTGAAGGTAAAGATAAACCATAAATTAAAAGTATAAGGATAAATTATCTAAAATTCAAGTGTTTTTTCTTTAATATGATTAAATATTTTCCCTCTGTGTTTCTGGCTTCATGGTGTGTGACAGTTTCCACGTTCACCAGTCAGAGGACATCAACAGTATATGTGACAGAGACGGCCGTCATCCTAAAGCCCTTAATACCTCTGAGAGAAAGTGTCCTTACTCGATTACAGTCAACAAGCCGCAGCTATTAAAGCGGGCAGATATCCCCAAGGTTTACGTAAGTGAGAAAAAAAATACTTCTCAAAGACCAGCAGTTGCGTAATTTTGACATCAATGCTGTGATAAGCGGTCAGTTGGGTGAAACGTCATTTGCACAGCAACAGATAATCCTGTTGTCATGCTTTGTTACACAATTTACCAAAGAAAGATTAACTGAGATTTCCAGAATTGTTTACTTTGGGTGAAATTTGAGTTTTCCTGCCGACAGCTTTTTGTTATTAACATGTCTCTGCAGAGACCAGAGGAAATCCCTGCAGGACCTTCAATAAGTTAATGGAGGATATCTGATACAGGAGGAAATCAGAGGAGCAGACTGATGCTCTCTAGTGGACACTTGCAGGGAATAATTAAGGGTTTGGACATGCAGCTTATATTAATGAGAGATGACATGACTGCAGTATGTGTCGTTAACACCGATTTTATTTATAACAACAGGATGGGGAAACAGCTCTACTGAGGTGGCTGCTGCTGATCTGGCATGCTCCTGATGATGTCAGAATCGCCTGAGGAGAAAGAACAGTCAGACCATCAGAATACACTCCATCATATTTCAGAGAAGAGAGATTATTTTAAAGTGACTCCAATAAATGATGAAGCAAGTCAACATTAAGAAGGTGAATGTTACCAATGGAGCATTCATAGACCTTCCAGAAAGAACTGGTAGGTCATCTGAGAGCTCCAAAAGGCTTTTATGTTGCGAACCACTAGTCCTGACATGGACCACTTTGAGCCGGTCCAACAGGCGCAAAAATTCGCACAGAAGAAACCAAGCAGCAGAATTTACAACAAACCATCAAAACATCAGGAAATAAGCAGAGGTTTTGAGTAATTTTAACGATAAATTTAGCTGCATTTAATGAGAGAGATTTTTTAAGAGGATCATTTCAGATAGTTTAACTGTGTTGTAGCAGGGATTAAAGAGCAAATCATTGAAAAAAAAGTACTTGTCCAAGAAATGTATCATAAAAAGTACATGAAACGAGACCCTGGTGGATGCTACAAAGGATGTACTGAAAAAAACGTACAGTTCATGCAACAAAAATGATCTTTTGCTTTATAGTTTGACTATGCAGCAGCAGCAGATTCCTCCAATCAGCAGAAAAGTGACTGTTAATTCAAATTTATTATTTTCTGATTGAGGATGTTTTCACTAAGTTTAAGGCCTAGTGGTAAAAAAAAAAAAAGATGGAACATGCACAACCATAAATATACATCAGGCTGAGTTCATCACAAGTATGACCATGCATACTTGTTTTTACTAGTACAGTTCCCACATCTCAGCCTGCATGTGCTTAGATTTTCTCTTCACAAAAAGTTTATCATCTCCTTTTAAAATTTGTGATTCACATGGGTAACCTCAGCTGGTCCAAAATCCTTGATAAATGCTGAAGAATTACACCACTGTATTACACACATCTTATATTTTCAATGTGATGAATCGCAAGGGTCTTGATGCTCGATTACCTTAATGTCTAGGAGCAGGAGGAGGGTGGATGTAAATGCTCTCCTCTTGAATCATATTGTTGTGGTTTATAAACTGTGTGGTTAAATTGGCTTTTCGCTGTTCTATTTTACACAGAGCATACCGACACAAGCTTGTATATGAAACCTCTTATTCCTCTTTGGGCCCCCTCAATCATAAGATAAGTGCTGGTGCTCATGAGCCAAAGAACAAACAGATATAAAGGAAAAAGCTTGGCATTCAATTTCAGCACATTGATGGTGTCAAATCAAACATTAGGTACCCACCGGGGTCAATGATGGCCAGTGTGCACACCCTGTAGTACTTTCCGCAGGCTGTGCCGAGCTCAATGTTGTTTCCACTGTAGTGGTGGACACCAGTCTTGGCCAGCATGGCGTAGTACTCAATCTCAGATTTCCTGGACAGGACAGTGACAAAGAGAAAGATTAGACAAAATGGAAAATTAATAAACTTAGAATAATAATAATAAACTTGAACTCTGCTATTATCCTGCAGACTTTAAAAGCCCAACTACTTTAAATGTTTGGGCACTTACAGAGCAATGAGATGATCAGAGAAAAGAAGGCTTATTTAGAAGGAAGATATCGGCTGCTATGGGGTGTCTGATCCGCTCAGTAAGTTCATTTCTGTAACTAATAGTACTATGGGTTTCTTAAGTTTTACAACAAATTGGGCCAGTAGCTTTTTTTGCCTAGTTATCCTCACAAACTAACAAAATACTATTATGCACATTTTACTATTTTGTGTTGTATATCATGTACACACTTGTGTATTATCTCTTGATTTTTACTTATTTTATTTATTCTTTTTCTCCTCTTCTACTTTATTTGCACTACAGTTACTTTAATGAAAAGCAAATTTCCCCCTGGGGATTTTTAAAGTTTTTCTGATTCTGGAAATAACCCAATTAATGATTAAAAAAAAAAAAAAAAACATACACATTAAGATGTCTACAAGTCATGCTGATCTAAAATCTCAAAGCAATGATGTCTATTTATAGTATGTCACCTTTGTTTCCTGTGATCTGTATTGATACACATTTCAATCATCTCCGTGTAATTTGATAAAAACACTAAAAGAAGAACATATCCTCCCCCTCCCTCTGGTAAACTTTGTTTCTGGATCAGGACTCTCCAAGGCCGTCTCCTGATATCAGACGGCTGGGACATTTGTGAGGGACTGAGATTGAGACGATTACGAGAGTGGGTGAGTTGTGTTTAATCTCTCTGCTAAAGAAATTCGGAAAAAATAAAAATCTGTTTGGTGGCTAGTGCTATGACTGGGACCCGATATGTACTGTTGATGAAGTTAAGTGCTGTTCTGAGCATTATTTGTAGCTATAGAGTGGCGTTTCGATTGAGGTCTGTTTATGGCTCCTCAGACTGCTGTGTATTGCTATCGTGCGGTCGTTACTAAAGTTGGTATAACTAGAGAAGCAAGCGGTCAGCAATATTCATCTCTCAAGGGGGTGTCTTAACTCTGTGTTAGTGCTTTTGACCCTAAATTAATTTTACACCAGAATATCCTTTTCATATAAATACGGATTACCTTGGTCTTTCTCTATTATACATGAATGACTGACCGAATGGTTGTCTTTGTCTACATGTACCTGAGGGCAGGGCAGTTGTTGGCTAGGATAACCAACTTGGCTTTTCCCTGACGGATCATCTTCTGGGACTGTTTGTAGCCCAGGACGTATTTCCCACTCTTCATCACCAGCTGGAGACGGGAGTTGATGGACTCCATGGACTTTTTCTGAACCAACACACACACAGATCCAAAGTTAGTGACAGTCGCAGACAACTTAAACCACTTTACTCTATCCTTCCTACAAGTGAGTTATCTTTATAAGGATTTAAGAGTAAAGATAATCATTTTCAAGCTAGTGTTATTTTAGATACAACATCAGATGGTTTGATTTAGCATCAGTAAGGTAGCCGGGTGGGTTCAGTGTCCATGCACGAGACGACAACCGACTAACAGATGGACCGACTACAGCGAATAAAGTAGGTGCATGTTTTACACATATCCAGCCGTCTAAATCCAGTCAAAGTGTTCAATCAGAGCTCTTATAACTCTTTCACACACGGCGCTAAACTGCGAGCTAACAGGCCGTGACAGCTACACGTCTCCACGTGAAGCAGCAGCCTGCCTGTAGCAGCGCGTGCGCTCAGGGCCGAGTCCACTCACCGTTTTCTTTGCGGCCACCATTTTTGCGGTTTAGTCCGGTCCGGCCAACCTACGGGCGAGAGGAGAGAAGGGGGAGACTGTCGTTAAAGTCTCGGTGGTAAAATAATGATAAAAAAGATTAAATTTGTTTTATTTTTGTTAAGAAAACTCAGAGCTTCTCTTACTGTGAGTTAACTCCAATATGGCCTCGGAGAGAAAGGAAGTCCCATGATGCACTTCGCTGCTATCTGTCGGTGGACCTGCGCACACGAGTACTGCGCAGGCTGCAGTCTGTTTACAGATTTTTATTTATTTATTTATGTGTAAAATTATTCTCGTATTTAGGAAAATATAAATTAATCAACTTTTAAGCACAATGCGTCAAAAATAATACGACGGATTACCCCCAGATGACAGTGAAATGATAATATTAGGACTTGTATTCAGATCTTCAAAGAAAAACATCAACACTGCATCCAAAGTAATCAACAAACAACCATCGGCCAAATTGTCAAATAATATTAGAAAAAGGCAAAAATTGTGAAAATAGCCGATCTACAAGCTCACACGCCTCACAATACAAGATGTTACGGGCTTGTAGATCTGCTATTTACACAATATCTATATGTGGAACAGAGTCAAACAAATTGGGGGTTACCCAGTTCAAATATGATTGTTTTGGGGGGTCAAGTCCTGAAAAGGTTGAGAATCACAGTACTAGATGGCAGCCATTTTGAATATCGTGGTCAAAACAAAGTTGCATGATTAAAACAATGTCAGATTTGGAATCCTCATGCTTGACTTATATGGAAAAGTGCCTTCATACATGATTCTAGGTCATCCAGATCAAAAGTTAATTTTTAGAGATGGCGCCGGCTGCCATCTTGAATTTAGCTCTCTTGCAAAAAATGCTGGGATTTTTGCGAGGGACCTGGGGGCTAAATCTTTTCTAAAGGGTCCATAGAGGTCAAATCGATCGTCAAAACATCCTTGCCAGAGGATGGTCACAGAATCTCACTTCATGACCCGACTATGAAGTTAATGACGCAAGAAAAGTGGTGATGCAAAAAAAAAAATGTAATAGTTAACTTACTGTGAAAAAAAAAAAGATGTGAGCGGGGACCAATAATGATGATGCACCGGTGTTTTGAGATCTTGACACAGAATATGATGGCGAGAAGACAAGCAAAGAAGTTAGCAGAAAGGTTATTGTTTAATTTCGCTTCGTGTGCTTTTCAGTGTGGTTAGACCATGTAGCGCCTGAGTCGATGTGAAGTTGATCTGAAGGATGCTGGTGTAGTGTTAGCTTCAGTCCAACTTCATATCGACTCAGTCCAACATGGCCTAACCACATTAAAAAGCACATGAAGCGAAATTAAACAATAACCTTTCCACTAACTTCTTTGCTTGTCTTCTCGTCATCGTCTTCTGTACCTAGATCGTAAAACACCGGTGCATCATCATTATTGGTCCCAAGCAGCTCAGTTCCATTGTGGCTTTTTTTCTTTGCATCCTTTTATTTTCGCAGTAAGTTTTTTGTTGTTGTTGTTGTTGTTTTCTTGGTTTTTTTTGCATCGTTAACTTCTGTTTTTTTTTTTTTTTTAAATCTGCATCATTTCTTTTTTTATTTGCAGTGGGCTTCTGTTTCTTTTTTTGTCATCAGTAACTTTCATTGTGACTCCTTTTTTTTTTGCATTATTTTTTTATTTGCAACATTGGCAGTTCTCGGCCACCGTACTTTTAAACCGAATAAGAAATTTGTATGAGGCATTTATACAGACTATATTTCGGATCTTATGTTCTTTCGTAGGCTTAGTTGCAACAGGTTCACTTTCTCTGCCACAAGAGGTGGCCGCAGCACACACACTGACTGAATAATGTATTTTTGTCCCTCCGCCAGCCTCCTAGAAACAGCCTAAGTTACAGTATACACAACAAAAGCCCACATTTCACCTGTTTGCTCTGGAGTCCCGTAGTTACAGCACTGAAAGCTGAGCGCTGTTTTTTCAATGAGGAAGAACCATAATGCTCTTTCACACGCGGCTCTGAAGGAATTTGAAGCGTTTTAAACTCGTCCTCCGGAAGCTCAGCTGTTGCCAGTTTTGAGTCCTCCTCATTTAAAGAAGGGATATCTATGCACGACGTCATCAGAGCAGCTCGAGCTTCTCCTCACCTGTTCCACCCGAAGTTCAACCTCCAGTCCTCCATGAGCACAGGGCAGGATGGGATGCTCCACCAGTTCACAAACTTCTGCGGTGGAAACGACCCGACCGAGTGCTAAACCTGAGGAAAGCAACGGAGCCAGCACAACAGGTGAAGCACCAAACATTTCACTAGTCGGAAAACATAGTGACAGGTAGCATTCATTGCGAGGATATTCAAGTAAATAATGAAAAATATCATGGACAGTTGTCAACATTATACTGGAAGCTATTATTCTCTATCAAATATTAAAATTTCTACACTGTAGCTTCATGTCAAGTACAAAAATGTGTCCGTTTTAAAGCTGAATTATGATCTATGCATGAAATGTCAAGCACTGAAAAAGGTTTTACTTGATGTTTTTTCATAGCTAAATAATATCTGTACATTTTTATGATGATTACATTCAATTTTTGTATTCTCCAATGTATAAATAATTTACACATAGCCTATTAGTCTTGAAAAGTTTTGTGACCAGTGTTTGGAAATGTCTCTGCCACCTCAAACAGAAATTACACTGTCACTGTAATGATACTGTTGTCAGCTGTGGGATGATAAATGCTCCCAGTCTACATGCAAATGATCAATGTGTCTATCTGGCGACAGTATCTGGTGTCTTCGGTTCTACGGAGCCAGAGCTCCACAGTGACAAGATGGGAAAGTTTATTGTGATTATTTAACAGTGGTCTATGGCACTGTCCTCTCGGAGAAAGACCAAAGCAGATTTGGTGACAGTCTACAGTTTCAGTAGGAAACTGAGAAGCCACTTTGGACACTCCTTTATAGTAGCGGGACAGAGATGGCCCGGCCGTGGTGCTCAGTAACACGCATTTCAAGATAAAACACCAACACTGGGTACTTTGTGTGTATTTGGACTAGTTCAGATCATAGGCTAATATACATTTGTGCGATTTACCTTTAGAAGCTGTCAATGTTTATGTTTTCCTAACCCGTGTGCTGAACAAATATAATGAACAAGACTTTGTTTGCATTTCTGCCAGCTCAAGCATAAGTCGACAGAACTCCGACAATAAGAATGTGAATAACTGGTCAAAGATTTACTTGGCTGGACCCCCTCTGAGCAAGAGGCTCTTACTCTCATTTTCACCTTTCAAAGAAATATCAAGGGCCTGTTTGTACAATTGACACACATAAATTAACATAGGAAAGATAAAGTGAAGAAAGGAACAGGCCACAACCCTGGTAAAGTGTGTAAAAGTTGTTACTCCACAGCTGACACTGACCTCTGACCTCTCTGTAAAGGCAAAAAGGAAAAAGAGAGTTTCTCCCTGTGGTTTAACGTAAAAAATCTCACTTTTATCAAATAATCATGGCTTAGTTTCAGCCTTTGCTTGTAAGTCACTCTTCAGGTTTATCAACTAAGAGGCACTCAAACACAAGGAGTTCCTGTGACAGTCTCAGAGGTCAGATGGAAATTTCTCAGGATCTACTTTTTTATTTTTTGCATACGCCTCATTTGCTCATGCAGAAGAGGGCTGACATTGTTCAGTGAAGTATGACTCCTGTTAACTCAAGGATTGCACCTGTTCACCTAAAGTTCACCCTGAAAATATGATGATTTAAAAGCATTATTAGTGTCACCTTAAAGTTTGCATCTCTGCTGACAGATGGGACGTACAGATTTATTATTATTAGTGTAGAATTTGAAGTTTCTGTTTTTACTGAGTCATACATATATTTATGTGCCCAGCTCACATGAGCTGACATGCATGTAAACAGCTTAGGTCCAGAACACACAGTGGCCTTATCTAGGTCATAAAACAAAATAAGTTCTTTAAACAAACCACACAAATTGAAGACACTTAGTTTTAATCTCTTACAGGCTTTTGAGACAAAATTTGCATGTTGAAACACATCAAACTTAAACAGCCGTTCCAGCTTTTGCCTTTTAGATCACCACAAGGAAACAGGGACTCAGTTTCCACCTCATCCAAATCGCAACTCTCAAAGTCTGTTTTCCTGTGGAATATTTTTGAGTCGACCAACTTCAGCGACCAAAAGACACATACCAGATCTCAACTGCACGACTCAGGACCTTTGGCTTCTTGGACAACAAGATATGACACTTAGTTCAGAGATGAAATTAAGTTTGATCTGCACATACGTCCTTAGTTTGGGTTTGGATAGATCATTTTCAAACCATTATCTTTTAAATAGTAGAATAATATTCTTAAGTCATGCAAAATGTTTCTGGTTTTTGTAAATATCTTGTTTATATAACCCAAGAGGTCAACCTTCAGGACTTCTCTGATCCGTGTTTTACAGCACTTTGCAATGCAAATCCCTTATTTTAAAAAAGGCTACAAGGTAATGATACACAGTGTTCCTGAAAGAACAGTCACCTGTTTATAGAGCTGAGAAGTGCGGTGCTGATTTATAACAATGAGCATTATCAGGAACCTCTTATGTGTCCTTCATGCATCAGTGAAGGACACAGCTTTCTTATTTAAATGATAATAAATATCAGAGCATCTGTTCATTCCTGCTCTTTTCTCCTCTGATGTATTTGTCACTTTGACACAAGTAACATCTGCAGGACTTGAACAACCTGCAAATAAGGTCTGTAGGATATCAAAAGGTGACTGTGTGACAGAGTTGTTTTCAGTGTTGCATGGCACCCAGGTGACATTTGTTACTGGTTAACCTGCTGGTTTTGGATTGAGTGAACTCTGTAGTCATCACACAGGCAACACAAACATAGAGGAAATCCAAACAATGGAAACCAAGGAGCTCAAAACGGACACCCCAAAAGTGTTTGATATTTAAGCAAAATCTGAGAGTGTGTTTGTGATAGTTTCATAGGTTTTTTGTTTTCTGCTAACATATGATTAAAATAAATGGTCTTCTTTGAGATATGACATGAACAACTTTGAGAGAGATAAGTATTTACTTAAAGTACCCACCAAAAACCACTGTCTTTACATAAAAAAATAAATGCAGTAAAGGATATAAACTCTTATCTTGTAGCTTGCAGAAATACAACCATATGTTTCCTAGATTCAGATGATTTTGAATATGTAAGACATACAGATAAAATAAATATCATCATTAAATGCTTAAAAGTGCTTTACAGTCTGAAGTTGCTGTATTAGTCATGAACATAAGTGAACTCTTGTATTAAATCACTAAAGAAAAGACAAGGCTGAGGGATTAATTGTTTTGATGGATTTAACTGCTGTGTTAGAGAAACATAAGGATTCAGATTATTTGTAATCTTTGTTGACTTACTTTTCAGACTCTTTTATTAAGATGTGTTGGATGGTAATATTCTCTGCTCTGCTTGTGTTTCTGACAGGGGCAGCCAATGAAAATGGCCAGGTAGCTGAAGACAGTGAAACCATCCCTGACCAGACAGCTGCAGAGGGCGGCGATGTAAAACCTGTAGAAGAACCTGCTGCAGCTGCAACATCTGTAGAAAACACTGCAGCACCTCCACCTGCAGGGGAGGAGCCCCCGCCTGCAGAAACGGCAGCAGCGCCCGCAGAAACAGCGGCCGCAGAAGCACCTGCAGAAACAGCAGCGACCGAGGAAGCTCCTGCGGCGGCGCCTGAAGAAGCTTCTGCTGAAGCTCCAGCAGCAGCTGAGACAGCAGCCAGCTCCTCGGAGCCTGCAGCTGCTGCTCCTGAGCAAGGTAAGCCAGTGTGGAAAACAACACTACAACAGGTTGATGATCATGGTTTGATTTTTGTGAAGAGAAAAAGAAAAGTCTACCGCTTCTCATTATTCTTTGAACACAAGCTCCTTTCTAAAAAAACTTTGACCAACCTGCACAACAATTAGCTGTGACTCACAAGGATCTCAGCATGTTCTTTTCCACCCTGTCAACACAAAGGCTACCTGGAAATTTTCTGAGGCAGACTGAGGCATAAACTGAAGTGCTAAGTTTTCAAGAATGAATCTAGATCCATGAAATATGAATCTGCTTCTTTGAATATGGAGAATTCATTTACTATCATTGACGAAACTGGCCATAAGAAGAGGAAGAAGAACTTTATTGATCCCCAAGCTGTACAGTAGGTCAGAAAAAATATTTGTAAATCATAATTTTCTTTTAGAGAGAAGGGAATTTAACTGTGATAATGTATACAGCTGTGTACAGTTGTATTTAATAAACATCGAGGCACAAAATGTTCCTCCTGCTCCTCCCCAGTCACACTGCAATGACAGTAACCAGGCAATATCCAACAACACACACACACACGAAGGGTGGCAACAGGAAGGTATCACAAAAACTCTAGTTAGCATTTGAGAATCTTTTACAGCACCACCAAGTTAGGTTATTAGTTATCATTCATAAACTACTTGATCTATACTGTTTGCGGTCAAGTTTGGACCCACATAAGAGGGTTTTCAGTGTGCACGACACTGTACAAGTGTACAAAGTTTGAAACGGGGTTGGAGAATTTTATTTTTTTGATTATTGTTTGTTGAGTTGTTGTTATCGTTACCTTTTTTAAAGTTGTCTGGTAGCGTTTGAAATGGTCAAACACCATTTCGCAGTACAGTTTGTTTAGCTCAGGCAGCTCGGCTCAAAGGAGTAATTACTCACTGAACAAACAATGCCATCAGGATATTGGAAAGGTTAAAACACGACAGGTTGAAACTGCCACGAGACTTGTATGCACATCTATTTTGATTGGCATGTAGGTAAGGAGTAGAAGGACCTGCAACCTCTTAGCAAACATGATAGAAATATTTCTCTGTATGGTTATGAGCCACACAAAGCTGCTATGAAGCGTCATGTTTATTATCTTTTCTCTTATTGCTGTATGATGTAACTATGCAAATAACACAGGCGGCCATCAGCTTCATGAGCTCTGCTCCTAATTTTCGTTTTAGTGTAATGCAAACTACGTCATTTGTTTTTTTCTAAAATATACCCTTATTATTGTGTATTTCTCTTGCAGCTTTCTTTGATTATAACTCATTTAAGCAGCCATCCTGCTTCATATGCCCCAAAAAACTTGTATCTAAAGATTGGCATCAATTTTTGTAGTTGATTTCAGTCCCCTGATGTATCATAGTGGGTTCACCCTCAAGCTTGAGCACTCTGTAAGTTCTGTGTAGGTGTACACTTTGTTGTCATCGTGGTCTCATTAAGGTGCAATCCGAGTCCAGAGAGAATCTAGAGCACACACACACAAACACACACACACACCTACGTTCACATTAACAGGGCTTCTACTGACCATGTCAGGCCCACAAAGCCTCCCTGCCTCTGTTTCACAGCCAAAGAGAGAGAGAAGGAGGGATCAGGTGACACATTAGCAGGATGGACACAACAGCAGAGCCATTTCTGGGTCTATCAGAGTTTGGGGTTCAGATCAGTTTGGTCAGAATAAACTGCAACTAAAATTATGTGATAGAAAAGTTGCAAGAAAACGTGATGTAATATGCAAACATGCAAACACATTTCTAAAAGAAGTTGTTTTCCTCAGTTGTTTTAAAGGGCCAGTTCACTCAAATCACAAATAAATGTCTAATTTATTTACATCTAGTTGCTTATTCCTTTTGGATGAGATTTGAAAACTTGGCTGGTAGCTGGAGAGATGCTGGTTCACATTTTGGGTATTGCAGGAGCGCCCTTGAGCATGGCACACAACCCTCAACTCTGTGCAAGTCCATCCCTACAACTCTAAATGAACTCAAAGTCCATAGGATCCTGTGTTTAGTTAACAGTTGGTAATATATGGATTCATTATCATAGAGAGATTTTCAAGTCTCCCAATCACTCAAAGCCCTACTGGTCACATTCATGCCACATCCATACACCTCAGAGGCTCTACATGTGTGCACCTGCTCAACTAACTGAGTAGAAATGACGCTCCAACAGAGTTTTGATGAGTTACAAAGATGCTGCAGTTTACTGGTTTATACAGAGACCATCCTGTGGTTACATGCCATTATGTGTTGATCCCCTTCCTCTGCAGAGTTCCCCACTTGATCTGAAGCTTTTAATCTGATCATTTGTCTTTTCTCAAACAGACAAAGCAGAGGCTGCAGCGCCAGATCCAGAACCCAAAACAGAGGAGGCACCAGGTGAGTGATTCTGTCATATTTAGATGATCTAACACAATCCATATTCAATCCTCTCTGAGCCATCTTAACAAATGCCTTTTCTTCTTCCAGCTCCCAGTGAGTGAAGTGCAACACAAATATCTGCACAAATGAGTTTGTTAGGATGTATGTGTATGTGAATGTATGAGTCAGTGTCAGTGTGCGTTATACGTGAGAGACGTCGCCTTGTTGCCAACATGCAGACCCTGTGTAACCTCTCTCAGTCAGGGTTCCTCCGTCAACCCCCACCCCAAATAGTGAACAGCTAAAGTTTATATTTACATACTGCACATAGACAGATCCTCAGTGGCTGTGTTTGTTTTTTTCAGAGGATGTAAGAAGAGCTTGAAATTTCTATTTATTATCTGTGTAGAAATTCATTATTTCAAGTTTTCTGAAAAACTTATTATCTTGTCTCCTGTCTGAACCCATATTCTGTACTTTTCTACCAAATTATAATATTGAAAATACTACCAAAGCCAAATTACATTTATATATCCTACCAAATTTGACTGATTCAAGTAATTTTATATTTTACATGACAGGATATGATTTTATAAGATGAAGAGTTGGTATTGTAAAAACTTGACGACTGATTTCAAACTTTTGAAATGAGGACGAGTACATGCAAGACCTTTTTTTTTGTTCCTGATGTGTCATTTATTTTCTCTGTCAGCCCTGAAATCTGTTATAAGCTACAAACTGTCCAAAACAATAAAAAAGACAACCTTAGGATTTGTGTCTTTAATTTTAAATATCTAAATGGAGTTCAGACACACACATGCTGGTTTCACTGTTTTATTGTCAATGAGCTGGAGTTTCATGAAACAGAAGATGAAGCACCAAACTGTTTACAGCACAAAGAGTTTTAGCAAGTTTGGCAACTGTAACCGGGGAATGTTGTACAGATAAAATCTCAACTTAGGTATTGTGATCTGTTAAAGAAAGTATGTCATGTTAGAAACTACAGGAAGAGAAACTAATGTGCTAGACTTGGGGGGAAAAAAGATGTCTCTGTCTTTTCTGTGTTATCTGTATAAAACAAAACACATTCACTAAAAGGTCACTTGATGTTCATGTGACTACAGTTTGTTTGGAACATGGCCGGCTAGTCAGGAGTCAGTGAGAGGGCCAAGAACAGCAATGGCTTCAATTTCCACCAGTCCACCCTGAGGAGAAAAAGAAGGAGATACTGAGAAGTGGGAAATGAGGCAGATAAGAGCCACAGAGATACTCTAGATTTGGGCGCTGGTTTGGCCCCGTGCAAAGAGGATATAGTCCTCATGATTCCAATCTACAGCCTCTTTTTCCTGCATTTCACTTCCCACTCTTTCTCCTGGTTTCCTGCTCTATTTACTGTCCCATCCCCTCTAGTAAAGGAAAAAAATGTTACAGATGCAAACACTGAACAGGGTTCAGTTCATACTCACTCTGGGGAGAGCAGCGACTTGGTAAGCAGCTCTGGCAGGGAAGTTACTGGTGAAAACTGAAAGACAAACATTTACACTTATTCACATATTGTTGTATTGGGAAAAAAGATAATGTGAGCTACATCAATCAAATTGGATAATTATGTGCTTATGTACCAACTTTGAGAAATACATAATTTTAAAAAAATTAAACTTGTTATTAGAGTTAAATTTTAAATAAAGGTCAATTTTACACCATAAAATACAGATTTTTAGTCAAAAAGTTAAAATGTCCTGAAAAAGTTCAACTTTTACCTTACAAAAAAGGAATCCAAATTCATATTTTCTAGACTTATCAAACAACAAAGTGAAATATTTCAAGACTTTTTAGTTTGAATCTTGATGATTTCAGTTTATAGCTCATGAATATCAAAAAATCTGTTTTCTCTAAACGTTAGAATAGTGTGGAAAAGTCCAGTCACTTGTCAGTTATTTCAGTCCTGAAAAGAGCTCTAATTTTCTATGAACACCTGTTTACTCAGCTTTTATTCTCTTTTTGTGCATAAATGAACATAATTTTTCTTGAAGGTTGACATTTTTGTTTTTGTTTTTCTGTATTGGCATCGCATGATATTCTAATATTTTGAGATAGTGGATTTTTGGTTTTCATGAGCCGTAAACTGTATTCATCAAGATTCAAACAAGAAAACTGACATATTTCCCTATCTGTGTGATAAACGTAGAATGTAGAGAAATTTTACTTTTTGAATAAAATTATGGGAAAAAATTTAACTTTTTAGGGCATTAAAAAATTTTTAAAACAAGAATACAAATGCTCTTTTTTTAAGCTGATAATCTATATTGAATCTTTCCTGTAAAATAAGCAAAGATAAAATCAGATTAAAAAAAAAAATCTTTTGTAGTTTTGAAGTTTTATGGGTAAAATCCTAAAGAAATCTCAAAACTGGATCTACCTGTCGTCTTTTAAAATTAAACAACAGCCCAGGATTTCTACATTCCTGTACAAAACATATCCTCTTGTCAAGGTCAGGGAAAGTTTCCTGTCTATGTTTAAGGGTTCAGCAGAGTCAGAGGGGAGCTGGGAGCTCTGGGGGCACAGCAGAGCCTGCTGTGGGAGGATTGGGTTACATCTGTGTGTCTGCACAGTGGTGTCCATTTACGACTCGCTGGGCGCTGCAGCTCTGTTACATCTGTCTGCTGTGATCCAGGAGGAAAAGCCCGGTCAGAGGAGGCTGCATTCATACGGCAGAGGACGAGCTGAGTGAGGCCGTCCGTCAGGTGACTGATACACCTGTCAGCAGTCATTTTCTGAAGGATGTCGGTGTAACATGAGGCACTGTGTCGTCTCATGATAACTCAGGCACAGATCCTGCAAAGTGCACTGGGTATTTTATTTTTAATTGTAGTATAATCTAGTCGTGAAATTGAAACTCGAGGATGGATATGTGTGAGCAGTATTGCACTTAAAACTCTTAAATAAAAATAGTAATTAATTGTTTGCATCTAAAATAAGGAAGCAGAATTTCAGCTTTTATTTGATATTGTCAAATTTTCTAACATTAAGACTTTTTCCAGTAACACTGAGCACTAAGAATCTGCAGATTTACCAACCACATGACAAAAACAGGCTTAAGGATTTTTGTTCATATTGAATAAATGAGGCTGTCTCTGACTGATTTGATTGAAGGGTGCCCCCCTGTGGTTAAATTGGCACATTCAGGATGATTTAAATGTTTTGAAAGTAAAAACACACAGCCTGGTGCGAGTGAATAACAAAGCATCTTCTTACATGTTTTGTAGACCTCATTGACGCTGTTGAAGTCTTTGATATCAGCCAACAGCACTGTCGTCTTCACCACTGAAATCACAGATTACTTTTGTTCAAGTCATTCTTAACAAACTACAAAAAAATCAGATATTACAGAGGTTTTACCGTTGGAGTAGTCACAGCCAGCAGCTTTAAGGATCTCCCCCATGTTGATGAGTGCCTTAGGGACGATAGACAGACAGGGTCAAAGAGTATGTTTAAAGTCAGGTGAATATACACTAACTCTAACACACTTATTTCTCTATCCATACCAAGTCTGTTCTGTTAAATGCTGCTCAATACTTAACATTGTACCTTTGAGTAGTCCCTGTGCTTTAGACATACAGCATGGCAGATTGAAACAGTAAGTGTCCAGTCTGACTCAAACATGGCCACCCATCATCATCACTATCATTTTCATCATTTTCATCACCTGACCTGTTTAGCCTGGGCCTGCACTCCTCCATCTACCAGCTGACCTGAGGCTACATCCATCCCCAGCTGACCGGAGATGTACATCGTTCTGTCCACGACCACCGACTGGCTGAGGATGAAACACAAACACACACAGAAAAATACATTAGTTATCTACGTGTTCTTTAAACTTGATAGTAGATCAAGTATGCATTGGTATTATTTATGTTATTACCCAGGGCCACCCCCTTAAATGTGTTAAGACATGTCAGGTGCATTAAATTTATACTGAAGTAGATGTGTGAATGATCAACAATCAATCTTAGGGCCCCATTGAGGCTTGGGCAAACTGTAGCTTGGACACTACATATTGTGTTATGTGTCATTTATCAAATAAAATTTTATTACATGTGCAGATAAGATTGGTTTTATTTTATAGGCCGGCGCCAACATTGCAAAACAGAGCCACTCCAACAAAGTCTTTAGGACCTTGGTGGAGCAGATTAAAGGGCATTTCGCCTTGAATTCAAGTAATCAGAGGTCTTTCAGTGTCTGCAGAGACTCCGCCCACTGACAACCGATTGGTCAGAGTAGAGACTCCCCTTAACATGTAAAACTATGGAAAGTTAATTAATCATCAGTAAATCTGCAAAATCTGCTACATATCTGTCAGGTTAATGAAACATTTCTGATAATTTCTATAAGCTTTATCTATGTTTTACAATCATAAAGTGAAAAGTTGATTTTTAAGATTAAAGCACAACAGAGGTAAAGAAACATTTGGTAAATTTAACTTTAATTTAACCTTACCTGTATATTCCCTGTCTGATAGGGGCTTTTGGTGTGTAGGGGGTTTGTCGACGAATAGCTGCCATTTGTCTGCTGCCTGTCAGATATTCCTGCTCTGCAAATCTGCAAATGCGTCCTCTGCTCCACCAAATGTTAAACTTTGGCCCTATTTTACGAGGTCCACTCAAACAGGTGAGTTCATTGAACACTAAATCCCGCCCCTGCTCATATACTGGACTTTCCTCGTGATTCCTGACTAGTCAAACTTTTTACCTAAGTACAAGTTAATGCAGCCCACGTGTCGCTATAAATAGAAAGTGGTGCTTGTGTGTGTTTGGGTGAGTTTTCTCACCTGTACGGGCCGATGGCAGCCGGTGCAGATGTAGTGTTGATGATTCTCCTGATGAGCGCAGACATGTTTTCGTGATATTAGTCTCTTTCTCACCACAGAGAGGCAGTGACTTCAGTTTTTGCAACACAGCAGAGGAGGAGGAGGAGGAACAGTTGCTGCCGTAAATTGTCCCGTAATATTTTTTAAAAAGCGCACACTGCATTTTTGTTGGCACTTCCAGGGAAATGAAATGTGAAGGGAAAAGAAAACGAGTGTCGCTTATATTAGGTCAATTACGATACAACAGGTGGCTATTTTACAGTGCCTTGAAAATGTATTCATACCCCTTGAACTTTTTCACATTTTGTCACTCTACAACCACAAACTTAAAAGTATTTTATTGAGATTTTATGACATTAAAAGGTGATTAGGTGACTTCTGAAGGCAATTGATTGCACTCTTTTATTTAGGGGTATTTTTTTTTGTTTTTATTTGTTTAAATTTTTGAAAACCATGTATCATTTTCACAATTCACAACAATGTGCTACTTTGTGTTGGTCTATGACAAGAAAATCTAAATAAAATACTTTTAAGCTACTTTTAGTTTAAGTTTTAAGTAGAGTGACAAGATGTGAAAAAGTTCAAGGGGTATGAATAATTTTTCAAGGCACTGTACGATAGTTCCTGATGCAACAGAATTGAAGTGGGAGGTTTTAGTGTCCCGTTATGTAGTTCAAGATAATGTAGGAACACTTTTTTGATGCCTATCTCTATAACGCATTATAAATATATATATATATATATATATATATATGTATATAATGTGTTATAATCGCGTTATAGCAGTGTATAACTAGATTTATAAACACTCATAAATGATCAAAATGCTTTATAGTGTTATAACTGTTAACAACTCACTGACAATACCCACATAAATAATGCATTATACATATATTTGTTTTATAATTTGCTTAAAAACTTGTTTAATTATCATTATAAACACTCATTAATTATCATAAGGCTTTTTAAAAATAAGTATAACACTTTATAATACCTGACCTTGTTAGTCATGATAAAATGCTTTAGAATGTGTTATGATTATTGCTATAAAGCATTATGATCATTTATGACTGTTCATAAATATAGGTATACAGTGCTATAACGTGATTACAACACATTATACATATATCTATAATGCATTATAGAGAAAGGCGTCAAGTAAAGTGTTACCGATAATATAAGAGAAATTCACTGCACTTATGGTTAACCATAAGTAAATTTTATTTTTCACTTTTTCAAAACGTTATAAAGTATTACAAACAAAATATAATAAATTAAGTGGTTTAAACATAGATGCTTACATTCCACTCTACTCCCTCAAGGCGTTATAAAGCAGAAAAATGAAATAATGGAACAAATCATATAGCTATATGTCAAAAAAGATTTCAAATTTATAACTATACATATCATGGCAGAGCCTTAACGTCAGGGCTTTTTTAAATCGTACAGAGCAAATAGTTTTTGTTAAAGCTGTTAAAGCAGCTTCCACATTAACAGTACTCTTACCTGCAGTTAATACAATAATAGCATTCCACTAAATAGCAAACATAATTAGTTATCGACATGCATAGTCTAGAACACATGGAAATCAAGCCATTGTACTCAATACATGTGGAGAAAATATTAACAGCCAAATCAGCTACCATATTTTAACCAGTGTCACAAAAATAAAAATAAATCAAACACATTTAATAAATAAGATGTGATGCGTGCGAGTGATGATATACAGACGTAACTGATGAGAACAGTTCAGGGCGAGAGTGTTAATGATTTCTGTGATGTAACATATGGAAACAAAAAACAAAAAGACAAAATTAAAAAACAGGCATGATCGATTAAAATTTGACAGCACTGATTGTAGTTATATTTTGATTCTGGTGGTTCAAACACCGGCTCAGTATTGATTACAGAAGACAGTGTAACAGGTCTTAATTAAAACTACATGATTATTAAAATGATAGATTAATATGCAAAGGATATGGGCGTCACCGTGCCAACAACTCTGCATATTAACATTCATGTGTAACAGCAACCTGTGAGTGTTTTACAAGTATTTTAAGTTCAACAAAGTTCATTCATTGAGTCATTACTAATAAGGATATAACATCAAATGTTATGTTCACGGATCCGTTTTTTTCCTTCATTGAGAGATTGTTTTTCTTAGCTTGTCACTTAGTTTACATGTTCACATTCATAAGTAGGTATAATTGCCAAAATTCATAATTTGGGGATGAAAACAAAACAAAAACAACAATTAGGAAGTTGTTGTTATAAAGTACTTGGTGACAATTATTCAGAGCAGGATGACAGTAAAGCTTTACTCCTTCATTAATAACACAACAACAAGCCCACTCTCCTTTACTATCAAGGAAACAAGAATATAGGCTGCAGGAAAATTTGCAGCAAAATTCATCATCCAATTTCCAAACTACGAAACTGTTTCTATGATCTGCTGTGCCAGGCTACTGAATCATCTCAGCTGTTGTTTCCTTCACAGCTCTTGGTAAAAGATGACTTCACATCTATTAATAATGCTGTAGACTGTCTTATTTTAATCTGCGTGAGGTCTATCATAACTTGGTGCAAAAGAAAAACAATAATTCTGACAAAGATGTAAAAGAAAACTTGTTCAGTATTTTGGAATGCTTTCATTTAAATAGATGTAGTTTCAGTTTGGGAATAATTCAGGTCTTAATCCACATCCTTTTGTTCAGTTAAAGCTCTGATTTTTCATTTTAATGATTGCTGGTCAGGGAGTGTGTGTCAATGAGGCACTATAAGAGATGGAGACAGGCCAAGGAATGTTAAAAAAAAACCAAAAGATGCTTTTAAAAAAGAAAATTAAAGATGAAGAAGACTTTTGATAAGATTCAGAATTTGCAGATTGGCCAACTATTAAAACCATGCATGGTCTGTTCACCTACATCTCCCTATTTTGCTTTTTTTCACTTTTTGCAGGTTTCCTTCTCTGATTACAGATCCATTTCCAAAAGAGGAAATTTGTATAACCAGGTTTCAATATTTAAGGCATTCTCAACTTATCAACATAATTTTGATTGTCTTTGGTCATGGACAGGCCTCCACAGCTTTTTCTCAAAGGTATTTTCAAACTAGGCTCTATATTTCTATTTACACGGAAGTCTGAGAATGAAAGACCACTTGTCATTAAGCTGCTGGTTGAACTGCTGCTGCTGCTGCTGCTGCTGCTGCAAAGGGACAGGCTTCCGTATGTGGTGATGAAGTTTCCCTGAAGGTTTTCTGGGTGCAGAAAATGTCGTTTCATCTAAAAAAAAGAGGGGGTTACACTGCAACAATAGTCTGAGTTCTAGTTTTTGTTGCAGTCTTGATTATCATGCACTGGAGAGCAACTATGCATGAACAGGTGAAAAAAAATCTGAGATTTAAAGTGGAGGAACAGCATCCAGATATACCATGGAGAAAAAGGCAGATGAGTGTAGATTCCCAGAGCACAAATGGAGGATAGAAGAAGCCTGTAACTTCATGAAGAGGGTAATTAGCAGACAGCCAGAACAGCAGTGGACTTCCAACAGAGACAACAAGGTCATCTTATTTCCTCTGGGTCAGCGGGAACTCAAGTTTTCTGGTAATATTGGCTTACAGAACAGGGACCGGGGGGAGAAGACACTCTCAGAAGTTCTGTTGTCTTCTCTTTTTTGCATCCATGGCATCCAGGATGGGCTGCCTCTTGGCGGTGTAGCGCTGCCTGAGCTCCTCGATCTCTCGCTCCATCATGGGGTCCAAAGCGCTCAGTCGCATTTGCAGCTCCTCAAAGTCCAGGTTCTTCAACTAGTGATTGAAAAACACACGTACAACAAGGGGAAATGATGAATCATGGTTAGTTTCTGTTGTGGACAACACGAGCGCTGCTTCTGTTTTTCTTTTTTTAACCACTGGAGCTGGAAGATGTTACTCACAAAGTCAAAGTCCCCGTCCTGAGGCACCTTCCAGTTGTCAGGGAAGACGTTTTTGGACTGGATGTGGTAGCCGGGCTGCTCCTGTGGCTGGTTGTGGTTGTAGTTCTCCTGCTGCTGAGCGGCCTTGTTGGAGTCCTGCTTGTCAAAATAATCCATGAAGGATGGACGAATCGGCTGCTGGGGGGTGGCATGCCCTAAAGAGGAGGAAAGGGGTTTTGTTAAAACTGTTAAACTGAGGCCCGTACGCTCAAACTGATGTCATTTGTAGGATTCTCAAACTCAAACAAACAAAAAATAACAAATTTAACATCATATCCAACGAACAAACATGATTAGACCAACTATTCTGACTTAAGTACAGACCCTTGTGAGTTATATGATTGGTTTTCTTACTCCTCATTGATCCCTGATCTTCCTCCTCCTCGTCATCATCATCACTGTTGATGACCATAGTGCCAAGGTCGGACTCCAGCATGGTGCTGCCGTGTTCGATCATGGTCTGTGCCCCGTCGCTCATAGTGCTGGTGGCCCTCATGGTTCCTGCCCCCTCTGAGCCGGACTTAACCATTGTGTGAGAGTCTACCTCTGTCTCCTCCTCCTAGAAAACACGAGACATTTTGATCAGCTCGACATGTCGAGGTAAAACTGAACTTTGTTGTCGTGTCAGCATACGCACAGAGTTGTCCTCCTCCTCCTCGAGCTCTCTCTGCTGCTCCTGCTGCCTCTTGGCTTTCATCTCCATGGCCTCTGTGATGAGGTCCCTCAGGATTGTAACCGGCTTGGCTTGGCTGATGAATGGGTGCTGGACATAAACAAAAGCAGAAAAAATCTGATTTGTGGCCAAACACTGATCTTTGTTGAGAATCCCTGAGGCAAAGTTTATCTCAGGCATCAGTGTTTTTCAGTCACATGACATATCTGTTTGAATCCTTTGTCCAACCTGTAAGAGCTGTGTCGCAGTTGCTCTCTGCTCTGGATTTTTGACCAAGCATTTCTTCACAAAGTCTGTGAATTCATCTGACCAAAGCTCTGGCTTTCTGAATGTTGGAGGAGGGTTGGTAGGGATCATGAAGATAGCCTTGAAGGAGGAGAAACAGAAGGAAGCAGGACATTATGAACATGTAAGCTGCTTTTTTTCCTTAGCAACTAAGCGGTGGGTTTAAACTCACACTTTTCCAAAAGAGAAATAGAAACATTCAAACTCACTCTCATGGGATGGATGTCAGCATAGGGGGGTTTGCCTTCTGCCATTTCTATAGATGTGATGCCCAGAGACCAGATGTCAGCCACACAGTTATAACCAATCTCCTGGATCACCTCTGGGGCCATCCAGAATGGAGTACCGATCACAGTGTTTCTCTTAGCCATGGTGTCCTAAATAGACAAAAACAATGCTGGTTTCATCTTCTGAACTTGAGGGATTTCAGATTCCCAAATCAAGCAACCAGCCCACAAACCAGTGAAATAATGTTACCGTCAGTTGTCCAGCAACTCCAAAGTCTGCCAGTTTGGCGTGTCCTTCTGTGTTGAGGAGGATGTTTCCTGCCTTGATATCTCGGTGAATCTTCCTCATGAAGTGCAGGTATTCAAGACCCTTTAGTGTTGACTTCAGGATAGTGGCGATCTCATCCTCTGTCAACTGGAGTGAGCATAAAAAAAAACAAAAAACAAAAACAAAAAGATGATTAAATATACTACATATATTTCAGCCTGCATATTCCTCATGAAAAGCTCAGTCACCCGTTAATGTAATAAACCATAGTTCTCTGGGGGTACCCACCGTTTTGTTGCGTAGTCTGATGATGTCAGAGACGGAGCCGGCTCCACAGTACTCCATAACAATCCACAGGTCAGTGTTCTTGAAGTAGCTGCCGTAGTACTTTACTACATAAGGGCTGCCATGAAATGCAGAACAGGGAGGATATTAAAGAAGTTAAAAGTTTCGTTACAAACACACAACAACTGAAGTGAGAAAACTCCAGTTGATTCAGACAGAGAGCTTCACCGAACAATGTTGAACATGTTCTATTATCAAAACACATAGAGATAGTTTTTAGGGTGTGAGGAATCTGGTCTTCTCTAACCTGTCACATTGCTGCATAATGGAGATCTCCTTGATGATCTCCTGCAGGTCAGACTCCACAGGAACCTGCTTGATGGCCACCACCTGGCCTGACTCCTTATGAATGGCTTTGAACACACTGCCATAAGAACTAAGAAACACACACGCAAAATTTCAGTCACAACTTCTCCATAACGTGTTTCATGGATTTTAATTATAAATGTGTTCAAAACAAGTTCAGACTGTTAGATGACGGTTAATTCTTACCCTTCGCCGAGTTTCTCTAGGACATCAAACACTTCCTCTGGTTGTTTGGTTAAACTATCTTCACTCAGCTTCTTCAGTTTGCTGCAAAAATGGAACATAATATTTCTTCACCTGTTCAGATCATTCATCCTTAAAGGGATATTCCGTCGTAAAATTAAATTAGGGTTAAACACACCATAACACCGAGTTAGACACCCCCTCGAGAGATGAATGTTGCTTAGCATTATTTGTGGCTATAGAGTGGCTTTTTGCGTTTTGGTTGAGGTTTGTTTATGGCTTGTTTACTGCTGTGTATTGCTATCGTGCGGTCATTACTAAAGTTGGTATAACTAGAAAAGCAAGCGGTCGGCAACATTCATCTCTGGAGGGGTTTTTTAACCCAGTGTTATGCAGTGTTTGACCCTAAATTAATTTTACGTCGGAATATCCCTTTAAACAAGATGACAAACGAAAGTACTGCAGAAATTTGGAGTCTTTTCAGTCACGCAGGAGTTAGTTAGTCTTCACAATTATTAATAAAAAGGTGGAAATTATGTGATCACAGAAACTGTTAAAAAGTTGACATGAAGTGAGAAACCTCAATGAGTTTGTATAACTTCTGTTTATAAGCCAGGAAAATTTGCTTTGCCTTTTGATGAGGTAGCTGCATAATACTTCTGAAATAATGAATAACTCCATAATTTATAACTGTTATTATAGCGAATTGACAGAAACAATCACATTAAACTAAATCTAAATATCAGCTCCTTGATCATGTAGGCTGATATGGGATGCCGCTCTCATCTTACGCAATATTACACAGCATAGAGTCCTAAAGAGATGAGTTTGTGATCTTTAACAAGATGGTTTTCTTAAACAGCGAACCCATCGTGACGAAGTTTGTCAGAGAAGTGTGAAGTTAAGAAAGTTTAGAACCAGCGTCGACAGAAACCGCCTCCGTTAGCATGTCAGCTAGCTATTTCACTTCATTATAACCAGGTTTTTTACACTTAAATGGACACAAACCTCTTAGGCGCAGTCGGCTCCATGCTGAAAACCCTCGAAAAAAACAAACGGACTCTGTAAGAGTTTTCGGCTACGACAGTTTAGTGTCAAATGGTCAAAATGTGAGCATTATCGCCGGAGTCTTTGCTGATCCAAACTCATAGAGGGCCAGCTGAGTGAGTGATGACCGTTTCATGGTGGGCTCTCCACCGCGCCACCTACTGTCCTGGAGTGCAATAGATAAATTAATAGTAAATACATATTCAATATATAAACCTGCCATTTTATAACATGAATTATTCTTAATTTAAATAATGTCTGCTGTTTTGTTTTTAATTTATATCTCAGTCTGAATTAAAAATGAAATACGCACAAAAAATGACACCGATCATTCTGACCAATCACAAATCACTTTACTGAAGAGTCTCTGAGAGGTGTACGCATGCGCTGAGGGAGTATGCGGCGCTAGCAGAGAAATAAACAGTACACATTTCTCTTGTTGAAACGGTGAGACCTCTTTCTTTAAACTATTCTCATATGTATATCATCCTCACTTTGTGTAAACTGCTTTTAAAGTTTCTCGATATACTTGGTGATTTACTTTATGTGCTGGTTACGGTGGTTTTGCCTCATCCTGTCGGTACAGCCACGCTGTCTCTGTGTTAGCATGCTCTAAGTTTACTCACAGATCTTCTCCTGACTTCATAGGGACGAGAATGGATCCACAGAAAGACCTTCAGCCACCCAAACAGCAACCCATGATCTACATATGTGGAGGTACATTGAATCTTATGTGCATAATACGGTTAGATAACAACAGTAAGACCCCATGCAGTAAATAAAACATAGGGGAGAGTGGGGTAAGATGAGCCATTTTTTATATTTCGGATCACTACATCAAGGCAATCATAGTTTTGTCTCTAACTAGTGTATCTGCATATGTTTTAAGATGTTGTGCATCCCTGCAAACCAACAGAATGAGTGTAAACATAACTGTCTTGATAATATAGCATGCCAAAAAAAGTGGTCTCCTATGGTCAACTTACCCTGTGTATGGGGTAAGTTGACCATAGGAGCGGGGTAAGTTGAGCTGTATCTCTACTACCCCCTCCACCTTCTCTCTCCCTAAATAACAGTCACTTCTTCACATTCATGTGTATTTTTATCTATTATATGCTATTCAACTGGTACAATAATTTGTTTTATTGTTATTGCATATAACTGCTAAAAAGCTGTTTTGTAAAAAGTCATTTTAACATGCGAATGCCTTTAAGTGATTCAGAACATTCACAGCTGTATTTTTGAAAAGAGTGAAAGTATATAATATTTTGTGTAATTTAAAAAAAAAATCTCTTTACCTGCAGAGTGTCACACAGAAAATGAAATCAAGGCCCGTGATCCAATCCGCTGCAGAGAGTGTGGTTACAGGATCATGTACAAGAAGAGGACAAAGAGATGTATCCTTTCATGTGATATGTGTCAATGTGGAGTTTAATGCATTAATACTTAAGAAAGGACTGGCACACTTTAACATCCCAGTTTTTCTCACAGTCTTAGTCATGATTAAGTTTTATTGGAGTTCTATGACAGAAAGAAGCATTGGGTTTATGTCTGGGTTTGTGCCAGTGCTTGTTGTATTTGTTACTTTCAATATCCTTACATTCATATTTTGGTGATTTAAAAAAAAAAAAAAAGATTGAATTGAGTCCTTTTACACCTGCATATTTCTTTAACTCTGATTTCAGTGGTTGTCTTTGATGCTCGATGAAGAGGAAGATTACAGCAGTGTTGATGGTCATTGTTTTTTTTTCTTTGTGTAGTTTATTACCATGTAAATAAGTATAACACCAGGCTTGGTTCTTATTTTTTTGAGTTATTCTAAAAAATAATATTGCCATGTGAAGGTGAACAATGCTGTTTTTTGCCAAAATTTTGGATTATTAAAAAAAAAAGTTTTTTACCAGCCTTGACAGTTTCCTTTATTTTATTATTCTGATCTTTTACTCAGGTAAGCAAAGGGCCATTAAAAGAATTTTTGTTTTTGCATTTTCGTGAATTGACGGAGCTTTCTCAGCATGGTGGTCATAGAGAAGGCAAGGGTGGGACTGAGTACCTTGAACCCCAATCGAGGAAGGGAGCCTTTTATAGATTTAAAATAAAACCTAAGTAAAGTTTAAATTTTTGATGAACAGTATCAAGGACAAAAGACAGTGAAGGGAAATAGAGTAAACAGGCTGGAGAAAATATATTTTATTAAACATTTGGTAAAAGAGGGAGAGTACCACCAAGCAATTTAGATTTGGGAAAATCAACCAGTAATCTGGCCAGGATTAAACTGGCATTATATACCTGACTTCCCTTCAGCTCAGACCATGCTTTTTGATTATAAAATACTACATCTTGTTTAAAGGGATATTCCGGCGTAAAATTAATTAAGGGTCAAACCGAGTTAGACACCCCCTCCAGAGATGAATGTTGACGACTGCTTGCTTTTCTAGTTGTACCAACTTTAGTAACGACCGCACAAAAGCAATACACAGCGGTCTGAGGAGCCATAGACAAACCTCAACCAAGACACCCCTTTATAGCCACAAATAATGCTCAGAACAGCACCTAACTTCATCAACTTACAAAACAGTGAGCCATAATGCTGCGTGCTGGTTATTTTTAAAGGTGAATCAGTGACTTTTAGTTTTCTAGGTGTTAATGAACCTGTGTGTAGAGTGAGCGTTAGCCTGGGGCTTTTCTTGTGAAAGGGAAAACGGAAACAGTATCCGGTGAGCAGGCGCTGTGTGTCTGGATAGCAACAGCTGTTAAAGGTGCGGAGTTTTATCTTTCCTTTTTATACTTGAATAAAATGTAAAGGTTTTGACCGGACCGCAACCATCCTTTATACTAAAAACATGTATTTATTTGATACCTCTACGTGTCGACGTGTTTATCTGTTAGTAGGCTACCAGCAGGTGGATTTCGTCGCTTTTGGACAAACATGCTTTGCTTTCTCAGCTCTTAAAAAAAAGTATCAAAAGTTTTCTGTTATTATGAGTTGTTTTGCCTCTACTTTTTAAAAAAATATTTGTATATGTACGTACACGCAGACGTGTTTATGGATTAGTGCATATCTTGTATATATATGTATGTACTTGGGTGCAGAGCCGGCCCAAGCCTCAATGGGGCCCTAAGAAAAATTTGATTTTGGGGCCCTCTATTTTTGCCATTAATATTGATTGTTGATCATTCACATACCTACTACAGTATAGATTTTAATGCACCTGACATGTCTTTACACATTTAAGGGGGTGGCCTAGGTAAGAAACTGTTAACTGAGGTCGAATATATGATGCCCTATCGTTCCTTATTTATTTATTTTCCCTCTCTTTTATTAGGGGTACAAGAGAATTGATCGATTGGTTATGTTGAATGTATGATCTATAGTTAAACTGAACATGATTATTTATGTAGACAGGGCTGTGCCAATGAATTTATTTGTGTATTCACTTTTAATTAGTATAATAGCAATTTTTTTATTGTATTCATTGTATTTATAGAGTCATAAATATCTTTCTTTTCTTTTTTTTGTACATATATGCATATATAATATAATATAGATTTTTTTTCTTTTTTTTTTTCTCTCTTGCTTTTTTCTTCCTATGTTTATTTATTTTACTAGCAGAGGCCAAATCAAGTAGTGTACTAGTATTTTTATTACCATAAATACTTTGTTTGATATTATCCTTTCCCAAGATACAGATAAGAAAAAAAATGTATGATTTTGATACTGAACAGACTGACAAACCTGCCACACTACGGTACACTTTGGGTGTTATTTATTTATGTATGCACTTGTTTACTTTAGAAAAGAAAAAAAATCCTTTTTGTTTTTTTGCTTTGTCCTGAATTTATGTGTTTAAATGATTTATGTTTGATCACATGAAAATAAAACTAAATATTATGATAAAAAAAAGATCCGTTAGTATGCAACAAAACAGAAAAAAATAGTGATTATGAAGGTGTAAAGAGTCTTTTTTTTTTTTTCTTTCCCTCATTCATCCTGTTTGTTTCATCGTCAGCACCGTGCCACTAAGACCTGAGGCTGTCCCATCATCAGCTGTCCTTCTGCAGTACTGCATGACTGTGGCGCACCCCCCTCTGTGACATCACAGCTGACGTCTGATGCAGGGGGCGGGTCTTTAAGAAATCCCCAGTCAAGCACAGATGTAGCTGCAGCTCCGCCAGAGGGAGAGAGGCAGAGGGGGAGAAAGAGAAGGAAGACACTGCGGAGGAGGAGTGCAGTCATGGGGAACGCACAGGAAAAACCTCCGGGCAGCGGAGGAGCAGGAGGAGGCAGATCGCATCAGACCACAGCAGGGAGCGGGACCAGAAACCGGGGTGAAGGCAGCGGGGGAAAGCCCCAGAGTCAGAGAGCTCCGGAGAAGGGATTGGCAAATGGTACACAGAGAGAAAACAGCACCGTGGGTGGACAAGAGGAGCAGGGCAGTCCCGCAGTGGACACAAGTTACCTGGATGCTCCTGCTGGGGCCCTTCCCCCTCACCTGGCCCGGCTCAAGAATGAAGGAAACCATCTTTTTAAACATGGACAGTTTGGAGACGCCTTGGAGAAATACACACAGGCTATTGAAGGGTGTGCTGAAGCAGGTGAGGGGAGATAGGAGTGTTTTTTTTGTTTCCATATGCAGTGTTTCCATAAATCATATATGAGTTTCAAAAATCTTCCAATTAGTAGGAGGAATCTCTGTATTTCTTGCTAATTTTCTCAAAAGCTGTCAAAAAGATCCTCTTAAAGCAGTATTCATTTAATCTCGACTAAAAATGTGACTCCATACCTTAATTTATACTCCATTTTAAGTCTCTTTTGAAGAAGCATTCTCAATGATGTCTCAGTCGTCATTTTAAGATCAAGAAAACTCTTTGAAAGCAACTTCTGACTGTGCGACTCTCAGTCACTTCAGAGAGATCAGTGCTATACAAACCTTCTTTTATCACAGGCACACTAGTCTTTGTAAGAATATCAGCTAGAAGTGAAATCTGAGTTTTATGGCTCCACAATTCCAAGCATCCCAAATTTGAACGCATTATGCTCACTATCCTCCATCCATTCTCGAAGTCTGCATCCCATATTAAACCCTGAACCAGTTCACATGTTAGACTGGTCAGCTGCTCAGTTTGGTTTATCACAACTTTAAGTTTCAAAAACTGCAGCTGACACCAGAGACGTCACTGCTGATTTGTGAATGCGGTGTTGGCACCAGACAGCATCACTGACCGTAGACACGGGGTTATGTGAACGTGTGTTAGTTAGGCTTTTAGATGGATTGAATGTCATGCTGCACCTTTAAGAGCACTCAGCCAACTTTTACTCTCAGTGTCGGGGAGAGGGATTGTTTTTTTTTTTTTTTTAATGCAGCTCCAGAGACGTGCTTAAAAAGATTAGCCTTGATGTCAGAGTCGACTTAGCAGAGAGACTGTCAAAGGGACACGCCGTAAACAATGTGTGATCATGTGTTTTTTAAACATTGTATATCACATGTACTCAGGATAGCAGCACTTGAAGCAGAGCGTGATGACCGGTGCTGGGATGGCAGAGCATCAGCTGAGGTTGAACGAGAAAGAGCAGATGAGAAAATGACTGTACCAGAGGGATCGATGCGGACACATCCATTTTTCTCTCATCATTCATCTATCTCTCTTATCTTTACTTCTGACACTTCAAACCAAGTCCACTGAGCACAGAGGATGTTTAATGATGTATTTTTTATCTTATCTTGTATCCTATTGATATTTTCTTAGTGCTACTGGCTCCTCAAAGTTACATTAGAAGATTTTGCTGTATAACTACAACAACAATGAAGTCTTCTCTGTTTATCTGTCTCACCTGCTTTTACACTAATGAATTGTGATCTGTGTTCTCCTGCAGGCGTCGATAGTCCAGAAGATCTGTGTATTTTACACTCTAACAGAGCGGCCTGTTACCTGAAGGACGGAAACAGCACAGACTGCATACAAGACTGCACAAAGTAAGTTTGAACATGTGTGTTTCTGTGCGTATGTCAACATCGAACAGACTTCTGAGGCTGTACTTTACACTCAATGATGTATTAGTGTTGGTAAAATGTAGCTTAGTGCTATTATAACACTGTGCAACTGGAAGTGAACATTTTAGAGGAGATAATTTAGATTAAAGTGCTTTTACTGCTGAGTGTCCAGCCTGGATATCCTGGTCAGCTCACTTCTGTCTAACTTTACACCCCAAAAGTACACTTAAGTGGCATTTGAATCATTTTAAGAGCTACAAGATCCACTAAATGCTTTGTACAATAGTATTTCCACCACTAGAATGCAGACTTTGTCACATTTAAATAGATTTTTTTTCCCCCTTAAAGATGTTTTCCAACAAAAAACAAAAAACAAAAAGGTTTTAGTTTTTTTAGTCAAGTTACATTTAAGAGTTTCAAACTTTGTGAAATTGAGTTAAACAGGCAATAACTTCCAAAAATCAAATATTGGGTTTAGATTTTGGTCACATTACAAGTTTCTTTAAATATCCACTAAAATCATCTGTAAACGTATCATGAATTTCCTGAGGTTCTGCTTATGTTGTGTTTTGCTTCTTGATGTGAGACTTCATAATTTGAGTCAGCACTTTTACCAAGCTTGCAGTTTTTTTTAACAACATCTCCCATTTAAATTTTTGTTGACCTAGAAACAAGAAATGCATCTTTTAATATTACTGTCCACAGCAAATACACACACACACACAACAAATGTTTGTATGTTTATGAATAAAGTGTTGCGGATCAGCTCAGTGACACCTGTTGAGCAGCTGCAGACAGTTTGATCCTCTCCACTCCCGCGTCTTTCTGATCCTCTTAGGGCTTTGGAGCTGCAGCCCTACTCCTTGAAACCCCTGCTGCGCAGAGCCATGGCTTATGAGTCACTGGAGCGCTACAGAAAGGCCTACGTGGATTATAAGACCGTCCTGCAGATAGACACTGGGGTGCAAGCGGCTCACGACAGCGTCCACAGGTCAGCTAAAAACACATCTAAAAATAAACATTTTGACCATGTCTTTGATTTAGCTTTTGTGTCTTTCCTCTCTAATCATTTCCTAAAGATGACTAATGTGTTTTCATGATCATTAATCACACTATCCTATCACATCCTTTTGTATTGTACCATTTGGTATCATAGACCATCAATCAGCAAAACAAAGTTTATTGCAAAATAATAATAATAACAAACAATTGAAAAATAAAATGATGCTGCCAGGCTGCTGATCTGGCTGCAGTGAGAGAGTTGGAGGAACCACACATGGGCTTTTTTAGGGCAGCCCACAGGTGTCAGTGATCAAGAGCAAGAGGTCAGAGGTTATCTTAGGGGAAACAGCTTACAATACTGAAGTAGTCCATACCATATTGTTTTGTATTTTGTACCTTATCATGTTGTATTGTACTGTACTTTATAGTACCTTAACATATGATTTTGTATTGTATTGATTTTGGATCATACCCTAACATGTTGTTTAATTTAATATAATATAATATAATATAATATAATATAATATAATGTATCACTGTATCATGAGTATAATATAATAATATATAATAATATATCTATCATGTGTATAATATCGTATCATAGCAAAGCAAATTGTATTGTAATGTATTGTTTCGGATCGTACTGTTTCACACTGATCTGTATTATATTGTATCAAACTGTTCTATAATAGCATTTTAATTAAAATCATATCATATCCTCTAGCTTTATATAGTACAATGACCCACTGTATCACATCACACCATATTAATATTTGTGTATCATGTTGTTGTGTTGGATCATACTCATGTACTAAAACCTGTCCTGTTTATTTTATATTAATATCTTATTGTTGAGATGACTAGAACAAGGTTTACTGAGTTATTCTTGAAACACCAGAGTGGATTTGCAACATTTAGAACCTTGAGCAAGACTCTCAGTGTTGTTTACAACATTTTCCTAAATTCTTGGCTTTGGCTCACTGTCAGTATTGTGGATTTTGAAGAGAAGAAAATGAAAATCCTGCTAAAAGGATATTCAGTTTGCAGCAATTTTCGTCTCTTTACAGATCAGAGAGTTAAATCTATCATTACATGCAGCTTTTTCTTTTTCGTCTGAGGTATATTTCCTTTATTATCCAGGTGGAGCAAACATGGCACTCACCTTGGAAAAATAGGCAAAAAATCCAGCTTACAAATCATTATTAAAGCGCATGTTAACACTGTACTGTTTGTTTTCCTTCCAGGATCACTAAGATGCTTATTGAGCAGGACGGACCGGGCTGGAGGGAGAAGCTTCCGGAGATTCCTGCCGTCCCCTTGTCTGTCCAGCAGCAGCACAGAGACAAACCTGTCAGCGCTGAAGTGGCTCAAGCACGAGCCGCCCGGGCTGCACAGGAGGAAGGTTCGTGACACCCCTTAAGATGTTTGGTGCAAAGTCGACTGTAGGATTGTACATTTCAGATCGAAACACATCCTCAGGGTACGGTTTAACTTAGATGTCCTCGTAAGCTATTCCTATATACACACTGACACATTAGCACAATCCTCTTCTTGATCTCGTATGACGGTTTTTAACCAAATACTGTATTTTCTTTTGAGATATTTTATGTGATTCCTGCATTTTTAAATGAGCCTCCTGAATAATACAGTCCTGAGGCTGTAGCAGCAGAAGTCAGCGAGAACCAGTGAGCAAGTGCTGAGCTGTGGGGAAGAAACCCCTACTGAGAGATACTGTGAGAGTATTTGTGTGTCTGGATGGATCATTAATAATGCACAGGGTAAGGAGACCCACACAGTGAAGGGCTGCTGTAATGGAACAATCCAGGTCAGGTTTCTCTCTGGCTTCTCACAGAGACTAAAGGCTCCACATTTGTCATTAATTTGGATTAATTTAAATGCATGAAGTGTAGCGAACGAGCCATAAATCTAACATAAATTAATAACTTAAATGTAAACAAAATTATCTTTATACACATCAAGGTTTACAGCTCACATGAATAAAGCCCTACACCTGAGGAAGCACACGTACACATCCACAAACATATAACGACCATATAAAGATCAGAGATAATCTCAGAATAGCACACTGCTGTTGCCGGGGAAACACACAGGAGGAGGTTCAATGTGTCGTCAGTGATGAACGCCTCATTCATTTAAAAAATCTTAGTGAGCCACAGAAATGAAAGCCACATGTTCAGTTATGAACTCAGATGTTGATTTTTTTTAACTTGATTTTTATTAAATTTTTAACCACAACCATACAGTGTGTATATCTCACTACAATACACTTATTTTCCTTTTTACAGCTGTATGTGTATTTTTACAAACACACATAGATAATGTAGGATTAAATCAAGGAAAATTATTGTAACCATCGCAAATAAATAATGTCCACTCCAAAATACAGATTTATAGATGTTCATTTTTTTAACTGTATTCAGAGGCAGCAGAGTTACCCACAGTATGGTGTTTTTTTAACTGCTCTCTTTAAAAATAAGACTTTTTTTGTAGTTTCTTGCAAATTAAAATGAATAGAAAATCTACTTACTTGGACAGGAGTATTAAGGCCACATTGTTAAATGAAAATAAATAGATTTTTAAAAATCAAGATTGAGGATACAGTTTTAATTTTGTCCATTTATCAGTTTCTTCTCCCACAACTTCATCCTTGAAGAATAACAACTTTGTTCTCTGATTTAAATCTTGCACTCTCAAAATGTTTAAGCCTTTATCCTATTCAACAACATACAGATCTTTCTAGATGTATTCTTTAATTAATTCAGTGGTTCTCAAGTCCAGTCCTCGAGCCCCCACTGTCCTGCATGTTTTGGATGTTTCCCTGCTCCAACACACCTGATTCAAATCATCAGCTCGTTAGTAAGCCATTACAGAGCTTGATAACGAGCTGATGATTTGAATCAGGTGTGTTGGAGCAGGGAAACATCCAAAACATGCAGGACAGTGGGGGCTCGAGGACTGGACTTGAGAACCACTGAATTGATATTACAACCGTTTTATCATAGTTCGACGGTTAGGATTCTTGATTTGTTTCCAGCTCTGAGTGATACAAAAATGTAAATCTTTAAAATCTCGAATAAAAAGGTGATCGATAACGGACTAACCTGTAAGGTTACCGTCTCCTCGACTTCTCCGTCCTCTGTAACATCAGGAGGATCAGACTCTTCCTGACAGAGCAGACAACACTTGACGTAAAAGGAGCGTTTTAATTTCCCAAAAGGATCAATAAAGGTCTATCTAATCTAATTTAATCTAATCTAATCTAAAGAAAACTCTGTTATATTAAGTGAATGAGTTCATCCCTTAAACAGCCTGTATTTAGATTTAAACTCTGAAGATCCTCATCGGGTCAAACATTGTCAGTGTTTGAGATGAACGATGAAGGATACTAGATGCACACTCAGTTTAAAGTCTGAGTAAATTGTGTTATCCATCTGTGTTCACCCATGAGTCTGTGGATACACTTAAGTGCTTTAGTGTGTGTGTCTGTGTGTGTGTGTGTGGGTCTGTGTGTGCGTGTGTTTGCCAAAGTCATTATTATTAGTGGTTTTCTCAGCACAACAGAGAGCTCAGTAAGCAGGAGTTGACCCATTTCTTCCAGTCCATTCAGACTGCTGCTGCTGCTGACAGGCTGATGGATTTATTGATTGGTCCAAAGAAAACTTGTCTTTCTTTAATCAGTTCAGAGGAAAAACACGATTTACCGCAGTCCATTTACAATGAAACGAGGAGGTTAAAAGTCTATAAAGATGCTTTTACCATTCGGGAGCAAAGTGTTTAAATGCTGATTTCCCTCGATGTTCTGTTGATTACTGATTTTGTTTAGTTTAAGTGTTTTATCGATTATGTGTTTTTCGCTAACAGCCAGAAGAAAAGAGGCTCGCTTCACTTTGCTGAAACGAGAAGGGAATGACCTGGTCAAGAGCGGGAAGTACCAGGAGGCTTTGGAGAAGTACAGTGAATGCATCACTTTAAAACCTGAGGAGTGTGCGGTCCACACGAACAGGTACGAGCGAAAGGACCGTCATAGCTGCAGAGGGACATTTATTTAAGGAGAAATATCTGCAGTTAATGTCTTTAAAGAAGTTTGTTTGTCTAGTATAAATGGATATTTCACTATTTTAGCCACGAGAGCTGCCCCAGATGATTAACTTTAATGATATACGTATGATGATCTCCTTAGAACAGCAGAGGGCACTGCAATACTATCCTCAAATCCAGTCCATGACGAATGTTATATCTCTTGGCAACATTTACAAAGATCCAGCACCCGTGGAGTGGGTGAGGGGAAGCCACTATTGGTTTATTTTAAATGAAACATTCAGTCAGTTTCACTTTTGCTTTATGACTTTTATGATAAATGGATGTAGTTCCACATAAACCGCCTGTTTCCACAAAGAAATGAAAACATGAAATCATGAGGTGATTCATGTTTGACCCTCTGTGAATGTAGCAGAGTTAGCTGGGGACAGATTTGCTTCTGAGGTATTGCATTGAATCGTTGCTATAAAACAAATTAAATACAGGTAACACATGTCACCTAAGGGCTAATTTGTATCTCAGTATTGTGAGTGATGGAAAGGTGTATCAATCAATCAATCAATCAATCAATCAACCAAACTTTATTTAGGAAGTGCTCTTCCTACAGGAATGTGACTCAAAGTGCTTTACAGTCCCCTCAATAAAACTACCTCAATAATCTCAGATCTCTTCCAAGAAGCCCGCTCACCACAACATCTTGTGAACCAGCCCATAAAAATGTCCCTTTTAAACGTTCTCTGCTGAACAAGTCTTTTATTGTCAATGACCTGATTTTAGATCAAACTGGACTGTTTGTTTTTAACTGTGTTTCACTCTCTGAACTCTCTCCTTCCTCTCCTCTCAGAGCTATTTGCCTCCTGAAATTGAGTCGATTTGAAGAGGCCAAACAGGACTGTGACACTGCTCTGCAGCTGGAGCCCAACAACAAGAAAGCCTTCTACAGACGGGCTCTGGCTTTTAAAGGTTTACAGGTGACCCACTGTTTGTCAGTTTGAGCATCTTGTTAAGCTCTTATTTCACTATCGTTCACTGGTACTATTTTTCTCCCTCGTTACAATGTGAAATCCAGGACTACTTGTCGGCCAGCAGTGACCTGCAGGAGGTCCTCCAGCTGGACCCGAAAGTCCGGGAAGCTGAGCAGGAGCTGGAGGTGGTGACGAACCTGTTGAGGCAGAGTCTGATGGACAACACTGCATAACCACCATGGGTACGATGTTTATACTCAATGTTTATCCTTATATTCCTTTTTTTTAAGACATATTTTTTAAAAACTTTTTCTTGCAAAGCAGACACAACAGAGACAGCATAAAACACAGCACTAGCAACAGTGCACAGAATACAGGCACTTAAGCCTGAGAGGGGAAGATAAATAAAATAAATGCATAGAAAATAAATAATTGAAAATAATAGCAAAAGTTACTCAAAAAAAGATAATAAAAACAGAGACAAATATTAAGGGAGTTCAAGGAGGACAGAATAACACATACACAAATTTAATAGTGTACCACACTATGGCTCTGCATCCTTTTCCTTGGCCAGATCTACGCTGACCTCACCCTACGAGATGCAGTGGTACCTAAGTAGTCCAGAAATGGATCCCAAGTCCGATAGAATAAAAAGGGTTTGTCCTTCAATGTTGTGGAGAAGGCTTCAAATGGAATAATACAGGTCACAGTGTGTAAACCTTTTTTTTAAAATATGTTTGTCTTTAAAACAGACTAAACTTGTTTGGGTCAAATCGATTCATCTCAGATTTTGAACATCAAACAGCTAAAATTGGTCTAGTTTTTTGTTTTTGAATTAAATTTTAGCAGAAAATGTTAAATTCCTGAAGTCCTGACAATCCTACCAGATTATTTCTGTGTGTTTGGAAATCAAACCTTTGTATTCAAACAGTCATAATGAACAGAGGCTGACTCTCTCTCTCTTTCTCAGCAGGGGCAGAGATATGAAACAGGTGTGGACTCTGCTCTGTTGCAGTAATGGGCGATGGACTCTAAAAGCCATCATCTGCAGAAAGTTCGACCGGTAAAAATGAAAAAAAAAAGGACTGGCTTAACGTCGAGGGACGGCTCCTCAGACAACCAGCTCTGCACCATCTGCAGTGTGTGCACACCATGGCTCCTGAGTATACAACCTTAAAAAAAGGGCAGCTTCATTTGAAAAGGCTAATGTCAAGGTACTCATGACCTGCTTGCACTAAAAGTCATTCACATTATGATATAATGTACTGTAAATACAGTCTTCTTGCAGACTGCAGAGCTCTGTCGTATGTTGAAGTAACACAGGGGGAAGTACGAGTGTGTTTTGTGTGCCTTATTGAGATTTCTACCAGAGTACAGTTTGGAAAAAAACGCCAAGAATTCAAGACTTTGGGTTTTGCTTAGTTTCCTGAGCTCCTGGGAAAACAAAGACGAAAAGGGATTCAGCTCAACTGTATTTTTGTCAGACTTCAATAAGTTCAAAAGATCATTTCTCATCATCATTTTTCATTGTTTACATTGATTTTAACACTAAAGCTGCTATTCACGCAAGAAGCCAACGACTGATTTTAGGTTATTAAACAAAACTCTCTTAAATGTACAGAAACCAAGAAAAGCCTGCTGTTTTTATTTGTGCTTCATTTTAAGATAACATCTCAATTTGTCACAACTTTAAGCTGATTTCTATTTTCATCACAAGAAGGAAACGCAGGATATCTGGGGTTTAAGGTCTGTTTTTTGGGGTTTCTGGGGTAAAAATGGAAAACTAGAGAGAAAAAAATCATCTTTAGTTCATCTAAACACGATTGACTGATGTTGAGGTGAGACTTTACAGCTCAGCAGTGACACAAGCAGTAAATGTGAAGTTTTATGTGCTTCATTTAGTCATTCGAGACGACCTCTAGTTTTATGGAAGCCAAAGAAATATGTCCCTCCTGTAATTAAGATGCTGTATGTGTGTCTACTCTTCTCTCTGTTAGAAATATAACAGAAAACCAACCTTTGCTGTTCTTTATAAACACAGATTAACATCATTATCACAAGTTTAAAAACACAAGTTTGATAACTGGCTGATTTAAGAGAGAGGGTATAAATGAGCAAAATGACTCCAGGCGTCTGTAAACTGTACTCAGCTTTTACAGAAGTGAGGCCTATGATTGAGTTGAATTCATGATTAAATATTAATTTCTCTTAAGCAAATATTCGCTCCAAAATATCACAAGCTCATCGTCTAAATTTGAAGTGTTACCTCATAGTTTTTTTTAACAGGTCGCTTTGTTGTTTTGTTTCACTGGCCTCAGGTTCTGGCTTGAAGGGCGATCAGATGATTCCGTCTCTGTCAGCAGGTGTAGTTTTTAGGTCCAGTTTTTCAAAACTCTTCATGTAGCTTTAATAAGTATCATTCTACTATTCAAGGAAATAATCGATTTTTTAATTTTTCTGCCTCATATCTTCCATTTGCTAAGATTCACAAACCATATCAGTCGTAAAACACACAATAATCTAAAGCTAATAGCACAACGTGCCACAACACCGCGGCTCCTCTTATTCTGCCCTCTCCTGTTGTCTTCCTGATGTTTTCAAAAGTCAAGCATAAAAATCTGAACTGATAACACTTGATATGAGGCTTGAAGTGTTGCTTCATGGAATGTATGCATGTACTGTATGTAAATAGTTTGATGGCAAATGTAAATAATAAACCACTATGTGGTTGCTTTAATGAGCATCTGTCTGTGTCGTCTTTATAGTTGAATGTAAAGGTGAAGTGAGAAGATGAACAGAAACACAGCGACAAAGCTTGATTGAAAATTTTATTGTTCAAGGATATGCATTTACATGCACATTATAAAGCAGATAATTAGGGAATATATACTTTTTTTTAAAGAGCAAAAGCTTCTTTTGACCAAGTTAGAAAACAGACCTGGAACTAGTCTTCAAATAATAATACAAAATTCTGAAATTTATCAGGCATCTTTTACAGAAAGAACAAAAACAAGTGAGAAACTTCTGCAGCTGGAGGCTTTCGAGGTGCACCAACTCTTCTGATGACCCACTCTACATCTGACAACTTAGCAAACCACTGAATAAAACCTGATCAAGGCTTTGGATGAATACAGGCTTTTATTGCTAATGAACAATCCAGGTTAACTTTTCAAACATTTCCAAAGACTTCTTCGAGTATCTTGGACTTTAATGTTTTGGTCTTGAATTTAAAGATTTACTAATAAAAGGTTTCATCTGGGGTTATATTGTCATTTTTGGTCATTTTAGGCGAAACTAGTCGATGTAACCAGAGTAAGATCATCTCTGTAGCTGTTTGCTGAGTGTCACAGGCCTGAATGTGGTCTCCTGAAAGCCGTCTTTGGTGGGCTAAACAATCTAAGATGATTGCTAACACTGTCACTCAGGGGAGGTGGAGGTATGAGGCATTAGTATTCATGCATTTTGTTAGGCAAGTATATTTCATTCTATTGTGACCTTTATGTTTATCATTTGAAGACATACATCATGAGAAATAAAAACACTTTATAAAGGATTTTCTCCCTCCCCCCCCAAAGGCACTGCGGGTCCAACAAAGAGAACATTACTTGCATGAATCACTTTAAAAACAAAATTAAAACCCAATGCTTTAAGATTAACAAGAAGAATTTTAAACTGTTTTTAATTTTTACTGTGAATCAAAAGTGTAACCCCACTATCGTCATACATTCATTAGTAAATATTGTGTCAATGAGAGATGGAGGCGCTCAAATACATACGAGAAAGTTTCTCATTGCACCTTTATGCGTTTCAGAGCTGAGTGGACACATCAGCTCCGAGTGAAAGCTTTGTTTCTTTATTGCAAATACTTTGTTTGGTTGACTTTCCAGTTCGATTGTGACTGGTTCGTGGAAGTTGTAAAAGATGCTACATTTTTATTATTAACATTGGGCTTTTTTTTAGGTTACAAGGAATAACTTAAATTCCCTTTCTTTAATAATAAAGCTTTTTGATGAATCAATAAAAACTGTGGTGACAAAAAAAAGGGATCGGGGACTGTCTTCATTTGAAAGTAAAGAGGGTATATGCAATTCTCACCTAATGAGACTAAAATTGTGGACCCAACACAGGGCTTGACATTAAAACCAACTTTCCCAAAATGGAAAATAAAAATAAGCAAAAAAGACAAAAGCACAAAAAACAAAGAGTCACATTTTAAACAAAAGCAACAATTATATTTTTCTATAGATGATTACGGAAATATAAAATTTGCTACTGAATGGACTGGTCCCTGTTAGGTACCACAATCCTTAAGCTGTGTGGTGTTTCTCATGCCGTTTTTTCGGAAGTAGCAGAGTGAAGAAGTGGCACAGCGGTGGACCACAGTGATGACGCATCTATCCCTGATTCATGCAAACCCCCAGAGAGAGAAAAAAAACTGATTTTGCAGATATAACAGAGGAAAAAAAGAATCGGGATTTAAGGTAGCAGCTCAGCTTTACTATCCAGACACTTGACCTGCTCCTATCCAGCTTTATCAGTTCTGCTCTTTGTCGATTTGAACTCTCATTAGAGCGATTTGTGGGGGACTGACTTTGCAGATCATCATGACAGCTGAATGGGCTTTCTGCAGTGTCTCACCAACCAAACCTGTCCACGTACATTCAACTCTACCTATCGAAGGCTTGCTGCTTATGTGACGCTTCAACGGCAGAATAAAACTTCTGCTTCAAACTAATCTAGCTTTGACTTTTCTGACCTCTTGTTCACTTTCCTCGTAAATCTCTCTCTCTAACTTGGACCTGGACTCTCCTTTAACTGTAAAGACTGACATTCACAGGACATTCCCGCCTCCACAGCCGATAAAAATATAATTAGACTCATAGCCTTAAGCTTCAAAAGATGCTTTACCCAGGAGTGAAATTAAGTGATAAGGCTAACAGACTTAGCAGTGGTAACACCGCTAAAACACCCAAAGAGAGTTCCTTCAGATGTCTGTTTGTATACAGCGCTTCCTTGCTGGGCTAACAGGCTGTGCTGTAGTGTTTTTGGTGATCTCTGTCATTTTCTCCTCTTTCTCTTCTGCCTCCGTGTCGACCAAGGCTCCTCCGCTCTCCTCGCTGATGTACAAAAATGTCCCGCTGCTCCCCTCTTTTGGCGATGCAGGTGGAGACGTGGACAGCAGGCGGTGTGTGAAGGCTGCATGGCTGCTCTGAGGTGGATAATGCTCCAGGCGGTCGTGCTCCACCTCAGGCATGGGTGTGATAGTGACATCATTAAAGGCAGCGGCGGCGGCGGAGGGCTGAGGTTGGGGGTCTGATGTGGAGGAGCAGGGGGGATGAGCTGGTCTTGAAGTTTCAGGGTCGGAGCAGCTGAGCTCTGACGAGAAGTGGCTACAGTGCGAGTCTGCCACAGAGGGCAGGCTGCCACTCAGGGACGGTGAATCGAACTCAGAGGAGTTGGTGCTGCGCTGCTCCAGGAGCTGAGCGTCCAAATCCCCCCGTGTCTCATTTATCTTTGCTTCTCCTTTGCTGCTGCTACTGCTGCTGCCTCTTTTCCACAGCTTCCCTTTGCTCCTCTTGCCCCCTGAAGTGGAGGGGAGGGAGCAGGGGCAGCAGTGGTGGTCATGCTGCGCACAGCAGCTGGTGGAGGGGCATGAACACGCGCCTCCGCTAGCACCTTTAAGACCAGCAGTGCTGCTGCTACAGCTCGCTTCATCCAGGCTGCTGCTGGCGCTACAGTGCCTCACTTTCTCCTGTTTGGACTCCACGTCTGCCTGAACCTCCAGACTGTTGTCTCTGCAAAACATAATCACACACTTTTATAATTGGTACCTATTATGTTCATACACTTGTATTTGTTGTAAGAGTAAATTAAAGGAACGACCCAGAAACACTAAATAACCCCTCATTAACGTATATTTGCCTCCTGCAGCATTATCCAATGAGTCAAAGCTCACAACAAAGTAAGTTCTGATTTTAAAAAACTTTACAATGACTTTCATTCAAACAATCTGACCACAGGGTGTCTGGAGAAACTAGGACAGGGATTTTAAAATTAGGTCAGAAATGTGCTGCAGCAGTCAGCGGGACAAATTAACTCTGACTGCTAACCTTTCCAGAGGCATGTAGGCATTAAGGATGGACCCCGCCATGGCTTTTGTGCTCGCATTGTCACTGATCGTCCCCAGACTGACGGTGGCTGACTCTCCGCTCAGGCTGCAGCGCTCCTTCTGGACATCAGCCTGAACTTCCATCCTGGGAAAAAAAATCCAAAGACAGTTAGTACAACAAATATATAGAAGGATTGCAAAATGTTAAAAATCGCAATAATAGCGCATCGGGGCCCAGCTACTGGGAAAGTTAGTATTGCGGCCAAAGTATCGTGAAAATATCATATCATGATAATATCATATGATAATATCTAATCGTGGCCTAAGTATCGTGATAATATCGAACTGTGATGATATTGTATCGTTGCCCAAGTGTCGCGATAATATCGTATTGTGGCCCAAGTATCGTGATAAAATCATATCGTGATAACACTGTATTGTGGCCCAAGTGTCACGATAATATCGTATTGTGGCCCAAGTATTGTGATAACATTTAATTTTGGCCCAAGTATCGTGATAATATTGTATCGTGATGATATTGTATCTTGGCCCAAGTATTGCAATGATGTTGTATCGTGGCCCAAGTGTTGCAATAATATCGTATTGTGGCCCAAGTATCGTGATAGTATTGTATCGTGATAATATCATATTGTGGCGTAAGTATCATGATAATATTGTATCTTGGCAAAGTCTCTGCAAGTATAAATAATACGTAAGAATAAACAGGGCTCTTCTTCATCCTTAGTTATAGAGAGATCATCCAGCTTCGGTCTATTACCTGTTGTAACAGCTTCCCGAGAGGCTGCCAGTGATGCTGGTCCCAGCGAGCGCTGTTGTGCTGGCGTTGTCACTCATGTTGTCCCGCTGAGTGGAGCTCATCCCACAGCGCTCCATGTGGCTCCCGCTCACACTCAGGCTCAGGCCTGTCAGGCCACCAACGCTCGCCCCGTCTCCAAGGCTGGGGTTGTTGAGCCGCGTTTCAGCCACAGAGGTTGTGTCTGGAGAAAAGGGGGGGTTGCAGAGAGGGTGTGATTTTATAGGGTAAAAGGAAGGACAGAGCGAGTTTGCTTTGAGACAAAATAAACAAAACAAGGCCTCATGACAAAAGCAAACAAAAGTGAAAGTAAGGTCAGTTATTTCAACGATTTTACTGCCTTTTAAAGCCTTTACAACCATCATGCTACTACAGGTTGGTGTGCATCAAGTCATCAAGTCTAAAACTTTGTGTTCCTGAAAAGGTCAAAACCCAGGTGGTCATTTTGCCTCATAATTACAATCGGCAGTGTTGACACAAGCTGTGAGAAACACAATCCATCACACTGCATATTTCCTGGGAACGCAAAAGCGGTTTGACCGAGACCACAGGGCATCAGTTTGACAGGGAAAACCACTGACACTGTTCCAGTCATTTCACACCATCACACGTCACTAAGACTCATCTCCCGTCAGCTGTCTTGGCTGTTGATGAGCTATGAATCAACTGGAACTGCACACAAAGGCACTGACAGACATACGTGTGCGTCTGTGAGCCATTCAGAAGTTGTAATGGTGCCAGAACACACTGACACCACAGCCCTGCTGTTGGTATTTACCAAAGTAACCAGAGGTTGTTAATGACGTCAAAAGAAGATTGAACCATTAAAATGACACACAAGCCAAAAAAGTCAAGAGTGGCTGTACAACTGGGAAGACAATGTTTAGAAAATAAGAGCAAGTTTAGGCTATCCAGACTGGAATTACTTCAATCTAAAAAGATAACAAAGGCCTGACTTTTTAAATAAAGTACTGGTGGGAAGAAAGCAAAGCAGAGTGAAATACAAGTAGCAACATTTCAAAAAGGGGACAGAAATCAAACCCTGGCTGGTTTGAGTATTTTTACCTGTAGCTGCTGCCCCGCTGCCTATGTTGTCATTTTCATCATCAAATTCAATTCGCACTCCTTTGCCGTTCCCTGCCGACACCCCGCAGCCTCCGCTTCGGCACAGAGAGATCGGTACAACTCCATAGACATAAGCCAGCATGATGGGGACACCAATGCCTGCAGACAAAAAAAAAAACATGAGCAGGAGAAATTGAGCGGTGAAAATGTTGGTTTTAAATTGCAAATAAAGAACATAGAATTTGAAAAAAGGAAAATAGGAAAGTTAAAAAAAATGTTGCTTCTCTCTCTTACCAACAGTGACTGCTGCGACCACAGGTGACACGATCACTGACAGAGTCACGCCACCAGCTATCACTAAATTCCTCTTGTGTTTGGAGATGTCCTTGCCCTCATAACGATTATGAATCTGCAGAGAAAAAAATCATGATCAAATATCAAATCTCTGTATTTACTGCCTCTATATGTCTGTTTGAACTGTTGACTTGGACCACTTTCTCTAATTCCTCAGCTGTCTGCCACTGGCCCTCACCTTTCTGCCCACATAGACAGGGATGCCAATTATCATGGCGGGAATAGCGATGCCAGCTATGAGGGCGATTCCCACGGGAGCTCCAACCAGTGTGCCGAGCTGCCAGAGGATCTTCTTCTTTCTGCTCCAGGGCTTCTTCCCCCAGAAGGTGCAGCCTGACGGGCTGCATGTGTTCATAGACAAAGAGGATATATGATGTGAGCAGTTGGGTGTACAACTACCAAGACTTCAAAAGAGTCTGTCACATTCAGACTTTCCAACTAATCAAAGACACAATATAGTAGGGGTGGGAGAAAATAATTGATAGAGCATAGTATCCCAATATTTTGTCTGGTGATATATCATATTGTCTCATTTACCAAGTATCTATTTTTTAATTAATTGTTAATATGAAGTCAAACCTATGACAATGAAAAAATAAAGTCAACTATTTGTCCTCTAAGGTTGGCAGAGGTGAAATCATAAAGCAGAAGAAAGTTAGTGCAACAAATACATATAAGGATCGCAAAATGTTAAAAATTGCAATAATAGCATATCATGGCCCAACTATTGTGATAATATCGTATCGCGGCCTAAGTATCATGATAATATTGCATTGTGATAATATTGTGTCATGGCCCAAGTATCATGATAATATCATATCGTGGCCCAAGTATTGTGATAATATCGTATCATGGCCCAAGTATCGTGATAATATCTTATTGTGGCCCAAGTATCATGATAATATGGTATTGTGATAATACAGTATCATAAAAACATTGTATCATGGCCCAAGTATTGTGATAACATTGTATCATTATAATATCTTATTGTGGTCCAAGTATCGTGATAATATTGTATCATGGCCAAAGTAACTGGATGGTATCGTATCGTGATATCATATTGTGGCCAAAGTATTGCGATAACATCGTATTGTGGCCCAAGAATCGTGACGATATTGTATCATGATAATATCGTATTGTGGCCCAAGTATCTTGATGATATTGTATCGTGATAATATCGTATCGTGGCCCAAGTATCGTGATAATATTGTATTGTGGCGCAAGTATCTTGATAATATCATATTGTGGGGCCACTGGTAATCCCCACCCCTACACTACTGCAGGAAAGACGACAAAAATGCTCTATACAAAAAGGACAAAAACACAACAGTAGTTCCTGTAGAGTGTTGATGAGCATTTTTCCCTGCTGTAGTTTCTCTCACCTTAGATAGTGCAGATCAGAGATTTCCTTCATGCAAAGCCAGCAGAACTCGCAGCCACAGACAGCGCATGTCATGTGATTACAGCTCCCGTCATTCATCTTGATGATGTAGGCGGCACATCGAGGGCACGGCTTGATGTCATCTCCTGCTTTGGAATGAATGAGGGACAGCAAAAGAGACAGTTCGCAAACAGGTTTTTTTGGCATTTATTTATAGACCAGACAGTATGCCAGGAATTCATCTCTCTTACGTGAGCATAAGATAGGTGTGTTGTTATTCTTAGTTTTGTTACCTGCGGCTCCACTCTCTTGGCTGTAGCTTAGGGAGGAGGACCTGAAACTCCTGAGCCTGAAGGTTTGGGCCCTCTGTTGCCGCGCCGTGTCACATGTCTGGTTTGGATGCCACAGCTGTTTGCAGTGGTAGCAGAACTCTGTCCCACAGCCCTCGCGCCCACAGGTGATCTTTGGGCAGCTGGCGCAGCCGAATGCGATCACAGCGTAACTAAGAGAGGAAATTAAAACCAAGCAGTTATGTGGGTTAATAAATGCTGGTAGAGGAGCTTGGATGCAGTATTGTAACACAACACTAGGGGTCAGTACGGCTAAAATGACCAGCATAGAGAAGGAGAACCAGGCAGCAACTTCTAGTATCTCTGAATAAAAAAGTATTTACACTAGTGCTATTTACATCCTCAAGGGTCCAACAACTTGAGCAGTGGTTGTTACATAATCACAGCAACCTGGCTGACTTTCAACGTCTGAGCTCTGTTACAGAAATCAGTGCCAGGACGATCAGTTCTGCATGACTGCGTGTCACCATAGTATCCCCCATCAATCATTACAATGGTCCGTTTGAAAGCTAATGATAAGTTCATGTCATGACGGAGGCAAAGTCTGACAACTGCTGCTGGGATTTCCACATGCAAATCCAATACAACTTGATCAACTGCCAAAATAAAAGTCTGTGACTGCTGAGTTCATTTGTGCCCTAACTTCAGTCACGGCATGATTTTATCTCTGAAAATAGGAATAGAAATTTTTGAAACTGCTCTCTTTGGGTTGCTGGTTCATGAACTCCCTCGGTGTGCGCAATAACGATCATTTTGTTGAAGAATCACTCGAGATACTGTGAGAGAGAAACCAGCGATGCACTTAGATGAATAATAAAGTTAGCTGGAGTATGACAACCTCAGTTTAACCCTGAGATAGTTGCAGCTAAAGCGCATCCCACAGTGGGGTTATCATGGGAACATGAGAAACAGATGATAAGGGGAAAAACAAACACTGTGGCTGACGTATAGAGGACAGTGTGTAACAGATGTACACTGGACATCACTGTGTGCAGAGGGATGAAGCTCCACTGTACATCATCGGAAATATCTGCGTAACACGATTTAACTTTCAAACTAATCAACACAAACACTGTGGGTACACGCCACAATGTCTTTATTGATAAATGTGATTTTGTAATGAAAAGCTGACTGCATTCCAGGACAAAGTCTCTGAAAATCATACGCAGCAGCAGAATCATCTGATGTGTAAACCTCCACAGCTGCTGGTTGATAAACAAAGCTGATGACTGAGATGATCTCTTGGTTAAGATAAATATTAAACTATTAAACAGACTTACATCAGCTTATACCAGGAAATAAACAGTGAAAACAGTCGAGAGGGAAGTTTTACTTCTGTAAATAATCATCCATGATGGCTGAATATGAACTTGAAGGTGCATTGTGATGGATTTGAGCTTTATTTAGCTGAACAGAAAATAAAAAACAGAATTCTTGATTTGTTACTGATTCAATAATTAATGTAGAAAAAGGAGAAATTAATCAACATCAAAAATGATCTGTTTCAGCTCCTGCTCTGAGATTAGGATTAAACTGATGTTAAAAATTCATTTATTTTTTTATTTTTTGTGATCATATTTTTATTTTGTTTTATTTCATTACATAATCATTTATCCACAACCCTTGCCCCAACTCTTGTCCTAGGGATAACATTGAATTTGGGCGATTACAGGGGAGGAAAAAAAATAATTATTAAAAAATATATATAATAATAATAATAATAATTAATTAATTAAATAAATAAACAGCAGCGTCATCATTACATAGTAAACATAATCATGAGAAAAATGGATAAAATGCAAAATAAAGGGAGAAAAAAAAAAAGATTTAAAGTTCAGAGAATTGTGTTGATTTCGACCCAGATGGTGTTTTTTTGTGCCACAGTGTCACATGGAGACAATAAAACCAGGCACCAGCTGCATCTGATGTCATGGCATCATTTTACTGACACACTTTGGCCATGAGAGTAGCAGTAGAGATGTGCAGGAATTATATACCCTCACAGTATTTTGTCAAGACTGGGTCACTCACAAAGTTCATCGCAGTCAACCTGTTGGGTTTTATTACTAGCTTGTGCTTTCCCTCACTGATACCAATACGTCCTCATTACCTATCAACAACTTCAGTTCTCAAGTGTTCTCCGCTGACACCCAGTGCTCCACTTTTATGATCAGATAAGCTTTTGAGAATCTCGAAGAACTTCGAGGGTTGTATAACTTCAAAGAATGTCAGCATTACCGGTGGAGCCAAAGCTTAACTGATGAGATGATGAGTGCGAGAAGAGCTGAAACAGGCGCATGAAAGAGCCATTATTCTGAGAGACAGGGTCAGCAGTGTTGATGCAACAAAGCCAAGAGAGAGTGAAGTCATTACTGAATCCTGCTATCGTTCAATACTAAACGAACCACGGCGTCTGAATGCAAGGAATGTGGGCTACTAAGAACAAACTCCAGGATGCACAACACATCAAAAAACTCAGCATCTGTGATTGAGCTTTTTGTGTGTTCGTGCTGGTAGACTTTGCTTTAAGAGGCACCAAACAGTAGACGGAGACGAAACAACCTGCTTGGCCTCTCTTCAGGCCCCCGTTAGCAAACTGTTGAAGCCCTACTGGAGCCTTCAAGACCCCGACCTGACCCTCATTTACACTCGGCACCTCCTTGTGAAGGAGGGAAACCAGAGAAATAGTTTCATCTTGTTTTTGGAGCAGAAGCGGAAGGAATGGGCTTGCAGAATCTCATCGAGCGTTAAATAAATGATATTCATCGCTCGGTTCTCAAGACTAGTAAGGGCTGTAAAGGCCACTTCAGAAAAGCTTTTACAGTGTCTTCCAGGGAGAGGCAATAATTGGTGAAAAATCCTTAAACTTCTGAGTAAAGCTGGAAGAAAACAACGCTCCGAAACCGTGAGGAAAAAAAAGAGAAAATCTATAAAAATTCATATCACTGATTTACTTGGAAAAGAAACTGGAAACCTCTGTGATCTGATCTGAACTGACAATGGTCCAAGTATAGCTTTGTATTTTCACTCACTGAAAGTGTGTTTGGTTGTTTTGTTCATTTTTCCTGGAGGTAGGGAAACATGCCTTAGAGGAATCATTAACTTTTAAGCTATTTTTAATTATTTTACCCCATGATTTTATTTATTTTGGTTCGGAGACCTTTATACAGTTCAGCGCTACAAGTTAGTGAGCCACATGTATGTCTGCCGTGTTGAGCCTTTAATACAGTTTGTAAAATTACACATGTGGTCAGACAGCAGTAGGCGTCGTCATCATCACAGGGTTCTTGCATCTTCTTTGGCTGACTCATCACCCAGACAGAACAAAGAGGTTTATTAACGCGATCGGTTATTTTTAACTCAGACATCAGTGCAGAAGCAGAGGTGAACCTCTTCTGAATGTGAGTGCTTTCTGTTATTTTAGGACATACGAGTTTGTTCTGTCAGGAGGACAAAACATCAGCGCAACCGAAAAAGAGATTCTGAATGATCGAAAATGAGCTGAAGTGGATTTGGAAACAATTAACAGGGTTCATACATAGTTGGGATTTCCATACTTTTCCATACCCAATTTTTTTAGAATTATTTTTGGAGATACCTACTCCTCTTCTTTAGAAAACAGTATTTTTTTTTTACTGTGGTGATAGTCTGGAAACCTCAATATTTTTCCATACTTTATTTTTTGTTTACCGTACTTTTTAAGACCTGGAAATTCATAAAATTACTTCCACACTTTTCCATACTTGCCATACTTGTGTAGGCCCTGAATTTTAAAATGTTTGAAACGACTGGATTAATCAGACCCTGTAAATTCAGCCTGCTTAGAAATGCTGTTAGTGCTGAATGATCAGAACTCAAATATGTCCCTACTGTTCAGTGACGAGTCTTTCTGTCCAAAAGGCCAAAACTTTTCGAAGTCAGCATGTTACTTCTCCACTATAATAAACTTAAAATCAGATCTCATAAGCTTTCAACTGGTGAGTCATTTATCATGTCAAATTTACGCTGTGAGGTCTCTCCGCTCTCGTACTTACCCACAGTCAGGAGCCGGGCACCAGCGGCAGTCAGGCTCGGCCACCAGCCACCTCCTGAGCATGAACTCCTCGTACTTCTCCATGAGGGCTCGATCCCCGAGGATCATGCGGATGTCGTGGGGATTGAAGCGCTCAGAGCACTCTGGGCAGCAGATGTTGACGCGGGACTCAGAGATCTCGATGCGGAGATACTGCCGCAGGCAGTCTGCACAGGAGCGGTGGTGACAGGTCATGATGTCAGGGAAGCGGTCCCGTGCATGGCGCAGGAGGCACAGGGGGCACTCCATGAGCTCTGATGAAGATCCTGACACTGATGAAGTCGATGTGGCGGCGAGGGCAGACTGCGCAGAGGTTTTGTCTTGGAGAGTCTCTGGTTGGACGCTCTCTGAGCTGACGATTCCATCCACCCCAGCTGCCCCCTGCGGAGGCCTAGATTTGCGCTTGGGGTCGCGATCATGCCGGCGTCGGCGACTGAAGAGGGAGTGGAGGGAAAGACGGCGCTTCTTGGGGGTCTTTCTAATCGACGGGAGGCTGACAGAGGAGGCAGCAGAGTGAAGGTCTCGCTCTGAGCCTGTGCTGCCATGATGCTGCTGGTGAAGGCTGCTCATTGTGCTGGATGCTAAGTGACCCTGCGGAAGCTACAACCGGAAATCACCACATCAGGAAAGGAGAAGGAGAGAGGGATAAAGATGGAGGACAGGGACTGGGGTTTAAGGGACTGGGGCAGGATGGTCAAGGGAGGGGACTGGGCTGCTGTTAGCTAGGACATGGTGGCTGAAAGCTGATAAAGGAGATCTGGAAGTCTGACGAGTGGTCTGTTCCTCGATCAAATCCAGCAACAAGGTGTCGATTTTCAGATGTAGGACACAAACCTGAAATAGAAGAGGAAAAACGATTAAAATTTAACAGTCTGCAGCAAAAACAGAAGCACCTAAAAAGGGGATTTCTCTCAGAACCGATCTAAAAGGTCAGCTAGATATAAAACACCAAAAATCTGTTCAAATCTGGGACATAAAGCGATTAATGAGGCGTTTTCTTGGGCTGAAAAGAGACCGTCGCTTTGAGAATTCAGAGTTTCTGGCTGACCTCGGGCTCTTTCTGAGGTGTTTCTCCTGCGTATGTGTTTGTGCATGTGAAGCTGCTGGTATAAATTGACTGTAGGCTTCCCCCTTGAGTGTACATTAATCATCTGAAGGCAAAACAAGACAAAACCCAGTGTTTTTCCCATCCTAAATCTCAGATGTTGCTACAGCTGTGTCAGTGCGTCTCTGGAGCTGCCACACCTTGCCTTGAATGCTTCCACATGTTCTGAGCAGCAGAGCAGAGAAAACGACATTTTAGTTTACTCGTGGTTGATACGCGGAAGACCAGCTACACAAAAGCCCATCAAGAATTTAGAAGCAGGCTTCCAAGGTGCTGAACGATCCCTACCAGACTGATGGACATGCTTGTTTTCCCTACATTTGAACATAATTTAAAACAAAACAAAGAAATGTGGGCTGATTTTCACAACAGCAGTATAATCCTTCATTTCAACATGAGCATCTTATCAACCACGGCACCAGAATGCGATTAAACACATGCTGAAGTTAAGACATAAATGAGCTTTAACTGACCAGAGATCCATTTGGAAAAAATTGAGAATAAACTCCTTAAACACGTTCACGGTGGTGACCTGTATTTTTTTTTCTCTTTGCTTTTGCAGAGTGAGACAAATCCAAAATACATCAGCTTCTACATCAATAATAGTTGTTGTAGGTTTGAATATGGCTTTATAATCATGCGATTTGTTCGTGTCTATATCTATAACAGATGCCTCAACATTCATCCAACTTATCTGTTACAAGAAAACCTGCAAAACTCTTTTTTTTTCCTTTTGGTTTTGACACCTCATTTTTCTACATCCTAATATTAAAGCAAATAAAGGAAAACAAAATAATTAATTGGTGTAAAGATTTCAGCAGTAGTTGCAGCATCTTTCACAAACACACTCAGTTCCCTCCAGCTGAGAGACTGTATCCATTGTAAGGTAAACTCTTGTGAACTTCTTGGATCAGAATTATCAAGTTTTTTAGACAATCCATCCATCTTCTACCGCTTATTCCTGTTCCCGGGGTTGCAGGGGGACTGGAGCCTATCCCAGAATCTTCGGGTATAGGCAGGGGACACCCTGGACAAGTCGCCAGTTCATTGCAGGGCTGACATATAGAGACGAACAACCGCCCACGCTTACATTCACACCGACAGGCAATTTGAAAGTGGCCAATTAAGCTAACTCTACTTCGGCATGTTTTTGGGATGTGGTGACGAAAATTGGAGTACCCGGAGTAAACCCACACAGACACAGGGAGAACATGCTAACTTCACACAGAAATGCCCTGACCCAGATTCGAACCCAGGACCTTCTTGCTCCCATCAACTCCACAAATAGAAGAAACTTAATATCTAAGCTTTTATAAGACATGCCCTTCCCTAGACAAGTCCTCAAAGTATAATTGCGAATTCACTTTACAAAATTATAATTACATCTTACCGGCAAAATGAAGACAAGATTGATTTTGCTCCTTCTGCTCTTGCACGTGCTTTGCTTGTGTTTGTGTGTGTTTGTCATCAGGGACTAATTTCAGGAAAATTCCAGTAGGAGCCAAAAAGGTGGCTAATTAACCAGCTCACTGTAAATCTCAACTGGGACAGCAATCCTGCAAAGGTGCAAATGTTCACTCTCGTAACCTAGAAACCTCTCAATGACTGGCTGCGGTTTTTCCCTCATTTCAAAAATGACGTATAGGCAGCAGTTCGTTTTTACGACCCCTGCTGAAGCAATCAGAGAGACATTTCAAAGTCAGCATCAGCAGAGGCTGCAGACAGATTCTGTTTGTGGCAAAAGACCATGTGGGTTCAGAATATGACATCTCGTCCTCCTCTGCATCTGCCATGTTCTAGTTAGCTACACTAACTTGCCCTGCTAATGCACGGCTCAGGAGAAGTCGTGATTGCACAGAAACCATAGTGACAAAAATCACAGCAAAGTGTGAGGTGGATATTAGGGCTGGGACGATATGCTTTTCTCCCAATTCTTCTACTACTACTACTACTTCTCGATTCTTCTACGATTTTTTGGATGCTGGTTTGATTAAAATTGTGATTCTATGATATTGTCGATTTCTCAATTTTTAGTCTGCATTTTTAACACCAGTGAAACAGCTGAATGATTATGATTGTCTACTGACTGACTTACACATCACATGTAAGTCAGTTTTTAAGATTTATTCTTAAATTAAAATATATATATATATTTTTTTTGAACAGAAAAATTTATCTGAAATTGTAAAACAAAAAATCGTGATATTTATGTGAATCGATTTATTCTCCCACCCCTAGAAGATTAGAAGATATCCCTACAACCTGTAACATGTAAAGGTGACACAAATTAAACAACAAAAAATCAGCTCATTTCTTCAAACCTTACATTGACATTTAAAGATTTTGTTTGTTTGTTTGTTTTGCTTGTTTCTGTCAAGCAGCCACTTTACACTCACAAAGATAATATAAGGAGTGGTCATCAGGATTCACTCACAAGTGGCCCAAGACGTGAACTTGAGTATTAATAATAAACACCTAATGAACAACCAGTTATCATCAAGTTCTTTCCCACAACGTGTTCCCTTTTAGTTCACACCTCACACTTTGATCGTAAAACTATAAAAGAGCTATAAAGTGCAGGCAGTGTAAACATTGAATCTCTTTACTTTAAAGGTCATACGCAGAGTAACGACAGGCTGCGATAACACAGTGATAACACATCAGTTTGTTCCAAGTGGAATTCCTCTAAAGAGCTGAAACAGAGTCCCACCATCAAAACAACTTTGTACTTTTAGACACTGCACCCCAAAACTCTCAAATATTGTCATCCAAGTATGTGAGTCTACATCATATCACAGTATTGCAGAATTTTCAGAGTCATGGTTTGTAAACAAACAGTGGGTGTGCAGTAGTACACACACCGTGAAATGTCTCTGAACCCTGAAAACTCCACGGTTACGCCATCATTATTGTCCTTTCCCCCACTTTGCCTCTGACACCACCTCAAACAGGGAGTTCAGAGGGCCTAAACACATGGGCCTGAATATCCTGCCTTGAAATGTCACTTTGTAAAACATGATAGATACGCTCATTACTCTCACAAAAAACTGAAATAAGCAGACATATTAAGCAGACTATAATCTGAAACTCACTTGAATGTAAAGATGACCTGTGCTTAGCTGTGAACTAAATATACATGACAGTTAAAAAACAGTCAAAACCATAATTACATCTCATCAGCCCTCATTGGCGCTGGAGCAAAGTTGTAAAGTATGAAGTGTTTTAATTGCACGCTCTGAAAGTTTAAGAGTCACAATGAAAAACCCAAGTTCACACATGCAAACGAGCAAAGCGCAACCCACCAGAGGGTAGCAGAACAAGACATGAGATCCCAGAGGTGGCATGAAACTAAGCATGTTTGTACGTGTTCGTCCCTGTCAGAGAAAATGTAACCGAAACACACTCAGCCATAGAAAAATGAGATCTTTTCACAGCCACGGTTTCACCAGTTGGATCAGGTTTGTGCGGTCAGATGTTGCTAATACTCCACACAAACTCAGGCCAAAAGGTTGTTTTTGTTAACGCGGGGTTGTATGAGGTACTTGTCAATAATATGTGTATTACCCAGAGGGGATCTGGGTCAGCGCGGCCTCTTTGTAGTGAAACCGGCCAGAGGGCTGACGTGGAAACTAGGCTATCAACGACTATAGACAAGGTCCACTCAACCATGTAATTAAGCCAATTTTAACCCTAATCCGAACACTAATGACTGTGTAACTGTCACTTTTTCTACTATACTTCTCTCCACAGACATGACACAACGCAGAACTCCTCTATAACATCAGAAAGATACAGAAAAGAGCTGCAAACATTTTCCCCCTGTACCTTGATGTACGTGTGTCATACTGGGAGTCAATGGGAGTGAGAGGAAGAGGAACCTGGGTAAAGCATTTAAATCCACTTCCTACTGTGACTCAGATCAATTTAAGATAAAAGCATTTCCTTTATTTTTCTTTCAGCATCATTTAAAAAAAATCTGTTTATTGGCATTTTCAGCAGGGCCCGACCAATATGGATTTTTGGGGGCCGATGCCGATACTGATCATTAGGGGAGAAAATAATCCGATAATCGATTAATCTGCCGATTTTTTATTATTTTTATGAAGTTATAAAAAATATATATATAATGTAGATATCTACAGTATACTGTAGATATACTGTAGGCTACTGCTCTTCACACCGACAGCCCACCCCCCGTTCCCAGATCCTCTAACAAGAAGTATTAAGTGAGAAAGAAAAAATAAAATAAATAAATAAGTAAAGTAAAAATAAGGATAATAATAAAGATAAATTACACTGCAAGTTATCCTGAACATATGATGTAAAGAAAGGGTATTGCAAAAAATTAATAAATAAGTAAAATAAAATGAAATAAAATAAAAAAACAGAGCCCAGAAAGAGAAATACAAATTAAATTTAAATAATGGGAAAGAAAATTTTAAAAATAAAATAATAATAATTAAAAAAAAACTACATATAAATAAAGCGCAATATTCCATATCAACACTGTTCACCAAATGTGCAGATTTAAGTACACATAGATCTAAGTACATTCATCCTATGTTAAATACAGCTAGGGTTGGGTCAGGAGGAATCCCAGTTTGTGATCGTGGTGAGGTTGTCTAAGTAAGTCAGGAAAGGCATCCAAACCTGATCAAATTTCTCCCTGTTACCTCTCAGACTAAACTCAATCCTCTCCAATTTAAGATGAAATATAACATCCCTGATCCATCTGACATGGGACGGAGGTTTAGAACGCTTCTAGATTAGTAGTCATTCAGCATCAATTTGAGGATAAAATAGACACCAGATACTAAAATGATATGCTGAGAATACAAACAAGTCCAAAGAGGAACTGTGCCGAATCTCTAAAAACATCACTGTAACCTCTGAACAGGTACAGACCTGGGAAACTTCAGTATAAAGAGGCATCTTTGTCCTCGCTGGTTTTGATACTTTATTCAAATAAATACTCTGCTCTTGAAATAGAAAGCACTGGAAACATTCGAATAGCACTTTTCCAGAGTCATCCCTGAGTGTTTTAATCCTAAATTAAGCCGGCGACCGTGAGTAGAACTTCCACTGTGAGGCTTTTCTGGTACAGCTGGTTTAAGTGATGTCCTTACACTATAATTCCACATCATAACAAAGCTTGATGATGTATGAGGTCAACTCGCAAAGTCACATGAGCGAGAGGAAACTTTAACAAGTGAGAGGAGCAATTTCAGGGCTACCCGCAAGTGAATGTGAAATTACACTGCCACTGTGTCATTAAACTGGAAAAGCCTGCGCCGAATAAGCGGGACTTTCCGTGTGACTGTGGTCATGTATGTGTTAGCGTTTGAGTGTGCACATGCATCTATGTATTCAAGTTCTGTGGCTTCGGGGCAATCATATGCAACTCCAGCTCGCGCACACTGGGATGGTGTCCTAGTTCCCAAGACAACCCCGAGGGCAGGAAGCTCACTGCGGCTGAATAAATGGCTTCAACCATCCGTCAGCTCTTAAGAGGAACCACCAGCTCTGCATCAGATGATGCTATGTCACGATCAACACTTGAAATCTACTTATTTAAACTACAGAAACAGGTCAGAGAAAGGTAAGTGAGTTTTCAGGGAGTTACACTATAATTCCTGTGCTGACATGGTGGAAAGAAAATAGTAACTGGATGTGTCACTTGAGGCTGTAGTGGTGATGGCTTTAATAAGACCTTTCTGGCCACAAAGCAATAACATGCTGGCCCTTAAGCAGCAATAAACAGAATAAATCCAGGTTTCCCACTGCCTGTAATTTTGTAAAGAGACAATTAGGTGCATAACCAAACAGAAATGGAGGATTTATATTGCAACTCTGTGAGTATGCGCTGCCTGGCACATAAAACCCTTCTTTTTTTTAATGCATTTATATCTTTTTTCTATTAATAAACTATAAACAGAACATGGCAATCTCCCAAAGAACATCCTTCCTGAGTTTTTATGTCATTATTGCTCCACAGTGCTTCTTCTATTTCCAGAGTAAACAAACATCAGCAGCACACATGAAAAAAAAAGGCAGTAAAACACATCCTCTCTGCAGATGCTGTTCTTTCCCTGGAAATATTGAATAACAAATACACTTTCAGCTGGGTTGAAAGTGCATCATATCCCCAAACCCTAAAGTGGCTTTGAAACACAGGAGCTAAACTGGGACATGTCACCACTTGTGTTGTAGTATCCAAGTTGAGAGCTTGAAGTGACTTGATTGGTTTTACTTTTAAAGCCCCAATATTTCGTTCACCTCAAGGCAACGGCTGATATGTGTTCACCTGCTGGCATGTTCTACTGCCATTTTGTTCAGGAACACTTAATGTAACAGGGTACCTTGCGACGAAAAACAAATCATGAGTTCAGCAGGGCTTGACACTAACTTTTTTCACAAGGAGCACATGAAAATTGATCAAATAATGTTTGTCTTATTGGTCGACGTAAGTACTATTATTTGATATCAATTTTAGGGGCTTTATTTTCGTGCCCGCCGGCAGCGCGGCAGACCCCGCGCAGTGGTATTTTCGTCTGGTGGAACCAGACATGGTAATATATTGACAGTCTCTTATTCAACACCCGACATTGACAGCCAGGATGCCGAGTACATTAAACCACGCTGCTGTTACTATTATCTCCAGGTTGTGGAGAGTGAGAAGACACCGGTAGATCCACAGTGTATGTCTGTCAGATATCCAACCTAAAAATAAACTTCACTGTGGTATTTACATGAAAAACAATTTTTGCCTCGGCTAATTTCTTTTAAGTGCACGTGCCCCTAAATACATTTTACAATTCACACACATCTATTTTTAGTCGCAAATGCGAGTGAAATGGTCACACTGTCGAGCCCTGGTTTAGGTTTGAAAGATTCAAATGTAAATGCGAGCAAAAGCAGTACAAGACGGCTGAAATGTCAAAGAACTATCAAGGAAAAGAGAGTTAATCTCAAACTTTCAGAATATATAAATCTGTTGTTAAGGATTACATAACATTTTGTTTAAATGCTTGTGAGAAAGACACATTCTTGTGCTCTCTAAAGCAGCAGAAATCTGCTTAGGTTTGGTTTAGTCAGAACATGAAAAAGGTTTCACTGCTGTGTTTGTCAATGCTGAAGTCCAAAGGGATGTACACTTCCTGGAATTCTGAAAGTAATGGCAGCCTTTGCCTTCCTTCAAAGAAACACTACTTATAATAATCTGTTTCCAACACTGGAAATGAGTGTTTCACCGTGTTCCTCTGCAAAGCGTTCATCACGTACGCTAATTTCCGGAGACATTCCAGTCAGAGGACCGACTTCCTGATCATGACAATGCATTCAGGGACTATGGCTTTAAGACAGGGGGAAGAGCCCAGAAACTGGATCTCAAACTCGCAAGAAAAGCTGCTTTCTTTTTTACATAACCTGTTTACCCTCCACATAAGGAGGAAATAATTCAGTATTAGTGGAACTGCCCCCTCCGTTTACAGCGCAGGACTCCGAGAGCAAAAACAAGTTGTTCTCGGACAGTCCATCAGTCATCATGAGTCTGTCAGCTGACACTGGCTTTATGAACCTCTCTTTAGTTGATCTGCTAGTGAAAGTGTTAAAAAGAGTAGTACTGTGGACAGGAGGTACTGGAGTGTCCTTCTCTGATGCTGTTCAGACATGGTTTACTTAACAGTCTGATATAAAACACACAAGACGGGGTACTTTCAACTGTATCTGAACTCTACAGTGAGCTCATGGTTTATATTTGAAGATGGATTACTGTAACTGTTTCTGCACTTAGCACTTTATTTTAACTACAGAGTAAAAGACACAGTGTGCACGTGACATAGAAAGATGTAAATACCACTTGCTGGGGATCTGACAAGGACGCATCAGGGGCACGTCTAATTGAGTCTCGACTTTGCTGCCAGGTCGTCACAGAGCTTGACATAGGGGGATAGTGTTTCTCCCATTTATACATGCAGTTTCTACTTTCAGGGGTGTGTGACTCTAATAATGATATCAGCATCATTGATGAAAACACCAGCCATATGTAACGTATGTGTCATGGACTGATGTCAGCGGTCAATGTTCATGTGTTATGTGGCCTCGCTTTAATACGAGAAGGCCAGTATATTGAACTGCTGATTCAGGGATGAGATTCTTCAATGGGCTGAAGAAATCCCCCTTTTAAACAATCCCACAGTTTGTTTCTAAGGTCATACACCAAAGAGAAGGTTGATGGTGTGGAACTATTATGTTCCAGTAGGTCTGGGCAATTTGGCAAAAAAAAAAAAAAAGATAATATATTTTGTCATATTGTCTGATCTCGATTATTATCATGATTTTTTTTAAACTGCCAGTTTTAAAGGATCTGTACTAAAAACTAAAAAAACTAGAGATTAGTTCAACATTTTATTAACATACAAAGTAAATAACAAAGCAAACTGAGTAACATAAACTTAGAAAAATATCAAACCCATTTTAACTCAACAGTACAACAAATGTAGATAAATACTAAATAATACAGTGAATTAATTTACAGTCCTGAGTGTTTTTGCAGGTATGTAAGACCCAAAATAAACAAATGACCCCCTCAGGGATAATGAAGACGCCTTAAACTGTAAACATTAGATGATGTAAACGTAGATGATAGGATTGATTGCTTTGGTCTGGTGGCTCCACCGCTAGTTGTGGCTAAACTGCTAATGCTACTCATGCCGTCAGCAGTGACATTTTCGTGCTTTTCCTCATAATCATAATCCTCATAATCACTCGGGAAGTACTTCTTGAAATTATTAAACAGATCTGTTGTATTGCCCGTTTTTGAGAGCACCGACCACCAACATACCTTATACATCGGCTTAATTGCTAGACGTCACTTTGGAGATAACCGCTACACAACCGATGTTGAAAACCTTTTCTTCTCAACAATAACATCTTCGGAGGATGACTTAAAGTCAAGACTGACATCCATTTTGCTGCCCTTAGCACCACGTTTAGCTCCACGTTTGGTTATTCTGTTTTCTTCTCCAACAACTAACAGAAGTGAGCAAGAAAAGCTTGACTCTGATTGGCTGTTGTCACGCACATTTCCGCCATATTTGATCAAGTAAATATGCTCACAGCTGATCACCATGATCGAACTGAAATTTATCACGATCATCGATCACGATCATATAATCGCCCAGGCCTACATTCAAGTTTGTAAGATGTGTTTCAATGAGATGTCAAGAGGGGAGTGCTAACATCAGTTTAAGTACATACAATCTAACAGCTCATTTGAAATCAGACCCAAAGAAAAACTAAGAGGTAATGGAAAAAACAAACCCTGGTATTGGAATCAGCCTTTGGCCTTTGTATCAGCCCTGATTTCAACAGTCAAAGTGGCCCTAGTGAGCAAAGATGCTTTTGAGGCCAAACTCACTTTTTCCATGCGTCATTTGTGATTCTTTGCAGAGGTTTGTGGTACATATCCCAGATCAAGCAGAGAATTAAAGGGTCTACAACCTGTATTTACTCCGTGGAGCATGTTCTAAAACATTTTATACAGTGAGATGTTCCCACGATTGTGTATTTACAATCATCTTTAGGATACTTCCTCCTACTAGCCTGGCAAGGTGGGAAATTATCAATCAAGCTATTGGTTTAAATCAGTCAGAATTTTAAAAACAAGCACCGGTTTGTAATATATCCCACAATACAAAACAGACAATGACTGACTGGAGCGTAACCTGTAAATCCTAACTAGCAAATACAGAGTCACTGACGTCTTTACCATTGTTAAGTGTGCACAAATGTTTGCCAGCTCGTTCATCAAGTACAAAGAAAAGTTAAGATAAGCATCCATGTTGATAGACAAGAGGCATTGTTGCAATATGCAAATGTTTACTTCACTCTATAGCTCCAGGATCAACTAACTGTTGCCTGACTGAATTGGACAAATACAGATAAGAAATCATTTGGTTGACTGTCAAAAAAACTTGAAAAAATAGTTTTCAAAGATGGAAATCTACTCTTAAAAATATAGTTTAAATGTTCTTTTATTGTCACAGTGGTAGAATAATGATTTTCTACTGTTTAATTGTTTCACAACACACAACTGACTGGGAAATTTAGGTCATTGTGACTCAAACTAGAGCAGACCAATTTGAGGTGTGGTGCAAACCCTTTATGTAAATGTCTGACATGAAAAACAGGACCTGCCTTCTTTATTACAGGTTTGCTCACAGGAAAACAATGTGTCAATATTTGAGCTTCAGACAAAATCATAATAAATCATTGTTTAAATTGTAGCTGTCATTGTCTGTCTCTAAACTTAGATCACTTTAGGTGGTTAGAAGAAATGCCTCTGTCAGGTCAGTGAGTCAGACTGAAGCTGTGGTTTGAACACATATCACTTCATCAAACCTGTAAATCCCACTTTATTTCTAGACATGGAGCTGAAACGCTTTCCCTAACACTCCGAAAGTCTGAGTCTGACTATAAAACGAAACGAAACACAATTTTATGACTCACAAACAAAGAGCCCCAGTGAAGATGGCATGGATTAATTTAGCGTGTGTGCTATAAAAGTCACAGTTTATAAGGAAGGACTGCGCCCAACAAATGACGTGTTATCTATTCAGGAAAACATTGTTAACTGGGCTCTAAAGAGACAATGGGGAAACATTAAAGGTGAGCTTTCCTCTGTTTGCTGAGCCATGCCCGTGTTTGCTGAACGGGAAAGTCACAATCACAATCAGACTTCCACTTTTGCGGGTGTTTCTGTATCGCGATTGTATCATTTGGCCATTTATCGAGTATCGTTATCGGTTTCCCTCTCTAACTTGTTTGATTTCCTTCGTGTCCTACCCTTGAGTGAAATGAAATCTATGGCAGACGTGGCTATGTAATCAATAGTCAAAGTGATCACGTATTTGAGGCGTCAATACAGACAGCCAACACTGTATAGACATACTGATGACATGTTCGTGATAGAAATTAAACAAAACCACATACCTACATGTTTACCAAGACCATAACGAAACATTCCCAATTACCGAAAAGGGACTTTCTGTTTGTTATCTGACGCTTCGACTTAGTCGGACCGAGCTGTGTTTACACTTTCCATCCAGCTAACCCCTGTTAGCATGCTAGGTAATGAAATCAGACTCGGCTAGCGGGATGCTAATCGAACTTTAATCGCCCCAAGAGTTGCTGACCGACTCAGCATCGTACATACTCGCCCGTGAAATATTAAAATAATCGATGGAGTTTACCAAGACCTTCTTCATCGCCGTAAATTTCCACTACTGAAGGCAAAAGCTTTCAACAATTTGACGAGGTGAACTTACAAGCTAACAGAGCTAAGAACTGTTAGCTGCTCGTAGATGAGGAAGTTCGGATCTGACTGATTTTACTCACAACGACAATAACTACGAATATAAATACTTGGGTTTATCTTACCTTTGTTTCCCTGTTGGTCTCATGTTACTTTACAACAGAAATGTATACCGCTGTCTCCATGTCTCAGTCGGACGTAGTTAAATATTTTGTTCATGAAAACTTCGCAGGACAGCCGAGCTGCATTCCCCGACTGAGCCTGACGACCAAGTCAAGCTACTGTACACTCTACAAAGCTGCTTCCGCTTCGACGGTTTTTCAAAATAAAAGACACTGGTCTGTTCTCAATGAGTTTAACAACAGTGTAATAGCATCCCAAGGTGATACTTTATCATGAGTACATTGATAAATTGAAGTAAAGAAATAGTACCAAAGTAAATCTCCTTTAAGTGAAATACAAACAGATTTTGATCATTCATTGTGTTATCAATCTTGTACCAGGACGTCAAATAATTGCTTGCTACAACTAAACATTATCTCAATATTGTATTGGCATTTTTCTAAAAGAAATTACATTCAATAAATAATGAATCACTGACCAAAAGATCAATGGATAAACCAATGTCTAATTATTCATTAGTAGAAGCCTAATCATAACTTTTATGTATTATAATAATCATGGCATTTTTAATGAATCCAAATACATCAGCATTTGAACATTTTCTTTACATTAACAAAAAATTTAGATTGATTTTACGTATTCAATTAAATCATTTTAAATTTTAAATTTAATGTCATATTCAAAAATTTTATATTTTTTTTATTTTGAATTTAATTTCAAGACATTTTGATTTATTTATAAACCCCAGGTATTACTACCATTGCAACTAATATAACAATATTTTTTTATTCATCAATTTTCACCAAGACACATTTGGAGAGATATGTTGCATGTACTTAAGACTCAAGTTAGGCTTGTTAGCTAGTTTTTTTTTAATGTAGATTGATTCATGTATTCAATTTATTTTGGACTTTGATTTAATTTCATATTCTAAATTTTACTTTAAATTTAATTCTAATATATTTTGATTAATTTATGAACCCTAGATACTACTTGGAGAGTTATGTTGGATGTACTTCAGATTCAAGCTAAGCTTGTAAGCTAGTTTTGACTTCCATAAAGGAGCCTTCTCAAAAAGATAAATAAAGTTCTATCTTATCGGTTAGTAATAATAATAATAATAATAATAATAATAATAATACAGTTCCTGATACGCGCTCTAATTTTGTTAGCATCATTGTTAAGTCGGAATTCACTTTTCTTATAGCAGTCGTTTACTTGACACAGTCAAAGTGCCAACAAATGCCTCTTAAAAAGAAGAAATACTGCCACCCTGTGGTCACTGGAGATGCGTTTTGTTGGACCACCCTATTGAATCATGTTCATGTAGACTGTGTTAACGCTACATTTTTGTCTTGAACTTGCGTGGATTACGGTAGAAGTGCTCACAAAATACTCATGAAAGCTCTGCCTTTTCTAAACAATTTTTTCATACCAAGTTTATATTCCAGACATTTGTGTAAAACTTGTGATAATCTCACTGTAAATAACAATATGCGTCATATACATGCTATTTGTTAAATCATATCTCTGAGTAAATTAGAGTCAAAAGAGACTTTCTTCAGAGACTTCCTTCTGCTCGAAAATGAAAGTGTTTTAAATTAAAAAGTGAGATAGAAGAGCAGTCAGCCAAGCGCTGGCATGTAGGCAGACCAGTTTGAAGAGTGTGCAGCTGCTCAATGGCAACAGTTTGTTTGATTGATCATGACATTTTCTTTAGTTAAAAAACATTTAAATCCACTTACACTGAGTTCTTCTACACTGCAGTTTATTCAAACGTCAGGATAAAAAAATGCAGATATGTATATTTGTCTTGTCAAAAGTTTCTACGACACATTTTCTTAAGTTGACTGTTTCATGGCTTCGATCAACCAACTGTGTTTTTAGAACATCATTTTGTACAGAACTAAACTGAATTTTGACAGAGACTCTTAAAGATCATGTCTAAAATTACGGTGGCCGAGAACCACCGCTGCTGAAAATAAAAAAGAATGCAAAAATAAGAAGTCACAATGGAAGTTACTGATGCAAAAAACAAACAAACAAACAAAAAACTAAGCCCACTGCAAATTAAAAAAGAAACAGTGCAGATAAAAAAAAAAAGCCTTAATGGAAGTTAATGACGCAAAAAAAAGAAGCCCGTTGCAAATAATAATAATAATTAAAAAAATGATGCAGATAAAAAAAAGCCACAACGGAAGTTAGTGACGCAAAAAAAAAGTGGTGATAGCAAAAAAAAGTTACTGCGAAAATAAAAGGATATATATATATATATATATATATATATATATATATATATATATATATATATATACTTCCATTGTTTGTTTGTTTTTTTCCCTTCTTTTTTTTATTTGCAGCAGTGGCGGTTCTCGCCCCCCGTACAAAAAAGCTGCTTTGGATCATGTTGTTGTGTGACATCTTTTCGTCCTCTAAATATCTCCACTCTTCGTTCTGACTGCTTGGGGACCTATTTGTGCGCATGCGCACGGGTTGGTTTTTTAGATGTCAGCTGCACTGCAGAGATAACGGACGAACACTTAGCGAGAGCTCGCGAGCGCAGGGAAGTATCAAGTCTTCACCAAAAGCTCCTCAAAAACCTGGATAAAGTAATGAGGTAGACGCTCGGACAACTGGGAATTATCACAACTGGTTGGGAAAGACTGACGAGGCCTCGGTGAAAATGGACCAGGAGTTTGTAGACATAGATTCAGAGGGCCGGTGGCAGAAACTCTACCTTGTAAGTCTGTTAGCATAGTTAGCATGGAGCTAACATAAACACTACATGAAGCGTGTGTTCACTACAGCAAGATAACTCTGTGATAAGCTTTTGAAATGTGTAGCTTATATCATCCACGCTCATTTAAAGTTAGTTTCTTTTTTGTTTGGTGTTTGTTTCGCTTTTGTTTGTTTTGTTCCCTCACTGCTGCACTCTCAATGTGTAAGGTACAATTACCAGGAACAGTAAAAGAAGAATAATCAGGTGTTTATATCTCATTGTCACGGGATTTACTACTCTTTCAGACTTGTTTGACTTGTTTATTGCCTGTAGTAGGAACCTATTATGAGTGTATGTTGTGTTCAGGGCTGCACACTGTGGTTTGTTGACACAGTATGATCACAAATCAATGTTTTTATGCTTTCAGGAAATTAGGAATCAGTCCCATGAGTGCTCCTACAAGGTGGCAAAGTATCCTGAGAACCGCAATCGGAACAGATACAGAGACGTCAGTCCATGTAGGTAAACTTTTGGGGTATTTTCACGCTCATTCCTCCAAAACTCAAATCCTATCTGTCAATTGAGAACTGAATTTTCTCGTTTTCATGCTGTTTGCAGTCGATCACAGCCGGGTGAAGCTGGAGAACTCAGAGAATGATTACATCAACGCAAGTTTGGTAACAATGGAAGAAGCCCAGAGGAGTTATATACTGACACAGGCAAGTCCAACACTTTATATTCCTGAAAACAAAGTGATTATACAAATATTTTGCTCTTGAAATATAATGACATGTATCAGACCAAAAAACTAATTTGACTTCTAAACAAGCTCTTCACCAAATCAACCAGAACTTGTGCAACTTTAGTTCTGTTTTTATGATTTATTAACCAAACAGGATGAAGTCCTACGAGCAATATTACTGTAAATACATTTTCAGTTCCTACTAGTTCCCATTAGAGGTTAAAAGTTATCAGAAATCTTGTATCTGACATACTGATATGAAAACCAACGAGTGTCACAATAGTGAAATCAGATTGGCTGATTGAGGCGGTTTCACTTTCATGACTGCATGCTGACTTATGTTTGAACGCGTCGTGTCACTGAGCACAAGGATTGCATGAAAAGGGCGCTGGTTTCTGAAACACTGAGCATTGAGTTAAGAGTCACTGTGAATGTTTTGAGAGCCATCCTTTGTAATTATGTGGCCATGCAGCAAAAACTTGAACACAGCTGCTGAAAGTTTGCCTTATTTTTTTTAGCTACTTCGTGGTTAGTAGAAACTTTTTTACTTCTCAAAACAGCAATTCAAGATTTTTCATTATATCCATGGATGTAATAAAGATAAAGCTATAATATATGTTTTGTATAAAATATAGTTTGGAATTTCGCCCTGTGGGACTAATAAATGAACATCTTATCTTATAGTATATTTTAATTGTCAATACAGTTAATGGTTGAGTGAAAGTACAAAGTTCCTAACGCTATCAGGACATCGGGAATGATAGTAGGCTTATGTCTCGTTAGATCTGCCTGTTATGTACAGCACATGCCACTGTTGTCCTCCCTCTTTTGCTGCCAAGATGTTTTGTGTGCATTTGTTATGTGTCTGTTGATGCTGTCCTTGTTGCTGTTGATCTGTTTTTTGTACACGATGAGACTAAAGACAGATTTCCACTTGTGGATAATGAACGAACGGACGAACGAATGAAAATAAAAAAAAAAACAGTGATATCAGTCAATGTGTGTTAATCTTAAGAGACTAAGAGATTGTTTTTAAACTTAAAATTTTCACTTCATGATCAGTAATGGGATAATATTTAATTTTTAATACATTTTAATAAACTAACATTTAAGCTCCTGTGAGGAATTTAAAGCAACAATAAGTATGTTTCCGTGCACAGTTAAGTTGAGTGGCGGTCGTAGCGCCAGTAGGAGATTTCACTGGGCTACTGGTTTTGTTTCAGTTTACATGTGCTGGGGACGGCTTGAATTATTGACAGAAGTGAGTTCTCTTACGCTACGGCAGGTAGCTACATGCCCCCTTCACTGTTACATGTAAAGGTTTTGTTTACAATCGGACTTCCTACCAACGCACTGGAGCTTTTCAACTTCCAGTTCGAACTCAGAGTTTGACCTCTGTAAACACGGAGCACTATGTTTAGGCTAGTTTCAGTCCACCTCAGCCCTATATGTGAAGGAGAAAATCAATCCCCCTCTACCTCTCTATCTTGGTATTATAGTCTGACTCACAGGAGCTTTAATGTGTGCCTTATTTTGGTTGCGTTATCATCACAGCCCTGATGTTTGCTTCAAAGATAAGAAGTCCATTTTTAGAGTCAGCATTGTTTTCAACAGAGCTACTTTCTTATCAAACAACTTTGTATTTAGTGACATAATAACAACAGTCACATGGCATTTTGGATGAAATCATAGTTGATTAAATTCTAACTGAATCAGTGAGTTTTATTTTTTAAACGAGATAGACCACTACAGCTCTTAAAATTATACTGACCTTTAAATCAGGGAACATCAAGGGAAGAGCACGGAGAGAATAAAAATGCCATTGTCATAGTTTTTTAATGCTGCAAATGTTAAGCTTGAATAATAATATTTTACTGGTAAATAGTTCTGTCATTAATGAGCGTTGTAAATTATTTATCCGTGAAAAGAAGGTCATCGATAACAGAAGCAGAACTCGGGGGGGCTTTTTCAGCCCACACAGCTTTAAATAACTTCCTGTCTCGGGAAAATGAATGGGCAAAATAGCACGTCTTTGTGTAATTCTTTGAATAAAAACCGATGATAGGAAAGAGAGAAAGAGACTCTAGTCCAGACAGTTTGGGCACAAGGATGATGAGATATCATCTGATGATATAGCGTCCCGCTTCTCCTGGAAAGATTAAAATAAAATGTGTAAAAAAAGTCAAAACTTGTGGGTCTTACATGGTTCTGTGTATTGAAGATCTGTATCTCTTAATAATCGAAACTTATGCTAAGTTACTGCGAATGTTTTATGCGGTTTCATCAATCTAAATTTGTAACATCCTCATTTAGATGTCAACAAACAGTGTTGCTTTGACAGCATGTCAGTATTTTCCTCACCTCTGTGACATTTACACATATTTCAGTCTCACAGGCTGTAGTTTTCTCAGTTTCACCACATGCTGACCTTTTATCGTCCTGACCTTTTTAATAAACCAGACAGCCTCTGTGCAGATGTTAATCTGTCTATCAGTTCATAATTTAAGTGGTGATGATGATATTGTTTGAGAAGAAAATATTACACACTTTTCCTTTTGTAAATGACTCTCTGCTACCTTATTTGACCCATGCTAAACAAAGTGTGTATGTGTGTGTTTGTTGTCATTAGGGCCCCCTCAGAAACACCTGTGGCCACTTTTGGCTCATGATCTGGGAACAGAAAACCAAGGCAGTCATCATGCTCAACAGAGTCATTGAGAAAGGCTCGGTAAGAAAAAAATACATTTTTTTTATTGTTCTGTTATTTTGTATTTTCTTTTGTTATATGTACTGATATATGAGGTGTAAATGACAAAAGGTTAAAGTGTGTAACCCTCACATTGAATTCTCTGTTTGCTTCGCTATCTGTAAAAAAATCTATAAAAAATTGTTCACAAAAAAAAAATATATATATGCATTTTTCTAGTGCACACAGACTACAGGAATACACACGCACACACACATACACACACACACAAACTGTTTAGGTTCGCAGCCTGCTGAGTGTGTGAAATGACTTAAGCAGCTTGTTTGATTAATCCTGATTTCTATTTAATGGTCTACTGTGAAGCGTCTCTCTCCTCTAAGTAGGATAACAGGAATTCAGTGTTTTGATAATGCGCTCACAGATTTCTGGGAGGGAACATGGATATAGCGCAACTCCTTTTATTCCCTGTGATCCCGCAGTGTGCTGATTAAACACACACAGACATACTTACGCTCAGTCTCGCTCTTGCGGAGCATCTGGGATCTCTCTCTCTCTCTCTCTCTCTCTCCCTTTCTTCCTCTCTCCCACTTAAGCAGCTGTAAAGGCTCTTGCTCAACTATGAGATCCACTCTCTCACTGTTTTCTTTGGAAGAGACGTTTCAGGGCTCTTCGTGTGTAAGTGTTGTTATCCCTCTGGGGATTTTCAATAAAGGCTGACGCTCCTGTCCTGTAAAGGAATTGTTACATAACAAACTTCCCAAAACCGCTTTGATCATCATCTGTTTACTCTGAAAAACACACTGAGGATATTTGAATTATTCCTCATAGTATTTGGCCGCAGAGCGTACAAATGGCTCACTGGTGTCTAAAAAAATGGTGAAGTATTCTGGTTTGATGTGCATGACAACGTCAGGAATGGTTTTGGACTTGAGCCAGTGCTTTTGTAGGCTTGCAGTTTTGTAACGGTGAGAAAATGAACCATTATTGCACAAGTCGTTTCAACATCCTAACTACAGTTATTAATTTCAACGCATGTGTTAAATTATGTAAAAGGAGCCTGTTGTTGTTGCTGCTGCCTCTGTTGCTGTGTAGGTGAGTGTAACTGTGCAGGTATGTGTGATATGTGTAGGGATGGGCGAGTACAGGTACCAGGTATTGGTATCGGGGCCAACGCCGGCCTTATTTTAATGTAGGGAGTACTCCTGAAGGCTGATGCCAAACGTCAACTAATTCCTTTTCGCCAGATGTTGGCGTGTAACATCCCAGCTCGGAAAGGGGAAAGGACGTAACATAAACCCCGGTTTAGTTGTTGTAAAAATTGATATGTACTTGCAAAATAAATAAGTTCCAATTTAAGTTTGAGGTGAAAAAACAAAAAGAATAACAAATACTGCTCAAAGAAACAACAAATGCAACAAAAAGCGACTCTGAACTAGAGTGAGAAACCAAAATCCTTAATCAAATTAACTCAACTAGCAGTTAAACAATCGAAGGATGAGCAGCTCCCCAATTCTTTACAAGAGGATTACAAAAAGAAATACACAATGTCGCCTCCACGGCAATTAACACACACACACGGGGATCTCCCTAACAAAATGTCTAAATGTTTGAACGCGAGTGTCTGCCCCCGAGCACTCCAATCGGCAGCCTCTTCAATAGACAACCCCCCTCTAGGCCTGGACGATATAGAAAAAAAGCATATCGATAAAAAATAAATCATATTGATCGATATCGATAATTATCGATAAAATTATAATTATTTAACATATATTTTAATTGCAGCCCTGGATGTTTTATGCTATTGCTTAATGACCTACTTTTAATAAAGAACACACAAGCACTGAATTCAAATTCAAACCTTTATTCAACCACCTTTTTTATTTTACCACAACTGAAAGTTTTTTAAAAAAGAACTAAAAAAAAAAGAAATCAACTTAAGTGGCCTGAGTGACGTCAGTAAATACTGACAAACATAAAGACTAAAGTGACCAGAAAATCTGATAAATAAATATTTAAATAGTCTTTTGATGAAAATAAACAAAACAAACAAATATATAAATAAACAGAATAGCTTTAGGTGGGAATAGCATACTACCAGTTTTAACTGTGTGGGAAACTGCCCACAGCCTGGTGTCTGAACACTGAAATATTTCTCCCGGGGTCGGGAGATTTATTTTTTTTAATTATCATGTGATTGACTTAATACACAAACTAAGCACGAGAAGCAGGACTTATCCACGCCGGTGTTGTGTCGTAGAATGCACCCCTGCCGGATGCACCCCCTGCTAGTAGCCATGATCCAAATACTCGCGTCTTTGTAAAATATGAGCTCATTTGAACGTATTTCCTCCGCACCCTTCTCACCTTTTCAACCTCTGACCCATTTTCATGCCTGAAGCGCTGTGTTTGAGAAATACTTACGGCCGGGCACTTCATATCGCTGGTCGAAGCCAGGCTTTTCAACGGTAGTTATTGGCAGTATGTCCCTCGCTATGAAGCATGTTACTGCATGGGTGATGTCCTTATGCCGCTCGGACGCTTTGTCGTATTTTGACAAGAAACGAAGTCCAGTTTGGTCTGCTTCACATGCTTTGTGCCGGTGCTGGCAGCGGTTCCAGAGGATTCCTCCTCCGACGACGACGTGGAGCCGCGGCGCGGCCGACACAGCTCGTACTCCTGCGGGTGCGACCGGTTTAGATGGTAAAACAAGTCGGTTGTGTTACCAGACTTGGTTTTTACTAATTCTCTGCAAATTTTTGTCAGACCTCTAAAAACCAAAACACTGCCATGCTGGAGAACTACTGAGACCTTTTTTCGGGACAATGTCCTCCGCTTCTCCTTGCTGTATCATTTTTTCTAATACACGTGCTGTCTGTTGTGGTTTGATAGGGGCTGGGCTTGGTGCCGTAGCGTACCTGGGTCTGCGTTTGTGATTGGTTGGGAGGAAGTAATGACTGTAGTAAAAGCTACATGAGAGGCTATGATGAAAAAGAAAGGGAAACTGTGTTTTTCTATCGAACTTTTTATCGACCCGTTTTTTTTCTATCGCACCACACGTCTATCGATCGATATATATTGTTATCGAATTATCGTCCAGCACTACCCCCCTCCGATTGGTCCTGCCGACGCGGCCCATTATCCAATCCGGGGCTGTCCTGTAGGGTCACATCCACTCGTACACACACACACACACACACACAAAGAGACACTACCTAACATGGTAAAAGGCAGCACAGGTAGCTTCCCTGAGAGAAGGGACACAGCTGCAGCCGTAACATGGCGCTACACTGCTGTGGTTTGACACCATGGGGAATCGTCATCATGTGAAGTACCTTTGTAAATGCAGGTTATCAAACACCTTGAATATAAAATATGTCAGAAATCTGTGTGCTGCAAAAGTGATCCAATATAAATGTTATCAAAATACCAACTTTGAAAAGTGGGTTTTTAAGAGTATTTTGAAGAAGTTCTCAGATTCAGATGGTTACGGGTTCGAGGAGAGTTTCAAAGTCTGGGTACCACGACAGCAAATGAGCCGTTACCGTGTCTCTGTTTGAGGTTTTGTTTGTTCCACCAACAAAGGTGCTATGGTTACATGGTCTGAGAGGGCGCCTCAGAGTGTGAGGGGTTAAAAGGTCCGAGGTATGAACCGGTACTGAGGCACTGAATGCTGTAAAAGGAGCTTCTCTAAATCTGCGTTTCATATTATTGTCAGCTGGCACAGTCAGGTTGAAATTGGTGTATTTTGTTCCATGTGGTTAGAAGCTGAAGTCACCTCATAGCAGATTGATGCATGCATGAATGATGAGTTGAAGTGTGGTTAAAATTGGCCCCGTTTTTGCAACACTAACCTGTTGACATCAAAAGAGCCGTACCAATTTGTGATCATGATCAAATAGCAATTGATGGCCTTATTAAAAACAAACAGTCCAATATGACGTCAGCTGTTTTTACCGCAAGTCCACCCAGACTGCCTAGCTAACTTGTGCTTTTCATCATGTGCCTTTTTTTATTGTAAGACATTGACCTCATTATGGTTACTCTAACCAGAACTGTTTTTCTTTCTTTTGCTAGGAAAAATGTGCCCAGTATTGGCCGTCAGCTGAAGAGAGAGAGATGGCCTTCAGAGACACGCGGTTCCTGGTCACACTCTTGTCAGAAGACATCAAGTCTTACTACACTACCAGAGTTCTGGAGCTGCAAAATCTGAGTGTAAGACTCGAGTTTGACTTGGCACGAGGGGAAGATTTGGCAAATGGGAGTTGTAATGGTGAATGTTCGTCACAGTAAGAGGCATCACATGTGACTCTGCTGTCTGAGACTTCTGTAAACAGGCAAAAAGGGAAAACAGGAAACATGCTGTAATTAGAAATGTTTTACCGCAAATTACAATTTTATAATTCCTCAAACTTGAATCTTTGTGATCTCTGTTTGAACCTTTTTTACATTCAGAAATAAATCGAGTTGTTAACCGTTTGTTGCATCAGGTTTTTATGACCCTCACTATTGTGCGAATTGAAAGTGAAACTTCTGGGCACGGTTGTTTAATTCAGCCACCTGAGACTTTTACAGTAACTGCAGATGTTTTAAAAGCTTCGCAAATTTTCTACCTACTTGACCTGATTTTGTTTTTCTGCTTTCACAGACAGGAGAGAAGAGAGAAATCTATCATTTTCATTACACCACGTGGCCTGACTTTGGCGTCCCGGAGTCTCCAGCATCCTTCCTGAACTTTCTTTTCAAAGTGCGAGAGTCGGAAGCGTTGGAGGTGGATCACGGTCCAGCTGTGGTGCACTGTAGCGCTGGAATCGGTCGCTCAGGGACTTTTTCATTGGTCGATACATGTGTGGTTTTGGTGAGTGCATCTTCTTTGTTCTGAATGAGCTTGTAATGTTTGCTTTTATTGGCCAAAATCCAGATGAATTTGAGATCAGAGTCTCGTTTAGTCATGTTGTTGCAGCTGAAATTGAGAAGTCAAAGATGTGCTGATGTAGACGTTGATGGTGTGTTACCCAAGATTGTCACAGACTTACATTTTGGAACATTGTATGTATGTGTGAGTCAGTTTACATTACTGTCACACACAGATGGACAAGAGGAAAGACCCGTCTTCGGTGGACATCAAAAGCATTCTGTTGGACATGAGGAAGTACCGCATGGGCCTGATCCAGACCCCTGACCAGCTGCGCTTCTCCTACATGGCCGTCCTTGAAGGAGCCAAGTACATCAAAGGAGACTCGTCCGTACAGGTAGCTGCACCACCTCACAGTCAACACCTGTACCAACTGTGACACTTTTACCGTATTCTGTGTTTACCATCAAGATAAAGATATTTGCATAATCTTCTTTCAACACAGCCTGGAAACTCCTCCTTGAAAGACTTCCCATTAGAAGCCTCCCTATTAGAAACTTTGAGGCTGAAAGTGAAATTCTTTCACATCATCATTTCTCATCCTTTCCTAGTTCTTGCGGTAACACTCATAGGTGGAGCTTCCTGAGGCTTATTGACCTCTGTTAGAAAAAAAAAAAACAGTAATTATAAACTGTTTTTTATCTAGCTGTCCTGCTTTTCGTCTGCATCATTTTGCGGTTTGTACAAAGCCATCTCTTCGGCTGATCAATCTAGTTTGAAGATAAATTTGCTACATGGATAAAAAACCTTTGAGAATTTGATGTGTCTTTCTTAAATCAACCTTTATTTGTATGAAAAGAATTCAAATTTCAGACTGAATTAACTTCTACTTGTCTCTGTTTTCTCCACCCGTGTAGAACCGGTGGCGGGAGTTATCCAGGGAGGATCAGGAGCCCATATCGGAGTCGCCCCCCTCAGCTCAGCCTCAGAGCAGATGTCCAACAGAGCGCTGCAATGGGAGCCAGCGAGGGAGTCAGCCGGAGGAGGAGGGGGGCGGGGACTACAGACAGGACGGAAAAGTACCTGCACAGTCTCCCTGCAAGGAACAGGAGCTGGACGGGAGCACAGCACAGTGAGTTTATCAGAAAAACAAACACCTGGATGATTATAAGCTGATCAACAACCTGAATAGGTTTTACGTGACGACCTAACTGAAGTGTCAATAAATTAAAGTTGAGGATTTACATAAAATTTCATTTAAAACCCACTACTCCCCACATTTCGATAATTGTAAAATCTGCTTTTCTTTATTGATTCCCCCAAAAAACCCATCATACATTTTTTTTCTCTACACTTTGAAGATGTAAATCGACCATGCATTAGACAGGTATATTATTAAATTGATTAAAATTTCAAAAGATTTCCCATGCATCCTCCCACACAACCCCCACCCACCAGTCCTTCTGGCCATCCCCACTAATCCGCCCAAATCCAGATCTTCACAACAATCATCATCCGATGGCTTGTTTGTCCAACAAAGGATTAAAAGAATACAAGCAATAGTGCACAATGTCCTGATAGAAATGAGTAAAGTATTGATTTTAGACAGAGAGGAAAAATGAGGGGGACATGATGAATTCACAGAAATAAAACTGAGTCAAACCTGAATCTGTTTTTAAAGAAAATAAACATCAAAAATAAAGTAATAATCAGCTGAACTAAAACCAAAGGTAGGGTAAGGGTGCAACATTTTAAAGTGCTTTTTTGGGAATAAGAAAATAACTTTAAAGTTGGCTCATTGATTGTCTACAATGTTTTTTTCCTTTCTGTCTTTTTGTGCAGCAAACGACGCAGAGAAGACAGCCTCTCCAAATCAGCCTCAGCCAAAACACCCCAAAGCAAGCCTAGGACGAATGACTCAGAGAAGAAGAGAAAAAGGTGAACACTTCCTTTGGTCAAATCCGACTGTTTTTTTGTCATGTTACATCACAGTGCCGCTTTTGTTTTTAATTCTAGTCACACACCAAGATCTGGATCTATTCTAGTCTCGTACTGCAGCTGCTATTGCACAATACTTTTTTAAAAGTTTGAATTTAGGCGGAAAAGAAGCAGCATTTTACTTCCGAATTTTAACGGTAAGAGAAATCTCAAGGAGGAAAAGGTATGAGTCAGAATTCAACCTTAGTTATTTTCAGACAGCGAAGGCTTTCCTGGTGCATGACTCAACCTCTTAATAGCAGAAGCTAACCTTATGCAGAGTTTAGCCTTCAATTTCTCTGTTTTCTCTAAAAATTCTCAGTCGTTCAGAGTGGAGCCTTTTGTTCAACTAACTGACATTTACTTCAGCGAGCGAGACCTGATGAAGCACTTTAATTCTGATGAGTGTGCACCTCCTGAGAACGGCTCACCCAGTCATTTCTGAGAAGCGGTCCTTTGTTGTGTGTGACATGTCAGTATGTTCCAGTAATCGATGCCCCTGAGTTGTTGCCATATCTGACGAGGTCTTACTCTACTGTTGTGGTTCTTCTCGGACAGCTTGGGCTGCATGTGCTGCACATGACAAGAGCTGGCCTGTCCAGCGGGGGGCAGTGTGTTTTTACCCCCCACTGTGGCAGCAACAACCACCAAGGAGAGCGCATTTACAGGGTGAAAAAGAAAAAAAGAAAAACGCTGCTCTGTTACTCAGAGGTGTGTGTGTGTGTGCGCCTGGTGTCTGCTGTGTCGAAGTTTCGGTTGAGGTTTTGTTCTTGTTTTTGAGATTTGCTTCACTCGTGTGGTTTTGGAGTTTGGTTAACTTTGGCTGCACTTGAGCATGGTGTTTGTGTGTGGCGTGTGTATGTGTACATCTGTGGTTTTTGGTTGTTGAAGCTCTGAAATGTCACTTTGGGTTTGGAATATTGCAGGGCTCTTATCTGTACCGTGCAACTTGCATTGAAAGTGTTGGCACCTTTTGTCAGTTTCGGAATCTTTCCACATGTTTCCGATCATATTTTATCGCCCGAGTATCAACGTTTCACTTCTTCATACAACTGCAATTTTAGCTCTCTAGGACTGAGAATTTTATTACCGTTAATGGTCTTGGTAATTAAGTCGAGAAACAATAGATGCCTTCTTGTCCTGACTGATTCTGCTCGTCTACCACGCCAACGTGTATAGTCCTGTTTCAGTTTGTTGCATGTTCCTCTGGTTTTCCTGAAGTTTGAAACCAACAGAGCTGCTCATGAGGTCTTAAAGATGTTAGCATGGCTGTGTGCTTGCTAGCTTGTGAGGGTTTTGGCCTGTGAATGTCAGGTTAGTTTGAAATTCAGTGGGAGATTTTAAGCAGAGTTTTTAATGGGAAAAAAAAGAAAACAAAATGTGGTGAATGGATGTTTTTTTTTAGTGTTTTTGTTGATTCACCCAAACATGTGGACGCCTCCTTATCCTGAATGCAAACAGTATAAACCCTACACATTGTATTATGTGCTTCTCTGCTCATAAAAAAGAGCTCTATTACAGCTGAAAACCCCTCAGTACAGTGTGACGTGGCTTTAAACAACAATATCTGCTTCTGCTGCTTTAATTTTAAAGGGATATTCTGGCGTAAAATTAATTTAGGGTCAAACACACCGTAACACCGAGTTAGACACCCCCTCAAGAGATGAATGTTGCCGACCACTTACTTCTGTAGTTAAACCAACTTTAGAAATGACCACATGATAGCAATACACAGCGGTCTATGGAACCACACACAAACCTCAACCAAAACGCCACTCTATAGCCACAAATAATGCTCAGAACAGCACCTAAATTCATCAACAGTACATATAGGGTCCCAGCCACAGCACTAGCCACCAAACATCTTTTTAACTTTGCCTGATTTCTTTAGCAAAGAGTCGAAACACAACTCACCTACTCTCTTCCAGCAGCCACTTGTTTGTAGCGAGACCTCAGGCTAGTTCATCACCGACTGAGGCGGAGTTTCGCAGCTCAAGAAAGAACATTTATGATCATTACTTACTGCAGAAGTGGTTGTTCTTTTGCTTAAGTGTCTCCGTCTGACTGCATTTCCATGAAGAAATGATCATAAATGTTCTTCCTTGAGCTGCGTCACCCCGCTGTAGTCCGTAATGGACTGGCCCGGGGTCACGCTACAAACAAGCGGCTGCTGGAAGAGAGTAGGTGAGTTGTGTTTAGTCTCTTTGCTAAATATATTAGGCAAAGTTAAAAAGATGTTTGGTGGTTGGAACAGTAACACTTATATGTACTGTTAATGAAGTTAGGTGCTGTTCTGAGCATTATAGAGTGGCGTTTTGGTTGAGGTTTGTTTATGGCTCCTCAGACCGCTGTGTATTGCTATTGTGCTGTCGTTACTAAAGTTGGTTTAACTAGAGAAGCAAGCAGTCGGCAACATTCAGCTCTCGACGGGATGTCTAACTCGGTGTTCCGGTGTGTTTGACTCTAAATTAATTTTTCACCGGAATATCCCTTTAAGTCTAACAAAGATCAGAGATAATGTTTGACAGCTTCTACTTTGCTGTCTACGGTCTTGACTTGTTTTGTAATCAGAGAATACTAATTTGAATTTGCAGTGGGCGTTCTTGTGATCACTTTCCAGCTTCACTGACACCTTTTGTTGAGAATACAACTTTGAGTGAAGTACTTCTGTGTTTTCATGACAGGGCGAAAACCAGCGACTGCTAACCGTCTGTGGCCAGCCACACACACCGCCAGCTCTGGCAGCAAAGTAAACTTCGGCAGGGAACTCCAGCTCTCTCCTAACCTCTGTGCCCTTCTTCGTCTCCTCACCTCAACAGCCAGCTGTCCTCCCTTAAACGCTTACTTTTTAAATCCCAGCTAAGTAGCATTTTTCAGCCACCCCACACCTCCCTTGTTTTTCTCTGACTAGGAGCAAGTTACTCCTAAATCCGCCTTAGTCCTCCTCACAGCTTTCCCAAATCTCCTCATCCCCTCTAAACTGTTTACAGCCGACACTTCAACATTCTTTGAAGAGAGCACATTTTATCAGATAGACACACCAGCGCTTTATCCCTCTGCCACAAGCTGTCCTGCTTCTGGAGTCACACATTTCTTTATTTTTGCTTTCATTTTAATATTTGCCGCTTTGTCATTCTGCTCATTGCATTTATGAAATTTAAACGTGATCATAGGGGCTATGCATTGCCAATTTACAACGCTGTTCATATTTGTATTTTTAGATAACCTTTTTTGCAGAGGGGGAAATGAAAATATTCTATTTTTTATAAGAGATTACTTGAAGTTTTTCACAAAGACGGGGGAAGAGTGGTTTATGAGAAGCACCGCCTCCTCCTAGATGAGAAATTCAGTGGCATGTAATGTTTTTCATGATGTACATAATGTTCTTTTTAAAAAGATGTGTGTAAAAAGACATATTTTTGCTTGTAAGAGAGAGAAAAGATGGATGACAATGTTACATATTTGGAAACCGTAGAGAAGCTGATTTGATGACTTGTTCTCCTTTTGAAATGAATTTGTCTTAAGTTTTTCTTTATCTTAGAGTGTAATCTACAAATAAAACTGGTATTGTCTAGTTTGCATAACAACCTGTTGTGGCTCTTTTTGTTTTTATCACCTCGAACTGGTTTGTTCAGTGTTTATACTGATAATAAAACACGCCAACCAGCAGCTTATTGTTAGCTTAGTCTCGTAAAAACTTGAATCAATATACCTCCGTTTGCCGCTGATATTAAAAGTCACAAATGATTACTCTTATATTTGTTTCATTTTATGATTTCTCTTCAACTAGGTCAGCAAAGTGGAAACTTCTTGTGGGTTATTAAAAATAGCAAAATAGCAGTTGCTGAGCTGTAGAGAGAGAGAGAGAGTAAACTTTTATGATACTTTGATTTCATCCTGTAACAAGCAGACTTAAAACAAAAGCTGACTTTTATCCAAAGAACCATGTGCATTTTTGAAAACATCCAAAGAGGAACAAAAGCTAAAAATAAATCCAACTGTATTTTTATTTTATGACATGTGGTCTTATGCACACTGGTCATATGAAATCTACTACTCCTCCTTGCACAAATATGCTTGCTAGCTATTTGTGTCAGAGTAAAGGCTTTCATTTTATGGTTTCTCTGCAGTTTTTTTACTCCTACTAAAGATTTGAGTCAGGACATTCCTCTCCCACAAACAGTTTACGCAGAAACCAACCAAAACAATGCAGACACAAGGGGATCGACCGCCAACTTGGCAGAGAGAAAGCCTAACAGGGTCAAAGTATGAATCAGTGTGCTGTCTCCTTGTTACCAATATGAAAGCTGTAACATGTTGAAGGGAGGAATCAAATTACACTGAGGGCGTGGGTTTGCCAGGAATACAGGATGGCACCTTTCCAACCACTTTCAGTTAAGGGGGCAGAGGCAGGGTCCAGTGAGAGTCACAAAGTACAAGTCTTGAATGAGTTGTATAAATTCACACAGCTTTTTTTTTTTTTTTTAACAATTATTTATTTGTTAAAAAAAAACAACAATATATACCTTTGTTTACAAAAGTACTCCTGAAGTGCATGTTTGATATTTCTGCATATAATGGGACATATAAGGATTACTGAGATAAATGTCTTTAAGGGTCTATCAGGTCTGTGTTTTATGTCCAAATTCAACACATTATATTGTTTACAGCACATTGTCCTTGTCCTTCAGGCACACAAAGCAATCATCCTTTCACTAATCAGATTCACACTTGTGAATGTTTCACAAATCTCTGTCAAATACAAAAGGTGTCACGGCTGAATCACTCACATGTCAAAGAAACCATCTGTGAGATTTTTGGAGCTCACGGCATTTCCCAGAAGCCGAGCTAAACATAGCAAAAACTAAATACCATGATGCGTGTATCAGAAAAGTGCCGGGGGGATGCCGCTGCCAAACAGGAGACTCCACGAAGTTGGGATCTTCCATTTATTTGGCTCTTTGCTCTGAAACGGAAATCAGAAAAAGACATAATCGTGAGGAAAAATTTAGCCCTGAGTCACGAGTTATAAAATTTAATCCAAATCTAATTTTTTGTTTCCAGTTTTTGCTTTTACTGTAAAAATCTTAAGGGCAAAGCGGCTCTGTGACGAAACAGCAGTTCGACAGGCTTCTCTAAGTGTGTCACTCACAGGGTTATCCAGCAGATGGAGCCAGTCGTTCAGGTGGTTGACGAGTGTGAAGGCGTCTGGGATGTTGTCGCCCTCTGAACAGAAGAGCAGCAGCACAGCCAGAGGGAGATCCTCTGCACAGCTGAGAACAACATCCACATGGTCAAGCTTCTGAACTAACATTTATGAGCTGATTTGTCTTATTGTGTACTTTAGAAGTTGCCTGCATGCTGATACACCCGTCTCTTTTCTCTATACCTGTCTGTGTAGAGTCCTTTGGTTATTCCTCCCCCGGGTATGTACAAGCGTGGCTCTGCGCTGGCGTCCACCAGTCCCGGAAAGGCCGCCACTCGCTCCATCTCCCTCCATTCAAGCTCTTTGAACGCATCTGCACTCAGCTTTAGTAGAGACGGAGTGACCAGGTACCTTAATGGAGTGCTAACACAGGCATGTTTGTAAGATAATATGACCGTGAACAGCGAAGAGGAAAGACTGCACTTGTTATAGTAAGTAAGGTACCCTTTTAGCTGTTGGTCATCCCTCTGGTAGGCGTGGCAACTCGACAGAACAACAGCTCTGGAGAAACCACTGGATTTGATCCAAGACACAACCAGCTCCCTGAACTTTTTAGATTTTGTCTGGAGTAAAAAAAAAAAGTTGTCAAAAAAACAGGTCGATGAACAAAGAGAGTGTCTAAAGCCATCTAATAATTCTGGATTGTGTAGTTGATTATGATGGAATGGAGTACCTGAACAATTGGCGCCCTGATTTGAAGAACCGCTAACTTGAGATCTGCTGCTGTGTACACTGTTGATGAGAAAAAGTTGGCAAATTAAATGAGAAATACAGTAAAGAAAAAAGAAAACAAGAACACTGTAGATGCACGGCGGAGTATCTAAGTCTGGTAAATAATTAAATGTAAATACCTTTATTATTCTAAGTTAACAAGTTGGCTCTAACATAAAACATACCAACTTTTCACAGGACCTCAAAAGGGCTTTTCTCTATTAGAGGACATGCCTCACATTTATGTCTCTAAAGCAGCCAAAGACCCAAAGAGAGCATTTATTCTGTCACCTTCTGCAGGCGTGTGCAACTCCTCCATGTCTTCACTGCAGGTGGCATACGGGTTGTTCCCAGCCATGGGGATGAGACAGTCTGTGTGAATGTGGCCCACTCTTTTCATGCTGAGTGTGGACACCATGAGGTCCACAGCCAGCTGGCCCACATTACCAACAGCGACTGCTGGCTGTGAGGAAAAACACGGTACTCTGAATCATCATCTGTGTTTGGAGTCTGTACAAGCAATCTGAGGATGATACTTCTGCTGTGGGTGATAGGAATTTAATGTTATTTGATGGTGTGATCTTTTTAGCTTTGCCTGATTTCTTTAGCAAATAGACTAAACACAACTCACCTACTCTCTTCCAGCAGCCGCTTTTTTGTACAGAGACCTCGGACGTGTCCATCACCAACGGAGTTTCGCAGCTCAAGAAAGAACATTTTTGATCATTTCTTAATCATTTCCTTGAAGTAATAATCACCATATTTATCATTTTGCACTGCAGACGCGGTAGTTCTTCTGTCTTAGCGTCTCGGTCTGATTGCATTTCCATGAAAAAATTATCATAAATGTTCTTCCTTGAGCTGCGCCACCCCTTTACCCCGTGCGGTCGTTACTAAATTTGGTATAACTAGAGAAGCAAGCGGTCGGCAACATGCATCTCGGTATATAACTCGGTGTTACAGTGTGTTTGACCCTAACTTAATTTCACGCCGGAATATCCCTTTAAATCTCATTTCTATTCATTCAGTTCACGTATCATTAATAACTTAAAAATGAGCAGAAATCACCAACTGTTGTCATGTTGAGCATGTGTCTAATAACAAAGGTGGAGAACCACATAAATGTTGATGTAGTTGATCTAAGCAGCTCAATCAGAGTCTCTGTGGTGGAATGAGCCTCAAAGTGAAAGCATTGATTCATCCACTCACCATGACGAGGGTGAAATCTTTGAAGGAAGGCGGCGAGTTCTCAGAAGAGATAAACATGGTAAAGCTGTAAAGCTGTCAGACACACAGAGCCGAACTGTTGCAGAGTTATAAGTTTTAATTTCAGTGTTTATTTATTTTCCTTAACTTTATATCCCCCTGTAGTTTTCCCTCCTCTTGTTTTGCTGCCTGCTGTAGGGGACCTTTCAGCGCTCGCCCTCTCACGTCGACTGTTGATGATGCAATCGGTTTGGTATCTGCTGTAAATGCCTGAATTAAAACTACCCCGCGAACTTAATTTAGGTTACAAAACAGCAAGAAAAAGAATGAACATGGAATATACTGTGTTTATTCGTCTGTATCACTAAAATAATGAAATAATATTTTCAAACTGTCTTTATGATCAGGCATGTTAACGGCCAACTGCTGCGCCGCAAAGATTTGTGTGTTGACGAGATCTGCAACTCAATTAAAATTGTCGAAATTTTAACCACAGTGATCCCAAAAATGCTCATTTATAACTGTTTCGTTCATAATAAACAATCAAAATAAAAAAAGCATTAAGATGGTATAACAGAGATTTGAAATGAACTTTTTTTATGACTCAGATAAGTAAATACATCAATAAAAACGAAAATAATTCTTCAAAGTCGTGTATTGCCTTTGCAATGTTCTGACACTGGTGAAACACAGCAATAGTAAAAAGTCTAGACTTTGGCTACGTTTTGTTGGAATAAATAAAATGCCTTTACGTGTTTTTATGCATGTAGCCCTAAGATGCTCCCATTGACAGTGAAATTGACTGGCATAAGTTTCCTTGGACTGATCAAACAAGGGTCTACAGTAATGTGTAACGCATTTATTTTCTTGGCGTAAGAGTAAGAAATAATCCAAAACAGTAGCGATGACTTTACCCTGTACCAATAAGAGACGTGAAGGAATGAATTACATGATTGACATATACAAAAAGTAAATAATTTATAAAAGGTATTTTAACTCTGCAGTCTGAACTCACAAATTCATTGCCAGGGAGGTTACTGATTGTGGGGAAGGAGCAGCTGTGGCTCAGTGATAAGTCCAGTTCTCCACATGCCGAAGGGTCACTGGGCAAGACATTTATTCCATACCAGCTCCAGCTCGGCTGTGTCCAGTGATGTGTGGATAGGATAAATGATAAACAAGGGGAAAAAAAGTATGGCACTTTGCCTAACAGCCTTTGCCATCAGTGAGTGAATGTGGACAAAAGAAAGCACTATATAAACATAGTCCATTCACCATACAGCTAGGACTTGTCAATGCTGTGATTTTGTATGGCGCACAAGTGATGAAACATGCTTGATTTGTGTGGTAGGAACTAAAACTAAATGCCAAAGTGCAAAGTAGAAGGGAACTTTGTTATCCTTTAGTTTGCTTGTTGAAGATTCACAATTTTAATGCACAAAATGTAATAGCTGTTCAATCACAACAAATGTGTGAGACTATACAAATATATATGATTCTGCACCTATAGCTAAAGACAGACCAGGAATAGTCAGTTCAGTCATTTTGGTATGACTTCATTGGGAATAGAGAGACCTTGCACTACAGCCACAGCGTTTTCGACCATCTTCTCAACCATCTTTTTTGTAGTATTGAGGGTGTGTGTTCCCACATGTGGAGTGATGAGCACGTTAGGAAGGCGAAGGAGAGCATGATCCCTGCAACAGAGGAGGAAGAGGAGCTGTTAGAGGACGGCTAAATGTCATGTTTGTGTTTTCAAAAGTTCAAACATGCTTGTACCATTTGATTTTACACTCTGTATGAGGAGCTCAGGATTCTGAATAATTTCAGTGTCAGTACATAATCTGTCTCTCTGTTTTTTTCTGTGGTTTAAGAGAGAAATTTTACTTTTTGTTTGGCTTGAGATGAGACACAAAGTCAGGAAAAAAAGACCTGATCTAAAATAAAGCTGATCAAACAAACTGTAAGTGGAGTTTATCTCCAAAAGTAACAGTCTCACTGCAATGAGAAATGTATTTCAGTTCAAAGAGTGTGGGTGAAACCTTGGTAAAGGTTCAGGGTGAGTCACGTCTAATGCTGCAGCGCCAATCGTTCCAGACTGCAGTGCTTCCACTAAAGCATTCTGGTCCACAACCTTTCCTGAAACATGAAAAGAAACAAGATTACAGATTCAGAGTTTCAGAATAAATGAAAAGTTAAGTCCAGCAACTGTTTTACTACGATGATGCTCACCTCTGCTGATGTTAACCAGTGTCGCTGTGGGTTTCATGAGGGACAGCTCTCTGCGACTGATCAGGTTTGTGGTTTCAGGGGTCAGATTGACCGCCAGCATGACAAAATCTGACTGTTGGAGGAGGTCGTCCATGTTCTTACAGTAACTCGCCCCCACTGCCTGCTCATCTTCAACGCTCCTGAACAGAAAAAAGGTGGAACTTCGCTGTAAATTGTAATTCAGCAATTTGCTTGTTAGGAGAATTAATTACTTGCATGCAAGAGTATATTTGGAACTATGGCTTCATTCTGAGAGCTCCCTGCCCTTCCACATGCTTATGTGGAGAGCCCACCTTCCCCACCATCTCATAAACATACATGAAATGCCGAAATTACCTCCTGTTCCTGTTGTGATACAGGATTTTCATGTCAAAGCCTCGAGCTCTCTGAGCAATTCTGCTGCCAATGTGTCCCATTCCAATAATCCCCAGAGTCGACCCGGTGACTTCAGTTCCCATCAGTTCTGGCATTATGAGAGTGGTCTCTGGGCCTGTGGCTAATTGATGAGCTTGAAACACAAAACTCCTTTAATTGGTTATGGTGGTAGAAACATCTATCTTGTGAATAGATGGGTATGCAGATCAGGATTCTGACATGGTAAGCATGCACATGACCCTAACTTGAAGCAAAAGTAGGAGAGCTAGGGTGCTGCTCACCCTGTCAGGATTCTAATCTGCATAACCATCTGTTCACGACACCTTAGCCCTTACTATTATATATTTGAGTGACTCCAGTGGTTTTACATATTGGCTTACGTTGACTCACCCCTAACAATCTTTCGTGCTGATGCCAACAGCAAACCCATCGCAATATCTGCAGTAGCATCGCTCACCACACCAGGTGTGTTGGTAACCTTCACTCCCACACTGTTGACATATGGCACATCTATGTGGTCAATGCCCACTCCTCCATTGGCAATCACCTTCAGTGAGGGAAGCAGGCTGAGAAGAGACGGCTCGGCTGCTGGGAGGGGACCCCACAGAAACAGAGCTTCAATTTTTGGCCCGTTCTGCTGGGGGTTCTGTAGGAAGTCTTTGTGGCAGACGAGGTTGAAGTGTTGTTTCATTATGCTGATGACTTCTTCAACAAGACCATCTCCTCCCACATCTGAGAAGAGAGCCCACGGTTTGTTGTCCATTACCTAAGGGCACGATACAGCACTTTAATATTGTCTTTGAGGGAGGAGGGAAAAGTGAATGGATTCAGAGTTCATTGTTATTGAGTGTTTTTTCTTCTTCTACCCAAATGAAGTTGGTAATTGTTCATATCTCTTGAGTATGTAGCATGGGCCAGTGTTGTGCTGATCAGTTTGTGTGAGTTTGTTTTCTAACCCCCTGATAAAAAGTAATTGTACAAAATGTCATTTACTAAATTTGGGGATACGTGTTACAACAGTTGCTATAATACATACAGACCCCATTCATTCTTAAGGCAGAGTGGCACTTGGTTAAAATAAGGTTTTTACACCATAACAATCTCAAATCTTATTGGTTACAAGTGGCACCTAACTGAATCTATCAATAACAAATCTTATTAATACAAAATGATGCAGAATTAGTGAGACTAGTTCACCGACTGAAGGTTATCGTGCCGTTTCTTACGGATTACATAGATTTGACTCTACTTCTAACGAAACATGGCCACTTCTGTAACATGTAAAGGTTTTTTATTAACACCTACTGTTGTGAGAACCTTGCTAAAGTTGAGAACTAACGCGGAAATTGTTGTCTTTTCTGAGCGGTTTCAGTCCGCAATCAAAACAGGAAGTGCTATATATGGTTTGGGGTTTCAAAATAAAAGCTCGGTCCAACAAATGTAACAACAGAAGTACATCGCTTCCTCATTTTAAGTCCGCAACACAAACAAGAACTGTAATTATAGTCACCTAAAGAATTTTCACATATTGTTTATGCTTACTACTGTTTTATTCTGCCGGATATTTAAATTTAAAAAAACTATAACATACAAAAAAAAACAAAACAAAAAAAAAAAAACAACTGACTATTGTGAATAAACTTGGTGACCCTGTGCAGAGAATCTTTGAGCATAGGGGAGAGTGTGGTAAATTGAGCCAAAGGGTAAGTTGAGCAACCCCCTGTTGCTAGGGATTGGTAAAAGAAATTGATCATGTGACCAAATATTTAGGAGATGGGCATCAATTCATGGAGTCTGTGAAGGTTAGAAGCACATGAGTGAAGGGGTTAGACATTTATTTAAAAAAAAAACATTTTTCACTCTTGAAAGTTAAATTAGTCTGTCATAAGTTTTATTAAAATTGTGTTCAGACAAAAAAGAAAAAAGATTATTTTAAATTTGTTTTATACATGAATTGTGGTATCTATGAGCTACAACATGAGGTCCAAAACCTAGCATAAAAGTCCACCATTTCAGCTTAGAGGACCCCTTTTTTGGCATACTATATTATAAAGACAGTTATGTTTACACTCATTCTGTTGGTTCGCAGGGATGCACAACATCTTGAAATATATGCAGATACACTCGTTAGAGATCAAACTATGATTGCCTTGATGTAGTGATCCGAAATATGAAAAATGGTTCATCTTACCCCACTCTCCCCTACTCATCTTCTCAGTACTTTTAAATATGTGTGTCAGGTCGGGGTTAGCAAGATCACAGTGTTTAGTGACTGACCAAAATCAAGTTGAGCTTTGAATCTTCTTCTAATCTTGTTCTCGTTTTAGCATTTCTCATTCTCTCTGCATTGTTGATAGACTTTTGGAGATTACCTTTGACAAATAATCTCTTACTGTGCTTGTGCCTCCACTTTCTGAACTTTTGTCCAATGTAAGATCTTTTTAAATTCTCACTGAGTCAAACTCCTGAAAACACCTGATCTTACATTTTTTATAATCCAACATAAACTCTGCACTTATCTGATCAGTTTGACCGCCACAGAATAACTGTTTATTGTTTTTAACATAGGTATAATTTTACTTTACTTCTCCTGTCCTGAACTAAGCACCAAAATCTGACCAACACTACTTCAATGCCTATCAAATTTTACATTTTTGTTGTTTACTGCACTCCAGTGACATCAACCCCTTCATTTGCACCAGCTGTACAACATACTGTCCATTCTTAATTTCACAAATACCTTTTGGTGTTGCAACTGTTGTGCAGATCTGTGCTGGCTTGCAACTCTAAGAAGCCGGTATACTTGTGTTGTGTCCCAAAGCCTCCTCATGTAACAGAGACTTGCCATTGTGACAAACAAGCTCCTGTAACTGCAAATACATTGTCTCTACACTGTTACGCAAAATGGATGATTTTATCATTAAAGGTCAATTAAGCACAAATTAAAAACAGAGGGTGAAGTATTACCTTAAGAAGCTGATCCAAATGAAGCGCAGAAGTACACTGGCGTAGAAAAGGGAGAGTTATTCATTCAAGCAGAGTGATCGGGGAGGCCGAACTTCAGGTTGGTGATTGTGCAAGACTGAGCAAAGCGACCAATGGTCACATACCTACCCACCGTTCATAAAGGTCATAAAGTTCATAAAGAGAGAGTACATGAAGCAAAACAAACAATCGAACAAAAAAAAAAACCTGGTTTTTGACCATTTTTTGTTTTACCTACTGAACTTATTCCAGTAATGTCTCCATCTGTTTTTATTTCAGTCAAGTTGGTGCCATCATGTTCCCTCTCCAGGTTGTGATTTGATTTAAAGTGACTGATATCCAGTGAAACAACTGTTGCAGCAAAAGTCATTAGAATTGTAATGCACTTACATTCTCAACATGAACATGTTCCATGAGTTAACATGAATTCTAGTTACATTTAAGACACAACAGGTGTTTGTCCATGTCCTCGGCCAAGTGTGACTCTACTGAGCAGAGGTACTGATGTGTAAACTGCATTTACGAAGATCACTACTGCATAAGACGTTAACTGCAAACCTCATAAATGTATAACTAGAGCATTCAAAATGATGTTTTCTACACTATGAAAACACAAATGCCTTTTTGAAGCTCTAACCACTAGGTGGCAGTGATACCTTTATGAACTGACGAATCAGCTGATCCTGGATGCACCACTAGATGCTGATTATTGAAAAGTGCAGCCCCTAAAGAGCAAATTATGTCTTTGGTTATGCTGCTTTTAATGTTGTTGACCTCGATTAACTTTTTTGTTTGTTTGTTTAATTTAAAAAGTCACTTTAAAAGCAGACATGTAAGAGAGCAGCTTCAACATTTTGGCATTACATCTCCTCAAGAACTATTAGATGAAGAATTGCCTTGGTTTAGGTGTGTGAGTGAGTTGAAGTTCACATGATGTTACATCTGAACTGGACTTAAACACATCTGAAGAGATAAACTTATTAAAAAACAAAGACATTTTTACTGAGTAATACTGATTATATTAGGTAACGGTGGAGTAAAGCAAATGAATGCTAATGCCCTATAACTCAACACAATATTTAATTCATCTACACGTTATTATTTATTTACATTGTTCAATTCTAATCATTCTTTTCCATTACTGTGAAAATAATGCTTTAAAACATATGATTGCCTGTCTGCACCTGCTATAATATTAGTTTTTATTCAGTGGTTTATATATTTTGTGCTGTATTTCCTGCTGTCTAACCAGGGACAAGGACTGCAAATTTGCCACGGCTAGAAGTCCTGCAAACACAGCATTGGTTTCTCTTTAATTAGATGCAACAATGCCTGATATACTGTCCCTGTCAAATAAATGAATAAAAAAAAAAAAAGAGACCATATCTTATAAACTTGCTTTTCAGCCGTCAAGATCCTCCACCTGAATCAACTTGGCACATTAAGTTTCCTTTAACCAGGTTCACTTTTTTGAGCGTACATGCTGCTTTCAACAGCACCTGGATTCTGTGATTGTAGATTTTCTACTTCTGTATTTCATAAATTCAAATGCAGCTCCCCTTTGTGGGACATAAGTTGGTAAAAAAAAAAGTTAGCTGTGATGTGTCTGTCTATGTAAGCGTGTCAGGATTTCGGTGTTTGCGCATGTGAGTTGGTGTCTCAATGTTCCTGAACAATTCATCTGCGAAGGCCATGTGTGCAAGGCAGCTGCAGATCAGCAGCTTACCTGCTACACTCTATTGTATAAGCTCACCTTAATTTATCTGCTCCTCAACCCTCCCTCTGTCTCCTCATTCCTCTCTCACACCTATATAACATACTGTAGTCTCTCTTAATCTCCGCCCATCTGTCCACCTCTTTTATCACCTGACAACTTCTCCAGAATTGTTGTTGTTCTTACCAACCACCTCCAGTGACCTCTGATGCCCTCTCTTTTCTAACTTTCTCCCTCCCTATAAAACTGTCCAGGCGTCCATTAAAGCAATGCATATCTCTAACCAAACTCCATTTCTGTTTGCCACCACATCCGACATCAGGGCTTTTACACAAAAGTGCAAACTCATGCTGGATGATTAGATTGGTACTTTATTCTCCACATTCACATCGCGATTGTTTTTCACAATGTGGTGCTCAGAATAAAAGGGTCTAATGAGTTTAAATGTTTCACTGTAGTTCCGTCTTCAAGTGAAAAGAGAGTTTGAAAGCTCTTAGCTGTAAGCATTATCCATGTCCCAGCTAGGGATATTCTTTTAATTTACCTAAAATACAGAATAGTAAAAGAGGGGATCCCTCCAGCACTGAAAGGAAGATGCAGGGTTTTCAGGCCTTTTCTCTCATGTTGTGTTGTAACATTTACTGTCATGTTCGCTAAGCAATGGCTAAATGCCACTGAAAGCTGTTGTCCGTCATTGCATAAGGGTATTAAATCAGTTGTTTTAAAACGTACCACAGTATAACTACCGATTCAGTTGGAGATAAATGAAGAAGTGGTGAAAAGATAACTACCAGTTTGTCATCAGAGGAAAATTTACTTTAGGTAATCATGGGAAATTTCTGAGCAATTAAAGGGATATTCCGGCGAGGGAATAAAATTTATCGAGGGATAAATGTTGCCGACCACTTGCTTCTCTAGATATACCAACTTTAGTAACGATTGCATGATAGCAATACACACAATACACAGCGGTCTGAGGAGCCATAAACAAACCTCAACCAAAACGCCACTCTATAGCCACAAATAATGCTCAGAACAGCACCTAACTTCATCAACAGTACATATAAGGTCCTAGCCACAGTACTAGCTCAAGGAAGAACATTTATGATCATTACTTTATCATTTCCTTCAAGTAATAATCACCATATTAATCATTTTGCACTGCAGATGCGGTAGTTCTTCTGCCTTAGCGTCTCAGTCTGATTGCATTTCCATGAAGAAATGATCATAAATGTTCTTCTTTGAGCTGCGTCACCCCGCTGCAGTCTGAAATGGACTGGCCAAAGGTTTTGCTACAAACAAGCGGCTGCTGGAAGAGAGTGGGTGAAAGGTAAGGTCAGAGGTTTGTAACATAAGGTCAAAGAAAGGTCATTGTGTATTCTCAGAAAAATCCACCACTTGTCACATACAGATATTTACTCAAAGTGGAGTATGCCAAACTTTCTTATTAATGCAATAACATGGCAAAATTTTGATGCACGTCTTGGTTTCATCTTTGCAGAAGGTGAGTCATTACAATATACTTAACCAGTGGTGTCACACTTGTCACAGTACAGCATGGAGGACACACTAAGAGAAAAAGTCCTTAAGTAAACTCAGCCTCTCTATAATAGACTGCTGACGTGAGTCCACAGCCTGACTCAGCTTATCAGTGCCACAGAGCTGTTTGAAGTCAAGGTGTAGCTGCTTCTCACTCTACCTCCTCCGAGCAGATAAAAATAAAACTCCAAAACAATGCAGATGACTCGGCTGTACCTTTTAGAAATGCTGTCTGTGCTTCACCGCTGTATCTGCTTTCATGTTTTTTTTTTCCCCAGCAGATGAAAACTGCAGAGAAGCAAGATAGTGGGTAATTCAATATATTATGCACAAACAGTATACTTTATCGTCAATGTTAGAGTCTGAAAGGGAAAAGTGAGCAGTAAAGAATCAAGATGATGCAGACTGGAGCCAAAAGTCGATGCAACAAACAGTAAACAAAGAATAAGGACTTGTTCACATTACTTCTTGTTAAGCTTCCACTACACTACAGTTTGTTGAGGTGAAATTAACTTTGAATGCTGCAACCTGTTTATTAGATTTTACTGAAGGTGCATGTACTCTTAAACAATGTCGATGCATACCATTTAGACTCTTATTGTCAGGAAATTTAAAGATTGTTTGCATCGTAATGGCACAATATTGTTATTTGGTTAGTTCACCAGGAAGCTAAAGTTTTTTAAAATTTTATACCGTTCAGCTAAACTACATAAATCGTTCAACTGTAGATAATTATCATAGCACCAATGACCATGACTACCTTAGCAGCGTTTTGATACCAATGTACGTCATCCCTGATTGTCGCTGATGAGATGTCTAGCGTGTTTTTATTAACTTGGCCAGAACCTGTCCAAGTGTTTTCTTATTCTTTTGTCGCTACCTGATAGATCCAGGAGGTCCGACATGATGGTTTTCCAGATATCCTACATTAATATGTCTTACAGTCAGGTTAACAATAGGATTCTGTTACCACATTTTCCCAACCGGAGTATAAAGTAGAATAAAAACAGGCGCATTTGTAGGATTACGATGGCTGAGAACCATCACTGCTGCAAATAAAAGAGAATGCAAAAAAAGAGGCCACAACAGAAGTTACTGATGCAAGACAAAACAAAAACCAAAGCCTGCAGCAAATAGAAGAAAAAAAAAAACAGTGCAGATAAAAAAAGCCGCAACAGAAGTTAACAATGCAAAAAAAAGTTACTTACTGCGAAAATAAAAGGATCTATGATCTAGCCACAGAAGAAGACGGCGAGAAGACGAGCAAAGAAGTTAGTGGAAAGGTTATTGTTTAATTTCACTTTGTGTACTTTTCGATGTGTCATTTGGTCACATTTCGATATGAAGATAAACTGAAGCTAACACTGCACTGGCATCCTTCAGATCAAAAAATCTGCAATGTTTCTTTTTTTAAATTGCAACGGGCTTCAATTTCTTTTTTTTTTCATCAGTCACTTCCGTTGTGGCACCTTCTTTTTTTTGCATTCTTTTTTATTTGCAGCAGTGGCGGTTCTCAGCCACCGTACTTATTTGATCTCTGAGTCCTCCATGTTTCATTAGGATCTTGGTGTCCTTACACCCGGTGTCAAACTCTAAAATTATCAGGGGACATCTCCTGTACAATTCTGTAGTGACTCAGGTTTCCCTCTCCAAGGGTTTCGTTCCTGGGCTTTTCTTGGAAACGTCCGGAGGATTTCCCATCCTTCAGGTGCTTGTTATCTTGCAGGAACACAAAAAAAGATCACAAACACATACACACAGAGACACAGTTCACACCTGCGTCCGTCTAATTATTCTGAAGACGCTGAACACGCAACACCCAGCATGTCCTGGTTGAGAATAAATTCACCTGCTGGGTAATCCAGTGAGCCTGAGCTTTGGTGTGCTGCTCATGACGCAACCAAGAAGTCATAGGTCGACTCAGAGGAGCAGGCCTTTTTCTATGACAGCTGGGGGATCACCTGTGTCTTGTGTCCTGGTCTGTGCTTTGGTTTTGTGATACTGGGAAAACACCAAGCATGCACTATAAACGAAAAATTCTTGCACTGGATATAAGTTATATTATAGTTGGTGAAAACTTGCAAATAGATAATCCAACAAGTAATAAAAGAAATCATAATGCACTTCTAAAGGTAAATTCAAAGTTGAGAACTTTTGAATGAGTCATTTTCATCAGCTTTTTCTCAATAAGATCATGTTCCTTCGCCAAGAAACTCCTGCCAGAGAGCTGAGATAACCTCAACACTTTGGCCACACTCCCTGGCAGGTTCGGAACAGCACAAGGTTAGCTCCTCAGGTTAGGTAACAGATAATCAGCAAGAAGAGGCTGTTGCTCTTCTACTTTGCAGCTCAGTGACTTCTCCATCCAGCGCTGGCTTCTTAGCCTTGTCTCGTCCCTAAAGCCGCTGTTACCTAATAATGCAGCCCGTGTAGAGCCATGGGGCTGGCTAATTTAGAAGTTGGCTCTGTAGTTTAAAGCCTTTTGGTGTTTGGACAGGCCTCACTAGTGCACATATAGTTACTGTATGTGTATGTGGGGGGAGTACAGAGTTGCTCTTCAGTGGAGAGCCCGTCAGATCAATGTTATGCAAACCTATTAGTCAGAGGCTGCAGAGCTGCAAGCTAAACAGCGCTCAAGCACTCTCCCTCAGGGTCAAACTCACTGATGAGCTCTCACTTCTGTAAAAGGGTGAATTATAACATTTGTTTACGGGTATTAAACCAAAGATTCACAGGGATACAAAGGAAAATAAGTGCAAGAAATGCAGCCTAAAACTGCATCAGTATGGGAGTCGGAACATTAAAAATTGATTCAAAGCTGTTTTCCTTTCTTCTCTATCATGCAGCATAATTTGGATTTGCTTTATTGTTTTGAACTTGCAAGTTTTAAAGATCTTTATCCGCATATCGACATATCAAACTAAGATTTTGTGGGATTTTTGTACCATCCTGATAGTAACTGCAGAATGTACATTGAGGTCTAGATTTTTGTGTTTCTCCGGATTTATTTGGTGTCAATCCAACAATCCAAGACCCCTATTCTGAGTCTTGTTAGGTATCTTTGTTCCTTCATGTTCTCTTCTTTCCACTCATCACTGTATATTTCTGTGATTCATGTTTTTCCTCATTATAAGAGAATGACCTTAGGTTGATATCGTGCATATTTCCATGAATGCATGCTTTCTTTCATGCATCTTTGTGAACTTGAAGGGATGGTAGTATCACCGCAACAAAATTCCTATTTGTTTATGAACGCAGCCTAGTTTAGATATATATCTCTTAAATACATCCATGTCCTTTAAGTTAATTTAAACATTGATAAGCATTCATTTCTGCAACCGGACATATTAAGTTGCAAAGCCTGCATGCATTTGGCATTCATATTTTGCAGAGTTTTGAGAATATTTGCATAAATGCGGTGACTCTATCTTTGCTTTTGTCTGTCAGTGCAGGATTTCGCTGACTCAACAGCTAGGAGTGGTTCTCAATGTACTTTGTAAGGCCATTAAGAAAATGTTCCCTTGGAACACCAACTGAATAAGCCCTGTGGCTTGACTTCCACTAATCATCTTAGGCAAAGCATGGCTCCCAATGTGCCTGCATGAGAACACTTGTACTGGCCCGCAGCAAATGCATGATGGGTTATCACTGCTGTAAGCCCTGTCACCATGGTCATCATCATGCAACACTTTGCAACATGCAAGTTCATGTTGTTGTTGATTTAAAATGTGAGGGAATGTAAAGATTATATTTTGAGACAAATTAATGCAGCTACTGTTTTTTATTTCTGCAAATGGACTTAGTTGCATATTCACATTAGTGGGAGAAAATAGCATGACAACAAGGACACACATAATTCATGCAAAACTATGAGCAGAAAATAAATTTGCATCAAATATCTTTTGCATCAAGCTCCTTTAGAAAAGAAAAAATCATTTAGGTTGTTATAACGGAAGGACTAACAGACGAAGGACTGTTATAATTGTTGTTGCTTTTTTTAAAAAAAATTTGAATTGAATTTAATTATTTTAAGTTTGTTCTTTGTAAATTGATTTCTGGGGATGAAGGGACAGATAAAATAAGATAAATAAACAGACTCATATACTTATCACAAATAGGTAATAAGTATATGATATTGAGAATTTAGAGCAAGGCCAGCTACCTTGCAATGAATAATAAAACCTAATTTGTGTTACTACTGATGCTAACATGCATCAAAACACGGCAAGTTACAGTTGAATGTATGACATTTCTTAATCATTCATGTATATTTGTACAAAAAAATAAACTAGAAAATATTAAATACCAAGTATGCCACTTTCAAATGTCAACCTTTGTAAATTACAGTGATTATGTTCACATTTTCCGCACAATTACCTGACTTTATCAGTTAACAGCGACGAGTTTGCAGCTCACGCTTGTAATTGCCATCCAGGTGCTGGGTTCTGGTTGCCAAGACAACGCGGCTTCCTATTGGCCGACGCCGCCCCACGTGACGGGCGGTTTTGACGTCACGGCAAGGGGTTTGTGGGGAGCTGAGCAGGAGTGTGTGCAGCGGCTCGGAGAAAGCTTGACAGAGTTTGGACGGAGAGCAGCCGGGAAACTACAGCTCCTGTGAGGCTCCTGCAACCTGTTGCCCCGCCAGTCGTCGCTGAAACAGTTGAACTCCAGGTTATGGACTATTAGAGTGACTTTTTAACAGGACTCTACCACACAGCAGTTTGAAAGCGAGGTAAGTTGTCGCTAATGTTTCTTTCTGTTTAGTCCCTCCCTCGCAGTTTTTGTCCGCTTCCTGTTACTTTCTTTTTTGGCTGTTTGCTGCTCAGGTGAGATGACTTTTACAGGTTGAAGCTGTCTCCTAACAACTTAAAACTCTTGCCAACAATCTTATCCGTGAATTAGAAACAACAGGAATAAGTTAAATTTCACATTTTCTCCCAAGCAGCGGATAAAGCTGTACTTAGATGTCTAATCGGATGAGGCTGTTTTTCCTGTCCTAAACGGACCCCCAGGAGAGCAGTGAAGACGGGGCTTTTTGTCTTTGTACACCCTCTTGTTTAATTGTCACAGGACAGAGGACAGGAAGTGAAAAAGGAGTCCTGCTTCCAGCCATGGCCGAGTGAGTTAGGGGGATCTAATTTCAGCAAATACACATCAGTCAGTCTGTGTGGATTAAGGCAGCAAAGAGAGAGGAGCATGGGTGTACTGAGAGGAGACAAGTGGGCTGAAATGGTTGTTTTACCATGAGAGTAAAAGGAGTAAAAGGTGAGGGAGTGTAAAGAGTGTATTTTGACAGAGGTACAAAAGAGGTAGAGTACAGCCTCTCATCATCAGAGGACATAAAGAGTGAGATGCGCCTCACTACATGTGGATGATAGTCTGGAGAATTTAAGGTTTGCTCTCTTTCTTCTTTATTTATCTCAAACTTTAAAAACAACAACTAGAAACAAAAACACCGAACAAAATAATACATATGTACGCCAAACAACTGTACATGACAAAGATAAATTTACACAACAGAATGAAGCAAAAAGCTTATCTAGTCCTGCTCCTTCCTATCTATTTGTATAAATGACAAATATCTGTATAAAAACCTACATATAATACACAAAGATATCTGCTCAACACTAAAACTAACACTGTTATAACATTCAAAAGTAATATTACTTTTATGCTGTCAAGTATATCTGGTATAAAACCATATTTTTTGTGAGTTTACTTATATGAATCTTTTAATACTTCTCTATAGTTTGATTTTTAAAGTGACATCCAGGCTGTTCCAGAGTTTAACACCACAAACCGAAATAAAGCACATACTCCTCAGTGTTTTATAATTGCTTTTAGTTACAGTAACTCCAGTGCAAATGAAGTAGAAAGAGGAGATAAACAATAAGTAAAAATAATGCAGTATGTAACTCAAAATGGTTATGCAGTATCTCCCTGAACTTGAAAGGAAATCAGAAAGTTATTGGCAGGATATATCCAGTGAGAAATATTTTGAATGAATTCAACAAAAACATAAAGTCAGATTGACGGATTATTTGGTCGCTTGAATGTCTACATGAGAGCCGTTGTGAGGAAGCAATCAGCCAATCATTGATCAGTACACTGTCTATGTGAATTTGTATTGTACGCAGATGGTGTAAAAGAGACTCTAGAAGTCTCTGAGGTTAGAAATGCATAAAATTACCCCGTTTTTTGTTATTTTGAGAATGGGGAATATATCTAAAATGGAGAAACAGAGAAACGATAATGGGAATAGTTGTAGGTTGCAGAATTAAATAGTTTGCAAATACCAGAAAACATTTTCCCAGGTTCTTCTCCGACATGTAGAACTAATCAATAAACTAATTGAACAAAAGCTGCTCCCTTTGAAACATTTTGGGTGATATTGATTAAATTCAATCCCATGAGGACCACATACTTGCATCTAGTCTTCGCGCTGCACCTTGCAAACATCTGACGTGTTTTTCAAAGTGAGTAAAAATGCTCTGGCCGTGACAGAGAAATTGAAAGGCCGATAGAGGTGGACTCCAAAGGGTGGAGTCCAGATAATAGCCCCCTTGGTGTCAAAAAGCACCCCTCCAAACATTTCAAGATGCTGAGCTCTTACAAATGTGCCCCAAATTTGAACAGATGTTCTATTTTCATCTGCGTGGGTGTGTTGTGGGTTTGTTTTGGGCTAGACTGGCCGCACTGGCAGCATCCTCTGTAGTTATGCTTGTCTGGGAAGCAGCCGTCATCGCTGTTTTGATTTGAATTAGAGCGTTTTTAGAGGGAGCAGGAAGAAGGAGAGAGTGATTTAGCACAAGTAAGAACAAACTAATTGAAATGGCTTTAGGCGCTGCGATAAATGCTAAATGGAAAGGAACACATTCTGACCTGTGACAAAGAAATGTTCTGGATAAAAAGCCGCATTTTTCGGAGATGCTGTGCAGCAGAAATCTCTCGCAGAGAGGGGTGGGAGGTGTTTAGTCATCAGACAGATTGGCATTTCCATCTCTGCAGCCTTTTGTCTTTAAAACAGGCTGTTCAGAGAGAGGCACAGTTAGATATTCGGTGCAAAGTAAACAGCAGCCCCCATGTGCAATCAGTGACAGTCTTCTGTGAGTGTGTGTGTGTGTGTGTTTGTCAAATCCAGAATCTGTTTTGCAGCTCTGCCTGCCTGCCTGCCTTTTTTTTGCAGTTGTTGTCAGTGACACTTTCTTATCTTGTTCTCATTCGCTGCCTCATAATGGCCTCTCTGTCATGATTGTGGTTTTCTGCAGCGTCTTGACGCACAAAGCTCTCTCTCCAGCTGACAATGGAGGCTCATGTGTGCTGCATTATGATGAAGTTGCTGCCTCAGGTTCCTCACTGAAAAGATGGAGTGGGATGTTAAACAACTCTCAGAGAACTTACGAAACAATCCAAAACCATTATGAAGAAACACTCGCGTATTATGCTTTGGAAATGTAATAATAGACACATACATCAGTTCCAAATGAAAAAGAAGGGACATTTCACTCTGGTGCAGGACGTTTCAAAACTGGAGTTGACTGTTTTCATACTAAACTGTTTTTTTTTTTTGTTTCCTCAAAGTCAAGGGTGTTAACTTTGACTCACCTGCTTCGTTTCTTTCCACATATGTCACGTAATCTCTCTGCTGTAACTTTGCGACATTATTACTCGTCGTAACCAGCCTTTACTGGCAGCCCACTAGTCCGATTTGCTCTGACAGCATCAGAGTAAATCTCCTTGTGCGCCACGGAGAGCACACCAAATAACACAGGAGGATAGAGTTGCAGTCGGATATTCAAGGACCACTAAAACATCCTACACATCAACGAGCTCGCTCATCACATTCCTTGTAATGTGAGCTCCAAAGCGCTCCAAAAACTCCGCTGTGCTGCAGGTTCGACGGTGGTTTGAAATGTGCTTTTGACGAAACACGTGAGTACAAACACGACCACAGCCGGCAGATGTTCAAAGACAGTTTCAGACAGATGCACAGCGAGACACACTCTTCAACTCCGTCAAACCCACCAGCTCTGAGTTTGAACTTCTCTGAGGGGCTGTTTTATTTATCTCACCGTAGATTCAGTCGGTTTCATGCAGCAGTCGACGTAGATCTTGACTCTAGGCTCCACATACTGGATGACTGTAGTGTTTGCACATCATTTGCAACCTTTTCTGTGAAGCAGAATTCAAGCGACACTGATGTTGATCTTTTGGTTAAGTTGATAATCACACTCTGAGTTTGACATGCTTGTACATTTTTATTAACTGTCATTAATAAAAGGATGACATGCATAGAGAGTAGGGCCAAAATATATGAAATGAGTTCAAAGAAATCTCTAACAAATGAGGTGTTCAGTTATCTAACAGCTTACGTTTTTTATTTAATTTAGATAAAGCAGTTCATAGGAAGCCAAGTTTTCCAACACTTTGAGAGTTAGATTTTTTCCTTCCAGACGTTCCAAAGATAAAAACATTAATCTGGATAAACAGCTGCCAGAATGAAGGATTGTGAACGTAATCATTAGCTGCACTCCCAGGGAAAAAAATCTTTATAGATCTTTGCAGGAAGTGAGTGAGACTGAATAACGGCTCAGATAGATTCAGAATTTATTAGAGACTCTCCATGTCTGACCCTAAATGATGGTGAGGAAAAACCAGAAGGAGTTATCCTTTTGCAGATCAAATAAAACTATTTTTTTTTAACAGCTTCTAGTAACAGATGTTTCCAACAAAACTTCATCAACTTTGAGCTTTTGCAAGCCCGGGAGATGCAGATCAGAGTAATGAAATTACTCCCAAATGAGCCATGATGATGTTTGTGTTTGTGTGAGTGTATGTGAGTGTCTGGTTGTTTCAGTTTGTTCCTCTCACTCAGAGCTGATCATATCATCTTTATCAAGGCTGAGGCGAAACATGATTTGTGTGTGGATGTCAGATCGCACCCCTCGTAGGTGACATCCTGTCAGGCTGCGAGTTTCCGAGCTCTGCAGGCTGGTGGTCACAGACGGATCACGTTTCATTATGAATGTATCATTCATTAAGTCACCGTCACCTGCGAGCGGCTTCCTTTCATTCTCCTTTGCTCTCTGTGGGCCTCCTCTTCTGCTCTCTCTCTGTGTTCCCGGATTATCTGATGGACTCTTAGGTTAAGATTTACCTGCAGGATATAAATGGAGACTTCTGCCTGTTACGTAAACAGACAACAAGATGTTCTAGGATGAGAGCCTCGTGGAGAGGGCCTCTGATTCAAACAGCAGACATGAGTGAACTGTTCAGATGCTGCTGCAGAGTTGAACAGCTTTGTAATGGATACTCGGCTGTGATGGAGTTCAGCTGTCCTTTTCTGTGTCATTTGTGAAGCATGAAAGCTAAAAGCAATACTTTTACAGTAGATATAAAGGTTTGTGCATCAAACATATTCATCTCTTAATCCAGGAGGGTCTGATTCTTGGGATTGTTCACTCACAACCAATAACAGAGAGAGTGTAGACAGTAAAAATAAACGTAGTAACTCAGAATTGCAAAAACAAATAATTAAAAATCAGTCAAATGAATTAAACAATAAGAAGTTGGATGAAACGGGTACAAAACAACTTTGATACACCACAGGTATGAAATGACTCCAAATTAAAAGCCAGATAGAAACAGGCAGGTCTTAAGTTTCCTTTTAAAGAATAATTGAGAGCGCTGATTTTTAATGTTTTGGTGCATAGAAACATTTTCTTTGTAATGATTGATCATAAAGATGTGCGCTACATCCTCGTTCCAGTTCTGGGCAAATAACCAAATAACCGAGATTTGGATTAATTTTTAACTTTTATGTTTTGTTGAGGAAACATTTTGTGTCTGCAGATGGTTTCCTTTAAAAAGTGTTCGAACCAGTTCATAAAATTTGCTTGCCTTTTAAAAGAGCATCATCTCTGGTATATAGTATTGTCACCGAAGCAGAGAAATCATATAGGAACAAATATAATAGATTTACAAGTATATTTCAAAGTGCCCAATTCGCCTTTTTACCTCTTGTCTTGTTGATTAAAATGAGAAGAAGATCATTTGGAGATTTTTAACTTTCATTTTTATAATGTTCTTGTCGTATAATTAAGCAAAAATGCCAAATCGTGTTTCGTGCTTCATTTTTGTGCATTAGTGAGCTGAGTGAGCGTCTCTTGGTTTTGGTTGACATTTAGAGATGACTTTTAGAGATGGCTTTTTCTTTTAGTAATATTTTCTACTGAATTCTGAATCATAGAGTTTATCCAGCGATTGATCTGAAGCAAAACTAGTGAGTGTGTCGCAATGTTGCATATTTCATTATTATTGTGTTAAATGCATGTCAGATGTAAGATGGAGTTGATGCGTACTTCAAGTTTGAGTCACCATATGTGAGTTCAGCATGCAGGTGTCTGGTGTCAGCTTGCAGAGCTCTGTTTTAGAGGTTGGTGTGTTGTTTATTATCTGCTGTACTGTTTACCAGGAAGAACAGTTTCACACATACAGGATCTGTATGAAACAAAAGAAGCAACCAAACAGGAACTCCTGAGAGTGTGAACGCTTTCACATAAACCGGGGATGATCACCGGATGTCAGTGAATTAATTAGAATTAATCTGAGAATACCTGCACACCATATTGGCCCCGACTGGACCTTTTTTCACTCTCATTTCTTTATAATTTATGTGCAACAGTAAATAACAGAATATTTCACAGAATAAGCACTTTGAAGCTGTGCACAAGCTCTGAATTATTAATCTAAACTCTGAATATAAATCTAAACGTCAAGATCCTAAAGTGCATTTTCTTGCTTTAATTTTATCCCCAAATCCAGACACTGGTGAGAATTGCTTTACATTGTTATTGTGACTTCAAATTTTACAAAGTGCAAAGTAACTGAATCTTCACAGTAACCCGCCTTGTTGTTAAACGATCAAGGAACAGACAAATATCAAACATTCACAGCAGCATATGGCCCAAACATTCCCCCGTCAGAACCACAAATTAACAATAAATAACTAGATAATAAATACATGTGCGATACGTTCACAGTGGAATGACTAAAATGCAATAAAAAATAATGCGCTCGAGGTTAAATTGTAATTCTGCAAATTATTGCTATTAAATAAGACGTTTAAAAGCCCCAATAATTCTTCTTGGATAGTCTCTTTCTCTCGTGTATAATCGATCTGTTTTACGGTTTGTCTTCATGGTTTGGTTTCATGAAGCTTCAGATGGTGTTCTGGTTGAAACCTGCCCTCTGATGTCTGCTGCTGCTGCTGATGTTATCTCACGGTAATGTTGTCTTTGGCTGATCACAGAAAGGATGCTGCAGGTCTGCTGCTGACTGTAGGTGTTAAATCTGTCACACAGAGTCCTACAGGTTGATCTTCTGTGTACAGTCAGAGTCATTAGACAGTCAAAGTGACAGCATGTTCTTCTCTGGGAGGATAATACCTGAACACTGGTCTCTATTCTCCTCCCAGACGCTCTCAGAGGGTTAAAACAGTCTGTGCCTGGTGTCCGCTCGCTTATCTTGACCTTAAGATGGTTCGAGGAGGTAAAAACTTGCCTCACCATGTGACCTGTCCACTAGTCCCAAGTCTTTGTTATGCAACAGAGCCACTGCAGGTATGCTGGCAGCAGCAGGTAAGGCTCTTAGCGGTTAATTGTGGGCGGTGATCTCTGAGAGACCGAAATAGACGGGTTCTTAGGGTGACTATTTGAAGGGATGTTCAGTGGAGGTCTGAGCGCTCATCTTGTCGATTCTTCTTTTAAAAATAGACTGAGACCGTCATCCAAGAGGGAGAAGGGGAGGGCTTGCACTGTCGGCACCGATGGATGCTGCTTTGTGTCAAATTGTGTCAGACAACTTTGTCCAAAGCATCATGGACATACTGCACACTCATATATGAAGCAGGTCGAGCTTCTTCTTTCTCTAAATGTGTTTATGCAACATACAGACGTTTGCTCTGGAAAGGCCTCTAGTTGTGGAAGAGACTTGTCAACAGTGAAATTTTAGCTCACCTGCATGTCTGTGGATTGTGGGTGGAAACAAAAACCCACAGGGAGCAACATGCAAAAACAACACCAACTGCACCCTGCAGTGGTGTAGATTAAAAACCTACAGAGGAGACAGACAAGCTCTGTCTCAGAGTGGAACATTTTGAGTGGGTACAGTCTCCTAACCAAGAAATAAGTTTGCAAGACAAGAGACAAAAATGCATGTTAAGATTTAGGCTATTTTAGCTCCAAAAAAGCCCAAAAAAAAAACCCTGAGATGTTTTCGTCATGCTCGTCTGTTGCTAAATTTTGACCTTTGTGTCCTGAAATGTGGTAAAAAGATTGCGAGGGTGGAGGAGGGGTGAGCGCAGGGTCACCACAAGGGTTTTCCCCCTGTGTTTCGTACCGCTGTAGTCGCTTTGCATAGCGACATCATGTTTGTTTGTTTGTCTGAGCAGCAAATACAGTTTAGGATTTTTGGCCACAAACGAGTAAGAGTTCTTATTATTGACGAATGTGATAAAAACACAAAGAGATGTTTCGTTTCCAGTCGTTTACCAAAGCACTGCATCATTCCTACATATGCCAGTGAATATTTAACACTTTCAGCAAGAGTACAAGGTGTTATCAAAGACATACTAAGAAGATACATGGTCATTTTGGTGAGTATAACCACCAGGTACTCAAATAATCATGAAATAGATGATGAATATAAATTGTTTGGCCTTCAGTTGAAAAAATCCTGTATTTGTGTTGTTTTTGTAAAGAGAGCCACATCATGAATCAGCCTTTCCTCTTTAATGCAGAATAATGAGGCGAGAAATGTTCCAGTGAGCTAAATATCTGCTTTAAAGGAGGAGCCAACATTCAACACAGAAAGTTCTGAGTATGTGCTCCTCTGGATCGGAGACGCTGTATTGACTAAAACATTATTTGGCAGCAGTGAACAGACCCAAGACCAAAAAGAACAAGAGTGATTGTCGTCAAGACAACAACAACAACACAGCCTTGGTAATTATTGAAGCGCTTCACAAATCCATTTAGAAATGACAACTCGGGAACCGCACAGCAGAGTCCAGATTAGAGTCAGATCAGAGTTTTTGAATGAAGGGAGGCGGGATGACCTCAGTGTGTGTGTTTGTGTTTGTGTGTGTGAGTGTTTACATGGGTTGTGTATTCGACTTGTTAAGCGTACTCTTCTCACATCATTTATTTATTTATAGACCCGAGCCGTGTTTGTGATGAGGCGACACAGGATGTGGATCACTGAGCGGGATGTTGTTTAGTCAACTTTAGTTTTTTGATGGTGAAATTTCAATTAAAAAACAAAAGAGGACTGGAAACCGCCTGGTGTGGCAGCGGGGTAATTGGAAATGTTTTTGTAATGATTAACAGGGTCAACTCAAGGGCTGCATCAAACTCAAGTCAAATAGCTTTTTTAAGTAAGTTACAGCTTTTGTCCTCTGTTGCCAGAATCGGGAATTTTCATTTTTACTCTTAGTCTTTTGGTGTTGTGATGTTATGCTTTCAGTCCTCACTTCGTGAGCCCTGTGTCAGTGCAGAAAATCAAATCATTGCAAAGCTGTAACATCTTGTCCTGAACTTTGGCTGTGACGTTGGTAACTCGGCGATGAATAAGTGGGATTAGTTTAAACTGGTGCAGCTTTACATCCCAGCCTCTGCCATGATCAGCATATATGAATGTGATGTTTACTGTGAAAAACGCTTTGATTGGTAAGATGACTTCTGTTAAAATGCACTCTTTTTAATCTGTAAGTATAGTTGAATCTTATCAGACAGATATTGTGAGTGTTATTGTAAGATCCTGTTTTTTTCAGCAGTGCTTTTATGCTAATTTTGATGTACTGACATCTTATGTTTGAATTACTTCATTGTGTCACAAATATTTTAATCTTAAAGGTGTGTGTTTACATTTTAGACATACCGTATTTTTCGCACTATAAGGCACACCATCAATGAACGTGTCCATTCACGTCTATTTTCATACATAAGGTGCACCGGATTATAAAGCGCATTAAACCGAACAAAAAAGTCAGATAAGTCAAACTTTATTTAACTCATTCAATAACTCTGTGAGGCTACAGTAGCTGCAGTGCGCCGACAAAAGGATTTGAAGTGCACCTTTATAGTATTAAAAATACGGTATATATTTCTCCCATATCCCACAGATTCTGACAGGCGGCTTGCAAATTATAGGAAAAGTATGACAAGCAAATCATTCGATAGTAGTTGTGGCTCTGAGGGTAAAGCCAGGTGCTGCACTCTGTGAAATGCCAGTACTGACCGTCTGTGGCTTTACCGACCTTGTCAAGGGTGTCCATGATCTGGAAGACTGTCAAGTCAGCAGTCTGCCCATGATTATGGTCGCCTGTGCTGAAGTGGACTGAGGGAAACACTATATTCATACTGCTTGAGTACTAGTACTGCAAATTAAAATAATCTAATATTTTGAGATCCTTTTTTAATGTAATTTTTGAGCTGTAGGCCACAGTTACCTGTAGTAAAATATAAAAAAGTACATTCAAAAGTAATGGAGAGTCACTTTTTCTCAGTATTTCTAAATTTATGCCACACTTGTACTTGAACATTGAGATGACACTTTATCTGGAGTACTCAGAATAAATGAACAACACGTTACTCTGACGCTGTAATTCTTAGTTATTTTGCTTATTAGCTGATGTGACTTAATGCCTCTCCTGCTGCAGTTCATCATAAATCTGCGTTATTCTATCGGTCGATAACACCGCTTCAATGCTGTCTCTGTGTTCTGGAGGGTTTACTTCAGTCTAATTTAAAGACAGACACTTATCTCCATGACGTGTGGCTGCTGCTGTCGTTCTGTTCGAGTGCGCAAACGAACGTTAATCCACACTCCCCGTGCTGCTCTCACATTCTTGCCTCTGTTGGTGTGAACTATAGTCAACAGCAGGGGACGCCTTTTTAGATGAAGCCTCCACTCTGCCAGAGCTTGTTTACTCTGAGTTAATTAAGGGATTATGGCAGGCTGTTTATGCAACATATGGGTGTGAAATAAAAGCCGGAGAAAGACAGAGGCCTCGCATTAATGGCAACAAAACTGATGGAAACGAAAAAACACAGGCTGATTAACTTAAACTGCAACAACAGCTTCTCTTTAGATACTAAAACGGCAAATAGATTAGTGTTAAACTCTCTCTTATGTTTTCTAAATGCTCGCAGTCGTGTCAGTCACTGCAACAACTCCATTCATGACAAACCCATTCACTAAAACACCAACTTCACAGGGTTATTGGCAGCTCCCTTCAATCCTCATTGATTAAATAATGGATTAGCTGAAGAGAACAACGTCAGGCAAGTCAAACAGGATCAAAACAGCCGACGTCTCTATATAATACTTCATGTTAGACCAGTGGTTCTCAATCCAGTCCTCGAGCCCCCACTGTCCTGCTTCAACACACCTGATTCAAATGATCAGCTCGTTATCAAGCTCTGAAATGGCTTACTAACGAGCTGATTATTTGAATCAGGTGTGCTGGAGCAGGGAAATATCCAAAACATGCAGGACAGTGGGGGCTCGAGGACTGGATTGAGAACCACTGTGTTAGACTAAAACTATAGTTACTGTACAGTTATTGAACTGTTAATCCATCATAAAGTGCTTTACATAAGGGGTCAGACAAAGAAATACAATATTGTTTGTGCCTCTGAACCATATCCTGTTTTTTTTAATCTTTGTGGTCACTCTCATTCCCTTTCTAGACTCCAAACATTACCTGAAAACACAATCTGTACAGATCCTTCACCCCTTATCTCCAAGAAGACACCTATAGAGTAATTTTCTTCGCCCTGCCCTGCCCTGACACGGCTGATTTGTATCTGTCATTATCTCGGCCTAAGCTTAGAATAGCTCTCCTCTCGTCTTAAGCCCGGAGAGCTCAGCAACAGCTAGCAGAGAAAGTGCCAAGCGCCGCTTTCGTACCAGGGGTTAGATGATGAACCGCATCCTCCGTTCGGCTGTTACAACTCCCCCCCTGCTCGCTTTCTGCAGCTGCTCATTTGCTCCAGAGGAGTGTGGTTATACATTTGGAAAGCAATAAAACTAATTGGACTCCGCTACTTGATTGTTTTTCTTTTCTGCAGCTTTTGTTTCCAAGGCCTCATCAAAAGCTCGAACGACGTCCATTAAAATAACTCATTATTTGAACGCAGAGAATGTGAATGAGTTTGGAAACATCAGTGTTGAGGTGCAGCTGCAGGAAACGAAACGTGCATTTGCAGGGATGCACACGGGCATATCTGCGAGTCTATCTTCTCTGAGTCTAAAAGTGGGTGTGGTTGTGCGTGTGTGCAGGTTGCACAGCATGAAAACATTTGGTGGTCTTGTACTGTAGGTGCAGAGGAGATAAAACTGCGTAGACGCACAAGACCACACTCACCACTTTATTTCTCTCTGCAGAGATGTTGCTTTTATTTGCATTTTGTTTTATTATGTGGAAAAACTAAAATGCAAAAGATGACAAAATAAATTGATGCTGATTGTTGCAAACTTCTCTTATATTTTCAACCATCTCCTCACCTAAATGAAGAGTTTATACATCTATGAGCTCAGAGTTTCTATTTTCAGGGTTTTTATTTTGGTTCACCTTGTTTTAAGCAGTTGGGGTTTAAAATAAAAGAGCTTATAAAATGTTAATGATGTGTTTAAAACTTGCTCTACTGTTGCCAAATAGACACAAAGTGGATGTTGCAGGTTTGAGTTTTATTTTCGGTGTCCTGTGGTCAGATTTATGATTTTCCTAAAAACAAAGTTGTGTATACACTCGAGCTTTGAAGCCAATTAAAGTCGGAGTGTTTTAAGAACGTAAGTCTCGGCTATTTTAAATCAGTGCTAATAACCTTTTTTTGTCTCTCTCTCTCTCTCTCTCTCTCTCTCTCTGCCTCCTTCCTGTCTGCAGTCTAAATCGCCGCTGTCCTCACCTCACCTACAGCCTCCACACAAACAGCGACCATGGGCAAACAGAACAGCAAGCTCCGTCCCGACGTCATGCAGGACCTGATGGACAACACGGACTTCACCGAGCACGAGATCACCGAGTGGTACAAGGGCTTCTTGCGGGATTGCCCCAGCGGTGCACTCTCCATGGAGGAGTTCAAGAAGATCTACGCCAACTTTTTCCCGTACGGAGACGCCTCCAAGTTCGCCGAGCACGTCTTCCGCACGTTCGACGCCAACGGAGACGGGACTATTGACTTCAGGGAGTTCATCATCGCCCTGAGCGTGACCTCTCGCGGTCGGCTGGACCAGAAGCTAAAGTGGGCGTTCAGTATGTACGACCTGGACGGGAACGGATACATTAGCAAGGCAGAGATGCTGGAGATAGTAACGGTGGGTTTTCTGCTTGAATTTTCTTCTGTTTGACTTTGTTATTCTGTAGATTTACGCAGCCCTCTGTCTTTTAGCGACTACTTCCTGCAGGGAAACGTTTTGCTCAGCCATCCACAACAGCTGCTGTCTACTTATATCCATCTGCTTCCAAGTTCTGCATGATTCGGCTGCAGGAAAACCAGCTGCTGTGTAATTTTAGAAAGCAGACGTTTCTCTCGGGCCTTCAGAAGTCTCAATATAAGACCCGGCTGTTGTGTATTTCTAGATAGGGAGCAGTTTACTCCTCTGATCCTCGTATTGACTCAGCAATTCATCCAGTCAGTGTGCGGATCAGGGAAACGCATCCCTCAGAGTTTCTGTACGACAAAGAGTCTCGCTCACAGTCGGCCTCCCTTATTGGATAAAAAGTTAAGACTTCTGCCAGAGCTTGTCACACACAAACACACACACACAGGCAGTGCAATCCCCGACACATGATGTTACATCACACTTCATGGTGCTAAATTGAGCAAAGTGCCAAAGAGTGTCTAATCCTATTGTGCAGACCAGTGCTCTCTCTGTGGCGTTAATGCAAAGGGTTCCTTAATACTCAAAGTCTTTCAGATTGAAGAGCGCCACATGATTTTTCTCACGCTGTGTTTTCATTTATTGGAATTATGAATATTCATCTTTTTATACTTAATTTTGAAGGTCCTATTAATCTGAGAAGTTGAGTTTAGTTTATCAAGGATCCCCATTAGTCTACACCGCAGTGGAGACTATTCTTCCCGGGGTCCAGGCAAAAAACATCACATAATCATAAAACAAAACAAATCATACAATACAGTACAGCATGATCAATAATAAAATTTTGTAATACAAAAATAGCAACAAAAATAAATAAATAAAACAATAACTTGGAGTTTACATAATAATGTTCATACCAAAGATAAAAAAGAGCAATATAAAAATATATATATATTTGTAGCACAAATAAAATGAAGAACCAATGGCCGACAATATACACATTAGTGTACCAAAGACAAACAATATTCTGATAGACGAAAAAGTACAAATCAAGATAATATCAATATAAAATCAATATAAAATATTAATATAAAAAGGATAAACAGAAACAAAAATGAATTTAAGCAAAAAATAATCAGAAGAAAATAAATGAACCAGTCATGACATTAGGAACAATCTGGAATAATCTCTTTCCGCAAAACTTTTCCTCTCATCTATTCTTAAAACCCACACTGCTGGGGATTGATATCAGATATTGTGGAAGTCGATTCCAGTAAGTGATCGCTCTATACATAACAGTCTTTTTCAGAATGATGAACAGGAATGATGATATCTTTTAATTAGATTTGATTTCTCACGTTTAACGATTTGCTCTTATTTTGAATTCCTGTCATTACAAAAAAAGATCAACTTTAATTCAAACTAGATTGAAAAGATCTGCAACAAGTCCATCATGTAGTAGATCATAACAATAAAAAGCAGCAGGATGAAGCAATGAAGAGAGAATAAAGACCGGCAAATCAATAAAACTCCCTGTAGCAGACTGGATCAGACTCCTTTAGGCTTTAGTCTCACAGGTTGGGAATAATCCTCCAACATAGTTAATGGACACCACAATAATTCTCCCCCTGTATGAGAGAGAGAGACATGGTGTTTTTGCTTGATCAATGACCCGACCTTTCAGTGTATTTAATCTGCCTGTTTTCTAATTGCAGATATTTTGCTGATGATTAAATTCTCTTATCTTCTCTCAGTGTTTATCTCCTGTCAGAGTAGCAGCAGGATAACAGTAACTTGTGTTTGTGTGTGACTCCCATCCAAAAATAACATGTAATAATAAATCTGCTGGTTGATCAAGAGAAATCTAATATTAAAGTGAGCTCACTTACTTGTTATCCTGCAGCAGATCTTGAACATGACTCCTCCTTAAGGACTAGCAGCTGTTTATTTTGGTGACATTTTGGTACATGACGTGGCTGCAGGTTAAACTTGGTTCATTTAACACAAGGAGAGACTGAGCCTTTACCTTCTGTCTGTGATTACTCAAGTGAATTAAATATCTAACAATGTGAACCTCCTCTCTGAGACAAGAAAAATGTAATTGATTGGTCATATATGAATTTCCTGCACAAGCAAAACCATTTTGCTTCACTGTTTCAGTTTCTTTTCTGGTAATAACAGCTGGTGTGAGGCATGATCAGACTTTGAGCTCTTGTTTCTACTATTTTCTTTAATTTTAAGTTTTGATGAAGTGCCTCTTAATGTGTTATTACACTGGGATTCATTAAAGTTGATTTCTTAGTCAAGGAATCAAGTGTGCAGTCTGGAGCTATCATTAATCTAATCTGTGAAATATTCTGTCGGTGATTCATGTTGATTTCTCTTTCCCTCCTCAGGCTATTTACAAGATGGTGTCCTCCGTGATGAAGATGCCGGAGGATGAGTCAACACCTGAGAAGCGCACAGATAAGATCTTCAGGCAGATGGACACAAATAGAGATGGTGAGCCAAATTCTCTTCCTGTTGTCTTTAACTTTGCAGCTGTGTTTCCACTCACGGTTTTCTTATTACATCATTTAAAACTTGTTGCTTCCGCAGCGTTTAATCCGCCTCATCATTTTAGGTTTCACAGATAAAACAGACACAATTAGTGCTTCAAACCAGTCCACTTTGCCCCCTGTCTCGTTAGATCAAACATTATATTAACAGGTGGTTTTATCTGTCTCTTCTAATGATTAAGATTAGATAAAAGTTTCAACCCAGTTATAACAAATTTAAATGGTTTTGTCATTCGTACTTTATGAATATCTACGCCTACATACCTTTAGTCCCAAAAATTCAGTCATAGCCAAAGCTCAGAAAAAGGGTTTTGAAAAGTGAGATAGTACTTGTTACTTCCCCAGTCTTCATGTTCTGCTTGTACTCTGGCAGTCTACAGTGAATAAAAGTTGATTGATCAGTGAGAAAAACCTGAAATATTGTGTCAAACCTTTTAATAACCTTGGATCTGTTCAAAAATGAGCGCTGATCTCTTTCTCTGACCCCCTCAGGTAAACTGTCCTTGGAGGAGTTTGTTGAGGGAGCGAAGAACGACCCCTCCATCGTGCGGCTGCTTCAGTGTGACCCCAGCAGTGCTGGACAGTAGATACCTGGACTCTTGCTTTGTTACGGTTCAAATAATTGAACAAATCTTCAAAGAAAACCCAGATGACCCACCTGAGATTATTGACGCATGATCACTTGAGCTATGGAGGCACATGCACAAACATGCAAGCACACGATGATATATCCAAGTAAAGACAGTACATTGCTACAAATACCACATATTATCTTTTAAAACCACCATGAGCACATACTGTACATGTGCCTCCATGCCAGGTCAAAATCTCCAGACAACAACAACGACGGTCTTTTACACGGTACAAATCGACCCCGAAGGACTGAAACCTCATCAAAGACTTTCTCAACACTGAATCGAAGCTGTGCTGTCTCTGTCTGAGAGGACGGCCAACGTTTTAATCCAACAGATTTGTGAGGCACACTGAGCCGAATCCAAGTTCACTGTTCTCTTCCTGTGCTTTTATTTGTTGTTTTAAAATGCATTTTTCCCCTAACTCAAGGGTAATTATGCTCGTTTTATCTTTTGTTTTGTTTTACTTTGACCAACTTGGGTTGTTGATGACGACAGACAGATCTTCTCAGAGTATTTGCAGTTCAACTCGACATCTGCACTGGATGAAATGAAGTATGTGAGTCTGGGACTAGTGTTCACAGTTTACAGCTCAAGGCTCATGTAGACAGGAAATCTGATTTAGTTTTTTAACTGTTGAAGACATTTTAGAAAGGATGACTTTTTTTTTTTAATGTGTATTTTGGAAGAATGTTACATCAAACCAAAACTGACTCAGATTTCTTATTGAAGGGGAATATTTTGACTACAGATTTCAAGCATCTTTGCTTTTGAAAGTGACTTTTTATGCCAAGTTCTGTGTCCACACATACAAAAAAAAAACACACATAAAGACATTTATACTTTTATTTCAGTGATGAACACATGAACTTGACATACGCATATAAACCGAGCTGTGATTCTTTTACTTCAAATATGATTTAACAAGCGTATCAGTAAAAAAAAAGGTAAGTTAGATGTTATATGAATATATATTATGTACCTGTATATTCTTTTTCTCTGTGATAACATTGTGGTTATCTGCCGCAACCTAATATTTCATTTAAAGAAATTTTTTTGGCGTATAAATTATTGGAATGTGATGATAAAAACAATTTATTTTCTTTTACTTGACAAATACGATATGAAAGAAAGTTGTACAGTATATTCACTCATATTTATGCTAGAGAAGATAAAAAAAAGGAGAGGACCACATATAATGCTATTGTTATTTTAATCTTGATTTCAACGCAGAAAATACTGGCTGTCATTTAAGGGTTTTTTCCTGAATAGAGTGTCATAAGAATGAGGTTTATCATAGACCTACCTTAAAAACAAAACAATACAGGAACTTTATTGATACCCCAAATTGGGCATTATTTTTATTCCTTAAGAGGGTCGAATTTGCCCAGCAAGAAAACCCTCTGAGTAAAAATGAAGCGATTTTAAAGTTTAATTGTAATTCTAAAAAAAATGTAATATTAAAAAGTATACCAGTCACAGTAATCCACACTTCTAACTCTACTCATTCAGCTGATTGTAAGCAAGCACATCAAAGCTTTACAAGTAAAGGCGTCTTATAAGCAGGACGGTTGTCTTCCCTAATTGTAATATGTAAAATTATACTGACTTTTGCACAAGGGAATGTGTAGGGTGCAAAAATGCTAATTGCTTGCTTGTAGGACTTATTCTCATTCCTCAGCACTCTGCAGCATACGAACAGAAGTAAACAATGGTCTAAGTGTTGTTGCAGTGCAATGTTACCGTGTACAAAACTCATCTTTTGTGCAAGTGTGACTCAGACATCTTTCGTGAATACAGACTTCAAAAGCAACTGTAAATGTAAGAGGGTTAAGTGACCACAGAGGTTACTAATGTCTTCATTCTCATGACTCAGTCACAGACACTCAACTGACAGAACAAAGCACTGACCTTGGTAGTGAGTGACAGCAGCATCCACCAAACCTCCTTGTGTTTTTGCAGGATTTTCTGACAGCATCTATTCTGCTTTCATTGACACCTGTTTGTCTGTGTTGGTCTGAAGACACCATGATATCACACAGTTGTTCATAGGCAGATAATTGATGGATGAAATTGTTGAATCTCCGGGCTCCTGCACATTTAAAGTAAGTGATCCGGTACTTCAGTCCCACATTTCACTTCAATAGCATCTTGTGGTCAAGTGCCAAATATAGATGAACGAAAATCAAAAAAACAGTATTGTATCCATTTATACTGTACAGTTGTTACCTGTCGAACAAAACCAACTTTGTCACTGTATCATTTTGTAGATTTTGTATTGTTAACTTGCATAACGTGTTCTGTGTAGGATGTCCATTTTGTTATTCAAATAAATGCAAAATGGGAAAACAGCATGTCAATTAATTATTTCAGATTGATGGAGTACACATTGTGGAGAAATACGACGGAGTATTAGGGCCACATTAAGAAAATATGACTGAGATTAAAGTCCTTAATTTACGGGAATAAAGTCAGACACAAATCATTACTTAAGAGAATAAAGTCGTCATAAAATCATTTCTTACAAGAATAAAGACAATAAAATCAGTACTTACGAGAATATAGTGATAATTAAGTAATTATTTACGAGAATAAAGTCATACTAAAATAATTTCTTACAAGAATGAAGTCATAATAAAATACTTTCTTAAAAGAATAAAGTTGTACTAAAATGATTTCTTACGAGAATAAAATCGTAATAAAATCATTACGATACTTATAATAATGTGGTGCTGATGCCCCAAAAGAGTAAGTATCTCCTTGTTTGAAAAACTTTCCCTGAAGTACATGAAGTACTTGAAAGTTATGACTTTATTCTGGTAAGTAAGGACTTAATTGCGGCTTTATTCTTGTTAGGGATGAATTTATTCTCATTAGAAATGACTTTATCAGACTTTATTCTTATGAGTGATGACTTTATTCTTGTTAGTAAGGACTTTATTACGACTATTTTCTCATTAGTGATGACTTTATTCTTGTTAGTTTCTCTCTTATTCCCATAAATGATAACTTTATATAGTAAGTAGTGACTCTATTATCACTTTATTCTCATTAGTGATGACTTTATTCTTGTTAGTAATGACCTTATCAAGACTTTTTTCTTCATTAGTGATGACTTTATTCTTGTTAGTTTCTCTCTTATTCCCATAAATGATAACTTTATATAGTAAGTAGTGACTCTATTATCACTTTATTCTCATTAGTGATGACTTTATTCTTGTTAGTAATGACCTTATCAAGACTTTTTTCTTATTAGTGATGACTCTTTTCTTGTCAGTAATGACTTTAACACAACTTTATTCTCTTTAGTGACAACTTTATTTACGTCAGGAATTACTTTATGACTTTTACCTCATTAGTGATGACTTATCACGACTTTATTCTCCATAGTGATGACTTTATTCTCATCAGTAATGACTGTATTATGACTTTACTCTTGTTGGTGATGATTTTATTCTCGTTAGTGATGACTTTATTCTTATACGTAATATTTTTTTTCCCCTTAAGTTGGCTCTAATACCCTTCTTTTTTAAGAAAAATCATGATTTTTTCATTTTAAAAGTTGATACCTGCTTAGCTCACAGTCCCATCAACCTTAGCTAATTGAAAAAATTTGCCTGATGAGGTACGTATTTAGCTTAAAGACCCCTGAATACCCAACCAGACTGATCCTAATGATTTTAAGCGCACTTTAAAAAAATCAAACACAAGCAGGACTAAAACTTCTATACTTTATTCCCTTCTCAACACAGCAAAGGACATGAGAGCTACACAACAACCAAGTGCCATTTGTCTCTCCTCAGAAGTTGTTTACATCTCATGTACAGTACAAAATAAACACCTGTGCTTTATGTTGAAATGTGAATTTTACACGACTGTGGAAAAGGGGTGAGCCATCTACTAACTTCTTGAGTAGCCTACTCGTACACAGGGTGTCTAAGAAATATCTGAAATGTAAAGTACTTGAAATATCGGAGGAATTGACAAGAGAGTGGAAAACATTGACATTAATAATAAATAATAACACAACTAAACAAAAACAAGGCTGGCATGCAAAGATGCTGCTATGTCGCTAGGGACCAACTAATTCAAGCTACATACAATACATCAGAGATATCAGGGAGCTACACTGATGTGTTATTTGGCAAAAACATAAGACTGTACAGATGTAGATTAGAGAACAATTATTTTATACAAAAAAATTATTCAGCAAAAATGGAGGATGTGGATCTGTACTCCATGATTTCACCACATGGGTACGATGAGGAGGTAATTATAACCGGTTGATATGGATTTTTAAAAACGTCCTTTTATTATCGTGTTGTTTTTTTCCCCTTCTTGCACAAAAAAATAAAACTTTCTTCTCAGAGGAAAATGATCAAGAGAGGGATCAGTGTGTGAGCCGCCATTGACCTCAGAGTGTCGCAGCAGGGCCACGACAGACTGTCTTCAATACTGTCAGTCAGCTTCTCAACCAATCAATAGCAGCCTTGTAGACTTTGGCCAACCAGAGAGTCACAGCATGTTTGTTTTTTTTCTTTGCAGTCCTTCAGGTTGACTGAAGATCTAGCAGATCTCTGTCAGCGTGATCTTGTAGGCGTCTGCGTAGCTCTCGATGTTGAGGATGAAGGTGTCTTCGTTGGAATAATGCTCGACGATGTTATCGTCCATGTTCACGAGGATCCTGACATACAAAGACATTTTAATTTGTCATTTCATTTAAGTGTAAAAGACAAAGCTCCTCCATAAAATTATAATATCTTCGCTCACTCACCCTTTTTTACTCTTCTTGTACACTTTGGCTATCCTCTCAGGGGGCACGCCGTACTTCTCAGATATCTACGTATGGAAAATGAAAGCAGTTTATAGACAGGTAACACGCTGATGATTTCTTTGAAGCTCTTCTCGCTCACAATAGTAATCAAAGAGACATCACTCACAGCATCCATCAATCCTCTGAGCGTGGGAGACTTCAGCATCAGAGCGTCAAACACCTCGTCAGTCTCCTTTCTTACATACAACAGCACTGCAGAGGAAGATTAGGCGTTAACAGGCAGACAAATATGATGTGCATACATGTGTTTGCACACAATGACCAAAAAGAGACCAGAGTGTGGCACTTCGACCCACCAGTCCCACCAGATTTACTTTCAGTCTCAACTATTAAGGCAACGTGAACATGAAGTCTTAAAGGGATATTCTGGTGTAAAATTAATAAAGGGTCAAACACACAAACACACCGTAACAATGAGTTAGACACCACCTCGAGAGATGAATGTTGCCGACCGCTTGCTTCTCTAATTATACCAACTTTAGTTACGATAGTGATACAGACAGCCACACGCTCAACCAAAACGCCACTCTATAGCCACAAATAATGCTCAGAACAGCACCTAACTTCATCAACAGTACAAAGAGAGTCCTAGCCATAGTACTAGCCACCAAACATCTTTTAAACTTTGCCTGATTTCTTTAGCAAAGAGACTAAACACAACTCACCTACTCTCCTCCAGCAGCCGCTTGTTTATAGCAAGACCTCGGACCAGTCCATTACGGGCTGCAGCGGGGTGACGCAGCTCAAGGAAGAACATTTATGATCACTAATTTATCATTTCCTTGAGGTAATAATCACCATATTCATGATTTTGCACTGCAGATGCGGTAGTTCTTCTGCTTAGTGATTCGGTCTGATTGCATTTCCATGAAGAAATGATCATAAATGTTCTGCCTTGAGCTGCGTCACCCCGCTGCAGCCTGTAATGGACTGGTCCGCGGTCTTGCTACAAACAAGCGGCTGCTGGAAGAGAGTAGGTGAGTTGTGTTAAAGCTTTTTGCCAAAGAAATCAGGCAAAGTTAAAAAGATGTTTGGTGGCTAGTGCTGTCGCTGGGACTCTATATGTACTGTTGATGAAGTTAGGTGCTGTTCTGAACATTATTTGTGGCTATAAAGTGGCGTTTTGGTTGAGGTTTATTTATGGCTCCTCAGACCGCTGTGTATTGCTATCCTGCGGTCGTTACTAAAGTTGGTATAACTAGAGAAGCAAGCGGTCAGCAATATTCATCTCTTGAGGGGGTGTCCAACTTGGTGTTACGGTGTGTTTGACCCTAAATTACTTTTACGTCGGAATATCCTTTTAATGTTCTCAGATAAATCAACAACAACTTGTCAAACTCTCTCACTGCTAGGATTTAGAAGCTCTAAGTAAAGCAGTCATCTCTTACCTCTTTTTTGTGTCTCCTCTTTGATTTGTTTATGCGGTGACGGACAAAGATCTTCTTCTGACGACCTGAACATCCTCTTCACCAGCACACTCCTAAAATCACATCAAAACACAGGGGTGTCATGTCCCGAACACGAAGAGGCTCCCGTGTATGTCTGATGTCAGGCCTTTTTGCATGTGCATCTTTTATTGTGAGTGGATGTAAATGAAATTTCCTTTTGATGCACACACTCACCCTTCCCTCTCGATCTCCTCTGTGTTAAAAGTGAAAACCTGGAAATGAATAATTCAGTGTTAATGTGAGTTTAAGCTTTTTGTGTTAGTTAGAAAAAAAGCATGTTTGCAGAGATGGTCCACCTGTCCAGCTCTCTGCAGGTTTCCAAAGTGAGCATCTGGTATGAAGAGAACGGGCTGAGCCTCCAGGTCAGTCATGGTCTTGAAAAAGGTCGTGTCAGACTTCTTTGGGACGGTTATTACACCTACGCCTCCGTCTTTTCCTGAGCGAAGGAATAAGATTTAGAAAAAGCATGGCAGAATATATACATTTCACTAATTTGGATGACAAAAAGACTCAAACCTTTTGACTTCTTCCGGAACAGTTTCCTCTCCTCGTCTCTTATTTTCCTCTCGGCTCCCTGAGAAAAAAAAAAAAAAAACAGATAAAGCCCGAGGCTCACTGCAGGAGCAGGTGAGGCCACTAGAGGGAGAGCTGATGACATGATTGCACCTCCCATCGCCACCCTCTGTCTGACTGGGAATTCTGCACAGTCAAACCCACTGCAACAGACTTTAAATTTGCTTTGCAACTTTTTTAAAGGAAAAATCCTGTAAAAATTCTTCTTCTTTAATAAAAGTCATAGAAATGCAGCGATTACTTCTTTGACTTCACATGTGAACTCAAGTTATTTTACTTCCAGTGAGAACGGATAAAAATTACACTGACAGGGGGCTCCTCGGTCAAAGAAAATTTTTACATTTTTCAAGAGAAGGTTCACATTATCATCTGGTAATAGCAAAGTGCTGGTTTCTCCACAGAAATATTTACTCAAACTGATCTTTTTCAAAATTATTTTTCCATTTTGGCCAAATATTTAAACAAATATTTAAACAAAACTAGCCATTTGATCCCATCAATTCAGGCTGTGAGGAAATTATGGCCATCATTTTTCGGTAAAACTTTGACAAAAAGAGTAGAGTCAGTTATTAGGCATGAAGCAATAACTTATAAGAATGTCATCAGTAATCCTGCACTGCCACCCTAATGGTAAAAATATGTTCCCCAGCATACAACCTCTTTCCATAAGTGGCCATGAATTTACTGATTGATAGAAAGACGACATCTTGATTTCTCACCTTGTCGCAGAAAACCTTTATCTGCGAGTACGCTCTGTGCAGCGGTTTGTTGCTACGGTTGTTGTAGCTGTATGTGTCGATCTGGATCATCAGAGGAAGACCCTTCACCCCCTTCTGGGAGGAGAAATCTGTGCTCAGACAGTTCACCGTGATGAAGATCTGCGAGGAGAGGGAGAAATGTTAAAAAAAGTCAGTCCCATAAACAGGAATTTGGTGTCACAGTAAATAAGCAGTTATTTATCCATTTGTTTTTTAATTATTTTAATTTTAATGTCTATTTTACAGGGACAATGCATACAACATTGCCACAAGAAATGGAGAATGTGATGCACACAAGACGTCTAGCTTGAGCTAATTTGCAGTCTTTGTCCCTGGTCAGGCTTTAGTGAAAGATAAAATATACTAAATACTATAAATGCAATAATACAAATACAATGGATAATACAGTGAATGACACGAATAAATAAACATTACACAAATTAAACTGAACACTAACTTTAATAAAGGGCTATACTGACAGTGACTTGAGAGAAGTTAATGTTCACATTTCTGCTGCTGCTGCTTAAGCCAGTTTTGAGCTTTAACACTAAACCTTTTGGCTCTGTTTGGTCAAAGAAGTATCTTATATTCTTTTTCTTGCAATGTTGCTTTTTAACTTTTTGATATCTTAAATATAAGTGGTAATTAAAAATACATGTAACTGCATATTTGAGCATCACATGGATGTGTACAAATGTTTGATCTATTGAATGCAGTCTTCCTCTTTCTGCTCATAACATAAACCACTAAAAATCCCAAACAAGAAAACTCTTATCTTATGATTTTGCAAATCCCCAGAGTTCATTTGTTTAACTTGATAAAGATGTTATAGATCTGTTATTTCCTGCTAAGTCCTGTAACTAGAAAAGCACGAGGCAGGCTACAATCAAGTACCTGGTCATTACACCTGTTCCTGGTAAATTCAGGCTCAACAGGCACTCAGATGAAAAGAAAGAGAGGCAGAGAGAGAGAGAGAGAGAGAGAGGGAACGAGAGAAAAAGTCAATATTGCCTCAGAGAAGTGTGCTTGGATTTCCTCCAGCAACGTCTTTGTCCCTGAGGCAGCTATTACAATGAAAGAGCCACAGAACACAAACAGAGACCGACTCCCACACACACACACACACACACACACACACACACACACACACACACACACACACACACACACACACACACACACACACACACACTCTAACATTCACACAGAAATGAGGGCAAAACAAACAACAGTGGGTGGAGACAGGGATTGGTGTGTGTTGGCCCTTGGGGGCCTCTGGAGTTCAAACAGTGTTGTGGCTCCATTTAAGGAGTGGCCACAAAGGAGTGGGCCGCACAAAGACAAAGAGACAAACAGAGCTAAAGTACACAATTTTGCCAACCAACTTTTTAAACGACTTCTTGAGGCTTTCGGTCCTGTTTTATACAAGAAATTAATTATCTAATTCCCCGATTTTTAAGAGCTCTGAAGTGTCGTAATGATGATGACGCTCGGCCAATTTTTTCAGAGCGAGTGCAATTATTTGCCAACATTTGAATCAGCACAAAAAACTTGTTCGACTACTTTTTTAACATGTGCAACACACCTTCAGCGAGAGTAAATACAGGGGACCGGTTTCTGGGAAAATTACAGTGACATTTGAAGAGCTCTCGTACCTTGGCCTCTTCATTCACATCCCAAGTGAAGGAGATGGCGTTGTAGGCAATTTCTTCGATGTTGCCGATTGTGTTGAAGCTCTCCTTGTAGTCAGCTGTGGGAATAAAAGAAAGCAACTCTAAGTTCTGTGACCTCAACAACCCCTTCAAAGCAACATGTTGAGTATTTTGAGAACATGAATAACAAGTTTGCTTGAATTGTTTATTATGCGCTGTTTGACAAACCCAGCTGAACGTCATATCAGCTTCCATGTACAGCACAAATCGGTCAATAAATGACAAAAGAAGATCGCTTTTGTTCGTTTAGATAAGCGATCAAATGGCACGCTTCAATTTTATAAGATAAAACCTTATCTAGTTGAGCAAACAATCCCTCAAAGGCTCTAAAGTCAGCAGGGGGAACACAGGAGGCTTTATAGCTTTGAAGAGGGCATTAAAAGCCACTCAGGTGAGCACATAGGCTGCGGATTGTTGACCTGTCTGACTTATAGACTGCCAGTCTACAGGAAATTTAAGATGCAAGTTAGAGTCGTCTAAAGGGGTTAAAAACAGAAAATATAAATGCGGGTGTGAAATGGTGTTTTGAAGACATTAAATTCATGAGAAACAGTAACTTCAAATGTTGAAACATGAGGCCAGTGCAGAAGTGCTGAAAACTCAGGTGTCTGACTTGAGACTGGCTGAGAGCCGTGTTAAAATACTTATCCTAACAACAGAAATAAACATGTTCACGGCTTGGTAGAAAAGAAGAGTTTTGGTTCGAATCACTTTTGTCTATTGAACTTTTTACATCTCCTTTTATTTTGAAAGTACTTTCAGTGGCATCATACTTAAGGACCACTTTGCAGGACTGACTTGTTCAGCTTTACCCATCTTCTGTTACATCGTGGTGGTTCAAAATCATGGTTAAGACTGCAAAGGAAGGTAGGAGGGATATTCTTTCCACACAGGGAAGGCCTCCTGCCGCGGTTTGAACCCAGAACCTGCCAGACTACAGTGGTAGGACCCAGACCATCCCACTGAGCATTTTTTGGTCTAAAAGAGGTCTAATGGATGCCTAAATGTCGCCTAGAGCAGTTTTTCTCAGCTGGTCTCACTCTGGGACCCACATTTTCCCATGGTCCTTAAGTCGCGACCCACTTTTATAGAATTCAAACCAAGCAAATTTTTTATTTATGATAAAAAAATTCAAAGACTCTAATCTTTAACATAGATCCACTTGTTTTATTGAGTAAAGTGCATGTCAGAGCACATGAAGGGGACAACATGAGGACGACAACTACTGAAGTTGCATATCCAGAAAATATCTAATAAATATTGCATTAAATATTTACTTTTTTGACCAGCTGTTCGTGACCCATCCAGAACGTGTCCATGACCCACTTGTGGGTCAAGACTCACCAGTTGAGAAGCACTGGCCATGATGGCTGGTCTAAAATCAGGCTACCACACGTCTAAAAATGAAAGTTTTTTAGACATCTAAATTTAGACGAAGTTTAGTCTAAATCTGGGCTCTATCTATCTATCTATCTATCTATCTATCTATCTATCTATCTATCTATCTATCTATCTATCTATCTATCTATCTATCTATCTATCGAACACATAATATAATACAGAATCTAGACAGTTGACATTTAAAAAAAAACCTACATGTCTAATAGCGGTCTATTGTTCAGTGGGATATTAGCTTCATGAAAAGTATGATGTGAGTACTGAATATTTGAGCTCTGCAAAAGAAGACCCTGCTGAAATTCAAACCCAGAACCAGCCATCTTGGAGGTGGCAGATTTAACTCTAACAATGAGGCCTCTTTCCTTTCTCTTGCCTGCCATGAGTTTTCGTTGATATGATTAAGAAAAATCAAAACCTGCTTGATAAAATGAAACAGGCATATTTTGTGTTGATTGTCTGGAGAACAAACTCTTCATATCTCAGAGTATTCCCCATCTTTGCTGACCTCTGACCCCCTCCTTCATCCTAACCTGCCGTTACAGCGACACTTCCTGGTTCTTTAATAGCAGGTGCACAAAGAGGCAGGGCAGGTACAGACATGCCTCTCTGCCAGCCCCCCTCCCCTCATTAAACAGCCCCATTCAAATGATCCATTCTGTGACGTGGCCCGGGGGCATGATAACCCCCACTCCCAAAACACACACACACACAGGCACGCACACACACACGCACACAAACCCTCCACCGCTATTTGAATCAGCTCTCTGGGCAGCGTCAGGTTACAGGCTGCATCCAGCGACAGGCTGACCTGGATCTGAGGAGGCGGGTGGAGGAGTCTGTCATTTGACCTTCAGAGCAGTTTGAGAGATTTACCGCCCTTGGCCGAAGTCTTGAGCTCAATTACACACGATTAATTAGCAATAATTTGGATAATTTATTTTTGTATGTAGTGACCTGAAAGAAAATTTTTAAAGTGAACCAAATTTCAAGTTTTCAGAGGTTGTTAATGACACTAAATTGAGCCTGATTTCATTTTTGAGGAACTATGATACACATTTTTAATAAGATAAAACTCCAACTGATAAACTCAGAATAAAAAAAGTCAGTTTGTACCTTTATTATGAGTTGTATCTCGAACATAAATTTCTGATAAATTCAGATTTTTTCATCTTTAAAGATCTGTGACTCGGTTTCATTCAGATGTAGTTTGTAATTTGTGCAAACATGCCAAATGAAGTGTGTGTATCAACAAACAGATGGATTTTTACGAGTTCACCTACAGTACGTGTATCTGTGTGATAAATATACTGAAGCTGTTGATGGACTTTATCTATGGATCAAACATGCAAACAAATGTTCCAAACAGGATGCCAAAGGGGAATACGCTGAGAAAGATAAGGCACTTCCTCTAAACAGGACCTTCTTTATCACCCATGAGTAACAAAACTGATACCGTATTTGACAAACAGACGCATCTTACCTAGATGTTACAAATTTTTCTGAAAATTGACATATAAACATCCTCGCTCTTGAGGATTCTTGGGCTTCTGATATCTAACGTAACGGAAAGGTGTGTTTCTCTTTTCTCTCGTGACGCCGTAGTGAAGAGCAGCAGTTGTAGCAGATGTGTGTGAATCGTCGGGTGATTAGGATTTGTTTTGGTTCACGTAAAAACAGATCTAAATTGGGCGAGAATAACTTTCAAAAGACGGTAAACAGTCGAGGTAACAGTGTGACGAGCATTCCTCCTCCTGTCCTGACAAGCTGGGTGTATAGGTGTGTGAATGTGTGTGACTACCATCCACCTCCACTCTCCCACATACCTCTGACTTTCCGCCTGTGTTAGCAGGCCTGAGCTTGTCAAACATAAACCGCCTACAAGCTTCTCACACACACTCATTCAGCATTGTGTAAAAAAGGTTGGTACACATTCATCTCCATCAACTGAAAAAAAAAAAACTACGACAGACTAAAGGTCAAAGGTTTTAAGAGACAAATATGAGGCTTTAAAGTGACACTATACACCTGTGGGAAACGCTGGCAGTAAAAGTGAAAGCTGTGACGGTGTTTTGGGTGATCAAGTCTTTTCTAACATTGCTGTTTTGCTCAATCTCTCAGGCAATGTCGCAGGAGTTATGAAGATTTAGGGTTGTGTGTCTCTGCAACACCTAGACATTAAGAGCTTCAGCTGAGTGAGTGATAGAGGATGATGGTGGGCAGCTGAACAGCCTCAGGCAGACGGTTGGGTGGGGGCTTGTTTGCTCTCAGTTTGGTCATGCCTTGTTTATTAGCTGAGTACATTCCAACATTTGCAATCACACAAGTACTGTCATTGTGTTTTCGTCTCTTTGTTTTGATTCATTCAAACACACAGTGAAGAATTCCCTATTAGGAGAAAGTCTTGAAAGTAATCAGAGTAATCAGTCTTACCAATGTCTAAGACTCTCTGCTTGGCCGTGTGTTGCCGAGAGTGCCAGTACTTCCAGTATTTGAGCTGCTCGTCTCTGTTTTTGTCCTCGCTGAACACCACCATGATCACGCTCTGAGAAAGAAGAAGAGATGGTGGAAAATATGAGATCAAACTGATCAAACCAAACTAGAGGCTGTGTTGGGAACTCAAAGCTCTGAAAAAGTTGGTGCTCTAACTTCTGACATAGATGGTCACTGGGTGAACACTTACCACCAAAGAAGAGAGGAAGAGAAGTGGAAAACAGAAGCCAGCAAGGGATGAAAAGGCTCCTGTATACTGTCATTTCAATTGTGGAACTCGAGATTAAAACATCCTTCACTCTTTCTACTTTAAAATCGTGTCTTAAAACTCATTTCCATTCCTTGGCTTTTAGCTCAGCACGAGAGTTGTGTGATCTCTGTCCTTTTATGTCTTTTTATGGTCCTTTCATCACTTTTATGCTTTTGTGTTTTTATTTCATTGATTTCAGTTTTTTTTTACCTGCTTTTATCATTTCCTTGTTCTTTTAAATTTTACTGTGCAGCACTTTGGCAAACTTTAATGTTTTTTAAAATGTGCTATATAAATAAAGCAGATTGGATTGGATTCAAGGCTGGCTAATATTATTACAGTGCGCTGGAGTTTAACGTCTATGTACAAAGGTGAAGTGATGGCGGGACTTTATTCCAGCACTGCTGCAGAATTGCTTTGTGTAAAAAGCTAACAAGACATCAACCAAATTGAAGAAAACAGACGTGAAGCAGCCACAAACTGTTGGCAGAGCTGGTTGAGTCAATAAAACGCTGCAGCGAAAGAGAACTTTCAAACATGTTTCAGAAAAACACATCGACCGCAGCTAAATCTAAGTATGATTACATTTATGAGATGAAGAGGCACGGTCGTGTATTGACTGGCTCACCCGGACTTTGCTGATGGGGTGACGGAGGCGTTTGTTGGCACTGAGCTCATTTAGCGTCACAGCGTAGAACTGGCCTTTGTTCAGGTAGGTCATCGGCCCCTCCCCTTGCTTCTGACGCAGTGAGCGTGTGGCGTCCAATGTGTACTGGAAGCTGTCACTACTTAGAAACACAAACAAACACGTAACTATCGAGGACTGATAGAAGATGCAGTTATTTGAGATACAGGTGCAACACTCATGCACTTTAATTCATTTCTGGGTCACTGTAACTTAACTTTAACAGCAGATATGTATTGCTAAAGATTTTAAGTGCACTTAGTGATGGTGCTTTGTGTTACTTACACTCCCTCCTGGTGAAATAAGAAGTTATCTGCAGGCAGATGAGCATGCTGAAAACACACGGAAAGAGGAAATTATCAGACACAATGACAGGAAAACATGACCTGTGAGAAACGAGGTAAACAATCCTGTAAATTAGAACAAAAGCACACAGTTCAGCCTAAACACTGCGGTAAATAGAGGTACAAAAACTGCAACATGGAGATCTAGAGTAAACAGACAATCAATTGAACAACTACGTGTAGATTCCTGTTCAGCAAACCTTTTAGTTATAATTAAACATGCAATTATCTCCACATACTACTACATCACGACTCCACCCTCGCAAATAGAGCAAGAGATCATCAACTTATGACATTATCTTCTGGCATTAAATCTTCTGGTGCTGCAATTTTCCTCTTTGGTATTCCCATTAGAGTTTTCATCATAGGTGCATAATATCAACAATAGAAAAGTCTCTGCTGTCCTTTAGAGGACGACTATCTGATCTAAAATGTTCAATTTTTGCATCTTTCCACAACTGACCCAAAGAAAACAGACCCAGAAATACGAAGAAAAGGAGACGTTTTCTATCATAACTGTGTGTTCGAAGAGTAAAAGCCTTTAGAAACTCTTTAAACAAAAAAGGTGGAGACTAAGTTCTTTTGTTTTTTACATCAGATGGTCCTTCATATTTAACCTTTGACCCCTCCAGTTGAGGAGCCATCATTTTCATCTTTCACTTCAGTAACATGTTATCATTTTCTCACTGTGTCTCTCTCCTCTTCAAACGGGCTGTCAGGTGGACTCTGCTGGTCTTCCTTCACGTACGAGCTGTGGCTCACGGTGGTCACCTCATACGGACTCTGCTCGTAGATCACCCTCGCCGGCTCTTCACCCTCCACCCTGTAGTGAAGTCCCGCCCCTGTCATGAAGACGGGCGCGTACATCTCTGCCTTCACCAAGGCGACGGCTGGTGAGCCTCCATCCCCTGATGTCGCTACTGTACCGGCTGCTGCTGCCGCCGCCGAGCCGCTGAATTGATCTCGCTTGGTCTCTTGGTGTTCTGTGTTCAGCGACAGATTGACGGGAACAGATTTGAGGACTTGGACACGGTTGTCCACGGTTTCCGTCTCGCTCTGGCTGCTGGGATTGCTCGTCAAAGTAGTCCTAAGAAAACATGGTATTTATACTTTAGCTCATTGTCATGTTCAAGTTAATCTTTCAGTTTCAACATGATGTATCATTTGGTCTTTTGCATTTCCTGTATTTTCAGCAGGAATCAGGATGTGTTTGCTCAACCCAGACCTGCCTCTGTAGATCAACATCAGTTCATCAGGTAAAATGACACCTACTTATGTGTATTATTGCCACACCTACAACCTGGAAGTACCTTTCTTATTAACTTTGCCACTAAATTAGCTTTACATCCAAAAAGACATGTCTCTACTTTCAAATTCTAGGATAAAACAACAAAACTTTAGGACAATGTTTCATATTATTGACATGTTTGGCATTTTTTAACACACTTCTGTCTGTACATGTGCAACCATGCCTGGGATACACAGAAGGAGAGGAGTTCACTGACCTTTTCTCCTGCTCCTCTGTCATTTCAGGCACTTTAGGAGCTGGTATAAGTCTTTTCTCTTTAGGCACCTGGAGGAAAAGAGTGAGAGGAGCTGTGTTAGTCTACTTTCAACTTTATGACTCCTAAACATTAAATAAAAATCAGGATTCTTACAAGATAGTTTAAGGTTAATTTCTAGGTTACTGATTTGTTGTGTTTCTTTTTGTCTGAGAATACATAAAGCTTCAAAATTTTAAAGCTTTAAGACTTATTTGAGGTTGTCAATGTTGGTCTACAAAAACATTTAAATATGCTAAATTTATTATGTACAAATGAATTAATCCACTCATCACATTAAGAGTTCATTATCAGTTTTAGTTTGTTATGAACTGACGTTACACACCTTGTAGTAGTCGTATAGTAGGCCAAGGGCGTTGGCGCTGTCCTCGTCCCCGTTGATGCTCATCATGGCCTTGGTGGCGGCTGTGAGCGGGTTCTCCAGGTACGACCTCCATGCCTCGTCCTCACTGGTGTACGCCCGCCGCACTGCAGGGAATGAGCTCTCGTTTGGGACCACCACCACCAGGCGCTTACTGATGTACACAAAGAGACATTTATGATAAAGAGAGTTAGCTTGTGAGAAGGATTTTTTATTTCCTTGTAAGGAAAAGTATGAAATCAAAGTATAAAACTTTGTTCGTCAACAATATTTTTCTCTTTTATTATCAAATGAGGAACTAAACGTGACACTTTGACCTTTTTCATGCCTGCATGTGTTGCGTGTGTTTAGGGGTTTGTCTCACTTTACTTTAAACCCTCTTAAGTCACGATCACAGACCAGTTAAACTCTCAGTGTTTTCACAACACAGCTTTGAACTCAGTCACAAAAGAGGCTCCGAGTGTGTCAACTTGCACTTCTTAAAATGAATGATATCATCGTGATGCTTTAAGCGCTATTTTGGAGTTCATTTGTTGTTTTTACCTGTCTAAACTGTCTGACTCAAACTTTTAATTGATAGATAATTATTCCAATCATGTGTTATGTTTGACTCACTCCCTGAAGGAACTAAAAATATCCAATCCAAGCTTCTGAAATGTGGTTTTAGGCAATTTTTTACACTACATTTGATCTTTTATCTTTCGCTTTGAGGCAATACAAGGTATTTAAGGGCACTGTTTCCTGCTTAGTAAAACGCCTTTGGATTCATTTAAACACAAAACAAAAGTAGATTATTTGACAATAAAAGCTTCTGTTTTTTAATTGTTAATTCCTGTACACCAATCAATGAAATTCCGTCCCTCCCACCTCTAACCTGTGGTGTCCCGTTGATTTTTCTATATTTATTCTAAACGTGTGATGTGTGACACTTTGTTTACACTTTACTCTGACACAGTGATCCTGTCAGGTGACTGATATGCAGGTGTAATAGTCGTCAACCTTAGATAGCGTAATGATTTCAACAGCTTTCCTCTTACTGTTCTGAGTTAGTTTTATAATATAGTTAGTGGTTGGTAGTAAATATAGTTAACTGTGGAGCTCAGTCTTCAACTGTAGTGGAACAGAAGACTGAAAAATATGTTAAAACTGTCACTACATTTAATGACTTAGCAACTCAATATCTGTGTACACATTACTGGATGCCATAAAGCTTTATTACTATAACAGTGAATAATTATTTTTTATCATGGTTATTATTATTATTTTTTTTAATGATCATATTAATAATAAATGATCTTTACTTTAGGAAAATGTGTATAAATTTAAAAAAAAAAATGCAAAATGGCATCAAAAACTAAATTAGTTTTAATAATAGTCCAATAGTTGTACCAAACTACATAAAGAAAGTACAATGATAAAGACAATACCATGTACATTTGCAAAAAGTCATGCAATGTAACATTTATTGGCTGTAATAAGCATAACAAACATCAGCTGATTCGCCAAACTCTCAAAAGTCCATTTGAAGTACAGTCAAAGTTTATAAAAAGAGCATCTCCTTTTCTCGTTGTTATTTCATGTAGCTCTGGGGTACACAGCTATTCATCCCCCTTGATAAATAAAGGAGTTGCGGGTTCGACTTAACAACAGGCCAACATGCAACACACACAAACTCTTCATTCAGAAGAATATCCATCCATCACCTCTGCAGGCCCAAGACACAAAACCGCAAACCACTGCATTAAACTCGATTTTCACCAAAAGACTAGAAAATGTAAATTCATCCAGTCAGTTAACTTTCAACACTTTTCCATCATCAGTCAAAAATGGCGAATTCAGCTCTGACAAAATCCACGGCGCCAAGAAGTTCAGACAACTTTCCTCTAAAAAGAAAAATTATGTGGCCTATAAATTTCACAAAAAGCAACACATAGACTTAGTAATCCTCTAACTTAATCAAACATTGTTTTTTTTTTCATCTAAAGAGCTAAAATAAAATTACTTAATTAATCAAAAGTGTTCCTCTTGCAGTCAAAATGATCAAAGATCGTCTCCTCTCGCTTGATCACTTACTTGTCTGTCTCCTGTGACATATTTTGCTTCCTCTCCGGTTCTTCCTTGTGAAACTGGACTTTCAAGTCGGAGCAGGTAATAGAGTGAGCGAGCTGCCAGAAGTTGGGCTACAGGTAAGTCGACTTTTCTCTCGCCCCGCTTCTTTTTTCCTCTCCCTGCCCCTCTGTTCCTCTCTACCTGACTCTCCTCCGCCTCACCTGGCAGGTGAAGCCGCTTTTGTCCCCAGCAGCCAATCACTCCGCCTGTCTCGCGCTAACTTTGCACGCAGATTGTAACACATATCAACATATCCCGCTCCCACGCATTATAATATTTGCCTTGGGTTTGCTTTGATAATGGCAGCGGGTCAACTTTGGCTGAAATTCTTTCACAGCACAAGAATTGAGGGTGAGGACGAGACGCGCGGTGATTGGCTGCTGCAGACAGGAGCGGGGATCTGATTGGTGGAAGGAGCGCAGAGGTAGAAGGAGTACCACCTCACCTGCTCGCGAAGGAAAGGACGGGATTGAGGGCACCATAACACACAACCGGGAAATAGCAGCAAAAACCTCAACAGCACACTAAAACTTCAAGCTTTCAAAAGTTTTTTTCCTTCACACAACTTTAAAGTATTTGTAAAGCACCGACACACATCGTGGTAACTCACTAATTTCACCTTTCCTCCTGTGTGTGTGTGTGTGTGTGTGTGTGTGTGTGTGTGTGTGTGTGTGTGTGTGTCAGGTAATCTCGGAGCAGACAGAAGGCAGGGAGGAGCCCTGTCATTAAAGGACACAATACCATTGTCCCCCTAATGAAGCCATTGTATGAACAGATTCCCTGTGTTTGGGATCACCCTGTCAGAACAAACATTGTGTATTTGTGTGTTTGTGTTTATGTTAAATGCTGAAGAACTGCAGAGTTTGTGACCGCAGACCCTGAAAGACTTCGTTGCTTTTTCTTATTGTTATTTTATCTTCATTAATAAATCTGAAATGATCTACCCTAATGGTCAATTTTAAGTTTTTTTTTTTTCACTATTTAAGAGGTGACCGAAGCATTTAAAGGTATCTAAAATCTTAATGATCAAACTAAATCAAACTAAATGTGATGATAATATAAAAAAAAGTTAAGTTTAGGTCCTTCGATGGACATTTTTGTCCACCGAAGGACTTAAATGTAACTTTTTTTTTTAAAACTGACAATACATCAAAATAATAATCCATCAAAATTAATATTGTTGTTATTTCTTGACATATCTCAGACCTTGATAAAATGAAAAATGAAAAAAAAAAAAAAAAGAAATTCCTGCCCAGCTAATATATGGAAAATAACTCTAACCCTTTTTTTTCCATTAAAAATGTAATCAAACTGGCATTTAAAGGGTTAAAATTCTCAACATGAATTAATATTTGATAGATATTATCAGGGATGAAGTTGATTAAAAGATTTAAGCAAAAGAAGTGGAAAAAAATATCAATGTATAATATGTTTAAAGCGCTTTTAGGAGGTGGACATTTTTGTCCATCTAAGGACCTAAACGTGTAGTGTTTTTGTCACACAGTGAATATTGACCTGTAGAATAATGGGTGGTCACATTTTAAAATTTGGAAAGAAAAAAATAACACAGCCAAAATGATCAACAAATGAAAGTTAAAAGTCACCAAAACTGGGGAAAAAAATGTCCTAAGAGCCCCAGAGGATTAAAAACAGGTTTATGCTATTTTGCCTAAAAATATAGTATGTCTGGCGTTTGATAATGGCATTGACCCTGCTATGGTAGTGTTGATTATCTAAATAAAAATGAAAATGTATAACTCAAGTACTGTAAAAATAATTTGGTGTTGCATTAATATTCTTCCACATTAAAGGAGCAATCATCTAAGTTTTCTCCTCACAGTTGTTTGACAGCACTAGTTAGATTGAATTCAGTTCAAGATGTTACAAACAAACACTTTTATAATCCTAGATAAAAAGATTCAAATGGATGTTTTCATACATCTCTGTATGAATGGTATGATAATGGTAACGTCTCTTTTGGAGAGCTCTTACTGTATCTGGTTTCAAACTATTTTGGAGATGTTCCCTTAGGTGATTTCCTTTTAGTAAACAACTTAATCTCTGTTTTCTTTTCTTGTTTGGAAAATTATCATTGAAATTAAGCATAAGATGAGAACATACAGTATTAAAAAAGTTATTTTACAGAATATGAGTGCATCAACAGCCACTCTGTCTCTAAAACAACCTACTTCAGATACAATTTTATGTGAGTTTACTGTTGCTTTTACAGAGTTGCATGCAAACAATGAAAGGACCCCCCCTCAAAAAAAAAAAACATGTTGGGTGTTCAAAAACAGCCTGGGTGCAGTTTCCAAACTGGTTTGATGTCTTACGGAGGTGTTTGCATGACACGATGTGGGCCCTTTGCTTATGAATGCCTTCAGGGGCTCCAGTATGGAAATCTAAAAATTACGTTTCAAAGTCAGTTAAACCGTCAGTGGGGCAGTGTGTGCTTGTATGTGTGTGTCTCTGTGAGTGCTTACATACACCATGATGAAGATCAGCTCTTGTCCCCCCTATTATGATCCTCCCTTGTCTAATTTGCTTTACAGAGCACCTGTGCCTTCACTGCTGTGTGTATGTGTATGTGTTTGAATGGAACTGCTAGATAAATACAGGTGGAGTCCTTTTCTTCTTACCCAAACACAGACAGACAGACAGACAGACAGACAGATGAACAACACAATAAGAGTGGAAAAGGATAGAGAAAATGAAGAGAAAAGTTAAAAAACCGACAAAGAAAAGCCACATTACAACAAGAAAAAGAAGGAAGGAAAAACTAATTTGAGGGACAGGGAGATTCAAAACCACAACAAAATTGCAAAGGTGTCATTGACTGACACAACATGACAACAGAGACAAACCACCAAAAAATGCAAAACTATAAGAAAAAGACTCAAATTACCAAAAATGAGATCCAAAAATTCCCTCTAAGTCATGAACAGCTGCCACAAAGAAACTAAAAACGACCACAAAGAGACTGAAACCATGACAAAAAAAACCTGTAGAGAGAAAAAGTGCTTCAAAGAGGATGTAAAACTGCACCAGGACAAAAATTAGGAGGTTTACAAAATGACCACATAGGGGAAAGAAGCTATCACTACGACTATGGAAATGCTAAACTATCACAAAAAGACTCAAAATGACAGAAAAGATCAGAATTATTACTTAAAGGAAATGACAAAGAAATGATCATAAAAGACACAGAAACCTACAGATGCTATAAACTACCACATAAAGACTCAAACACTAAGAAAAAAACAACTATATCAAAACAGAGATCTACTATAAACTACTTAAAAACTACAACAAGGATACTGAAAACTAGTATGAGTAGGGAGAGCAAAGATGGACACTAAACTATCACAAAGATACTGTGATTTGCAGGTACAACATTAGTACTGGGAGTCTCTGTTTACAGTGGCAAATCAGACACAATATTCAAATAGTAATGTAAGTTGTTCAACTTTTTGAGTCTATCTGCTTCCATAAATCAAACTAAGATCAGCCGATGATCATTATTATGCTGTTCCTGTAAATAGTACACAGAATAGTTCTCTTATCTCTGGCACTATAATCTATAACTGTGTGTACTATTGATGTTGTTGCTGTTTGTCTCTATCCATCTCTCTCTCTCTCTCTCTGCATCTCCTCTCAAAACCTAATGCAGTTGTGGCAGATGGCTGCCCACATGAGTCAGGTTCTGCTCAAGGTTTCTGCCTGTTCAAGGGAAGTTGTTGTTTTTTTTGCCACTGTAAGACTTGTCATCTTTACACTGGGTCTTTGTAAATATCCCGAAGAGTATGGTCTAGAGCTGCTGTTTTGTCAAGTGTTTTGAGATAACAATTGTTGTGAATTGGCGCTATATAGATAAAGACTACTTAAGAAGGCTTTGAATGACTGCAAAGAGACATAAAAGTACTCATAATGCAAAGCTATTACAGAGTGAAAACATAAACACAGAGGCACAAAATGATCACCCCCCCTTTAGGGAGTGGGAGCTTCTACATGTCTTGGCACAGAGGCCTGCCATCTTTAACAAAACGAAAGGTATGTTTGGATTGTCTTAATCAAGATAATGGTTGTGTATAATCTTTCCTCTTACTTTCCCTACATGACTTCTCTCTGCAGGAATGTCTGCCATGTGGAGATATGACAGCCGAATCAGTGAGGAGGCTACCGTACAAGCTGCCACAAGTAGGCAGGGGCAAGACTGGAAAGTCGGGGGCCACAGAATACCTCTGTTTGTGTGAGTGTGAGCGCGAGAGTATGTGTGTCCCACTCAGGTGAAAGATGTATCTTACATACCTGGAGTTCTTTCACAGGGAGAAGCAGCCTGTCTGGACTTGGCCGGGATTAGGTGTCTGACTTAAACCTGTGCCCGTGCAGAGACTCACAGCTGACACACAGACAGAGGTGAGTATTTCTGTCTGTGTGTTGTTGTCTTCCAGATGGATAGCTGTCAGTGGAAGGAGGCAAGCAGAAAGAAAGAGAAATAAAAGGAGTCCAAGCATGCAAACAATCATTTCTTTACACTGACTGATAATAAGAGAGAACAATCACACAGATTCACGCCACACTTGACTCTGACATTGACTTGAGTTGCGTCATTTTCGAACCCATTAAACCATTATAAACAGAGTACTTTATATGGACACACTCCCAGTTGTGTAATAAAGTTGATCCTTCTATTCGTCTCTACATGAATACATATGACCAAGTCTGTAAGGTCACCTGACTATCAAAATAAAGTTTCAGATTTCAGATATGATGGAGATGCTGAATGCTGAATTTAAGTGCAATCAATTGAGAAGACTCATTTTAAGTTCTTCATTTGTATCTTATATTGTTGAGAAAATAAATGTTGTTTTCATTATAAGTCTTTCTTTTTTCTTAAAGACCCAGCACAGAACTTTTGGTTTGTGACAATTTTGGCGCCCCCTGTGGACAAAGCAGTCATTGCTTAATTTGTCCCTTTCGTATT